AAGAAGAAGAAGAAGAAGAAGAAGAAGAAGAAGAAGAAGAAGAAGAAGAAGAAGAAGAAGAAGAAGAAGAAGAAGAAGAAGAAGAAGAAGAAGAAACAGAAATAGGCCGACCTTCTCGCTCGTAGCCCGCGTCTCCTGCAGCTGGGCGTGGCGAATATCTTGGAGAGCTACCCGCAATACGTTTCCGTGATCATGAGCGACCACCATCGTTACCATATCATCAACCTCCTCATATAATGAATTCAGTTCTTCTTCAGCTGCACTGTGAGCAGGGTCAGACACATTGTGAGGATCCTGAGTGCCAGCAGCGACGTCAGCAGTGTGGAGTGACTCCAGATAGATACGATCAAGACGATCCTTGACGGCTCCGGCACGGAAAAGGTGCAATGCCCGCGTGAGCCTGTCCGCCCGGCCTTGCAGCTCGTCGACGTCGAGGGCACCTTCCTGCTTGACGCTGATGGACAAGGAGAGCTCGTTAAGCTCGGCGAGGGCACGATCATCCGCCTTGAGCAGGTCTGACGCGACGGCAGGAACGGACTTGACTTCTTTCGCAAGACGTTCCACCTCGTCTCGGAGGTCTGTACGGAGGGATTCAAAGATCTGATCATTCTATATCACGCGTCAGCGCTTGACTGACCAACCGATCATATTAGGCTCGAAGGGAGACCCCAGCTTACAATAAAGTTGACGTGCTGTAGCTCCGTGGCGTGCTTCTGACTCAGACGGTGGATGTGGCCTGCTTGTCTATCGTTCACAGCATTTTTGGCGCTCGCCAGGCGCATGAGGTGGTTGTTTTGTGCCTCGAGGATTGCCGTACGCTTTTCGTTCGCTTGAGTGGCCAACCGAGACTCCTTGTCAGTTGAAGGAATGAGGACTGAGTCATTATGGTTGCTCTCGGAGCCGGTCCTTCCTACTTCCCACCGAGACCGCCATCTGTAGCCATCATCAGAACCCGGAGGAAGGCTAGAAGGCAAGAAGGTTGGTACTCTTCTGGGCGCCGTAGCGTGGAATCAACCCCGTCATCGCGGGTATTGTCTGCCCATAACAGGCCACCTTTGATTGACGTAAGGGCCTCAGTCTCACCATTGGAAGAGTCTGTTCTCTGCCTAAGAGGCGCCTGTGCCAGTTCAGCAGCCCAAGCTTTAGGTCGAGACATGAAGAGAAAGCTGGCTTCGCGAGGGTTAGTCCAGCAATATATGGTGCGTGTTTTGGCTTGGCACGCGGCATACCATCTAGATGCAGAGTTAGAATTAGAAGCAGACGATTTTTGTGTGATTTCAGGTCGGACGTGCTATATTCTCTACGAATTTACATAGCTGGCTAAGTACAGTGAAGAGCAAAGCGAGAAATCTGCACGGCGTCCATTCTCAGCCCCGTACCCTCTCTTTCACACCTTCCTGTTATATGCGGACGAGCAATACCGACGCACGTTCTGTTCCCCATCGTTGAGGCCAAGCCCCGTAGACAATTTCGATGCCTGGTATCGTGTGTGTAGAGGGGAGCCGCATTCCGTCGGAGAGACTTCCTCTAACGTCGAAGCTGAAGAGGTCATTCGCGGCGCGGGATGTGTCCATATTGCTTGGCCGGCGTCCGTCGGAAGCGACTTGAAACCTTGGGAATTCTCACCGCCTCTCAGAGCGGGTTGAGTCTGCTGGACGACGGGTCGTCATGACTGTTTGGTATGTCCATTCACTGCAGTCCCATTGGCTTTGCCGTTCGCCTTCTGCGCCTTCGACTCGCGGTACTTCGCAATGTCCTGCTGTACCATCTTATCCACCCGGTTCTTCAGTTCGGGCCGGTAGCCGAGAGCAAACAGAATCTCCAGCCAGACAAACAGAGGAGCCAGGAAGAAGGCTTGGAAGATATTGTCCAGCAACGCAGGGGCCCGCCCCTCAAACATGCCGTGGCCAGCGAACTGTGCAACCCACGAACCCACAAACGCTGAAGCAGCCCAGAAGTTGGCGGTCATACCGTGCACATCGACAAGGTGGTGGCCGTATGCGGTCCCAGCGAGCAGGAGGGCGGCAAATGCCGTGCCTGCGACCGGTTCGAGCAAGATGTATAAACCGCAGTAACACAGACAGAAGAGGGTGCCCGCATTGAGTTCGAGGTGAGGGACGGTCATCGATTGCGGCAGCGGTATCAAGGTGCCCGAATTCGTGAACTGGAGTCTCGTGAGCCGTGATAGTCTCATCGACAGGTCGTGGGCTGTGCGCGTTCATACCAGGATGAAGGTCGTCCACAAGATGATCGGAACGCCGACCATATGTATCCCGATATTGACCTTAAAACTATCAGCGATTGGAGTCCTAGGTGCGTGCCGTGGTCCGTACCGGGTCATGGTGATATGCGCCATACTACCGAGTTGAATCGTCAGTAGAACTAATGTGGACGCGTTCCGAGGAGGCTCACAAAGCGTAACTGCTTTTCCAAGTTGAGTGCCATTGTTGGTAATTGCGAGGCGAGCCAGCAAAGGCAGGCGGATAGCTAAATCATCGAGAGCAGAGGCATATGGTGAGATGATGCATGAGAGGTGAGGAAATGCAGAGGCAGCAGTGAGCGATGAAAGCGCATGTGGTCTGGCTGCATTTCACCACCTCACCACCTCGGCGTCATTCGGTGCCACCAATAATTAATCGATCCGGGCTTCTCCGCAGCCAAAAGCAATTCTGTAGGCGCCCCTCAGCCCTTGTCAGAAAGGAAGTGTTAGTAAAGTGCTAATTACTTGTAGACATTACCTAGATGTCAGTTTATTTGGCCTGATTCTTCTGCATGCAGCTGGATTAGGACGTCTAGCATCTAAAGGAAGTACTCAAATCCCCGGAACACGAAATTCTCCTGTCCGTAATATGCTCCAAACAGCTGATCTGCCCAATGTTTTATTGCTGACCCAGAATACTTTTCTCGACGGGCCTAACGTCCAATGCAACCTGTGGATGAGGGCAGCATTCGGGCTTGATATTGCTCTGATGCGAGAGTCGTTCGGTGATGCTCTGACGCGAGAGCGCCCTGATGCTGCTCCGATGGAAGAGTAACTTTTGTTTGCGCGAGAACATATCCAGAACGACCTGCGTAACAGTGCGTGGTCGCTCTTCTGGTTGGATTTGATGATGCCGTCAAAACCCAAGCTTGCGCTTCTTGATCCTCGGGATTACACCAACGAGCACAAGAATGCTAGCAACGATGACTGCCCAGAGTTTGATGTGTAGAACCTTCACATTGTAGGTTGTCTGGGTGGCTGCTGCAACAACGGCCAGCATGTAGACCGCCAGAAGGTATCCCGAAACCCTGTGTCCTTGTCAGTCAGATAGTCCCTAGTCGCTGCTGCATCGTGTAGCACAAACCGATGGTACTTGTAAACCGACTTCGCACGATCCACCTCGAACACGGACCCTTGCAGGTAGAACATGGCAGCGCCAATGAACCACTGGAGGAAAATCAGGATATAAGCCACCAGTGCCATCTTGCCATGCACGCTCTGGAACCGAGTCTCAGGGTGTGATGCCTTGTTCTTTTCAATCACGACCAGGCCAGCAATGGCCAGGGCCACTGCCGAGGTGTTGATCGCCGAATGGGCATATGTACCCGTAACTTTGTCCTTCTGCGTGGCAGTGGGTTGGAGGACAAGTATACCCTCGACGAACAACAAGACGGCCAGGGAGTTGAGGATCGGGTGGTAGGAGAAGAAGATGAACGGATGCTCGGAAATGGCAGCCCAGACCAGAGCTGTAAGAATGACGATGCCTGCCTGTGCGAGGATGGCTGACAGTTCTTAGCAGATGCCTTCGCCAGTGTCGGGTTCAATGCAGATTTACCTGTGCCCTTGACAAAGTTCCATTGTAGACCCTGATCGGGCCGTTGTGTAGCGTCTCCTGGTCCTCCCAGGAGGGGTTCTTCCTCCTCGAGACGCGGATTCTGTGCCGGGATACCTGTTGCAGAGGCCATAATGTCTATGGGCGTGGTCGAGCAGCGGTGGATGGATTCGACAGGTGGACGGTCTCTCAGGAAAGGAACGGGTCAGAGCAAACGGTTGCTCCTACCGGCGGACACTGGAGGCCGTGTTCATCTTCTAATATGTCCCTCGTACCGCAGATCGCGACATAGTCTTGCGGAGAACCATGGCCCCGCTAGACATGGATGGACTTGCACAAAAACCGACCAAGATGACCAATTCGATCCGACGATTGGCTGCGTCGAGCGCAGACTCAGCCAAAGCACCTGGCGTCTCGCAAGTGTATGACGCGAGACCTCGCCGGCTGATCTTATCTGATTCGCTGCTCCTCTCTGTCGAACGCGGTTGATGGTTTAGCCCGCATCCTTCGGACACCGCCCACTGACTGTCCGAGATTGTGCCACCCAAGCCACCGTTCATAACCTGACCGGCCTGTCGAAGCGAACGAGGCACATCGCTACGAAGCCCACAGCAGCAGCAATCGAAATGACATCGTAGGGTAGACCAAGCCACGGCCCTCCCCCCTTCTCAATTCCTATATTGAACAGCGCTGCCGTCACAGGATAGGCCATCATGATGCTGAGCGTCTCTGCAATGCCCAGCACTGAAAAGACCCTACCCCTATCAGCATCTCCTACGAGTGCTGTCGCGATTGCTCGCAACGTCGCCGGAAACCCAGTCGACAATGTTTCGATCAAGAGCCCAACAAATGTGAGGAGCACAGTCGGTGCCAATCCTATCAGAGCATATGCCGCGGACATGACCAGAAGTGCAGCTCGGGACAGCACCACGTTCTTCTGGATAATGCTGAACCTGAATCTTCGATCGATGTGGCCAGATATGAGGGGCAACACGGTGAAAAGCACCAGACCGGCGGCGACCGCTTGGGCTGAATAGATCAGTGTGGCATCGGCGAGCGTCCAGCCATAGCGGTCGGAGATGTATCGCTGCAGCATTTCGCCCAAGGCATAGCACACCAATCGGAACGGGTAAGTCAAAGCAACAAAGACCAGTCGCCAGTCGCTCCAGACCTTCAGAAGGTGCCGTAAAGCCAGCAGCCGTGGTTTTCGAGCGGCCGAGTTTGAATCTCGGCCGCCTTGATGCTCCTGAGATTGTGACTGTCCATCTTGAGGCTTTGTGCGCCAGTGCAGAGTTTCAGGGACAGCTGTGGCAAGAATGACGGAAATGACCAAGAAGGCAAGTCCACAGTAGACAGCCAACCATGGGTCAAAACGCATCAAGGCCGCCGCCATGAAGGGGCCAAGCACCTTACTGAACTGTCCGAAGGCGGTGGTGCGAAAGAAGGTCTCGGCTCTGGATCATGTTAGTTACGACAGCAGGCGTCGGTGCTCAAACCTACACTTGGTCGCGCGGGCTGATGTCCGTCAAAATACACTGCACGATATTGGTGAGCATCCTGAAACTCGCTGTGCTGAATACCAACATACAACATATAGGAGCTCCGTGACAATCCCGCCACCGCTGAGCAGATTGAGACTTGCCCCCAAACAAATAGCACGAAGAGGGATTCGGCCACCAAACCAGGTAACGAAAGTGGTCCAGCCCTGCGTCAGACACAAGACCGAGAGGTTGAGGATGATCAAGTGCCGTCGGCCAATCTTGTCAGTCAGGATGCCCATCGGGATACTCAAGAGGAGACCTGGTGCTGCGTTGAAGAACTCGAGCCACCCCTTGAGTGTGGATATCTGCGTTTGAACCTGGGCGATTTTGCAATATGATTCGGGAATGTGGCTGTGGCTGGGAAGCTCATCGATGGGATGCCGCTGATACCATTGAGAGCAGTAAATGGACTCAAAGACTTGGATCTGCGCCAGCTGCAGAATCTGTGTCCCAAGACTTAGACAGAAAACAATGAGATAGATCCTCAGCAAGAGTCTAGAGGCGGAACGAGACTCGTCCTTCCGATTGTCGCCATGGCCAGCCGCGTGCAATAGAGAGGCAGACTCGGTGGCATCTTCCTCATCGCGACCAAGTTGTGCCTCTCCCGGTATCATCGTGACTCAGGACAAGGCAGAGGACTCAGTGGCTCTCGACAACACCCCAGGAGACGTGCCATATACTATCCTGACACAAGAATCAAGGATGCCTGGAATCACAGTTTGTGGTGGGGCGGGTCGTCCACACTCCCTTCGTCAAAGAATGCTGTAGCCTGCACTGCTCGATGGCGTGTACTTGTCCCTGTACCTGGGTACCGATCTGTTAAAGCAAGACCAATAATTACTCTGTGTAGCATCTTGCACGTTTCTATCCCACAAGCCGGTTGTATCGGACTATGCATAATACAGTAGTCGCGTCCTCGTTGCCGTTCTGTCCTGTTTGGACATCGAACATTTGAACTGTCACGAGATATTGTGTCGCAACCCTAGAATTTACTCCATTTACTGCGGGCTCTTATCCGCTTCCCATACATGTAGAAAACGAAGGGCACGGGGATCAGTGCCACGGAGAAGAACCCAAATATGCTCGTCCCCCAGGCTACCCCTACGTTGTGGTACAGCGGCGCAACTACGAGTGGAAAACTGGGACAATGTCAGCATTCCACGCGAACCGAGACTGGGGGGCAGAAAGATCGACTCACGCTCCAGCAAAACACGACCTGAGGAAGGTATTGGCAGCAACCGCACTGGCGGCATATTTCTGGAAGGTGTCGACAAGGTAATTCAAGGCCGCCTGGAAGATGGTGAAAAAGCCCAACCCGGCCAGGTAGAGTCCTATGACGGGCGCGATCCAGTGGATGCTGGGATCTGCCGTCCATCCCGTCACGAAGAGGCCGGCAGCGAAGAGGAAGGAGCCGAACATCATGGGAGGCAGCCTCAGCTCGGGGGCCACTTTACCGCCCGCTTTGCGATTGTACAATATTTGGTTGAAGATATTGATGGCGGCGCCAGTGACTGCTCCGAGCAGGATGGCCAGGAAGGGAAGTTCTGAAGGGACCTGCTTCCAGTGTCGATTCTCGGCAAAGATGATGGGAATGGCGCCCAGCTGCATGTACAGGATACCGTAACAGAAGCTCGCGTACAGGGCCACGAGCGCGCAGATCGGGGTCGTCAGCAACTGGAATGGTCGGATCAAGAACTGGACGATCGTCAGCGTACTGCAGCTGGGGCCGATTGGAGGTGTTCACTTACCTTGTTCGCGAGCTCCTGGATGGACACATCCCACTCCTCAAATTTTGCGTGAAGGGCCCAGTTCCCGCTCTGATGGCGAAGCCGTCGGGCCTTGTAGACGAGGAGCCGTGGCGGGTAGCTCTCATCCAGGAAGATGACGTCGAGAGATAGGATGAACAGTTGGAGGATGCCCGTGAGGTATTCGGTCCACCGCCACCGGAGGTTCCGCTGGACCACGAGGGCCGCACCAATGATGGGGCCAAACACGGGACCGAGTACGACAGCCATGGCATATGTGGCTATGGCAATGCCTCTCTGTGATGCCTGCACCGTCGTTAGCATGAGGCCGGGCGTAATACGTGTCGCAGGATACTGTAGCACATTTTGCCCAGAAGGCAGTGCGCGTCAAGACCAGGACGGGCCTTCGCCCCCACCGTCAAGGAACATGTACTCACAGGGAACAGATCCGCCAGCACTCCCCCAGTATTCGTGACGGGCGCCGAAGCAAAGAAGCCGGCAAAAAACCGCGTGATCATGATGGTCTGAATGTCCTTGGCCGCACCCGACCCGAACGAGAACATGGCCGCCACAAACATAGGCGGCAGCACCGCATTCTTCCTCCCATACACCTCGGACAGCGGCGCCCACAGCAAGGGCCCAAGGCCGAACCCAAACAAGAACAACGTCGTGCCCAGCGTAGACGTTTGCGTGCCCACGTGGAACTGCCGCGCCACCTGCTCCGTCCCCGGACTGTACGCGCTGCTCCCCCACGTCGCGCTCATGGTCGTGAACCCATACAATGCCGTGGTGAGGACTTTCTTGCTCATCGCCCAGTTCAGCGGTCTGTAAGGATCGTCCGGCCCGTCAAAGTCGACCAAGTCTTCAACAGTCGTCTTCTGGTGCTCGAGCGGGTGGCTGAAGTTGCCGAGCGGCGGACGCGAGCGGATCCGTGACAGGATCGTCTCCCGCCGGGTCACCGTCTTCTGGAGGTTGAGACTGGGATTCAGATCGTTCGACCGACCCGTCGCGAAGGACGAACGGAGGCGTCCCTCAGCTTTTTCCTGCTCCGCGTCATCGTCCGGCGACGCTAGGTCACCGTACTCGGAGTTCGTCGTTTCGAGGACCAGGTTTTCGGATGAGGTGTGCGTGCACGACATGGACCTCCTTGCGTGGTCTTGTGAAGGTACTTGTGTTTGTGTTTGTGCTTGTGCTTGCGGATCTGCCATCTTGTGCGACCTACCCGTCACGACCGCCGGCTGTGTGATTTCTCCGTAGCTACTGTGGATGTCGCAAAGCTGGTTATAGTCACATTGGTGACAACGACATCGGCATCAAGTTCAGACGGGGGGTATCAGGTCTATTACATGCATATTATATCAGAGTACGACAACGTCCGAGACCGCACGTCATGGGCGAATGCCGCCGGAAAGATTCCAGCGCACAAGGCGAAGGTCCAGATCCTCGTACCACAGCACTCCGTACCTAGGTACCTAGTTACGGAGTACGGAACACGGAACCCTCGTACGGCTGAAGCGAGCCGCTTTGCCGATCATGGTGAGTGATGACAACCTTGGAAAGCAACCATGATCCCAACGGGCACCACGGCTTTCGCTTGCACGGCCGTCCCGTGCTCGAGGATCAGGTACAGCAAGAAACAGCAGCAACAGCAACAGTCACCTTTACTATGACTGCGCCAGGTGTACGAGTGCGAGGATACCGTGCTGGACAGAACGCGGCACACCTTCGCCGATCCCCCTCTGCAAAGACCTCTGTAAAAGGGTGAAAGGGGAAGATTTCAATCGGCCGCTTCGTGCTACTGCATACATACACAGTCCGTACTCTGCGTTTCTTGGCCGGGGTTAAGCGTTTACCAACGACAAATCGTGTTCCATGCGAGGTACTTTGCAGAGGTTGTCAGCGGGCTTAAGCCCCCATTCACCTATTTGCGGCATTTTGCGCTACATTTGCCTTAGCCGCCTTCCCTTATTGTGCCTGTTGTGGTCCGATAGATTCCCTTTGATATCTGAATTCCTCAGCTTCTGCTCTTCCTCAGCTTCTCCTCCGAAGCTTCAACCTTCCTGTCGGCACTTTTTCCGGAGTCGCATGCCATATGAGTATCGAAATGCGACTTTCGGCCGGCCACGCCTTCATCGACTATTGCATTTTCTTATTGAGCATCTAGGTTCTGCAGATAACTTGGCGCAACAGGTCGCGGTTGCTTATCCTTCTTGATAGGCCTGGCCCCGTCCTGGTCGCCCGGACTCGATTCACGGATCTCTGCAGCTGCCTGCTGAAAAGGCTCCTCATGGCATGCGCAGTTCCTCTGGTCTAGGCATTTCTTGCGGTTTAGCAAGGTCGCCTTACGGTTGCTCCGAGTAAGCCATCCATCCTAAAGCTCCCCATTTCGAACTCTTCGCGCAGACCACTTGCGGTAGCAAGGATCACAGATGCACGACAAAGTTACGGTTGTACCGCTATGAGTCTTTGGTGATGCACTCGGCCATATAACCACAAGTCGTCGAGAAGCCCTCATCGTTCCGGCTGCTCAGACTGCACTTTGATCGGACCTCGAGCGGTCTCCCCTGACTCAGTCCGCAATATGTGGATTTTATCATCCCCACACCCAGATTATACCAGAGCGTTCAATTCCTTGTCCTTAGTGAGGAACATTTTGAACGTCGTCCTCATCACGGAGTTACGAAGGGTGAATGGTAAGAGAGCGGGGTGACAAACCTGCGAGTTGCTTCAGGCCAGTTGGCGGTCAGGTCGATCCGGCGAGCACTTCCTTCGATGGTGAAGGGAGTCGGTCTTATAGACGAAGTACTCAATTTCTTCCGAGGACGTTCAGACGCTCGACACTCCCCATAGGCAGTTTCAAGGCCTTACGACTCGAGTAGCCACTGACCCAATGGGTCAAACACCCACTGCCTCGTCTGTGTAAGGGTACCCGGCCATGTCGCCAGGTTCAGTCATTCACAAATGTGCACTGATGACGCTGCAAAGATCAAAGTGCCTCGCCGACAAGGTTTCCGTCCGCATTGTATGGACATCGACCGGTGCGACTGATCTGATCCCGAGATAGTCATGATGTGGCTGACTGACGCAGCGCTACTGCTGCTCGACGGTCATTCCGCTTCGTTGTGCAACAGGGCTCCTAGTATGGCGGCAAATCTTCTCGCGATCTCCCAGTGCCCTATTCGCCTCAAGAGGTCAGTCAGCCCGCTGAGCGATGCGTTGGTCTCGGTCGTCGTGGGCTTCCCATGCTTGTAACCGCTGGCTTGGAAGAGCAGTAAAGCCGGATTGACGCCAATTAACTTGAACTCAGGGTACTCTGTGCTATCGGTAGTAGCTGTTGTTCGTTGTCCACTATCCTGCTCAGAACCAAATCGAGTATAGCAAAACCATGCAATACCCGCGCGGAACATTGCTCGGGGTACATGGATTGCAGGCTCAAATCCGAGGGGCAAATTCTCCAGCTTTTTCTGGATGATCAAGCCGTGGATGACGCATCGCCGGGCTTGATCTGAGTTCGCCCACAGTGTGACTGCGTGCAGGTCTTCTGGTGAAAGCTCAGAGCCGTCTCTCCCAATGGCCCGTTCCAAGAGGTCGAAATCAGCAAACATGATCATAAATGCAAGGTGCCACAATATGCTCATGTCCATATGATCCGCTTCCCAGGCGGCTGATTCTTGTAGGAAGTGTCGATGAAACGACGTCAACGTGGTCAGAATCTCATCTGGATTCGATTGCGTGGTCCCATTCAACCCGGTTTCCACTATATTAGCGCAAATGCCTTCAAGAACGGTGTAAGCCGTAAAGTGGCTGTTGTTTGGCATAGCGAGGAGGTCGAAGTCTAGATGCTCATCAATCGAGGCCGGCGTGGCATTGCTAGTTTCGAGGTTGCTTGGGTCGCTCAGATATGCCTTGCGCCACTCATCCGCCCGAACAGCCATGAATGTCTGGTTTGATGCGGCTACGGGTAGCTGACGAGAATTGTGCCGAAGGAAGGGCTCATGATGGAACATGGCAGCGAGTTCCGCATCGTGGATATGCACGCTCAGCGCGATTCGGATGAGCTCTTCGTTTCTCGCCCATTCTCGCCACTTCTTGTCCAGCTCCGTTGAGGACACGTTGAGGTCAAGGCCGACCATCTTTTTGGTCTTGAATGTCGCAGAACGTCGCGCCCATGAGATCAACGTTCCATTGAATGCATCGACGATTGCCAGGTGTCTCGGCTCCCCAGAGAGCAGGCCGAAGGTTTGCCCGATGATAGCAGTCTGGATGAGCGAAATCTTCTGATCAATTCCTCGCGCAAGGAGCCGATCCCAATTGGCGAGCACGGCTTTGTGTAGCCTATCATATATCTGTACACCTTGGCGAATTGCATGCACTGATCCGGTGAAGAGACTGCCTACAGAACAGATGGACAGTAGTACCATCGAATTCGCCTTTGAAGGGCGGAATGTCGGGGCGTGTACGACTGGGAATACAGGATGAAATCGTGCAAAATATGATCTGACGCAAAGATTGAGGAAATCTGCCGACGGAAGAGCGGTCTGTTCCTTCATGGGTCGGATTTGGAGGCTTTGAGTAAGCGTTTGCCGGTACGAGTCGTCCACCTCGTCGCGAGACCCAGGAGGTGTTGTAGGTCCTGATTGAGGCACGACCTCGTCGCCGTCGTCGTTTGCTGTGAACCAGATCCGCTTCATGTTTGACACAGGCTTGTAGTTGGTAGTCCCACCGAAAGTAATATCTGGGCTTTCTGGCCAGCCAGGTCGCAGCTCTGCCATAGTCGCCACCAGAGGGGTATCCAAAATGCCGTTATGGAGGTCGCTGTCAACGAGCCAGGAGGGGAACTGAGTCTCGAGATCAAAAGTAAAAGGATCCAGTGTCATGTCCAACCCACTACTCAAATGACTGGAGGTGAAGTTTGTCTGGTACATATCGACAGAGGCATCGTTGGTGGTTATTTGGCTTCTTTCAGCCGAGCATGCCGTTTCATCGAGGGCGGCCGTGTTGCTTGGAAAGACTTGCGAGGTGTCGATGGTAATCGCATCGCTGGTGCCGCTTTGTTCTTCTTCGACAACGACGGAAGGGTCGTCCGAGTGATCCTTCTGATGCCGAAGCAGGGTATCGCTAGACGTCCTTTTGAGCAAAGTCATAGGTTCCACTTGAACAAGACTTACTGTCGACCATATTTCCTGCCGCACTTCGTACAGATAAATGGCTTCTCCTTGGTATGAGATCTGACATGCCTCTCGAGGTGATCCGTCTTAGCGAAAGTGCGACCACACGTCGAGCACTGTCGGATCTTGGCCGCACGGCGCCCCCTCGAACCATCTTTGGAACTGGGCGTTATCTGAGGTGCAGGCATTGCCTAGAGTGGTTGTAAAGAGAGATGAACGTTACCCCCATCGCATTAGGACGGAGATGTCATGCCACACAGACACCGATTCAAAGGACAAGACTGCGGTTGGACGGAGTATGGAAGGAAAGTATCTTGTGGGGAAAGAAGGAAGGATGCCGCAAAAGCTGGGGAAAGCGATGTCCTCACTTTGAGCCTTAAGGCCGGGAGTTTGGCGGGGCGAGCCTGGAGCAACTTGGGGCGCCCTCCGGGGGATTCACTTACCCAACCAGACGCAGGATGTTGGCCTCGGCTAATTCCTGGTTGCAATACCCCATACTTTTCAATATGCGATCAATGTCAAAATACTCATCAATCGAAGATTCCCTTCGGATGCAGCGACGACATTTACCATATGTATTTTGCACGCGCGCATCCATCACTACGTATACAGAAACCGCCCTGGTCGATAGTCTCTCGTCGAACCAGCATCTTGACACGTGGCGAGTGAGGGCAGCAACAGCGGCGACATACTCCGTATAGACTCTGGAGATCACGGCGCAGTGACAGGTGAGCCCTTGAAAGCTGCTCAAAGACCGAAAACTACTCCGTACGGGGTCTGGACCTGCACCTCTCGTTTGTGAGAAAGCACGAAGGGCTCGATTGTGGGACGTTATCGAACTCCCCCCACGAGTCCCACATTACAAGAGACTCCCGGGTTTGATCTCTTGTCCCAGCTTTTGCCGCGCTTTGGGATCGAGCCCTTGCATCGTGACAGTGTAAGAAATGCTCTTAATGGCGAGCAAACAATCACTAGTTCCATTCGACTTTCCTTTCATCTCCACAGCCTCTATATAGGTAGGGAAGAGACTCCCTCTCACAGTAGTTTCACCCCAACCTCACCCGCCCCCAAATTGTCCCGCTTTGCTTTTCATCATGACTGAGACCACACCCCATATCGACGAGACAGGCGTGATAATATGCGGCGGAGGTCCGACGGGCGTTGTACTTTCAGCACTTCTCGGAGCAATGAAGGTACCCAACGTTGTGCTAGAGAGAGAAAAAGACATCACCACTGACCCGAGAGGAATTGCTTTGGATGAGGATGGAATCCGGATACTGCAGTCTATTGGGATCTATGACAAGATCTACACAGAGATCGGGACCTGTAAGTGAATTGATCTTGTGGCGGAAACAAGCTGATGGTGAGAAGGTATGGAGATCTTCAACTTTGTCACAGGTAGCGAAACAAACCTGTACAAGAAGCCACTCCTGACCATGGACTACACCACCACCGAAGGTGGCACTGGTCACGTCGGTTTCATCTGCCACAAACAGCCTGCAATGGAGAAAGCGATCAGAGATAAGCTTCAGATATTACCATCGTCTCAGATTCGCACAGAATCAACAGTGATAGGTATATCTGAGGACGACAAGCGAGTGACGGTCGAGTATACAGATGCACATGGAGACACACACAAGTTATCGGCGCCGTTCCTCGTCGGCGCAGATGGGAAGACAGGCTACGTCCGCAAGAGATATCTTGAACCCAAAGGCGTCGTCATGGAGAAATGCAAAGAGTGTGTAGCATGTACATCCCAGGGAGTCAACCTTGCTAACGGAGCACAGATCTGATTACGACGAGACTTGGGTGGCGCTAAACTGGCAGATCTCGCTGCCAACACAAAAGACCCACCCTGAATTCCCTCTCTGGCGGCTAGGGTATACACCCGAACAAGTCTATGACCTCTTCTTCCCCAAGCAATTCCGGTTTCTGTGCAACCACAAGCGACCTTCGGTTTGCGGACGGTTCGGCCTAAAGGCTGATCGATTGTGGAGATTCGAGTTTGTCATATTACCGGGAGAAGATGGGCACAAGATGGCGACGCCGGAAGAGACGAGCAAAATCATCTACCCGTACATCACGCACCCTGGTAGCTGGTACGGCTTGGAGCAGCCTGTGAGGTTTCCCGAGGACTGCATCAAGACACTGAGGTCGCGGCCTTTCTCGTTCGTGGCCAGAAGCTGCAACAAGTGGTCGATTGGACGCGTAGTCTTAGCAGGAGACGCAGCTCACGTATTCCCTCCCTTTGGTAGGAATCATACTCTTCCCGCTCGACGAAGCTAACCAGGAGTGTAGGTGGCCAAGGCATTGCCTCCGGATTTCGAGACGCGTCCGCTCTTGCCTGGCGTCTGGCCTTGCTTCACCGCCGTCCCACAATCAATCATGAAGCTGTCCTCACGGCATGGTACAGCGAACGCAAACAGCAGCTCGAACGGTCTCTAGCTGCTACCATCCAGAATGGCGCCTATGTCACCGAATCAGACCCGATCAAAGTGTTCATTCGAGAGTGGTATATGTGGGCGATTCAGCTTGTTCCTAGTTGGAAGAGAGAACTGCAGAAGGGAGCCCGAGCACAAGGGATGACTCGATATCGATACACCCCAGGACTGGCATTCCTCGCAGATTCGGTAGGCGGCCTACTCTTGCCCCAAGTGTACGCCTTCAATTTCCGAACCAACAAGATCGAGTTCACGGACGATTTGATCTTCTCAGAAGACAATACAGGCTTGTTCCAGCTCCTTGTCTTGCCGGACAAAGTCGCAGAAGTGGAACCACTCACGCGAGGCCTCGAAGATATCAACGGTCTGTCTGATGGCTTGCTCCTCGCCGAGGAAGCGACCGTCATCATCCAATCCACAAAAGTGTCCCTGTCTGCTGAAGACGTGCCAGTCCAGCAACAATTAGCTCGGATCGCGGGCGGCGACGAGTTCGCAGCCGATCCTGTTCTCTGCAAGAACCGACCACCTCCAATTGGCTACGACGAATTGCGCCTTCGCAAGGAAGTGGGAGGGAGAAAGTACGTGATCCTCAGACCAGACCGGTTCGTGTTTGCAGCCTGTGATACGTTGGCCGAATTGAAAGAAACCGTGACGAAGCTGTCCAGCGCGTTGCATGTTTGTTGAGCTTACGGAGTACAAGAGACACCGTCGTAGGGAACACCGTATTCTTGTCCAAGGGCCGACAAAGCCAGTGAGGACGGCGATGCTGGGATGAGTAATAAGCCGTCTTCGGTCACACCTCGGTTGCTTCGATACGAGAATGTATCGGTGAATGTCGGCCACAACCGGAAAGCGTTCCAGCCGCATCATTTGTCCATTTGCTTGTCATTCGTACCTGCGTCGCTTCTTATCAGTTTCCGTGTTGGTGGCTTGCGGGATCCATTCCCGTTAGGTCAGGAACGGTGTAGTCCCTCTCACAGGGGGCGAAGAGGCTCGACATGTCGCACTCTTACTTAGAGCGGTCAGCATATCCGAAACACTATCACGATGATGATGATGATGCGGTGTACTGAGTCATTGAGGCTAATCTTGCATGTGTATCCCTGTTCCCACGCACACACACATATATTGGAATGTCCGTGCCAGTCCACCACATTCATCCAATCTACCTCAGCCAGCCCAGGCTTGGAGCCTTGTGCCTCGTATCATTTTCGCCCGACCATTGTATCTTTTGTTGTGTGAACAGGAGCTGAACAGGCGCCATTTCAGCCCAGCCTGATCTGATATCTCAACACTCTCTTAGAACCTACATGAGTCCGCAGAACGCCGTTTGATTACTTAGACTACATTTCGTCTGCAGTCGACAACTAGAACCTGTGAAAGCCATCTGCGCGACGACGGGTGAAATTGGCTGCATTTCTCCCGTTCGTACATATACAAGTCTCTCCAATGGCGGGGATTTCGCTGCAGACGCTGCCGCTGGAGATCCGCCTACAAATATGGTCCTACCTCGTACAGCCCACCAAGATATACCCATGTGAATGCGCTCTCAAAGCCCAGCAGTGCCAGGCTCACCGTCTGGGAGGTTGCTGCGACAACAACTCGACCTACAAACACTGCGACACCCGTGTGCTGCGCGTCAGCCGACAGATCTTTGAGGAAGTCCAGCCACTGGTCCAGCGAGCGGCGAAAGAGCGCACATTCATGCTCTGCAACAATCTTTGCTTGGACAATTTCTTCAAGGCGCTCGACGAAAGAGACTGGAAATGGGTCAAGCACCTCCGGGTGGATCTGTTCGTGGGCTGGGGCAGCGACAACCAGGACGACTGGTTTCTCGGCCAGATGCATCGATGGGCTCGACGATACGTGGCGGGCTCGTTGAGCAAGTACAACCAGGGGCGGGAATTGACAATCCAGCCTGCCGACGAGGCCAAGGAGGACAAGGAAGGCAGGCGTTCCCTCACTGTCGACATCTACCTGGCTTGAGTGTGAGAGTGAGAAGTGACGGCAACACACATCCAACTGTCGCCGGCTCGATCCCGGTGTCGGCGGCTTCAACAAACTCTCCCGTCCTCAGTTCACCCACTTCACCCACTTCCAAGCTCAGTCCACAGCAATGACTGCATGCGGCGCAATTGAGCTTGGCATTATTGCCACCGTGGCCAAAGCTATCCGATAGTCGGGGACACGCCTTTGGCCCTGGGAAGACAAGCTATGAGAGAAGTGCGGCGGAACGTCACGATACCGCAAGATAAACCCTCCAGAACACCATGTGTCAGCACCGCAGGATTCGAGCCCGGCGAATTCTTGGCTGGGACTCGTATGGAGTAACCCCAAGCGGCGAGCCGGTGTAACACAGTAGTGCTCGCACTGGACGTGTGGACTTGCCTGACTTAATCGATACTGGGTAATTACTACTCTGATCGGCACCTGCAATCAATCATGGTGTTCAGCAGCCAACCAAACGGCTCATCGAGAGGAGCCTCTGTCTTCCTTCCGGCTCAGCATTCAAGGTCAATGCTCGTTCATCTGACATGCTTTCCTACCGCAAGCAGCAGCAATTGCTGACCCCATGGTCCGCCCTTTAAGAGGTTGGACAAATGTTTGCACTCTCCTGCAGAGGCCCGGGGTCTCTTTTCAGACGCCCGCACTACATGCCCGGAATGGATCCTGTATCCCACCAAGCGCGCAGCCTGGCCCATCCAGGGCTCGGATACTCCCTTCAGCGTCCGGAGTATTCTGCAGGTGGGCTGCCGTGCACTGTACTCGTACAAGACCACGTCAGCATGATACCCCTCTAAGCGGGATGAGGACTAAGTATTTCCTGCCATCTGTGCAGAGAAGACATGACAATGGCTACAGCTCTGCTCCCACCCACCACGCAAGGCCGAGCGGATACGACCTTGAGATCCTAGAACTCCGCCCGAGACACATTACTTGCTACATACTGACATCCCTAGTGGAGCAGCTCAGCAGCGCAGTAGCGGAGATGTACTTCTTCAACAAAGCAAGACCGCTTGCAGAGCACGCATCGTGTCTGTCTGTCGTGAACATTAACCTCAGCCCCAAGTCCAATATCGTCTCAAACGCGGTTTAATGCTTGACCCTCCACGGGACACAGAACCAGACACAGACGAGAAAATATCGGCATCAACGTCCTCCTGCAGGAGGAGAGAGAACAAGCCCAGAATGGAGTCCAACACAGAACCACAGCCCGCCTTCCCACCCCTCGAGACCGACCGCCTCATCCTCCGCATGTTCGACCCCTCCCGCCCCGCCGACTACGCCGCCATCCTCGCCATCTACGACGGCCCTTACGCCCACCGCACAGTCGGCAATCTCGGCCTCTCCACCGCCGAGGACGTAGACAACCGGTGCCGCAAGTTCGGTCCTCGACCGCAGCAGCCCCAGCCGCAGAGTCCGTCGTCGTCGTCGACGAGCGGGAGTGTGACGCCCACCACCTTCCCCACCCACCCCTGGCACCTCATCTACCTCCGCGCCCAACCCGACCGGGGTGTCATAGGCATGACGTCCCTCTTTCACCGCCGGCCCCTCCCCAGCCCTGACCTCGTGTACTACATCCACGAAGAATACACGGGCAGAGGGTACGCGACCGAGGCCGGCACCGCGGCGCTGAGATGGTGGACCGACGCGATGGGCGTGCAGGATATCTGGGCCGGCATCTTCGACACGAACCACGCGAGTCAGCGGGTGGCGAGGAAGATTGGATTGGTCGTCGACGGTGGCGTGGTTCGTCTGGTGGATGCAAATGGGGTTGTCAGGGAGGCGAGGGCTTTTGTGCAGCCCGCGTCCGTGGAGAGGAAGGGGAGGTGGTTGGACGGGGTGGTCGTCGACGTTAGGGAGAAGAGGGACTGAGCATCATGGATCACGGCGAGTACTCTGGCTGAGGGCGTGTGATGCAGACAGAGACGTTCACGCACGAACTCAAGGATGAGAGACGGAGTGACTTCCCACGAGGAGACGAAGAATGTGACTGCTCGACAATCAGCCCGCCCGCTCGCCTGGTTATTTGATGACGAAGATGGGAGATTTACCGAGTATATGTATTGATTACGGCCTCTACGTCGACCTGTACTGCCCCGCTCTATGCTTGATAGATCCTTGACGCCTCTACTACATAATTAGATATAGACTATTAGAGCGTTATAGCGTCTTCAGATTACCTTCACGAAGCAGTCGGCGTCTCGCAAAGGTTCAAGCGGTTTATTTACTGATTAGCTCGCCATCTGTCTGTCTGTCTGTCTGTCTGTCTGTCTTGGGCTCCAAACAATACTGTACCACATCATAACGCTAACAACACCAACGCCAGTTTTGCTCCTGCGGCCCAATTTCAACCACTACACAGTACCTCGTCCCGGCGTTGTCAATATCTCGTCTGCACCGTTGCGTTCCGTTGCGTGGCGTTCAGCTCAATTCTGGCTTACGAGTATTAGATCACCTGATCCGATTCCGACCAGATGGTTTCAGCCAGTTGCGTGGCTGAGTTGGCTGCCATGGCTGCCATGGCCAACGTGGGCTCCCTCGCTGGCTGGCTCGCTGGATCGGGTGCCGTAGCCGGCCAAAGACATCTGGACTGCCACGACGGGTGGAGCTTTTTTGAACCGAGGGATCCTGCCGCCGGCACCGCGCATCTCTCTCATCACCCACACCCACGGTGGCCGTGTTCGTACCACATTTATGCGCTTTAGACGTGGAACTGGGCCTTGTACCGCGTTTCGAGCGCCGCCTTGAGAGCGTCGCAGGTCTGCTTGGCGTCGCCGAACAGCATCCTCGTGCCAGGCATGTAGAACATGGGGTTTGGAACGTCGGCTGCAAAACGCGCACGGGGTCAGTAATGAAACATAGACTCTTTCGTCGTCTTCAACATAGGCCGTGATACTCACCATATCCGCTGCTCATGCCTCTCTTCATGACCACTACGGTTTTACTCTTCCAGGCATGCAACACCGGCATGCCGGCAATGGGACTTCCCGGTTCCAGGGCGATTGGATTGACTGTGTCGTTGGCCCCAATCACCAACGTTAGATCGGTTTCGGGGAAATCGTCGTTGATCTCGTCCATCTCTAGCACAATGTCGTATGGCACGCTTGCTTCGGCCAAGAGGACGTTGCACTGGCCCGGCATTCTTCCAGCAACGGGATGAATGGCAAAGCGGACGCGGACGCCTTTGGAGCGCAACAGGGCCACTATCTCGGCGATGGCGTATTGCGCCTTGGCTACAGCCATGCCGTATCCAACCACTATAATGACCGATTCCGCTGACGCCATGGCATCGACGGTTTCTTCCACCGTGGTCTTTGTGACAGTGCCGGTGATTTCCTTGCCCGCGTCCTGCGGTATGGGCGCGATGCCGCCGAAGAGGACGTTCGTGAGGGACCGGTTCATCGCCACGCACATGATGTACGACAGGATGGAGCCACTCACGCCGATCAGAGAGCCCACCGTCAGTAACAAGGGGTTGTCGAGCATGAATCCTTCCGCGACAAGCGCAAAGCCTGAGTAGGCGTTCAACACGGTGATGACCACGGGCATGTCTGCGCCTCCGATCGCCGCCGTGGTGGTATAGCCCTGGATGAAACTGAGGGCGGTATTCGCGGACAGACACACCGCGGCGACGGCCGGTGCGCCAGGAGCCATGGTCACAAACGCGCCCATCGTACCTGCATTGGCGGCTAGCAGCCCCGAATTGATGATATGACGGCCGGGAAGTATCGTGGGTCTGGACGACATTCGGCCTGCAAGTTTCATGAACGCGACCAACGAGCCCGTGAATGTGACACCACCTGCGGCGACTGGTTAGATGGCGAGCACACGAGGAGCAAGCACTCACCGATGAGAACACCCAGGTACGCCGTGACCATATGTAGTGTTGAGATGTGCGAGACGTCAGCCAGCACGCTGCCGATGCTGGTGAGAACAGCAGCAAGACCGACGACCGAATGCAATGCCGCGACCGTCTGAGGAAGCTCGGTGGGAGTGATGCGTCGGCCGATCAGAGCACCGACGATACCACCGATGGTTGCGATTGCACCAAATTGGGTCAAGACCTCAGGAGAGAAGCCGACTGCGCCCAGTGAAGCGATGATGCCGGCTAGGACACCTAGGATTCCAAGTAGATTGCCTGTGCGAGCTGTTGCTTGAGAAGCGAGACCTTGGATGGATCCTGTATGTCAAGCATCAGCAAAGTGTGCAGACGGGAGCACGAGCGAGGAAAGTTCCCTCCACTCACCAATACACAAAAGACTGCTGACTAGATACCCGGCCTGCACAAGCCCAGCCATACCAGTGCTGGCCGCCACAATAAAGCCGCCTCCAAAGAGCGCACCCGGAATGGCATATAGCCATGGATATTCAGGCGGATCTGTCGGACGCTTGAACATATCCAACATGCGCTTGGTGATGACAAACCCGCCGGAAACATTGACGAAGGCGAGCAGGACTGACAGTGCACCCATGGCTTGAGGGATAGTCTCAGGCAAGTAACCCCCACCCATGATGAAGAAGCCGCCCACACCCACGATGCCAGAAATGGCGTTCGTGACGCTCATCAAAGGTGAATGAAGAGCGGGAATGACGCCCCAGACTGACCGATAGCCAATCAAACCTGCAAGTCCGGCAGTGAATGCACTTCCCATGAACAAAGGGGAGGTGAGCTTGCCGAGTGCAAGAGCGCCGCCCATACCAGCAGTGACTGCTGCCGCTTGGCGGGTTTGAGCTTGCCACGGAGTCAATTCGACAGGCTTGGGCTCCTCGTGATGCTGCTGCTGAGGAGTCGGGGGCGGAGCAGGTCGTGGAGCAGGAGGAAGGATTTCACCGTTGTGCGTGACAATGGAGCCTCGGACGACCTCATCTTCCAGGTCAATACCAAACGAGTTGTCTTTGGGGGCCATAGACAGAAGAAACTTGGTGATGTTGTTCGAGTACAGACTGGCCGATTGCGTGGGTAGGCGAGACGGGAAATCCTTGTATCCAATAATGGTGACGTGGTTGTGCACAATGAGTTTGCCGGGTTGCGTGACTTCGCAATTTCCACCACCCTCAGCTGCCAGGTCGACGATGACGGAGCCGGGTTTCATGGCACTCACCATCTTCTCCGTGATGAGCTTTGGCGAAGGTCTTCCTGGAATGGCAGCAGTAGTAATCACGATGTCCACTTCCTGGCATTGCTCCATAAACAGTTTCATCTCCGCCTCGATGAACTCCTTGGACATTTCCTTGCTGTAGCCACCGGCAGCACCTCCTTCTTCCTTGACGCTGACTTCGAGAAAATCAGCGCCCAGGGACTGTACCTGTTCACGAGCGGCAGAACGGGTGTCGAAGCCCCGCACAATGGCGCCGAGGCGGCGTGCGGTCGTGATGGCACTCAAGCCAGCAACACCAGCTCCAATGACCAGAACCTTCGAAGGGGGAATCTTTCCTGCGGCGGTGACCTGACCAGTCAGGAAACGCCCGTAGTGGTTCGATGCCTCCAGCACGGCTTTGTAACCGGCAATATTTGCCATGGAACTCAATGCGTCGAAAGCCTGTGCACGGGATATTCTGGGGATCATGTCCATGGCGAAAGCCGTCACCCGGCGAGACGCAAGCGCTTCGACGAGCGGTCTGTTCTGCATTGGCTGAATGAATGAGATCAAGGTGGTTCCTTCCTTGATGTTGGGCACTTCGGTCTCGACGTTCGGTGGACGAACCTTGAGGAGGATGTTGCTCTCGGACCAGACGGTCTGGCGGTCCACCACGGTGGCGCCGACATGCTCATAGACCTCATCCGTAAACTCGGCTTCATTACCAGCACCACGCTCAACGAGGACGCGAGAGAAACCTTTCTTTAATAGCAGAGGAATATTCTGAGGGGCGACTGCGACACGTCGTTCACCCTCGAAAGTCTCTGCCGGAATACCGATTGTGAGCTCCGAGTAAGGGATGCTACTGACTGGCAGTTCGGATTTGTGTCTCGACCATATCGTGACTGCCCGAGGTGGTAGCCTGATGAGGCTTTTGTGCTGGTGTTGCTGTGTGTAGCCGAGCGCGACCCGGCCGCCAGAAGATGCCCGCACATGTCTCCTCGCGTGGCGGCTCTGCCGCCCACAACCATAGAAAGCGCCGAACCTGGGGACTGTCTCGACACGTCAGCATCACGCTCCGTACCCTCGAGACCGATGGCATTTATTTAGCATGGAGCATGTACCTGGCTCTCTGACGCTGAAACAGCCGCTGGCAGATAGTTTAAGCGACAGCGATCGGGTGGTCAAGGAGGCGTGAGCCATCCTGTCGGCTGGACTAGGCGTGACCTCACCGCCGGAAGCGTCGATAAGAACCTTGCAGTGTCCGATCTCGAGCTGCAGATGACCGGGATGACCTGCATGTCAAAATACGACGCGTCCGATTGACTGGTCCAGCTCTATTTCATGCTTTTGCGGCGCAAAGAGAAACGTTGGCCGTACCGTGGACAGTACCACCGAGAGAAGGAGGAGATTGGGGAGGGCAAGATGAGAAAGTAACGTGGCAGAGGCGCGCCAGTCGAGAGACCAACTTGCCCAGTAGCGATCAAGCAGGGAGGCAGGAAATGCAGCACTCATCGGGGGCGGGACATGCGCTGCGACCGATCACACTGCCGAGGCAGCCATTGCACCTGATGGATAAGCTGTTGTGACTTCGCATACAGTCGCGCGTGCATGGTTGCAGTCAGTGACGGCTGATCGCGATCAACTCACCTCAGCCCCTCCGAACCCCACGACTCTGGGGTGCGGAGTTGGGGAATTGGGGATGATCAGTGGGTGAGAAATGGATGAGCCCCGCCAGCCAAGTGGATGAACCGTGGGAATGTAACTACAGGTTGTGAATCTGACGGCAGACGCGCTGCAGAGGACCCAAGTGCTTTTATGTATAGCCTCGAAGAGTGCGTGCAGGGCCTTGCTCGAAGGCTGTTGGACACAATCCACAGAACATTCATCAGTCCCCTTCTGCAACAGTGAATAGATGGCCATCTCTCCAATACTGGTACACCTCGATATCCGGGCTGCAACCTGGTCAGTGTTCTAGATAGAAGAATACAATATCATTTGGTCATTGCTCCGGAGAAGACTCTGGAAGAGGCCTTCTGATGCTCATGGTCGATACCCACACAAAGCAACCCACCAGTACCTCCTAAGCTGCGAGGTGGATGTCCGGGTTTCCAGAACTTCTCAGACACCTTTGCTCAGCCATGCCCCGTCCAACTCATGATCCATCCCAGCAATCGGCTCCAGAAACCCTCGGAAGGTCGTCCTGGTGACCTCCCAGTCCTTCTCGAAATCGTCCTGATCTTCGACGTCTTGCGCGTCGCACTTGGTAGCAGCACTGTCGACGCCGTTGTGGCACTTCTTCTCTTTGATATCCAAGGTCCATCTCATCCCAAAGCCCTTCGCGTTTCTGATCTCATAGACCGCTACCCCGTGATGCAAAAGCATGACGTTCTTCCACACAGCCTCGGCGAGCATCTGCTCCAGGATCTGCCTCGCAATCTCCGTCTTGTTGTCGTTGCTACCCCGGGGCAAAGTCCAGAAGGGATGAGCCCGACCATGCTCAGAGGATGCTCCTCCACGTTCGAAGTGCTTGCATAGTGCAACGGCACCAGAAGACATGCGCGTTTTCGGTCGGGGAGGGGCGTTGAATGTCTCGCGGAGGACTGAGTCCGGTGGAGGCAGGAGAAACAAAGTGCCTTTTGTTCTCACCAGGCCAGCCGCGCGGTAGGCCTGTTCGCGCCCCGGAGGGTCAGCCGACCAGGGGAGACGTAGCGTGGAATACATGCTGGCAGGTGTTATCTTGCCAGTGTTATGGCATGTCAAGGCGCGAAAAGATGAACACGCCTGGAGCATCTGGGGAACAAGGGCTTGTCGCCTCGCCTTGAGGATACATGCGCCATGATCGATGCTGTTGTGACTCGAAAGGAAACAGCTCCTGAGTCACCCTCTGCACGCTGTGGAAGGCCTGGGCATATACACCTGGGTGATGGCGAAGGCGCAGTTACTGTACTCCGTACGCAGTACCGTGGAGTGCAAATCACTCAAAGACAGATTCGGGTCCGGAGCAATGTGCTCCCGGCGTAAATACCCACCTCATTCAACGCCTTCTCGCCCTGCTTCCCACTTCCTGCTTCCTGCGGTCGTGACACAGTCGCTGCAAGATTCAAGTTGCGGTCTTTGACTCCTGATTAGCTGCAGTTCAGCTGTCCGAGGCCTTGTCCCCAACGGAGTTCACTCGCGGTCCTCAAACGCGGCTGCAGAGCCAGGTCAATGAGCTCACGATTTCTCGGCTGCTTGTTCACAAATCAATGTCTACGCGATTCCGAGGTACACGGGGCCAACATGGGCAACGAAATCAGGAATCTCTAGAGCTCTTGTGCCCCAGGAGTCCTCAAATATGTGTGAAATTCCCTTAGCTTGACCATTCTAGTCTCTTCGGCTCTATATCTATTCTATTTCGCCAGTCCCAGCCTCGGCCAGCACAATCAAGCATTCAAGATGTTGCCAGACCCAGTAACGGTGCAGATCCCCAGTTCCTATGAAGCCCTTCCGGTCAAGGATATCAAGGTGTCCCATTACCCCGAGGGTGCCGCGGAAGCCACTGCGGTCGTCTTGGTCACGCTAAATCGTCCGAAACAAGGAAATGCCTTCACGGTACAGATGATGCGCGACTTCGAATTGGTGTACCCAATGTTCGACCTCGATGAAAGGGTCAGATGTGTTGTGATTACCGGCGCAGGCAAGTTCTTCTGTGCCGGAGCGGATCTCGACATTGGCTTTCCAAGTGGAGGTGATCGGGAGAGATTGGTGGATCACCGGGATTCGTAGGCATAGCTACACCAGTCCCGGACGGTTGGTTCTGACATTTGGCAGTGGCGGCCGTCTCAATCTCTGCATCTATCGTTGTCGCAAGCCCACTATTGTCGCTCTCAATGGTTCGGCTGTTGGTCTCGGGATGACCTTGGGTTTGTCGGCAGCCATCCGGATTGCTCACGCATCGTCGAAATACGGCTTTGTCTTCGCCAGGCGTGGAATCACCATGGAATCCAATTCCTCGTTCTTTCTGCCGAGACTAATTGGCCACAGTAACGCTCTATATCTCCTCACAACGGGCGATACATACAGGGGCGACTCGAAGCATTTCGGAAGCTTGTTCCAAGAGGTCCTCGAGGATCAGGCAGGAGTGTTGAAGAGAGCCTTGGAGCTCGCAACCACCATTGCCGAAAAGACGAGCGTGCTAGCTGGCTTTATGAACCGAGAACTGATGTGGAGAGGCAAACCAACGGCTGAAGAAACACACTTACTTGACAGTGCAGTGCTTTACCACATGTTTGCCAACCCAGATTGCAAGGAAGGCGTACAGAGCTTTCTTGAAAAGCGATCGGCGAAATTCTCCGCTACACTCGAGCACGACGGACCTCCGCTGTATCCTTGGTTTGCGGAGGTGGATACAGGATCAAGGCCGAGGGCCAAAGCGCCAGCCAAAACGAAGCTATGAGAACAGGGAGCTATTGGCGCCGGGGGAGAAGGGCATGGCCACGAGTACACTATAGCTTCGCCCGAGATTGTAGTTCGTTCCACTTCTTCAAGGCTTCTTGCTCCCGTCTCCTTGCATGGTTCCGCATTGTCTCGATAGCGCTCGAAACCTCGTCGTCGGTGAGTTTACTCAGGTGTTCAAAGTCAAGTTCGTTCGGTTCGGGCGGGTTCGAGAAAGCCTTTACCCAGACGGCTTCACTCGACGTTGGGCCCGCGTCACCGACAACATCCATGATGAACTTTGCCTGTCGCTGGTAACAATCCTGGCCTTTTGGGCTAGTAGGAAAGATCATCGCAAAACAGTGAGGCATTCCTTCATAGCCGACGAAGTGCACCGCTCCACCTCCCTGGTGCATCCTGCGAGCGAGAATGGTGATCTCATCCTCTAAACCTTCATTGCCCAAGCACAGCCAAGCAGGTGGCATTCCCTTCCACAACTCCGGGTGTGCGGCCAGCGGCGAGACGAGCGGATGTGCCACCATGGAAGCGTTGCAGAAAATCTCGGCTCGAGGAGGCCTCGCCGGCCACAGATCATCTGGCAGCGGATCCGACTTGGATATCCCTTCAGCAGTCGGCGGATCCAGGTAGTCAAACTGAGCATTTTTGTTGATTGAAGGCATCGACCGCGAGATGTCTGCCCAACACGAGTTGAGCGCCACGCCGGCAGGAAGCTCAATAGAAACATCGACGCCATGAAACTTGATAGTACGTAGGCCGATTCTTTGTAGCGTCAACAGCAACTGCAGTAGAGCCACGGCGAGATTTCCGCCCGCAGAATCGCCTGCAAAGACAATAGATTTGGCAGGTACAGGTTCGTGAAAGGAGCGGTCAGGCGGAGATAGGAGAGACAGATACGCTATTAACCCGTCCAGCAGTTGAGCGGGAAAGGGGTTCTGAGGAGCGAGGCGATACCTCACAGAGTAGCCTCTTCCCCCAGTCAATCTTGCGAGATGGGCGACAGACTGTCTATGCGAACAAGGATCCATCAAAAAATAAGCTCCGCCGTGGAAATACAGGATCGTGGTCTCACTCGACACGCCTGCCATCAATACCCTGTACTGGTCCGCTTCAGGGAGGTCTGGCCTAGGCTCGTTCTTCGCGACGCCTTTGCGATAGCCAGTCCACTCAGCTTGCACGCTCACGATATCCGGCAGAGTGTATGTTTCGCTACCGTCGCCTAGCTCTTTAATGGCCCTAACAATAGCATCTCTTGGGCCGTCTTCGTCTATGGGAGGTGGAATTGTCACTTTCGCGATCGACACGGGACCTTTGATTCCGGGATCTTTCAGGGAAATATGTTGCAAATAACTCATTGTCTTTCTCACATTGAGAATGGATCGTAGGATAACCACAGTAACTTCGGTTTGTAAATCTTGCTTTGACGAGTTCGGCGATAGAGAGATTGTGTTCAAAATGGCCGTCGTGAGCAACAGTGGTAGACGCGGGACGAGGAGTTTAATGAGGGCTCTTGGTGATATATCCATGACTTAAACGAGTAAAGGCCACCTTGAGTCTAATGCACCCAATCCTGAAGGGCACCTCCGGTAAGAAGAGCAAAAAGGCCAGCGAAGAAGGGAGTATAATAGTCTACACAGGACATCCTTCTATGAGAGGATAAAATGGCAAGTTTGCAACAGCGCAGGTCGTGGAAGCGGTTGGGCTTGAAATGACAACGTCATAGACAGTGCGTGCTGCCTCGGTTGGTTGCACATTCCCTCACTTGGCTGAGGTTCTTTCACCTGCCCTTCATACGGCGTTCAGAATTGTGTCACTGTCCTCTCAGTTGTCACCCAGTTGTCCAAGAGAGCAATACCTGGTAAATTGGTCATCGATTGTCACAGGCCTTCCCTCTGATCCGAGTCTCCAGGATACAGTTACTACGGCGATTCTTTGCATGATCGCCGCCTATGCCCCATTGGCCCCTACTGGGTACCTCGACGATGACAAGCAGTTCCTGGCAATGTCCCCCACTACCCGTACCGAATAAGGTGGTTGTAGACAGTAGGACGATACTCGCCGATAGCCTGGAGCGCCTGTTGAGATTCGGACAGACACGGCGTCATTTTTTGTCCGAGCCGTCATTTATCCCTCACCCATCCCTCACTTGGGAGTGGCTCGTGACCAAAATAACCTCCACACGTACTTCCACAATACTCAATGTGTTCTCGCGAAGTCGTCGATCGTCATTCCGGAAGAGTCATCCACGAGAAAAGGGGTATCCAACTCCCTGGAAATGCTCGTGGCACGGGTGGACCTCCCCTGCTGCCTTCCGCTTCTGCCTGGCTTCTATCCCCGTTGACGGAAGATTGTCGATGGCTCTAAGCTGTTTCCAGTAGGGGCTGCCAGTGCGGAATAGCGAACAAGAGGCCCGCTATTTTTGGTAGTCGCCCTAGGGGTCTCGGGCTCTGGCTCCATCGCTAGAACAGACAAAGCTTTTTGACCTGTGCTGTTACTCAGTATCCCCCACCTCACGCCAGTGGACTGCCTATACTGGGTACAGGACTGTGTACGTGATGCTCTGGATCCGTGCTTGCTTTTTCCCTCATGCTGTGTACTCGTACGCAGTAGTGTTGTTGAAGACGTCTCGGCGGATACTCTCCCCCATACCACTGACAACCTTTACTGGGTACTGGATGATTTCTTTTGACAAGATGGGAAGGGCGTATTCTTGAACACCAGATATTCTCTCAAATTTTCCCATTGGATCTGGGCAGCGCCTCTGCGTCACATTCTCGTGTTCCCCAGGCCTTGGACCGCTCTGACTCCAGGCTGAAACGTTTCGTTGCATGCCGATCTGCTGCAGAAGCACGACGTCCAGGTTCGAGTATTCAGTGACTGGCAACATGCTTACCGCGTTTCTGCACACCAGGACACCCCACGGCCGTAACAGCCAGCGCGACCAGGGAGATGCCCGCAAACCCCAAGATTGCCCGAGTATGCCTTGCGCTTGGCCGACCATCCCCGACCCCATCCTCCCAGTCCTGTGGCATCGCTCAGGCCGATGGGTCTGCAACCCCTGTCGACTGGGTACGGCACTAATTGACGCTCGGTGGGCTGCCGACACAGACTTACAACATCCAAATGTGCTGGCGTTCCAGCAGTCCTGAGTTTGTGCACCTAATGTATTCCTGTATACCAAGATGACCTTGGACCAAAGCAACACAACCGACACAACCTCTCCCGACATCACCTCCATTGCTTCATGGGACTTGTCATCCGATCCGACGACCCCAGGAAGCAATGGCGCCGCGCGACGCGACAGCAAACACAAAACCCGGACACTTGCACCAAATCTTACGCGACGGTCGCATAAAAAGAGCCGCGGCGGCTGCTTCTCGTGTAAGCAGAGGAAGATCAAGTGTAACGAAACAAAGCCCGCGTGTGGAAGCTGCTTGATGAAGGGACTCACTTGCGTCTACCCGACCGAGCCAGCGCCACGGAAATCGAGCAATCTGCCGTTGATGAAGCGCAATCCCAACAGTTCACCGTCTTTTCCAGCTGCGACCTTCTCGATCCTGGATATGAGATTCTTCCACCACTTCCTCACAATCGCCTACCCACATTTGCCCGTAGACAACGACCATGTCTGGGTCCACGATATTCCCCAATTCGCCGAGCAGCACGAATATCTCATGCACGCCTTGCTCTCGTTGGGCGCGTCGCACCTCAGCCGCCTCACCGGTGTGGATTATCGACGAGAGTCCCTCATCCACCGCGGCCATGCCATCGCAGGACTCAATCAAGCACTCAGCCAGACCGCGCGCACGTACGGCGAGTCCGACGCCATGCTCGCTTCTTGTTATGCGCTTACCTTTCAAGCCTCATACATGGGCGATGGTCTCGCTGACTTCATCACTATGGTACGAGGTTGCGCCTTGACTACCGAAAAAATCAAACAAGAACATGCCCCGACAGCGTTCAACCTGCAACCGGATTGGCACTTCAAGTACATGGCGCCACGGCTGCAGAATTTGCCACCGGTCGACCCCCGTCTCCTTGAGGATGCATATGATGGCCTGGAAAATATTCGACCCTTCCTGAGCGGCACTACCGAGATTGATTTCCATGCCGCGCTGGTCGACGTGATTACCTCTCTCCAGGCATCGCCGGCCTCAGGCTACCTACAATTCATCGGCGTGTACGGCGTTTGGTACGAACTGTGCCACGATGCGTTCAAGACATTCCTTGACCCGAACAACCTTGTCGCGCAACTCCTCCTTGCATACTTCGTGGGCCTCCAGTTACTGATGGTCCCGCTGGCCGCTCATGAATGGCCTCACCGCGCAGATGTGAGTCGAGTTCGTGTCTTGCAAGGTTCAGTCGAGTGGGCCCAGGGGATCTTTGAGAGACTTGAAGATTCGGAATGGTCCAACCATCTCGACTGGCCCAGGACTGTTATCGCCGCAGTCATTGCCGAGATCAATGGCGAAGTACTTCATCTGCCACCAGTGCTGCAGCTTCACTTAGCAGCACAGGACATCACTCCTGAGACGACCATGCTAGAGTTGGAGCCTATATGAGACTGACCAGAAGCTTGATGGGCTTAACGAGCGGTTCGACGATTGAACAGCAAGACGAAGCTTCATAATGTTATCCATGACTCGACGCGATTTGCGATCCTATCACAACATGGGATTGCGGCTCACAGATTGACGACGAAATACGGCGCCAGTGTTCCAACATTTCGCGATATCTCCAACTTGTACCAGAGCTTCGTGGGGCTCTGAGACGCTGCTCCTACGGGCTTGTGACTTTCCGTCGCACGCGACTGCCACGAGCGGATCTACGAAGCATGCCCAATGGACGACGATTACTGCGAGGCCATTGCCCCAGATCACAGTCCCAGGGTACGGACGCCGAGTCCGGAGCTCCAATCGCAACTTCTTGACAAGAGTAGGACTGTCCCTTTCGTTCTGAATCTCGGATAAATCGAGTGGTGTGACGAAGATGGGCGTTGTTCCCAAAACCATTTCCCGGAAAATCTCCACTGGTGTGTGATACTTCTTGACTGCTGGACGCATTCGCTCTTGAATTGATGCTGGAAACTCAAGGGAAGTCTCAAGGACGACGATCAGTTGGTCACAGTGGTCTAGGCGGGAGTGTTTGCGATAAGAAATCCTCATATCTCAATTTTTTTTTTTTCCACATTTCGGCATCGCTTCCAGCTCACGCCATTGACCAGCTTCGTCAAATGTTCCACAGCGGCACGTTCTCGTTGGTCGTGATTCTCATGATGGTGCCTCCTCCCGACCCCTATGTCGTCTCCATTGTCAAAAAGGCATATGACCTTGCCCTCTCCCCCGCCGAGATCCTCAGTCGGCCCAGTCGCAATAAGCAACGCCCATCCAAAGTCCGCGTCTTTTACCTTTACTATATACCCATCAAGTCCTTCGGCTTGTCCATTACGCCACTGCGCCTCCCTTGTTCATCCCACTGACCTTGCCCGACCGGCTGGGGTGCGCGTAGGTATCTTGCATGGCAAACTCGGCGCTTGACTTCTGCTGCTGCATCCATCTCACAGGGTGATAGAAGGCCAAGACGCTCAAGGCGACAAACATGGGGACCGCCTCGAAGACATACAGACACCACTCGTGCTTGAACAGATATCCGTCCACGCCCATGGCGAACTCGACGACCCGGTAGATGGAGCGGACCTGCAACGCGTCAGTGAGTTAGCCGCTATACGGTTCAAACCAAGAGCGGAAGGTAGCTAGGGGCGAGAGAAGAGCGAAAGGGCGGGACAGGCAAGCAGGCAAGGGGGACGAGAGGGACGAGAGAAGAGCGAAAGGGCAGGATAGGCAGGGAGGCACGAGCTCGAGAGGGACGAGAGGGGAGAGACCAACCTGGACGAAAAACCCGGCCAGCCAGACTCCAAACACGACCTTCCTGACGGACGGATCCAAGCCTGCCTCTTTGGTCCTCGCGGCCCGCCGGCCAAACATCCACAGCACGGCCAAAAAGACAGTAAACGTCGCGAGCTGCAGACACAGGCCCACCAGCAGCACGTTGGTGCCCACCGTCTTGAGGTTACCTTCCCAATTCCCCGAACTGGCTATGCCGGAGCCAGAGCACTGCGTCAAAAAGGAGAAGACGTCCGAGGTGATGAAGATGCGGCCGATCCAGCGTGGCGAGATACCGAGGAAGATCTGTAAATCACCTCCAGAGGGCAGGCTCCAGCGGATCAGGCGCGTGAGCAGGAGGTAGAGTGTCGCGCAGACGAAGATCGGGGAGATGACAATGTAGCTCGCGCTCACGGCGTACAGGGGGATGGACGACACGTTGTTGATGCTGGCGATGCGCACGGCCCAACCTGCCGTGGATATCACGCAGGCCACGAACAGAGGGATCGTGTATTTGTGTTTTTGCCCACCAGCGGCGTGGCGCCTGGTCGAGATGAAGTTGATGTATCCGTGCCAAAGGGCCAAGGTGGCGTACAGCACGGAGAAGACCACGGCCGCGGCCGTGGAGGGGGAGTAGAAGTACAGGTTGAGGTCGAGGTCGTCCGAGGACGAGTCATTGGAGGATGATGTCGAGTTGGACATGGCGTAGGATGGTGTGATATAAGTGTAAGGTTTGTGTGCTCGAGGAGGTACTGCTGCTGTTGTTGCTGCTGCCGCGGATGGTGGTGATGACAGTGGTTGTTGTGTTGTCGTTGTGGATACTGCTATAGTGCCCTTGTATGACCAATGAAACTCACACTTCGTTCAAAGTGATATGGTATGAATTGAGATGAGATGAGATGGGATGGATAGCGAATTGCAAAGGGATGAGGATGACCACTGAAGACAGATGTCCCTCCAACCAGACACATAGGGATTCAAACCCCCTTTTATATACACATTACCTTGCTTGCTCTCTCCGCAGGAGCAATCCCCAGCGCCAAGGCTAGTGATATCCAGAGGCTTGCGTGGTACGACCTCTTCCCTTCGACTGCAGCAATCTCGCATGTTGGTCGTTGACGTCTTGTTACAATGTGCCGATTCCTCGTATCCAGAATATAACCCGACTTGGAAACCCCAGTGGATCTTTCCTCCCGGGTATCGTATTCTGAGATCTACCTGATCGGGTAGATAGCCAGGGGCCGTCACGCACATGCTTTCGTATTCGGATTGTGGTCGAATAGGCGTGGGAATGAGAGTGGGAATGAGAGTGAGGGTGAGTGTGTTTCCACTCGCGAGGCTGGGCAGGGGCAGGGCAGGGCTGTGCTTAGGGTGTTGGAACCAGGGCATAGGCACACGCCGCATGCATGCGTTTCATATTGTACGCATGAGTACTCTTACTCGTACTCCGAATGCGTGAAGCGTGAAGAGTGAGTATGGGAGTTTCCTTGCGGGGCTGTGGACCGAGTACGAGTAGTGTGCGTTATGTGTCGGGTGTTAGGTACTGTATGTATCGTTCGTGTGTGCCTTGCCGAGCGATCCTTCACGGCGAGGCGATCAGTGGATACTTGCGCGCGTACAAGCGAGACGCACTCCCAAACGGGGAGCCATACGCAGAGCAGAGCATAGAATGCCAACGCATGGCAGAGCATGGGCGGAGCAGGGTATGGCCGGGAAGGGCAGAGCACCATCACCGCCAAGGCCAGGCAATACCCATTTCCGAGCCAGCGATAGGTCTGAGATGCGAGAGACGGAGAGACGGGAGACGAGAGGCGAGATGGGCCAGGGACGCCACAGCCTAAGGAAGTCGAAGTCGTCAAAGCTACCACCGGCTATCGACCTAAACAATTACACAGTAGTACAAGCTGATAGTGTCCTCGCCTTCGCGATGACTTCTCGATGTGGAAGAGGGCCATTGAGCATCACAGTAATTACTTTCCCATGCCCTCGCGGTGCCTTCTCAATGCGGAAAGGAGGAACGCATTGAATCTGGTTCATAGCCTAGCCACCGAGTATTCGGACTGCGCCTGAGTAGCTGGTGCTCGTGCTCGTACTTGCTCGTTCGTAGTCAATCGACTGGGAGGGCAGAGGAGAGGAGGCTATCCACGTATCAGAAAGGAAGCAAGCCATCATCGTGTCGAGACAGGCAGGATCTGTAATTATGCCAGGCAGCATGATTTTTACGTTTCCAAAAATTAAGGCAGGCGTTTGAGACGGTCGAAGTCCTCGTACCGAAAACCACGCCAGGAGATCTGGAGATTGACGGGGTTGAACATCAGACGTCAGAGGACGCAGGTAATTTGCCAATCAGTCAGCGGACAGGCAGACTGCTCGTATTCGGGTTGTGCAAGGCTGGGCGGTATGCGTGGCGTGCCTAGTACAGAGGACTATACGCTCAATAGGAAACGTGATAATTGGGATACAAGTACTGACTACCTAGGTCACTATGTACTAAGTACCTAAGTATGCAGGTATGTAGGTATGTAGTTGGCCAGTGACTGGCCGCGGACTTTGGCCGAGGTCAGATCATCACCTCGCCGTTGTTGGGGAGAGTGAATGCACGAGCGCAGACCCATCAATGCGCGATCTCACGGTGATCTGTTGAACACGCAGTCTACGCATCACAATCGGCGCAGTGGTCGTCGGACACAGGGTATTGTGTAGTACGGTATGATGAAGCAAGACTGCCGCGATCCATAGACAAGTTAGGCGAGCCCAGCGAAGGCGAGCAGCGCTTGTCGAGGATGTGATGCACCTGTGTTGAATACTCGTACAACGGGTTCGAGTCGCAAGTGTCAATATCATTCATATTTCGTGGTATACATAAGTCTGAATGCAAGATGCTTTCTAATGCCTGCAGATAATCCTCTATCCGTAGACCAAAGCTCGGACCTCAATGCTCTCGCGACCCTTGGCCCCTTCCGGAGTTCTGGGATCAATAAAGGCAGTATGAGGCACACGCTGGCCAACTCCCTCTTTGCTGTCGTAGCACTTCAAGAACAACCTCTCGTCATTGTCCATGCCCGACCAGTAATAAAAGGTTTGCTTCGGCTTATACCGTACAGCAGCAGTTTCACCCGTTCGGTGAGGATATCGGTGTTCGACGGGCACCAAGTCGTGGTCGTCAACGGTATCGGCTGAAGCAAACCCCAAAGGATGTGCTTGGACGATGCCGTTGATAGGTCGCCACACGTTGATGATCCGGTATCTGCCCTTCAGAAGCTCGTCCGCCTCTTCCGGGTTATGAAGCTTGACGCGCCATTCCGTCGATCGTGCCGTCTGGTCGACGTGTACCCTTGTGACTGGCGCACGAGGAGCATCGGGGTTTGACCGTCGAATGGTGTGGTCGAATATGGTGACTTTGTGGGCGCCAGGCACTTGTTCCAGCAGCAGTTTCTCCACTTCAGGATAATAAACCTTCTTGATGTGCTCGTCATCGACGAACTCCGTCTCTTCTGAAGGAATGCCCTTGATAGCTTGAAAGGCGTCCTTGTCAAGCCAGAACTCGTTTTCTCGGTCGCGGATATCGTTCATCTGAACTTCGACTACCGTCTCGCCAAAGTTCCGTTGCGGTTGACCTGCAGGTGGCTTCTCGACGTAGTTGTGTGGTTTGGAGCCATCTTCGGGGTCTTTGAAGAAGTTCAACTTGGTCTTCACCGGTCCTCGAGGAACGTATGACGAGTCTTGCGAGCCCGAGAGGGTGGTCGAGACGGAGGTCTGAGTTGTGGTGGCAGACATGATAGCGATGGCGACGATGCTCAATGTGTGCGACAGGATGATGGATGATCGCTCAACGGGTCAAGTCGCGGTCGCAGTCGCAGTCCTTATATGCGCGGCGCACTGAGCACGCAATGTCGTTTAGTATTAGAAATCCAGTCGCAGTCAAACGTCATTGCCGAACCGAGGAATCGCCGCTTTACCCCATGAATCTTTGCGCGCATCTCCCCGCATTGCCCTTCAGGCTGTGGGCTGTCATTACTCATCCGAGTCATCTTGAAAACTGCGTCCTGAGTTAGCAATAATCTCGGGTGGCGTACGCGCCCTTTCAACAATTCTAATCATCGCGCGTGCTGTTGTCCAATAGGCTGGATGGTTGGGTGAAAAATGAAACGAGACGTAGGCTGGACCCCGCCGCTTTTGATATCCTGCTTTACAGCTCGCCTTCTTCACTCCCGTAATCGACCTTCTCTGCATCATCAATATCATTGATCGCATTCGACGTCGACTCCGCTCGTCCCGTTGATTGGGCTGGACCTTCATTGGTGGGTGGACCAAGAGGGACACGGCGGACCGCTCTCGCGTGCTCATTGCTCTCACTCCCACCGTAAATCCCATTGTCTCGACTCTCGGGACGACTAGCAGGTTGACCTTTGTCTGGCTGACCGTTGCTATATGTCGAAGGGGGGTTGTTCCAATTGGAGGCCCCAGAAGAATGGCGCCTCGAGGAGCTACTTTGGTATGAAGGTTGCGACGGTTGTGCCGAAGGTCGTCGAACTAGGTTGGGTTGCGGTACGCGGCTCGACGACGCGTTAATGATCTCGTCAATCCGTTTCTGTACGTCGTCACCCGAAACTGCAGATTCGTTTGGGGGCCGGCCATCCGCCGGATGTGGCGGCACTCGTTGTGAAGATCGTTGCGAGTGGCTGGGGTTGTCCTCTGTCGAATCTCGTCGCATTCTTTTGGGTGAAGGAGCCGAGTGATAATCGCCACCCGGTCGCTCAGAAGGCACGCTCGCACCCCATTCTCCAGACTGTTGGTCATCAGCTACATCTCTGTCACGCTTGACCCCTTGACTGCCGCTTCTCGCGCTCACAGTGGGCGACTGATCAGCTTGGGGTGTGGCGGGGTGCCGTGTTCTGTCGAACATGGCGAGATCGTCGTCCTTGGTGTATGCATCTTTTTGGCCTTGACGTGGTAACGCTGGGTTTTCGTAGACCTCGGCCATCAAGTTACAACCTCGCTGGATCTCGTGGATGTCAAGGCCCAGTTGCTCCCACCAGGGTCTTCCTCTCTCGTCATCAGGGAGCGCGATGCCTGCAAACTTGACTCCCATGTATAACGCGCTCCCGGCAATTGTGGAAGGTGTTAGTTGTAGGCACATGGTGGTGACAAGAGAATCGTTCAAGAAGGCCCAGGACGTATTTCGCAACTGCTTGTTTGCTTGGACATCGTAGTAACGGAGAAAATCGAGGAGGAGGCGGTATGGCTGTTCGAGCTGCAGATCGAAACACAGGGCCTCGAGCAGAAGGTCTTCGTTATGCAGGATCGTGTCTCGCCATTTCCAGTATTCCTTGCTCTGGTCGTCTATCACCAGGTTTGGCGACTTCTGGGCGACTCGACAGCATGCAACCACCAGCTCTTTCATCTTGCGGTAATTCTCCTCCACCTTGGTAGCCAGAAAGATGGCAGTTGCCGCGACGGAGTAGTGGTGAAGGCCTGGTTTGTTGTTCTGCACCATGGCGTGACGCATGAAGAAGCGGTGCAGATAGACCGAGGCCGTCGCCAGGGTCAGCTGAGGCAGCTTCAACATAATGCCCACCTGGGTGATGAAATTGACTCCCTTCTGTCTATTGGCCAGCTCTTGTGCAACCGGCATTCCGTCAAGAATGCTGGGGGTTAGCAGGAGCTCTTGCGGCGTGAACAGCCACTGGGACTGGGTTCTTCCCAAGACGGCATTCTTGGAGAAGGACGGCGACGCATCGTGGCGTGTTGTTTCTTGAAAGGAGGGCATCACGGGTATTTCGAACGGCTCAGATGAGTGTGAAGTGAATCGGACCGGATGAACGTGCGAGGCGCGCAACCGGACTCGGTTTACGGGTCAAATTGCGTAGGCAACATCGGACCTGAATTCGAGGTTCGGCTGGATTCGGGAGCATACAACCAGCTGATCGCGTGTAGGCCGACAGTGAGGTTCCGCGAGAGACCGAGGAGCGAGGGAGGTGGCCGATGGGGAATGATGGATCATGCAATTTGGAAACACATTGCCAGAAGTCGATCCAGGCGCAAGGCTGGCAAGCGGGTCAGATAAGGCTGCGGCGACGGACAATCCTTCTTTGTGGCTTCTCTTGTGCGAGAATGCCACCCTTGCATGTGGCGACCGTCCACCTTCGCAGTGCTAACTACTTGGAATGGCTGCGTACACAGTAGATGCATGTGGCTTGCGCCATGATGCAGTTTGCATAGAGTTTGCATCTACTTCTATTCGAAGCACAAGGACATTCAATTACGAACATCGGCAGTCTGGTATGCCAGGCCATCAAAACCACACATTTACAGTCTGAATTTCTGGTATGCCACAAGTATTCATAATTAGCTATGCACAAGGTGCTCTTGACGACCTTCAGATCTCTGGCTGTGAGTCTCTCTGCGGTCTGATTCCATCGTTGAATGAGTCTTCGCACCATGCCCGGTCGTACAACTACTAATAAATGCAACCATCTTCTGCGGTCTACACACGTCGGACCCGAAGCCTTCACCTGCCGTCCGCTTGTGGTGTATTCTCATGTCCGAACTAGAAGATACAAGCAAACCCCCTGCAAGGTCCCGTACAAAAGGACATCGGACAAGATGGAAAAATGCGCAACGCGAATTCCGAGGGAGCGAGGTCGACTCGTCCGTAACGACCGCATCCCTGCTATTTCGATGATACGGGCTTAACAGTTTCCAGAAGCGGGTCCTGGGATTCCCGTTGATGCAGGCACACCTCGCGTACTACGAGGTATCGTTCTGGAAAGTCCATCTTCGGGCTAGCTTCACCGAGATTGGGATGGTTTCCGAAGGGCAGTTATGCTGCAGGTTGACGCGAGAAAGACTGCGAGAAGGCACGGTCGCTTCGGATTGAGGAACGTTTACTGGGGTACAAGACTCGGTTAACTTGTGATTATGAACCTCGGTCGAGGGCCAAGGTCCCTGGAATGATAAGGAGCCCCTGATGGCTATCCAGTACTGGGGTTAGTAGTACAACCAAGTCCTGGCGAACCTGGTAATCGTCGGCCATACTCCTGCAGTGAACGCCCCCAGCAACTACAGTACCTAGGTATTTTACTTATGCCCGCTTTAGGTAAGGCAAGCCCAATGACGTGGGCGCTACTGTAAGCGCTACTTTGCATGTACGGAGTACTGTAGCTCGGCATGTCCATCGCCGTTGGCACCCTTTTGTGATCAAGCAGCTCCACCACCCACATACTCAGGATTCTTACATGGGGTATGCTCCTGCGACGTAACGGGGTCGTCGGTCGTGCGCTCCCTCGTCCGATGGCGCGGACGACTGTGAACGGCCGCAGCGACCTGCACAATCCTAGAGCAGCACAACGACTACGTACCTCGTACACCGTCATGGAGACGGCTGCGCTCAATCCGAATTTGGAGCTACGTGGTCCTTCAACACGTAACTCGTACGAAGAACTGTGGATTAACTCGGCTAACAAGATACAGGGATCAATAGCCGTGGTAAACAACCTTCGAAGCTTCTCTGGCCCTAGCGCTTCGACACCCTACCGCCTTACACCTCACATTCTTCGCTTTCTATCTCACCTCGACCTTCTGTGACTGCCTGAGCTCTGCTTCCGAAGCTCTCCGCAATCATTGCGCTTTCCACGTTTTGCCCGATTGCTCGTGTTCACCCACGACGCTACCTCGCCTCATTCCAACGCCGCTGGGTGGATGTGGCTGCCACCTTTGCTATCAGCCGCTCGGGATAACCTTCGCCTTGCGCAATACCGTCTAGAACTCTGACGATCGTTCACATGCAGTCCTACGTTAGTCGAGGCTCCCGGCACGCTATGTCTCCTCAAGTCAGGCGTCGCCAGGTGAGTCTCCGGCCCAGTGAGGACGACTCGACCTCCAACCCTCCGCAAGGTAAACCAGCAGGACGGGCTGGATTGCAGATATTGAGGAGGGCATAACCATCCAGGCGCATGCACTAGTGGCGCTCGCCGGTTCAAATCCCTCTTGACCGGCTAGCCATGGCACCTTGTCCGGGCACCGCGACCAGGTCTCCCTTCTGATCCCGTCCTCCGGCTAGCTAACGTGATATACAACTCGCCTTGGCCCCGTCCAGCGGCGAAGTCGATCTTAAGCACATTGTTGACTGACCCTTCAAGCTCCAAGCTGGTATGAGAGAAATAATCTTAGGTGGGTGCATCGGCTGCTATGGCATACGCGCTGCGCGAGTTGCTGACCTGCAGCAAGACCTTGAAGCATATAAGCATACCAGAAGTCTCGTTTCAAGGCAGACATAGCCGCAAAGCAGCGTCAATCCGCTAGTCACAGCTACCTACAGGCGAGTCCCTTACCGAAGCGCGGCGACACACTGCAGCTCTCCGGGGTCCCAGATGCCAATAACGTCGACAATCGATGTATCAGCAGCGACCTAAACTCAATCAGGAGAAAGCCACACATCCGCCGTACCCCTGCTCCTGCGGTTTCTGGATGCCAGACACCTGCACCGTCCATAGACTGACGCCATCCTCCGCTGAATGTCCTAGTTTGATCGGCATTGTTGTTTCGAAGCATCAGGGTGCAGGGGTCTGCCGCGCGGAAAGGTCTATCAGATCAGCCCTGTATTTTACCTAATCTGAGTACGAGTCGACTGTGCACACCTCATCAGTAACTGCCCAGTGATTCGGATTAGCCAACAGCGGGTCATGCCACCAAAAGTAAGACGATCAAAATCTCCCGACTCCCGGTACTTGTTCGTCAATGAAGACGCTTCAACGGTGACCCGGACCACGAAGGACGTCGAACTAGACAGAACGAAACAGAGCCATGTACAACGCCAGAATTTCGCCCGCAAGCGCCGTCTGCGAGAGCAATCCGATCCCGCGCCGCATGCATGCAGTCAAAGCTCGATCCCTCCCAGTCCGATAGTGGCTGCGCCGGCAAGTTTGTTACCTCAAGAAGGGTCACTTGGCAACGCAAACTACTTCGACATCCTACAGAACGTTGATCTCGGAGACCCGTTATTCCAGTCAACAAGCCCTCCGTCCATCTCGCAAAGTCATCTGGATCCTCTGCTCTCGGCTCTCCTCTCCGACCCCTTCGCTGCCACGCCAAAATCGCCTCCCACCACCTCACACACAGGTAGTCCCTATGGAGCCTCGCAGCCATATCGTCCAGGTCATTACTTCGACGTCCCGCCGTCAGGCTATAACATATCTCAACCCTTGAGAAACCCAGGCGAGGTCACAAGCCCACCAACGCCATTGGCCAGAGTCTCGAGCGTCCCGACCAGCACTCATCGTGCACTAGAACAATGGGCACCTCCTCTGATACAGCACTACAATACTGTTATCCTTCCTGAAAAGTTCTGGAAAGATACGCAAAAAGTCCCTCTAGCTCAATTCCGGCATGCTGCTCTGATACATGACGACATGCGGGCATGTATGGCGGAACCGGCTCACATGTACGCACTGCTAGCCACTGCAGCCGCTCAAATGATTGCTCGGGAAGGCAGACTCCTGTTATCCAATGTGTCGGAGGGAGATACGCAAAGGGTACCTACATTCTTCAAGACAAAGGCCGTCCAAGCCCTTCGCGCCAAACTAGGTAGCGGACAGCTCGACCACCACACCGCCGTGGACACCCACCGGCTCTATGCTGCATGCATACATGCGAACAATGACGAAGCGGCCGAGCCTCATTTTCAAGCCTTCATATTGATGGTCGAAGCGCTCGGTGGTTTGAGCACTTTTGACGACTATCAACTGGAAAGATTTTACATTCTAGATTTTACTGCCGCGCTGCACCACCTCGGGATTCCTCGTCTAATCATGACCCTGGATCCAGGTCCACCACCAGAGGAGATATTGTCGCCAGTCGTGTCACAGAGCCCACGTCAGTTCCCATCTGGCTCGATGCTGGAGGCATTTTTGGAGACCTATCCTCAATGCGTTGTCCTTTCAGAGAGCATTATGGAGCTAGTGGAAGTGGCCAGAGTATCAGCCTGCTTGAACAGCTCCCCTCATTATTTTGAGCAATACTACCGATGGTTCAGCTGGCGGACTCTGATCATTCTACACAAATTACTCTCAATGCCTCTTCACTGTGAGGTGGACGAGAAGACTGACAGCGTGAGGATCACGGCAGCTTTCTGGGTGGCCATTCTTCGCTCACCAGCGGTAGGTCGCCGGACAGCATCCAGATCGGTCTCCATCTTACATGCGAAGCTGCAAAGCACAGATCTCGGCACATTGTGGCATCCGCGCACTGATTGTCTGCTTTGGATCTCCGTCTTCGGCGGTATCTGTTGCGCGGAAGAGGAGGAACTTGACTGGTTTGTACACCTTGCAAGGACTGTGGCTACCGAGATCGGCCTGAGAAATGCGAGGGAGTTGGAAGACCTTTTGATGGCACTTCTTTACGACCCGCATTCTCAGAAGGGTCTCGTCCTGGAGTTTGCCGCCAGGATTTGGCCTAGCAGATGATTGCACAAATGACTGCAGGGGAGCTGGGTTAGACCATAAACGGTTTTTCGGCCAACAAATACCACTCCTTCACGGCAGATGCTTGGAGTTCGCGGCCACAGAGAGATGTATCGAGTGAAATGCAGTGGACGCTATGGCAAGAAATGGCTCTTCAAGAGGCAGCATCCTGCGAGGCGAGGATTTGATCCTCGTGTGTTGACTTTGATGTCAGGCCGCTGTGGCTGCCGGTGTTGCAACCCATCCATTGCGCGTAGATGATATTCGGTGAAATTATCATGAGCATCCGATCACTGAGGACGCTGTATCGACTGCTTCCAGAGGACAGCCGAATATGCATCAGGACAGGCATGTTGTCAGCTGGAGGGCCACAGATCCAGCACTGGCTTCAGTTCCAGGCGGACTGAGTCGACGACGCAGCACAGATCCTCCTCTCTATGGAGAAGTATAGATATCTTTACGACTCTCCATGGCTCAGCAACCCTCAGGTCGAGCACCATTTGTAGCGTTTCTTACCTGGCTCAACTGTGATTCCTCCTGTCCCTGGAGACTTGTGAAGCTGTTAATATCCAGGTCGTCATGCTGTCATCAATCATATGACGATGTACAATGATCATGCTGGCGAGGTGGCTGGGTCTCTACAGATACCCACCGATTTTACATTTGCAACCTGAGACGAGAGGCATCGTTGGATGCACAGCCATCGCCGTGTCTGTAAGGCTCTCCAATCATACATAACCCCGTCAGCATGGATCGTGAGGCAAGCAGTCTCGGGCATTGGAGCCCTTACACCTCGGATTTAAGGAAGCCACTTCCAGAGACGGGATTTCGTTGTAGCAAGCTGTCAATCCGAAAGAGCTCGAAGCTTCAGCCTCGCAAGGGAACGCCACGTGGGATCTAAGCCATGCCATTGGCACCGGTAGAAACGGCTTCGTCCACGGCAAGATCTCAGCTTGGCATCAAGACGGGGAGACCGGCGAATCATTCAATTAGGTAAGATTTTGGCCATTTGGCGAAATTTTTCAATCCGTTTCGTCATTCGAAGCAAAGCATCTGGCCGTCTCGTCCTTGTCCGACCAAGTCCTGCCTTCTCCGGACGGTGAGGATGACAACATTGGTAATGGAAAGGCTCCTTCGGGGATGAGCTGGGGAGATTCTTCGTCCGAGGGTTTCAACGCCACCTGTTTGAAGAAAACCATCATTCATGCCAATTCGGATCTATTCTTCGATGGAGAGTCCCCTTGTTCGTTCTTCATTTCATCTCACCACCGCCCGTCGATCTTGTCTGCTACGACCACACAGCTGACAGACCTACGCCGACATAGCTGATGACAGCCTTCGACTATGAACCGAAGGAAGGCATTCCATTCCAAGATGATGCACCGACAACGGTAACCACAACCACGTCTTCGTCCTCTTCGGGCGAGCACAACACATTCCTAGACCTGGACGTGATAGAATGGCTACCCGACGACCCGGAAAACCCATACAACTGGTCCGCCTCGAAGAAATGGACCATCACGGCCGTGGCCATCATGGCCACCTTCACCACCATCCTGAACGGCACCATGATCACAGTCGCCCATGCAGCCATCAACGATGAGTTTCACGTCAGCGACGACGAATTCCCGCATTCATACTGGCCGGTCACGAGCTGGGCACTCGGTGGGGCGCTGTCTGGTCTGGTCATCCTGCCTCTCATGGAAGACTTCGGCGTCCGGCCGGCCTTTCTGACAACATACGTGGTGTTCATCCTGTTCATCATCCCGCAAGCGGTGGCCGAAAACTTTGCGACGCTGATCGTGTCGCGGTTCTTCAGCGGCGGCTGTGTGTCGGTCCTGAGCAACACCGCGGCCGCGCTGATCGGGAACATTTGGGAAGGCGACCGCGCAAGGACCATCCCCATGTCGCTGTTCGTCACGCTCTATCTCGCAGGGAGCAGCATGGGCCCCGTCATCGCCGGCATCATCTTCCAGACCCTCGGCTGGCGCTGGATCTCGTACATGCAAATCATCTGGTACGCGGCGCTGTTCCCCATCTACGTCTTCTTCTTCCAGGAGAGCCGCGGCACCATCATCCTGCACCGCCGAGCCGTCAAGCGTCGCCGCGAAGAAGGTCACGGTCATAGTCACACCAGCAGCGGAACACACGCCACCACTACTACCACGGGGCCCTCTACAACGAGCGCGAGCCTGGCCCGCAAACTCGCGCGCAGCACGCAACGGCCGCTGCGCATGCTCTTCACCGAACCCGTGCTCTTCACCTTTACGCTCTGGTCGGCCTTTATGGTCGGCACCGTGTACCTGTTCACGCAATCCGTCGAGCAGGTCTTTTCTTCCCTGTACGCCTGGACGGCCAGCCAAGCCGGCTACGTGCAGGCGGCCATCGTGGTGGGCGAGTGCGTGGGCTGGACGGGCGTCCTGGTCTCGGCCCGGCTGTACTTCAACTCGGCCTCGCGCAACGTCGAAGTGCCCGGAACGCCCGTGCCCGAGGCGCGCCTGTACGTCAGCGTCGTGGGCAGCTTCGTCGGCGTCGCCGGCGGCATGTTCGTCTACGGCTGGACCGCCTGGCCTTCCGTTCCCTGGATCGCGCCCGCCGTCGGCCTCGCCATGGTCGGGTATGGCGTCGAGGTCGTCGTGTTGGCCATCGCCGACTACGTCGTCGACGCCTACGCCATGTACGCGGGCAGTGCGGTCGCCGCCGTCGTGCTGGGCGAGAATTTGTTCTCGGCCTTTCTCCCGCTCGCCGCCCAGGCCATGTACTCGCGCCTGGGCCCGCGGTGGGCGAGTTCCCTGTTGGGATTCCTGGCCTTGGGGCTGAGTTTCGCGCCCGTCGCCATCTTGTTGTGGGGGTCCAGACTGAGGCAGCGGAGTCCGTTCATGAAGGAGGCCATGGTCGAGAAGAGGAGGAACGTGCAGGCGACTACGCAGTCTGTGCCTGTGCAGATCGCGAGGGTGAGTTCGAATGGTGGTGGTGTTGTGTAGTAGATAGATCCCGATCTCGGTCTCGGCGTCGGTCTGAGTCTCGCTATCATATGGCATCCGTGGTCCTGGACGGATGAAAGGAGGCAGACCAGCAGAACAGCAGAACAGCAGAGTGGCGTCACGACCTGTGTACAGGTGTACGTGTGTCATTGGAATCTGTCTTCCTATATCTGATACACATCCGCATCCGCATCCGCCTCGACGGACAGGTCACCAGCCCCGTGTGGCGGCCCTCTTCGCCGTACAGTTCAGGCGTGTTCTTCGTCACTTGTTGTGAGGGTGACGTATCACGGTAGTAATCTTCATCTTAAAAAACAAACGACATATGCAAAGTTGTATGTCGCCCATAGGTTCTATCCTATATAAGATATCCTATTCCCTCCCTTCGTCATGAGTCTCCTGGGTTGAATTCAGGTCATATCTATCCGCATAGTGCTTTTTGAGAACACAATTTCGCCAACGCTATGATTACTTGTGCCCGCAAAATGAAGCGTGCCTAACTGCTACGTCGGCGCATTCTGGCGCTTTCTCGTGGCAGAATCCCCTTCTCTTGCGTCTTTCCGTCTGTAAACATTATATTCAAGCGTTCAACTTCTTTGCCCTTTGCCTTCAGGTCATAAATGCGGCACGGCCAGACTCGCTAGTATCAAGTTCAAGATGCTCACGACGCCCTCCCCAAGAATCAAGCCACTCGCAAGGACAATGACCCTAGTCTCACCCCGCCCAAGCCATTGCATCCACCACAGAGATATAATGCCGCCAGCAGTCCTCGCCAATGTGAAGCTCGGGGTATTGTACATCCCCACGGCAACGGCAATGCCGCCCGGGATGAACGGATGGAGCTTTCCACACCACGGTTTCGAGTCCTGGTATGCGAGCAGGACGATTCGCAAAGTGGTGGTGAGGACAAAAACCGCGCCGAAGAGGAGTGCAAACTGCCATGCCATTGGCGGTAAGCCCTTGCCCGTGACAAGCCTGGCGGTAAATATCCAAACATACGCGGTCGGGATCTGGAATAAATCACCCGGAATGGGGTAGACGTGGACGTAGAGCTTGTAGACGGCTGCGGAGACGAACGCACCCACCACGCTGCCGATGAGTTGGCCATAGAATTGGGCCTTGGGTGAAGCGCCAATGAGATGCCCAGCTTTCAGGTCTTGCAGAATGTCGCCGGCCTGGAGAGCTCCAGCTTCACTGACAGCACCGGCCAGTAGATTGATGATGATGGCATGGTTTTGGTGGCGCCCTGCCGGTGTGATCAGAGCAAAGACGAGCTGCGTGAGTTTGGAGATGCCGCTGACTGGGTTCAAGTCTGTTTCGCCTAGGGCGCGGACACCCATTATGGAAAGGAGCAGAGCAAGAATAATGGCAAGGATGTTAAGGCTGATAGGAATGTAAGTACCGAAGGTGATGTGGATGCATACCACGCATATGATGAGCGTGAGGGGTAGGAGGATTGCAACGGTGCGGTTGGAGACGAGGTGGTGCGGTGGTGCGTCGTCTGGGGGTTCGTCCGAAGGTGTTCGTGTTGCTTTCGTGGTAGATGGTGATTGACTGACGCTTGGAGTTGTGGCCAGTGCAATATAGCCGGTTACTTGCTTACCCAGCAGGAGTTCATACCACGAGGAGCTGTTGCTGTAATGCTCTTTGGCAGCTTGGACCCAGTCGGGCCCGTATCGGATGGTTGGACGCAGGATCAGCCAGCCAAGGTTGACTATGGCGTCCGCCAACATGATTGCAAGACTGACCCATACAATCCAGCCTTTGCTGCCGGACTCCCAATCATCCACTGGCCCGGCGGCCCAGCCCTTATTTTTTGCCAGAGGACTCAAGATTGCCCATCCTACAATGGCACCGAGCAGCATGTGGAAAGTGGTGGCAGGGCCCATGATGATGCCCTGCCCGACATATGCTGGTGACGGATTGAGAGTCCATTCCCAGGTGTTGGCCAGATAGGTGCCGAATATGGGCAATTTGTGCAGGATCGGGAGGAAATACTGAAGAAGCGTATAGGCACCAGATCCGAGGAACGCGATGAGAAGAAGCCGAATCTGCCTTTTCCAGTCAGCCCGAAGGTCCTGTTCCGCAGCTTGACCTGGTTGATTGTCGCGATCGCTCTCTCTCAAGAGTTCTTCACGCTCTTCTGTGCCCCGAGTTTCAATTTCTCTGTCTTTACCTTCGTTGCTCTGGGCGCCACCGTGTAGGACGCTGATCATCAAGGCGGTTGCCGTGCCGCTAGGGAACTTGAGTCGTTCACGAATGATGACTTGCTTGCGAAGTGGGACACCAAAGACGACCCCAAACAGGCACAGGCCGACCCCCCAAACGACCAGCCGCCATAGGCTCAAGTCGATGGGTGCGCCTTCACTCTTCTTGAGCAGAAATTGCAGACTGGGCATGACTCCGACAAAGCCCAAGCCCAACGGCATCGTGCCCACCGCTCCCGCGACCGTCTGAACCAGCACATTCTCCACAGGCGTGAACGGAAGCACTAAATATCGAGACAAGGTCTTGAAAATAGCGAAGCCAATCAAGGAAGCCGGCATCGCCATGCCAGACACCCAACCGGTCTGTAAGCCAAAATATGTGTTCGAAAAGCATATTATTATCCCAATCGCACAGCCCACCGCCACACCTCGGAACGTGAAATTGGTCCCATCCAGGGCCGAGTCATTGGCACCTGGGGTAGCGTAGCAGGCGTGGTCGGACCGCACGCGAGCGACATCGAGGTGCTGGGTGGGCTGCGGGTGCAGTTCGTGGTCTTCGACGTCGGATGGGGAGAGGGACGGGGAGGGCGACGGGGAACGCAGGCCCCTGTCGGGGGCCATTCTGAGATACTGGATACACAGGCACACACGGTCTTAGCACGCCAATGTCGACGGTCTCGCGGCATCGAAACCATGGATGAAGATGTGATGCTGACGAACGTGCGAGCCAGTGAGATCACCCCACCAGTCACGTGTAATCAAGCCACCACCCGGCAGTGCCGGCACCTGACTGGTCGGATTGGCGCCACGAGCTGCATCATTGCGTCATGGACTCAAGGCGTTCTGGACCCCTTCGCGTGGCCTCTGGGCTTCTCTCTGGACCGGCCAGAAGCGGCCTGGATCCCATCGACAAATGCTGAATGCCGTGAAGCGAAAGTGAAAGATCGGTGATGACGCATTCTTGCCCGATTCACTGGGTTGACGGTTAAAAGCCAACATATACCCCCCAAGATTCGCCTCAACTTCCACGTGCCTCTCCTCCTTGACCATCCATCCTATTTGCATATTTTTCAAGACCCCTTTCGAGTATTGTTGTGCTCGCCACTCGCCTCTTAGTTACTGCCATCTTCAGTCGTAACCGCTTGTGGTCGCTATGCTGTGTCTCTCCCTCCAGAGGCAACGACCATGAGCCAAGTTGAGCCCCTAGATTTGTGGATATCCCTTTCGTGCTCAGTAGTGATAACAAATTCATGCTAGCGAGTATTGAGAGGTGCAAATAGACATGGCCAAAGAAGGCGCGCGAGAGCGCGAAATGCACAGGTATGCATCACAACAACACGTCGGACTCGGAACACAGGCATAACTCACCGTGTCCACTAGGTATTATCAGCCATGGCTCGAGACGTTCATGTCCACCGACTTTGAACCTGCCACGCTACTACCGCCGCCTGCGGGACAAGCAGATGGGCACCACCCTCGGTCATCGCGGGACAAGGCGCTGACCGCTTTTGCGCAATTGGGCTGCCTGCGGCTGAATGTCAAAAGATGCGTCGTCACGCTACTCGGCACTACCAAGCAATATATCATCGCCGAGGCCACCAAGACCCTGTCCCTGTTAGACGATGCACAGCATGGCGAAGGCGACGAACTGTGGTTTGGGAATTCTTTCATTGAACGAGAAGGTGGAATCTCGGCCGATGCCATGGACCCTGATCCGTACACCGCCCAAGACCCAGACGGCTCCACGTTCACCGCGCCGGCGTTGGTCGTCAGCGATATTGCTGCGCATGAGAGCTACAAAACCAGAGGTTATGCCGGTCATGGCGTGAATTTCTATTGTGGCGTACCCATCACCACGAATCATGGCCAAGTCATCGGAGTCTACACGGCCACCGACGACAAGCCGCGCGACAGCATCTCAGCTAACGAATTGCGTTTTCTCGTCGACATGTCTGCTATAGTCATGCAGCACCTAGAAACCGTGAGAAACGACCGTACCAGGAAGAGGGGAGAACGTCTCATTCACGGCATAGGGCGTTTTATCGAGGGAGATGTGGGCGAGGAAAGCGAAAGTCCAGACCCGGACGCCAGCTCCAACGAAACTAAGATGAATGCTACTTTGGATCGACCGACGCTTTCACACAACAACAAGTCACCTGAATTTCTGGGCATGGTCATCAAGGACGCAAATGAGCCGTCTGAAGAATCCAAGCGCACGAGCAGTCGCCCTCCGAACCGCCAGGGTGAGCCACTACGGCAGAAGTCCTCAGACCCAGGGCAGGGAAGCGACCTCGGCCAGCAGTCCAAATCATCATCGAACCCTCAAACAGCAGCGGCACGCAAAGAAAAGGTGATCAGGGATTCGCAGCACGTATTCGACCGTGCGGCAAACATACTCAGGCACTGCCTGGGTTCAGATGGCGTGATTTTCTTCAACGCAAGTTCCGCAAACCTGAGTTCAGGTTCTCGAATGGACACCTCTGGATCTGTGGCGAGAGTCCACCATTCCAAGTCGAAAGAGAACCCACTGTCCGCAAAGCATGACGGTGCAGAGGTCCAAGATCTGGAAGCGGATAAGCCGACTAACGACCAGTCATTGTCTAGTGACGATTCCGCTTCAACACGAGGCCAAAGCGATTCATCTTCTTCGCAGAAGAAAGGGCGGCAGAAGGGTGAAATTCTGGGCCTTGCTGTGCTTGATTCCACCAAGACAGTCAGCATTCCGGAGCAGGCTTTGCGCCGTCTGGTGCGACGTCATCCAAAGGGAAAATGCTTTACATTCGACCAATTTGGGAAGCCTGCATCAAGCGATGAGAGTTCCGACTCGATGTCTGCAAATGATGCCGCCAAGGACGCACACGACCATCCCAATGCTAACAGACATGTCTTTACAACAAGTACTCTGCTGAGAGCACTTCCAGGAGCGAGGACCATTATTTTCCTACCCCTATGGGATATTGCGAAGCAACGATGGCACTCTGGACTGGTAGTCTGGAGCAATGATGGAGGGAGTCTGACGAATGTCGAGGACAACATGATTTATCTGAAAGCATTCAGCAATGCGATTATGAACGAGGTCAACCGCATCGATCTCGCCCTCTCCGACACAGCGAAATCAACCTTCCTGGCAAACATTTCGCATGAGCTTCGTTCGCCACTACACGGTATCCTGGGCAGCATCGAATTCCTCCACGATACTGCCATGGATGATTTCCAGTCATCCATGGTTATAAGCGTTGAGACATGCGGAAAGACGTTGCTGGATACTGTCAACCATGTGCTTGATTACGCAAAGATCCACAATCTGTCGAGGGCTCACCGTCATGCCAAAGGACCCACACCAGGTTCTGAACATCCGGGCAGGCCTGAAACCAGTCTTACCGAAGATTTTGACCTTGCTATTGTGGTCGAAGAAGCCGTTGAAGCAGTCTACGCTGGTCAGGTCTTCCGTACTGCCAATGCTGACGCGTTGGAGGGCAAATCGCCAATCCAAACAGCAGCGAGCCGCGCTATGCAACAACGACAGGATAGAAGAGACAACATCAGCAAAGGCTCCGCTCAACGGAAGAGTCCTGTTCGTCTCACTCTGAATATTGATGACGACTTCAATTGGAGGGTCAGATCCCAGCCTGGCGCTGTCAGGCGGATCGTCATGAATATCCTGGGCAACGCATTGAAATACACGAGCAAGGGCAGCATCAATGTGTCGCTTGAAGTCGATCGCTCTCGCAGCAAGACTTCTTCAAATTTACACTTGGTGCTTCAGGTTTCTGACACGGGCCACGGCATGTCAGAAGACTTCATCAAGAACCATGCCTTCACTGCCTTCTCCCAGGAAGACTCGCTAGCCAGTGGCACGGGACTTGGTCTCAGCATTGTGCGGCAAATAGTTGACTCGCTTGGAGGGAAGATCGACCTGTCCAGTGAGAAAGACCTTGGTACCGACGTACGAATCTGGCTCAGCTTTCCAAAGAGTCGGAATGAAGCGGGCGCGGATTCGGACTCTCATATCCTCCCCGAGATGAGGGAGCGGACAACCGGCCTCGAAATCTGTATGCTCCTGCCCTACGACGAGAAGAGCACCGACAGTAGTACCCGCTCCCTTATCCCTATGCCCACGATCGAATCGTCATTGCGGAACTTGATTGACCAGTGGTTCCGCATGAAAGTAACCACTACCAAGACGATGGAGGGTCTCTCACCCGACTTCTTCATTTACCCTGAACCACCACCTATCGACTATCTGATGGACTTTCATGGGAAGCCTAATTCAGATTTCGAGATCCCAGTGATCATCCTGTGTACCAATGCCTTCGAAGCAGCATCATTGAGGTCCAATGGAGTGCATTACCTAACAGATATTGGTAGAGTCATCGAAGTGATTGCTCAACCATGCGGTCCTCAAAAACTGGCGAAAGTACTTCACCGCTGCATGCAACGGTTGCGCATACTGAAAGAAGAGAAGGGGAAAAAGAAATTCAGTCAGAACGTCTCCCTAACATTTAAAAAGAATCAATCCAAAACCGATTGCTCACCAACGCGAGATCACACCAGTTCCGACCAGTCCAGAGACTCCGGCGATGCAGAAGACCACAGTCTTCCGGCGCCAGACCCTACCCCGGGCAGTCCTGGCCGGGACTTAAAACGTGCTGATCTGTCAGGGTCCCCCTCCGAGAACCAGTCCCGGTCAAGACGGCCATCCTCGACGAACACGGGTACAATAGACGAGCCAGGGTCGATGGACGCGGCAGCAGCCGCAGATGGTGAAGCCATACCTCCTACGCTCGAATCCGATAGGCCGCGCGTGCTTGTCGTCGACGACAATCAGATCAACCTGCACCTCCTGGTCACTTTCGTGCGTAGATCCGGGCACCCTCACGACTCTGCCACCAACGGTCTCGAAGCAGTGCAGACGTACAAGAAATCCGTCCAAGAAGACGGTGGCAAACGCGCGTTCAAGTACATCCTCATGGATATCTCGATGCCCGTGATGGACGGTATGTCTGCCACGAAAGAGATCCGCAAGTTTGAAAAGGACCAGGGCATCAAGACGCCAGCAAAGGTTATCGCCCTGACTGGTATGGGCAGTGATATTGCGCAGAACGAGGCTCGGCACGCGGGCTTTGATCAGTTTCTGAGCAAGCCGGTAAAGTTCAAAGATTTGGTCAAGTTGCTTGTTTGAATCGAGGTCGGGCATGTGTTCCGACAGCAATGCGTTCTTGCATGAGATGACTCCTGTATTCTGAGGAGGTCTGTATGTGATACCCCCCTTTTTTAGGCATTTCCGTGGGCGCTGGCATGGCATGGCGTGGCGTGGCATGGCATGTTAGGCGCATTGGACCAGCGTGAGGGCTTGACTTCTTGACCTCTTGACTGCTTGATTGCTTTTGACTTGACTGCATGACAAGACTTGAGAGATGCCGGGCAACGAAACATGAAGCGTAGCCTGGCGAACTCTGGCCCCAAAGACAATAGAACCTATACGAAGTATTTGTATCAGTATCGATCTCGGCATTGGCACTCGCTTTTTCGGTAGAAGTGGCCTAACCGTACTGTATATTATTGCCTTACCGGCGTGTTTTAAGACTGAGGTGGAGTGTGTTGTGTTCGGCCGAGGATCCTCCGGTCTTCTACTCTGCGCTGTGAGGAATGGTAGACCCTGTATGTAGGCAGGGTAAAATGACGACTCATAGATACATACGAAGGAAGGGAAAAGGTACTGTGTGGTGTGGTGACGGTTGATGGTACGAGGGTACGACGGATTGCCCTTCTCTAGCCACAGCCTATCCACTCTGCTGTGCTGCGCTGCACTGCGCTACGCTACGCTGTGCTGTACATTGTATACACGTATGCTGTACTCCGTATCTACGGAGTACATAGAAAGCCACATATAGAGCCGGGGAGCCAGAGCCCGCTTCACAGGTCTATTGACACAAATTACTGTCCTGTTTCTGGATGTCCCACGACGTCTCGCCCCATGTATGCCATACCAGTGTTATCGCACCCCAAGTTCCCCAGCGTCTCGAAAATTTTGCAGTCCGCCTCCCGTTGCACCCTATCCCTCGCCCGGCTCCGGATACCGCGTGTCCTGTACTGTGTGCTCTGTACAATGGGGAAACCGCCAGCCTGCAAATGAAGTGAAGTGTACCTGAGAAAAAGGATCGCCGAAGGCCAATGTCTATTGTTGCTGGTGTCAAGTGACAAGTATGTTTTTCAAGAGGGCGAATAGGCAGGAAAGGAATACTGGGTATCTTGCACTTTAAACGCGTACAAAGGCCTGCAATGGGTCGGAAAAGGCACCAGGAAATGAATTTGTTTGTTTGTTGTACACAAAGGTCGTTATACCTCCCAGAAGTATGGGTCGTAGAGGTTGCTGCGAGCAATCGGAATAGAAAGACTGGAATGGAAGGAGGCAAAGCATGCGGAACGGAGAACAAGACCCGTCTCAAGTAGACCAAAGAGTCGTTGTCCGGCGTGTTGAAGCGATGAAGCTGGGACTGGGAAAGTCTTGCCTGGCCTTGGTGTACAATTCGAGGATCTAGAGCCTAGGCCTAGAGATGATAGAATCGCTCGCTTTGTGGTTACGGTGGACTTGAGGATTTATTGTTCCAGGAGGTGTCCAGGTTGGTATTCCAGTCTCAGTGGTCCCAGTGGTTTGCCCAGAGATATGACCAGCATCCCGTCGTGGAAGCTAACCTGGCGAGTCTCGAGGCGGAAGATATCCAGAGTTGCGGCCAAGGAGGGTGGTCCGACCCGATGCAAGTGATCTCGGATGCTAGCTGGATTGAATCAATCATCAGGTATGTCACTTTCCGCAGCACCACACATATTGCAGGTGATCGAATTTGGTCCGTTCCATATCAAGTCGTGACACGCTTAATCCACAACCCGGTTGGCTGCTCGTAGAAATCATCCTTGTCCCTCCGTTTCTGCACGCGGTGCAATTTTAACTGCACATCATGCTCCTCGTTCTTGATGTCTTGCATCTCCATCTGCAAGTTCGTGATCATTTTGTCGACCTCCTTGCGTTTTCTCGCGTCATAGACGATCGCGTTCTTTATGAGTGATTCTTGCAATTCATGAATAATCTTGTTCAGGTTGCGCTTACGACGGGCTAGGTCGTCGAGGCGCGCCTGAAGCGATCCTAGTTTGTCGGCGGCTTCGCTGGCTTGTAGCTCGACAGGCGTGGGTGGAAGGGATTTCGTCGTCGAAAGATGAGACATCAGCGAGACGGCACGAGGTTTCCCGTTGCGGTCATGACTTGAGTTATCGCCACCAACGGCTTTGCGAAGAATGTTTGTCGAGGACTTCCGAGCAGAGATGTTGGAGAAGGGAGAAATGCCACCATAGTTGTCGAAGCTTCTCTGACCGCTGTTATTAGCCGCGACTCGTTTTCGAAGAATGATTGGCATCGGATCGCCTGGGTACGAGTGCTGTGCCATTGGAGGAGGGCTGCTGGTGAATACGTCTCGTGCTATTGGACTTGACGGAATGTGGTGGCCACCGGCGTCGACCGTGCTGGTAGCATAAGTGTTCCAACTTGAGCCGGTGTCGGCTTCGCGTTGTAACGGCTTCGCTTGCAGCGTCGTTTCTACTGAGTCCTCACTAGAACGTGCTTCTGGCTCAACGAATGACGGTGCGTTTGAGCCTAGCGTGGGACTGTCCGCTCCGTAGTCATGGATTGTGCTCGGCGCTGGGCTGGCAGCAGATTCAACAATTGGCGGAGGTGGACCGGGACTCTGGAACGGGCTGTCGAGGTGTAGCTGGGCATATTCCTGCTGTTTGGGGGACAGTGCTGGAGGCGACACGGCTTGTGGTATCTTTCGCGTTTTCAGAGGTGCTACTGGCTTGAGGCTTTCTTCTGACCCAACATTCCTGACCGTCGGTAGTTGCGAAGCAGCGACAGAAAGTGAATTGATAGGAGATCTGGGTGTCTTGCTTGGCGATAGAGATTCTTCCGGCGCTGGGCTTTCTGTCTCTCTTTCGGTCTGCTTTTGACGCTCTACTAGCGGCAATGGTTTGGTTCGAGCTTCGGGTGTATTCTTTACAGGCTCGACGATTGCGTGTCGACCACTAGCTCCTCTCCATGGAGGCCGCTGCGGCGGATTGTCTAAAGGATCCGCTGCGGCTGGCAGGGGATTTCTGGTCCAAGCCGAGTTCTTGACTGCCTCTCTGTCCTTTAAGCCGGCCAATATCTGCCGTGTTCGCTCTTTCAGCTGAGGGTATTGTTGCGATTCGAGCGTCGGAACCACGCCAGGGCGAGCAGAGGGCGGCTTGCCCGCCTGACTCGGTTCGCCTGAGTACTCATCCCACCGGGTTTCTTCGTTGCCGTCTTTCTGTAAATTCCATCGTTTCTTGACGCCTTCTTCGGGCGATTTCTGGGACAGCTTCCGGGGTATCTGGCTTCTGAAGGTCTTATCGGGGTGTGTGGGAGTTTGGAATGTGGGTTCGACAGGGGACACCAGGGATGCATCGGAGCCGTTGGGGTGCAACGAGGTCTGGCTGCTCAAGGGCGACACACTAGCTTGAGAGATCTGATGGTTGTGGTCCGGCTGGACAGAGGAGTTCTCGTCGATGGGCGCCTCTGAATAGATCGATTCGCGCGGATCCATGGGCGGTACGACCCGGCTGTGCAGCAGTGGTCAGCAGTCATCTGGGACAATTGCGGAAAGGGCAGAGCATACAATGGGAGTTCTGGAAGAGCAGTGGCCGCAACACTACTGCGGCGACTGTACAAAGACTCGACTTCATGTATTGTCTCCAAGTATCTTTCATCCATTGTTGGCTCGTCCGGATATGGATAGGACTGGTAGCCCATCTGGTAGTCTGGAATGTTGTTTCGTCGCCACATGTTTGCGCTTGGACTCAAGAGTGCGTGGTGAACGGGGTTGAAGCTTTGCGACACTCGGACAAACGGTTCGTCATATCAAGGACAACTGCAGGAGAAAGCGGTCAGGGTGAGGAATATGCTGTCTTCTTTGTGCGTGCTCCTAAGTGTCAAACCCGAACAGGTGTTTGCTTGCAGCGACGTTGACGACGACAGGGGGTCGGTCTTGTTGTTCGGGACTCAGAATGGCAGCCCAAGGGGCCGCCGATTGGCGGACAAGGCGTCAATCACTAACCGGACTGGCAATAAACCTGAAACAATCTCGACTCGGTTTTATATTGAAGGAGCATCTCACGAGAGACACAGCCTCACGGTCTCTGGCTGTTGGCAGTCCTTTGCGATAATGGCAGTAATAGCAGCGGAATGTCCCTGAGCTACAGTACATTCATGTGGTGTCTGTTTACCAGTTACGCGCTGTTCAAACTCTATTGCCGGTGCTGTAACTGTGGGTTTGGGGCACGCCTGGACGGCACGCGTGGGCACGGAAAGGGGTACGCGGGGAAAGCCCCGTGCTGATAAGAGCCCAATTAGGCGTTAGCCTCAGCCTACATGCCCGATTAAGCGTCGACTACGCGGTGAGTCGGCAATCATTTCCGTCTCACGGTCGCTCACCTCACTCTGTCCTCACTCCACAGTCACAGTACGCAGTAGTCACCTGACAACTCTGCGACTCTGGCCTTTGCTGACAGCTTTACAATGTATCTTCATGTGTCTCCCAAACACTCTTGTGTCTGATCCCCTTGTGGCTTCAGGGCTGTCGAAACGCTCCTCCCTCAATCCTCGTGACCTCCATTGGCAGGCTTCTTTCGTCCTCCTTGGCAACCGATAGTTAAGAACGGCACCAGGAACAATGCCAGGAATGCCCCTGCTAAAGAGACCCAGAACGTCGCCTGATATGGCCGGTACCTCAGAGCTCCTGCTCCATCCGCGGACCCCCCAGCGGTATTATAAATGCTCGTTTGTATCCCCAGTCCGACAGTGGCCACGAGCCTGGTGACCGTATTGAACAGCCCTCCCGCAACTGACTGCTGCTCACTCGGCAGAGCGGACATGACGTACATGTTGGTGACAGTGAACTCCAAATCCTGCGAAAGTACGCTAAAAAGCAACGCTGGGAACGCCAGCGCCCAGAACGATATAGACGTGTGTATCGCACTGAGAAGAGCAGAAGCAATAACAGCACTGACTGCGCCGATAATCATGATCAGTCGATTTGAGATGCGATGCATGATCATGGCTGCCAGCACGTTGACGAGGATCCCCCCAATACCTGCCGGAAGAAGGTGCACCGCCACCATCAGAGGCGAAAGTCGGTTGATTCTCTGCCAAAGCAAAGTCAACCAGAACAGATTGCCAGCAAAGCCGTAAAAGCCGAGACACAGCACTGTCACGACAAGGGTGAAGTTTCGATCTTTCCAGACCCTCAACGGCATGAGTGGGTATCGAAAGACACTCTGCCAATAGATGAACCCTGCGACCAGCACGGTCCCAACCACGAGCAGGGCGATCACATACGGTGTCGCCCATCCCTTGGGTGCATCCCCAGCCAAAGTCAGCGAAGCCGTGAACATGGCGATCCCTCCGACGGCAAGAAATGCTCCGAGTAGGTCGAATTTGACGAATGTCTCCATGTTGAGTCCTCCCAGTGTTTGTTCGACGTCTGGAGGCGTCGTCCACCATGCGGCGAAGAAGAAGAATGCGTAGATCACAGCCATGACCCAGAATGCTGCTCGCCAGGAGGAGATCTGCATCGTCACACCGGAGATGAATGCACCCAATACGAAGCCCACCGGGTTGCCACCAGAAAAGCAGGCAAATGCTCGGTTCTTTCGTCGACTCGGTCTGTCGTATACCGCCCCTAGCTTGCCGATTGCTGGCGGGACGGAAGCCGCTGAGCTGAGACCGAGCAGGCCGCAGAATATATCCAGGAAGTATGCATTCGTGGCGAACCCCGTGATAAGCAAGCAAATGCTGAAGAATGCCAGACTCAGCAGGAATAGGAATCTTCTTCCAAACAAATCAGCCACTCGGCCGAAGAAGAGCAAGAAGGTCCCTGCTGCGAGCGTCTGGGCAGCATTAATCCAGGTGACTTCGGCGGCTGTCATGCCCAAGTCCTCGCCGATCGCATTGGTCATGCATAGTATTGCGCCTGTGAAGATGGAACTCTGCCCTACGGCGATCGTTGTGGTGAGGACGAAAAGGCATTCTTGAAAGAGGCTGCTAAAACAAGCGGGACGGCTCCCGTAAGGATCTGAGTCGACTTGTGTCAAAGAGGCTCCAAGAGACGTTGTGGGCTCGATAATCTCGAAGTCGGTACCTTGCCTACTGACTTCTGCATCGGCATAGTGAGGCGCCTCAACCTGGACTGGCTGCTTCTCCATTGCCACAGCACCAGCTTCCGGCACAAAATTTGGTCAATACATTCACTGTGGAAAGCGTGTGTGAGCAGACGATATTCTCGAGCGGCAGTCAATGATGGAGGTTCTACCGCGCTGTACAATCAATTCAAGGGACGAAAAGGAGACTAGCTGCCATGGAGTTCTGTGACTTGCGGTCGAAAGCACCGGCTAAAGTACCTAGCATGGAAGCTGGGGTAGCTGGCTGGTTCGAGCCCGGATGAGGCACCCTTGCTGCTTTGACTAAGCGCCAGGGACAATCGCGGATCTGCTTCCGCTTTCAATTGCAGCTGGTACTGATGGCGTCATCGTTCCAAACCAAAGGCTAACCGAACTGGATTTCGTGACGGACGGTTCTATGAACTAACTGTTCTCTGGACCGAATAAAGCCAACATCGAGCTTCTTACACTGCTCACTTTGATTCAGCTTCTGCCTGGACTATTGTTTATGTGCGGTTAGGCTGATCACACCTTTTACTTTTGTCTTGTCCTTCGAGCTGAATGGCAAGGGTAGCCTCATCTGTCTCCTCTTCTACAGGGCCAGGATTGAGGCTTTGCATACAGGCATAGGTTACTTCGCCCGCTCTCCGCATCCACCGCAGCTACGCCCACGACTTCAAATCGGCTTGCTGTCGACCGCGTCGAGCTTACATATTCCTTCCTCCCGTGACCTCGATGGTCTGCCCGTTCACATAGCTAAACAGGGGCGATACAACAGCCAGGATGGAGCTAGCGGCCTCCGTTGCCGTGCCAGGTCGTCCAAGCGGGATATCCTTATATGCAGCACCGGTGTCGTCTCCTTTTCGGTCGGCAATCTGCTTCCCTGGGATACCCAACGCCACACGCTGACCGTCGGCCGTTGTGATGAAAGCACCTGCTTCTTTGGCGCGGGTCAGGCGGGTATCGATGTGGCCGAAGGCAATCGTGTTGGCACGGACCCCGAACTACCCCACATGTCAGTGTTAATTCCCAGTTAACTGCAAGACTGTCAAGGGCGGGATTTTGACACATACCTGCGGGCCCCATTCCTTCGCGATCGTCTTCGTCAGTCCCAACACACCAGCCTTCGCCAGACTGTAGTTTGCCTGTCCCGCATTCCCATGTGTCCCGCTCGTACTTGAGATGTTGATGATGACTCTCTTTTCTCCGTCCTTCACCCTAAAATACTTGCTCGCTTCCCGAACCAACCTGAACGGTGCGGTGTTGTGGACAGCGAGGATGGTATCCCACTGCTTATCCGTAATCTTGTGAATGACACCGTCCCAGGTATACCCGGCGTTGTTCACTATGATGTGGATCTTTCCATTGCCAAACTGCGCGGCCTTTTGGACGAGGATGGGGAAGTATGCGGGATCGGTAACATCTCCAGGGACAGAGATTGCCCTCTGAGTGCCGGGAGAGGCATCATTGATGGACTTTGCAACGGCTTCCGACTTGGAGGCGTCAACGTCGCAGATCACCACTTTGGCGCCTTCGTTCGCGAAGAGTCGGGCGCATTCGGCGCCGATACCCTGGCCAGAGCCGGTGATCTGTTATATTCGTCAACGGACGTGGTCTTGATCAGTCGGAGGGAGGAAAGCATACAATGGCGACCTGGCCGTCTAGGAGACCACGAGGGTAGTTAAGATGCGACGCAATCTGCTGAGCTCTTTGCGCCATGTTGGGAGTCTGTATAAAACAAAGAGAGCAGACGACAAATTAAGAAGAGAGCATATACTTGTGTGATTATCCTAAGAGAGGGAAAAGTACGGGAACGAAACGACTGGTTGGTGTAATTGTAGAGCGCTGCTTCGGATAGCTGACCTTTTGCCGAGGTTTAACTTAATCGATTAGCCGCACTTCGGCCCACCGAGTCGACCGGTCGTCGTCTTCTGTGACTGTAAATGAACAGTATGGGGACAAGCAGTATCCGATCTGCTCCGGTGGAAGGAACTCGCCCCTTCACACCGAAGAGCAGCGCAGCTCAAGGACACCAAATGAGTTCCGGTTGCTGGAAAACACCCAAGGAAGGAAAAGTGGGACAATTTGTTCTCTCCTCTAACTCACCATTCCCTCACTGCCATGTTTAAATCATGTCACTACTGCCAACATCGAAAGAAGAAATGTGTTAGACCTGCGCAATCATCCGCCATCTCTGACAATCGGTGCTTGGCCTGCCAGCATCTTGATCTTCATTGCGAAATCGGCATCCGGAAAGCCAGTATCAAGCGTCAACGGAAATCCCAGCAGATCGCCTCCAAGCTCTATTCCAGATTGACGGCAGAGTCTGATCCCCTCTCGACTCGTCGAGGAGCACGATCAGACACAGCTGTCCAGCGCGTCAACAATGGCGACTGCCAACTGCTGGGACCTGAAACCGTCGCCAGCCCGACTAAGATCATTATCACCGACTATAACGCCGAGGTGCTTGACCGATTGGATCCAAGCGAGAAGTATCAGAGAATTGTACGACTCGAGTTTCCCTTCGTCCCAGATGATCTGCTCCGAGATGACGCCGCCCTGACATCGCCAGCGCTGAGCTACTGCATTGACTTGGCGGCCTCGCTGTCGCTTCAAAAGACGTGCTCTGGTCTTTCGGAAGTTGCCATGCAGAATTTGACTGCATTCCTGGAGAAGCAACATTTGGATACTGCTGAAGCTACCGGCCTCACGCTCCTGCTCCCCAGGATCCAGTTAGATCCTCGCCTGGCAGACAAGGTGAGTATCATTGTCCGTTCGAAGCCAGAGCTCATGCTTGAATATAGGCTTTTCGCGCTATTTGTGCGAGTGGCAATCCTTCAGACATACCTCTGCCCATTGCTGTTGCCACATTGACGGCACACACTTGGCTTAGCCTTGTGGCACAGACTCGCGCACCGTTAGACTTCTCTCCTTCTATACTGCTCGACTACAGTGCAGGCCTAGACCAAGCGACGTTCGCTCCGCATTACCTCAAACTCACTCACCTGGCGGCCTCCTTCCTCAACCTCCGAAATTCCACCAACCATGAAGCCATTGGCGGGGATCTCACCCAAGCTTGGGCAAGACTGGAATATTCGTGTCTTCTGAATGTGGCGCAGATGCCGTCGGAGTTTCTCGACGTTCGCGACGAAATGCCAGCTAGCCCTGCAGCCATTGTTACTCACATGCTACAGAGCCTTATCTACCTGCATCTTTATGGCCACGTCCTATGCAATAAGTCAGACCTGGGGCTCGCACTCGGGCTTCGTCCTGTCCCCGGAGTGCTGCACTTCATCTGTGCATGCTCACGCTCTATCTTTGTCTGCCAACCGCAGGTCGTGGAGCACTGGACACTTTTGCGCGACGTACAAGCTGCAGCCGCACAGATCATGCTGGATCTCTGGAATCTGACCAAGTTTGAAAATTGCCGAGCGCTGTTAAACCTATGGGAGCCGCCTCCCGGTCAATTCGAGAGCCTGCGGGGAGAAGTCAGAAAACAAATCGGCACCGGTCCGTGGGCCATTGAAGTCATTGATGGCTACTCCGTGTTCTGGACATTCCGGGATGTGCGGAGTCTAAGTCTGGAGGTACACATGCGTGCATCCGACGTCTAATTCATATCTATACCGCATCTGCGACGGCAACTCCCAGTTCGCTGTCCCCCTGGCCAAAGTAGAGGAGCCACTTGCCCTTGAACTGCACGAGGCCCTCGCAAAAGACCACCTGGTCGACCTGGCCAGCCTCCTCATTCCGTTGGTCGACTTCTACACATGGCCGCTCCAATCGCGCCAGGGGCCCGTCGTCCAGCCTTGCATAATCGACCAGCATCTGCCCGATAGAGTACTGGTTGTTCCTGAACCGTCCTCCTCCAGTCGTCGCCGCATTGTACACCAGAATCCACTTTCCGTCTTTCGTTCGGACCGGTGAAGGGCCCGGCTCCAGGAGACGATTCTCCCACCCATGCACACCGGTCGCGAACCATTCCTCAAACGGCCGGGTCTTCCAGTTGATCAAATCCTCGCTCTCTGCGCGATAGATGCAGGACTCTCCCCACAACATTGTGTATTTCCCGTCGGCGTTGCATTCTGGGAATATGGCCCCCGCCTTAGTAAAGCCCCGGCGGATGGATTGACGCCCCGACAGCGTCACCTCCACTTCATCCCAACCGGGGAACAGCGGCGGGCACTTCTCCCAGTGCAGTAGGTCCGTCGAGGTCGCGAGGCACAAGCGCGCCTTATCCGTATCGTAGGCGGTGTAGGTCATGTAGACGACGCCGTTGATGCGGACGACGCGCGGATCCTCGACCCCTCCGCCTTCTTCCCACGGTTCTGTCGGCGTCAGGACTGGACGGTCCAGCCGGGTGAAATTAACGCCGTCTTCCGACCATGCAAGCCCTATGGTGGACACTTTGGCCGCGTTCTGCGCCCGGTAGAGGAGAAAGACTCGCCCGTCGAGGACGATCGCCGTGGCATTATAGAGGTACGAGGACTCGAAGTCGTGTTTCGGATTAGGCGTCAAGATTGGATTCGCAGAATGTTTGCGGAACGGTCCAATGGAGAATGTGGGCGCAACGTAATCGGCGTCACCTTCCACAGAGTCCCGCGTAATAGTGGGAGCTGTTGTTGAGTAGGAAGGTGGTGATCCAGCCATGGTCGCGGTCTGAGGTTCAGGTTCAGCCACCAAAAGGAAAGACGAGGGAAACAGATTGATAAACAGCTTTTCGACTTCTTCTTGTGGCCTTCACTACTTATATACCGATCGAGGTCAAAAGCAGACGCAGGTACAGCACCCCACACCTACACAGTGGGTTTGTTTTATGTTTCTTCATGGCATCGTGTCGTGTCGTGTCGTGTCTTCGACTCGTTCACTGGGTCGATTACCAGAGTGCAGACACGCACTTCCACTCCGCGCGCTCTGCGCTATCTATGCGCCACTGTCGGACAAAACGTCGGGGATCATGCCTCCCGCTTCGATTGCACTGAGGACAGGGGTCGGATCGTACAAGCCTCAAATTACCTATACTGAGTATACTGATAGTGCCAGTCCACCATACGGGCTGAACACTCACTGACGGAAGATTGCCGGAGTGGGTGGGACTTCGCCACAGGTATCTCCAGGCGAGCGCCTACGAGTAATCCATACGAATAGTACTGGGGGTACTCCATTGTCGTCAGATTGATCGTCGGAAAACTACGAGACAGAACTCGCTAATGTAACGCCCAAGTGGGCCGTGGTGGTGCTCCATGGATGCGACGTCGGAGGCATGAGGCACGAGGCATGACAGGGACAGAATGGAGCAGGCTCATCACCTCGTCTCTCCGCACCAATGTCCCGCATTTTCCAACATGGGATTAACCATGTTACTGGGAGCGTGTGTGATAAACGTGGAGAGGACCATCTTGGGCGTCGGAAAAAACGTCGGATTTTACGAGTAGTCAAAGTTACGGAGGAAACTCCTCGTCCCTTGGGTGGCATTCCCGCATTCCCACCGCACCGAGTCAACGGTAGTGCTGAGGATCCCTGCGGCTACGGTACCAGTTCGTGGAAAAGGTGGCGGGCTTTTAATCCTTCGTACAGGAATACTCGTATTCCATCCGTACGTCTGTGACGGATATATATCGAGATGGTGCCTTCTGGTCGGATGAAGTTGCTGGTACAGTAGATTCCGCTGCCCCCTATTCAGCACTCACTTCTCCTTCCTGACTCTCTCCCTGGTTCCCTCGTTCCTTTCCACCTGGTCCTCCCCAGCATTCATCATGTCGGCTCTGGCAGCAGAGAAAACCGCGCAGCTCAGCCAAGTCAGTCATCCCGGCCACATCGACGATGTCTCGGTCTCGCAAGAGGTCGAGATGCTGCGCACACTCCGGGGCGTCGCTGCCGTGGAAGTCGCAGCGCGGCTGGAACCCCCCGTCCGGACGAGCAAGCGCATGCTCCAGCTCTATTTCATCTGCGGCTTCATGTTCCTCGGGTCGACGATGAACGGGTACGACGGCGCGCTGATGGGCAGTCTGCTGGCCCTGCCGTCGTTCCAGGACCAATTCGGCGCCACCATCCTGGGCATCAAGACGGGCATCATCTCCAGCATGCTGCAGATCGGGTCGGTGTCGGCGCTACCCAGCGTGGGACCCTGCGCTGATCTCTTCGGCCGTCGAGTCGGCATTGCGGTCGGGTGTGGCTTTGTCGTCATGGGCACGATCCTCCAGGGCACCTCCCACCACGTGAATCAATACATGGCGGGACGGTTCTTCATCGGGTTCGGGAGCACCATCGCAAACGCCATCTGCCCGTCGTATGTGGTGGAGTTTGCGCATCCGACGATGCGCGGCGTCATCACCGGCCTGTACAATACCTGCTATTACCTGGGGGCTATCCTGGCGGCGGCCGTGCTGCGAGGCTGTGTGCACTACGCTTCGGACAAGGCGTGGTTGATCCCGACGTGGTTGCAGATGGGATTCCCGGCCATCCTGTTGCTGGGGTGCTTGTTCTTCCCCGAATCGCCGCGCTGGCAATATTCGCATGGCAAGTTCGACGCCTGCAAGGCGTCTCTGATCAAATACCACGGCAACGACGACCCGGACTCCCTGTGGGTGAAGCTGCAGATGCGAGAGTTCGAGGAGGAGCTGGAGCTCGACGGCGCGGACAAGCGCTGGTGGGACTACCGCTCGTTGTTCAACTCTCGGGCCTCGTTGTACAGGGTGCTGTTGTGCGCGGTCGCAATCTCCGCCTTCTCCCAGTGGACCGGCCAGGCTGGCGTGTCGTACTTTTTACCGGGCATGCTCTCGACCAGCGGCATCACCGACACGACGACCATTCTCGACATCAACCTCGGCACCACCTTGAGTTCCGGCATTGCCGCCGTGTCGGGCGCCAGCCTGATGGATCGGTTCGGCCGGAGAAAAGTCCTCATCCCTTGTTGCGCAACACTCACGGGCATCTGGGCCATCATGGCGGCCTGTACGGGCGTGTACTACCAGGACGACAACGCCGCGGCGGCAAAAGCCTCCGTGGCTTTCATCTTCTTGATCGGCATGGTCTTCAGCTTTGCCTACACGCCTCTGCAGGCCTTGTATCCCGTCGAGACCCTGTCTTATGAGCAACGTGCAAAGGGCATGGCGCTGCAGAACATCGCGGGAAACGCAGCCGGCTTGGTCAACATGTTTGCCATCCCCGTGGCTCTGCAGCAAATCACCTGGAAGACCTACTTTGTGTTCATGGCCACGTGTGGCCTCGAGGCCGTGTACTACTGGTTCCTGATGGTAGAGACCAAGGGCCATACGTTGGAGGAGATGAATGCCATTTTCCGAGCCAAGAATCCCGTGCAAGCCAGTCTGGTCAGGAAAGACGAAGTGGAACAAGCAACGACGAAGGTCAAGGAGGTGGTAGAGCTGAAGGAGGTGGCATGATGATGCTTCGGGATAGAGTAGTTTCACCCTTGTCGGCTAGAGACGGGTGCCGTGCTCCAAGTGATATTGATAGTGGGATTGATACAGTACCTTTAGACGGTCAGCAGCTCATTCTCACTGTTCATTGGCATACCAGAGGCCCGTCGCCCTGTTCCAGCTCCTTTCGCATGATACGAGCCTTTCCGGGCCGTCTCACACCAATGAACGAAGCTCAACGTTTGAGTGATTCACTGACTGGTAAATCAGCATCACGTCAAAGCGAGCATGGAAGCGCCTGTCGAGGATTCGTGCCCTTTGATAGGCCAGACATGCGAGCTGAGGTCCAGGACCGACAAGGTGGTCGTCAACTGCATCTGGATTAGAAACGAGCGCGCCACATACTAGCACGATGGCTTCAAGTACCCATGCTCGGCACGGAGAATCAAAGCTGCCCAGTACATACGAAGTACACAGTAAGCATGTGAAGTCCGCTCAGTCAGCAAAGTCGATGACAGGTGGGAGTTGGCGAATGTTCCAATGCAGAAAGAAGAGAGAAGTGTGCCAGTAGATTTTTAGAGCCCATAAACAAGCCTGGACAGCTACGTCTTGGCTGCCCAACGGCGGCTCTTCGGGCGGTCGCTTAACTAGCTGAGTAGCTGACAAGTCTCTCCGCAGCACCGTGTACTGTAGGCGCCGCCGCGCCATCAAGTTAAGCTCAGTCAAGCTCGGCGCCCTTATCTAAGAAGGGAAACAAGGGACCAAACACGCCACGCTTGACAGGCTCAAAAATCCGAATACATCAACGTCATCTTCATTGTTCCCTTTTAAGCCGCGAGCTCCGCGCTTTCAGACTTCGGTCGAGTTTCTGGCTGCCATACCTGTGTACAATCGTTGGAAGATGGACAAGCGAGAATTCCCGCCTTTTCTAGCCACACGACTGTCTGCGCTTACGCCTCAGTGAAACGTCGCGAAAAATGCCGCCCAGGAACAGGCACTTCCATACGCGAGAGCCCTTTGAGGGCGACGACAGATTGACACTCCAGCGCGCCGAAGGGCCCTGTGGCTTCCTCAACCCGACGAGAGCACATTTTCAACACTCAGACCCGGCGTCATCGAAAACAATACCATCCGACCATATCGCCACGTCACACGACAGCGTCAACGGGCACAGAACCCCGAAGGAATTGGACGAGTCGAACGTCCCGGCCAAGGACATCCGGTTTCTATGGCGGTCGCGCGATAATCGCAAAGGTCGCCACCCGTTACTCGTCAGAAGGCCGCTCACCGGGGAGGAGGCCTCGTTCCTAACGCCGCGGCGGACGTCGCATCCTCGAGAGGTGCTGAAGACCGTCATCCGAACATTCACCTATTATCCCGTATGGGACATTTCCTGGCTGGTGGCCTTCATCTTCACATCGGGCAGCGTAATCTGGGTCATGAATGTACGGTTGGCCCGATCGATGCGGAATGTCGCTCATGCACTCATTGTTGACTGACTGACTGATCGACCATGGATAGGGCTTCTTCGTCTGGCTGCCCGTCGTGGCTCCCTCAACCGAGTTTGACGGCGAGATCTACTACGGCGGCGGCATCACGGCCTTCATCGGCGCAATCCTCTTCTTCGAAATCGGCTCCATCCTCCTGATCTTCGAGGCCGTCAACGCGAACAACACCGGCTGCTTCGGCTGGGCCGTCGAACAGCTCGTCGATGACGAAGGTGCCGCGGGCCGACAACGGCTCCGCATCGTCGCGAACCGCCACCACTGCCACCACCACCACCAGAACCGACACAACTTCGTGGGCAAACCCTCCCGGCTGACCGTCCCAGAAGCGATGCCTAGACCGGAACCGAGGTCGAAGTCTGAAACAAACCACGTGGACGTGGACACGAAGAAGCAATGGCGCTGGTTCGCATCCTGGCAAGACCTTCGCACTCACTATTTTCGCGAACTCGGCTTCCTGGCCGGCTGTGCCCAGCTCTTCGGCGCCACCGTGTTCGGCGTGTCGGGTATCACCGCCCTCCCCGGCATCATCGACCACCTCGAACCCCAGTGGAAGCTCAACGCCGCGTACTGGATCCCCCAGGTGATAGGCGGCAGTGGCTTCATCGTCAGCAGCACATTGTACATGCTCGAGACGCAGCAGAAGTGGTGGAAGCCGGCCCCGCATCTCCTCGGCTGGCATATCGCGGCTTGGAACTTGGTGGGCGCGCTGGGTTTCACGCTGTGTGGTGCCCTCGGTATGGCGTATAAGAATTCAGGAGCGCAATATGAGGCCGGGTTGGCCACTTTCTGGTGAGGAGAAATTCCTGCAGCCCTGGATCCCTGAATCCCTGAATCTCTTGTGCAACGTGGTATCGTGTTACTCGTTTCGCTGCGTTGTGCCTCTATTTATGAACTCCTCTGGGATACTTGTGCTAACGCGCTGCGGCATGTAGGGGGTCCTGGGCATTCTTGATCGGCAGCTACCTACAGCTATATGAGAGTCTGAACAAACATCCTGTGGAGGAAGTGTCGTCGGCGGAGCAGTTCGGAGCGAGACGATAGGATATTCGTGCGGCTAGTGTACAGCGTCCCGAGGGATGTTGTTCGTCCCATACACTGAAGTGAAGTACGTTGTGTACAGAAACCCGCAAAGGTATGCCCATAGAAGCGATGCGAAATGATGTGCCCACTTTCGATATTCCGGGTGAGGTATGCGCAACTCGTCGATAATATACGACCATGCCAGTCCTCCGGTCCATGCTGCGAAACCGCCAAGCAGTGCGGTAGTCGGCGGAGTTCTGACTTCGTGGCCGCAGATTGAGAGGGGTTTTCGCAGGTATACCATTCCTGTTATCCATGGCAGGAGAAGTAGAAGCGCCAGGACGCCGTTGAGGAGACGTAGTCTTGGTAGTCTAGGAGCTGGGGCTGGCTGTGTTTCCTTTATTTAATCAGTGATAAGCTCGAAAGAGAACTGTGGAAAGATTACAATTACCTGTGCATTTGCTTCCTGGTCCACGTCTGTAAGATTCATTTGTGTGAGCTGTTTCTCGCAGTCGTATGTCGGTTGCTTGCTATCGGAATGCTCGGGAATTATCGTCATTCTGAGAAGGAAAGAATAGTTATTCACAGAAAGCGAACGGTTCAAGGGGGGAGAATAAGGAAAGAAACGAGAGCAAAGTGCAGAGCGAACCTGTTTCAGCACCTGAGTTTTATTGTGAGCAGCAGCGCAGCTTCCGAGTTGTCGCTTCCGTCGCACTGAGCACCTTTACTTGTATCTTGGACGGGCTACAATACGAGTGGACGGAGTCTCCCATTGCGTACCATTGCAGCGCCCTTGAGGCTAGAGACTAGGTACCTTCTCCCGCTATCTGATGTCCCTTCCATCCACCAATCATACTCCCCTACCTGCGTCGCTTCCGCTTCACTACAGCCACAGAAGTGCGTGAATTTCGCTGAGAGGAAGTCACAGAGGACAATGAGACCCGACCGGAGGACCTAGGTCACGTAAATGAATCGTCTTGGCACTGAGTCACGCCTGGCAAAGCTACTCCGTCTCAAAACACGCACACTCGCAGTCTGCCCCGTTTTCCTTGGCTCGCTTTCCTCCGTCGCCGGACACCAGCTCTGATGCATCGTCCGTCGAGTCCCTCAGACGTTGGACGAAGGACGAAGCTTCTGTCCCTTCCGTCAAAGCCCTGTATGGTCTCACTATGGAGCAGTGTATAGAAATGCCACGGTGATTGCTGCCTCGGGGCGCCAAGGCAGCAGGAGAGGTTAGCCAGTAGGAGGGTAGACGAATCATCCACTTCATGCAGGACAGGGGGTTCTTCATTCCGTTTCGGGTATAGTCGGAATTCGGATAATTCGAAGTCTCCGTACCGATCACAGAACAGACCATCATACATCGTGAAAGCGGTGGACGAAGGGCTCGTCAAGCGACGTGTTGGCCCGCCCCGTCGGCGATGATCCCAGGCGGCGCGTTCGGCCGATGGAATGATGGATGCCTGTCGACGACCGCGGTTGCATGAATAACTACAAGATATATAGAGTAGCCGGACCCTGAAGACCTCATTTCTTCCACAACTTCCTCTTGAGCAAACGCCCCTTCTCTTCTTTGACTTCTTGTTCTTCTTCGTCACACTCCGAAGGCAGTTTCCAATCAGTTACCCATGGCTCCAGACACCCTCTCCCTCGCCGGGAAAGTCGCCATCGTCACGGGTTCGGGCAAGGAAAATGGCATCGGCTCCGGTATTGCCTATGCTCTTGCACGCAACGGTGCTTCAGTCGTGATCAATCATGTATCTGAGGCAACGGGACCCCGAGCAGCAGACGTAGTCAAGAAGATCGAAGCAGCTGGGGGTAAAGCTGCTGTCGTCCAGGCCGACGTCACCAATCCTGGAGGTGCTAGCACCCTGGTTGAGGGAGCGTTGAAGGCTTTTCAGGTGGAGAAGATTGATATCCTCGGTGTGTTGTCCATTATGCTTCAGACTGCACCTTGTTTGCGCCCATGAGCTGATACGTGGTGAAAAGTGAACAACGCCGGCGGAGGCGCAACAGGTCCGGCTTTGCAAGCCACAGAGGAGGACGTGCTACGAACGTTCGGGGTGAACGTGTTTGCGTCGCTGTATATGACGCAAGCGGTCATTCCACACATGCCTCGTGGCGGCCGCATCATCAACATTGGCTCGATCGCGTCCAAGATGGGGATGGCGCCGATACCGTTGTACAGTGCTTCTAAGGCTGCATCGGACACGTTGGCCTACACCATGGCCACAGAGGTATGTATCTTTCGCTGGAAGCCTTTTGCAGTTCCACTGCTGGTGTTTCTCCTCGAAGGGTCTGAGACGTAACACCTTTGCTGATCTGTGGTGCCAATAGCTTGGACGTGGTTACGGGGTCACAGTGAACACCGTCGCTCCTGGACCCGTGCCGACTGGTAAGAGACTCTCATGGATATTGAAACGAAACTGACATGGTAACATCGCAGACGGGCTGCCCAAGGGACCAGTGGCTGATGCTGTGCACAACTTCCTTCTCCCAATGACGAGGGCTGAAGAGCGAATGGGAACCGTAGAAGATATCGCTGACGCCGTCCTACTTCTTACTTCGGAGAAGAGTCGATGGATCACCGGCCAGTTCATCTCTGTTTCAGGAGGTATAACGGGAGGTTGAGTTGCAGCAGGATCAACGACTTTGCGTGAAAGAGTCGCCATAACAGTGGTCGCTCAGGCTGTATGAAGTGACGCAAACGGGTTGTTGAAGTGGGAAGCTTCTGGGGACATGGAAAGGGAGCGAGTAGCACAATCGAGCTCGGACTCGAGGCTTCGAGCCCCAGTGCCCATCAATGAATCAATCCAGACGAGCTGCTTTGCGCATGCAATGGCATCTTCGCCGGATTGAATCCCCATGTTCCCCATAGAAGTAGAAATGGCACTGATATAGACAATTCTCTGTTGCTCTGCTCGATCCATTGTTGCAACGATGACGGAGCACCACAGAAAAAGCTCCGGGAATGTCCCGTCGAAGCATATTGAGGCACTGACCATGAGCCGGAATCGCTCTAGGAGGGTGTGAAGTTCGTCCGAGACGAGCGAAAATGCTTTCTTCAACCTGGTCAACAAGATAAGTAGGGCAAGCCGTACCAGCTCAGGCGGCGCGATTTCCGGGATTACAGTGCTAGGAGCATCGAATTCGGGTGATCGCGGTAGTGATAGGAGAAGATGCATGATGGGCGTGATGCGTCTCGCTGCAGTTGCACCGTCTTTCCAGAATCGTGGATTATTCGCATTTTCGTTCACGAACGCAGCCAGCTGCGCAGAGGATTCAAGAGCAGTAGCTATCTTTTTATCTTGGTTCGAGCCACTTGAGAGTCGCAGGACGAGTCGCTGCAGCGCTATGGATAGCGTGCCGTCATGTGAGGTCGATGCGGTGGAGCTCCGAGGCAACGGGAAGAGCGGCTTCGTGTCAAAAATCGAGGATCCGAGCACATCGAACCTTCCACGAGTCAGATTCTGTCTTGTTGGCCACGAAACTTGCTCCGCCGGGTGATATTTACCAAGATACGAACATTGCGATAGTGCTGTCAAGACGCTGGAAGTCGCCACGAATCCGAAGGATGTTCTGCAGACCACCCATGTGCATAGCGTACCGGTCCCATCTGCCAATAGTACACTGCCATTCGTTATCAGATGTGTATATTTTGGGGCTCGGGCAAACCGACGTCGTGACAGAGAAATCCAAGCACCGTGGTAATGACACCTTCGCTGACGTTGTCGGGTTCTTGGTTAAGCCTATGCACGACTTGGTTGAGACACAGACTCAGATATTTCGAGGACTCTTCGAAGTCGCTGTATTCGCTGCCTTTGTTCATGGTCTTTTGGTTGAAGAATAACGCCGCGTTCGCTAATGAGAGGTAGAACGCGGTGCAGTCTACAACAGCCATTGCCCACCACTCGTTTCGGAACGGTCGGTAGAGGTAGTCGCCCTCAACATGCACTGGTGCCCGATGAGCCAAGGAGCAATAAAATTCATGCTGTACAGAAGCGTACTAAAATGGATCAGCTGCCGAGCTCTGGAATCCGTGTCGATGGGAAAGATGCTGAAGGGATGCAAGGCTCGAGGGACTTGTTCGCCCCATCGTGACCCTGGATCCTGAAGCATAGCCGAGTCCTGAGCCAGGTTATCCGTGCTTGGAACATCCCTGAGGTTGGGCTCAGGTGTCTTACAGATCAATGCCCAGGAGTGCGGACGCCTTCTGCGCGAATCGGCAACTCTTCTCATAACATGATATCGAATTGCTTTCTGGGTATTTTCCAGCTTGGACTCTTCTGGGTGAGAAACATTGATAAATTTGTAGCCGTCGCGATTATCCTCCAGGTTACTGGGTAGCACTACCACGCGTCTACGCCGTTTCATGATTTTGAGCCGAGAGCATAACAACGCTGAAGGTGAGAGAGGTTAGAGAAGGTGAGATGATGGTGACACAGAGGTGAGCGGACTCTGATGGAAAAAGCATGAGAATAAACTGTCTGACCAAAAGACTTTACACCAAGACGGGTGGGATCTGGGTTTTCTGTCAGACAGTCAATATCCGCAAATGATGATTGGACCGTTGGCGTTCTGACCTTTTGCGCATCTGGCCGCAGGCTGAAAGTTTCCCGACGAGCCTCGCGAGCAGAAAAGTCGTCGACATCATTGAAGTCGCGAGTCTCGAGCAGTCTGCCTCCCCAACGCATGGCCACGACTCCCTCTCATCGCTCTTTTTGCTCGTACTTCTCGTCTTGATCCGCGTCACATGCCTTCCGATTCGATCTATCCTCCGGGTCATGCGCAGATGCTTTGAGCAACTTCCCTCCAGAAGTCGAACCCGCAATATCTTGCTTGCTTCGCGTCTGCCGTCCCTGCGGCCTGGACATAGCACGGCCGCTGTCACCTGCAGGACTACCTACCTCAACTTCTCAACTCGCAGCTCGCCAAAACTCTTCAAATCAAGCCTCAACAATCCATCTCGAGATGTCGCGATCAATTCTCGAAGCACATCCGATCGTCCGGATTATGCAAAGCATGGACATAGAACAAGGGTCTCACGAGAGAATAGGAGATCTACAAAGAAACCGCGTCGAAGCTCTGTTGAGGACTGTATAGCCCAACTGGAAAGATATCTTCCGAGAGGCTTGAGTCAGCTGGATTTTCTTGAATCACGGACCGTCGTTACGGGAGAGCCAGTGTTTGCCGATGTGCTCGCCGCACTCAAGCGTGGTGGCAGAAAGAGTGGGGTGAATGTTCTGGCCTTCATGGTGCTACATCAGCGTCGACACAAGGCCGTCATCCACCTCGCCGAGGTGCTGCTGAAGCGGGTTGCGCTCGCCGCCAACGAGCCTTTCAAGGACGAGCTGCCTTCCAACATCAATTGGCCAGAAGAATCATTCCGGAAGGAAATTGGTGCGCCTATTGAGCTGGAACGTACTTTTCACGTAAGCCGACGTCCTCTGGGAACTTCGCTTGGATCCTCCGACAACGCCTTGCTGGAGGATGACAACTCCACCGCTATGGAGCTCATCTGGGCCTTTCTGGCGGATGTCGTGGTTGCATCTTCCGAGCTAAGCCCGGACGAAGGCAAGCAGGTCATGAATACTGTCCATCAGATCCTGGCGCTCATTCACAGGTTGGGGCTTGTCCCATCCAATATCTATGCTCACTGCCTGCCACGAGGAACCACCACCGTCCAACAACCGCCGGTTCTGCATCTCCTAAACTCGAATATCCTGTCAACGCTGTCGGATGCTGTTTGGCATGCTTACCAGGACGAAGTGTCTACCCGGTCCAAAAAGGGTGAGAGGAGTTCTTGGAATTTCTTCCCTGAACCACCAGGTGGTCCCCTACGATCAAAGGGACGTGAGCTTGGTCCTGAAGTTTGGGTTGAATTCATCCTATGGTGCTGTGTCGAGGCTGGCTTTGCGTCGACCGGTGTTCGGATCCTCAAGTCGTTGCGCGCAGATGTGGCAACTCCATGGCGGGCTGTTCCCTGGACTGATGTGGGACTGTCTCGGAATGATCAGAATCAGATGGCTTATCTAGCGGAACAGACTTCTGATGACGTGGTCTCTCGAAGAGATTCGCGCTCTCCAGTCAGCAATCCCCAGAAGCTCATCAGTGCTGAAGTGGTCGTTGCTGTTGCCGACAGTCTGATCAACAATCTCAACTCGGAGGCTGGGAATGGCGCTCTCCCCGTCCATGAAGTTCAGACCGACCTAGAGGAACTTGTGTCCTTCTTGGGTCCTGCGAGTGTTGCTCCAACATACGTTGATTATCTTGCTGTTCGGCTGCTTCAGACTGAACGCTTGTATACCCCTGGCCACGTCGGCGGCTTGCACGCCTGGGCGTCAACTCTGAGCCGTCTTCGCGATCTGCAGATTGCTGAGGAGCAGCCCCGCCACGAACCCGGCCTTACGTTCGATTTCGTTCTGGGTCGTTCTGAGCTGCAAGCGGGTGTTCTCCATCAAGCTCTTCAAGGTTGCATCGAGAACAACCTGGTCAAGAAAGCAGTCGACACCTTCACAGATATCCAGAAAATGGTTGATGGCAACAAGCTGCAAGCTATTGGAGAGTTTCTTACTCTTTCTCTTCGTCCGGAAGACGGCTTCTTCACTTCCAGACTTGGCAGAGGACAGAACGAGTTCCTCGAATCCTATGGGCAGCTTCCTGCCTACAAACTGGCAGCGTTTCTTGATTTGGTTGGCAGTGCCAAGCTATTTGGACTTGGAGATTGGCTTCTCTTTTCAGATGACATTGATGGAGCTGCATTGCCTGTTTCAACCTGGGGACAGCCCTCTATTGCAGCTGCGCTGACTCGATATGCCGCAGCCAAGGGGGACCTTTCCCTGTTGGAGCGAGTTTTGTCAATATGCGCTGCCTCTGATAGGAAAATGACGGTGAACATGTTAAGAGCTTTTGTGATGAGCTACATCACCATGCGGGAGTGGGAGAAGGCGGGTCGAATGCTCCAAGAACTGAAACAGGCGGAGGGTGGTGGCTACAGCCCCCGGATGGTTGCCTGTCTCGCAGCTACGATACTACGGTTGGAGGTCGACCCCGAAGTGTTGCTACAGGAAGATTCGGCGTCCGACCTTACACAGGCTCTTCGACTCTTCTCTACAGTCTTAGATGGCCTCTATGATTCATCACCAGCAAGCTTCAGGATCGATCAGAAGAGAATTTTCAAGCAGCAGATCGGCTATCTGTTACGTCTCCTGGAGAATGTGGCAGACAGCAGGGCAGCGGAGACAGTGGGCAACTTCAAAGCGAAGTTTCCGGTCAGCAATGAGCCTCATCTCTCCCCAGAGACGTTCAACGTGGTCTACTCTGCCATCGTCGAGACCAAAGGCGCACTGGAGGGCCGCAATGTCTGGCACTTATTCTGTAAAGATCCGAGAGAGTCTGACACTCTACGTGGCAGGGCACTGCATGACAACGATGAAACTGTGCCTGACGAACATATCGCAGATTTCGATGAGGAGGGCTTCCCGGAGCCACAAACAGAAGAGTCGGTGGAGCGGGAGATCGCTATCACCCCCAGGTCTAGTAACCACCTGTCGATATCTGGCATGGAGACTGAGGCCATGGATTCCGAAGCCCTTCTCAAAAGCTCCGTCGAGCCGTCGTCCCGTGGTCAGCCTTCGCTCGCATACCCACCGTCACTCAATATCGATACCGGGTTACCACACGATGGACTCGGATTCCCCAGCAGTCAGACAACCATCATTGGAAGCGACGATCCGGATATACCAATTGCTAGAGCTGCCAACGAGCCCGAGAATGCGGCGCAAGAGCTCACTCAGGTTGTCGTTCCTGACAGCCGTACTTTGCAGATTCTTGTGAGACAGGCGTTGAGCGAAATCGAAGCGAGAAAGGGGCGCAAGAGGCCCCATGCCGACCTGGAAGAGGTGATCCACTGGGCAGGGCAGTTCTACAGCGCCTTCAATCTAGCACCCGAGGATATCAGGACAGAATTCCGAGTGTCAGAAAACATGCCGCGTGCACTCAGAGTTGCTACCAAGCATCGAAGGAGTCCGGCTGAACATATGGCACCAGCACGAGAGAAATTTAGACTTAATGTGTCCAGCCAATTCTCAAGGGGAGCATTCAACACTCGGTTACCGGGCACTCCCCGCGCGGAAGAGCATGCAGCCCAAGTATTTGGTGGTTTCCAGATGAAAGATGATGTCAAAGGCGCTGATCGGGATGAAACTGAAAAGTTCCAAGAGCAAGGGTCGGAGCAAGATCTACACGTCGCGCACGGGTTCAGAGTTCGGAAGTTTGGCACGTCAGTTACGCATAAATCTTGACCAAGCATAGCGTCGGTGTCCAGGAGTGATTTCACGCAAGGTATGGTGTAGGTGCGTGCTTTCTGTGTACGATATTGTACATCCAACCCACCTGTATATATAGTCCGGGACCAGGGAGGTCCTCTTCAGCTCGTCTAATCATTTCCGCCAAGACTCCATGAGACCACTTCAGTATCTGGGGTTGCAGCGGCTTCACGGGAACGTACGGGTCGATCAGCCGCCGACAAACCAAACACTAACTTGTCCCGCTTTGTCTGCACACCACAAGGTCGTTCTCGGCGATGTGAACGGCGACAATATCGCGAAGACTATACGCGTACGCATATGCATGTCGGCATTTTCCATGCGCCCCCAGCTTTTCACCTCGAACGCCAGGAGTTTCCCCGCTCACGGTTCGTCAGCATCGTCCTCCCTCCTCCCTCCTCCCCCGGTTCGAGGGGTCGCGGCTCGTGGCACCGTAATCATGGTCCCCAGAATGCTTCATAAGAACGCGGGGAAAAAGTGGCAGTACTGACGCGTGGCAACTGCAAAAGACTCAACTACCTGTTTACCTGCTTTGCTTGTCTGTCCATTGATTGTTCTTCCACAGTTCATTTTGTGTCTGTAGCCCCGACCGATCCATCTACACTGTACTATTGAAGTCCGTTCCCGGTACTCCCGACCGACCATCTACACTGTACTATTGAAGTCCGTCCCCGGGTAGACCCGAGCCCAACCCATGTCTCAAACAGTCGACAGAAAGGCGACGCACGGATGGGGCTCGACGCCTTCCCAGCGCCACTACATAAGTCACGAGCAGGCGATGAAGGTGCTCGCAGCGGGCATCAAGCGCGCAAAGGAGATCAAGTAGGTCTGGTGTCTGGTGTCTGGTGTCTGGTGTCTGGTGTCTGGTGTCTGGTGTCTGGTGTCTGGTGTCTGGTGTCTGGTCTGGTCTGTTCTGGTGTGATCTGCATTCCTCGCGTGGCCGGCCTCTCAAGGGCTGGCGCCTTTTTTTCTTTTCCCCCCGGAGTCAGACAGAGGAGGCCTCGCACCATGCATTCCATTCCACTCCATTTCCGTGCACACAAGAAAGAATGTGTTGATTAACGAGACGATTGAAAAGCGTCCCGCAAAACATCGCCGTCCTCGACCCGTCCGCTTGGCTTGTTGGATTCGTCCGCATGGACAACGCCTTCTTAGGCAGCATTGTACGTCCTTTCACGTCCCTTGGGGCACTGATGACAGAGAGTCCCCCCGTGTCGAGTGATCGATCGACGCACTCGCGTCCATCATGGCCTTTACTCACGCATGGATTGGACAGGACGTCTCGCAGAAGAAAGCCAAGACCGTGGTCTTCTACAACGGCATCCCGTCCGACGCACTGAAACAGCGCAGCGAACCGGGCGGGGATCTCTTCGCCATTCAGGAAACGAACGGCGGGACCGTCGTGTTTGGCGGTGGATTCCCGATTTATGATGCCGAGGGATTGTGAGTGGCTGTCGGGCTCGAATCAATCCGCCCCATCCCCTACAACCTTGTGCTTGTCGTCTGGGGTTCAAGCTAACTTGTCGTTGAAGCTTTATAGGAGCCGTGGGCGTCAGTGGAGGGACGGTCGATCAGGATATTGACGTTGCAAAGGCGGCCGTGGAGGGCAGCGGTGTTGGGACAACAGGGTGATTGAAGGGAGTCGTGCGAGGGAGAAAGGGTGACGGCTGGCATTGTGTCAAGACAAGGATACATAGTTTGTGTCAACCCATACTGTGTAAAGCCAAGCTGCTTGAGATGAGTGAGTATGGTGGGAAGGTTGAGTGTACCAAAGTACCGAACAGGAAAAGCATTTCCAGAACAAGGAATATCAACGTTCCATCCTAGGAGCCTCCCCCACTGTGAGAATACAATCAGACTATCGACTTACTGTGGCAGAGTTCGAGACCTTACTTAGTCCTGAATCCCGTGTCCTGGATCGGAGAAGAGTCACATGCTGTAAGCAGGCCGTCTTTTCAGTGGACGGTGCCCTCCGCAGACAGTAATCTTCGTCATCTCCCGCCCGGGTTATCAGGCATGAGACCGCGAAGCCCTCCTCCCTGCTAATGGGATCGCGCAAGGCTTACATCTGTGCTTGTCAGCAAGGATAGACTGGGGGAGATATATATCGTAGCTCGAGGAGATCCGGTCGCTCGTCGAGCCAAGGTCTGTTCCATTGATCACGTTCATTCACTTCCCAACGCCGGATTTCCCAGGCTTCAAGCTCAGATTCTTGCAACGGTCTGGGTCGTAAAATCAACAATTGAGAATTGAGGCTTCCACCTGTTCGAAGCGGCTTACTTTCCAAACGACCGCATCATCGGCCATGAGCTGGACACCTTCCTTTTACCAGAAAAGGGAGGCTAGACAACGCGCCACGGGGATGACGCAGCCCGGGGTCGGAGGCCTCCCTCCTCGACCAAGACGAGGCGAGTATAATACCTTCACCAAGCAGGGTAGACTACAGAAGGAAATACGCTGGCCAGAGCCGGATTCTGCCGCACAGAGCGATGATGGATCGCTGAGTGGGCTGAAGGAAAAGCTGTCGAAGAGGAAACCGAAGGCGTCGAGGTGGAGGCGATTGTTTGGACGGAAACGACGCAGGGAGTAGGAAGTGGTGGAAGGAGATCAGATGGCGGCGAGGCTTCCATTCTCAAGGGCACCATGTCCGTGCACACCTGGAGTTCAGCAAATGGTGCTGTATTCAGTGGTCGATGTGGCGAAATGATCGTCTTCATATGCTGGGATTCTGCAAAGAAGGACATTTTCGGGGCGAATTCCATGTCACTTCAGTTCTGGCTGAGGCAGAAATCGCCTCACCACCAGGCTCACGAGGCAGATCGAGATAGACTCCTGTTCGTCCTGGAGAAGCCGTATTGGCACCTTTCCTGCAAGTGGTTACGTTCCTCTGAGATTACCTTGGCATTCTTCCAGAGCAGATGCATGCAGCACGAGCAATGAGGGTAGCAAGTCCATGTCAATGATGCTTCGAATCGATTCCTCGTCCACGAGATCGTCCGGACCAGCCATTCCTCGAGTATCAACGGACAAGGTACCAATGGCTGTGGCCTAACTGGATGAGAGATGTGATCATCGTAGCACGTTGGAGATGAGGGAAGAGTTGACGGTTTCAATGCGAAGAGAGAACAGAGAGAGTGACCAGACGGATTCTCTTTAAAGTGAAGGTGAAGGTGAAGGTGAAGGTGAAGGTGAAGGTGAAGGTGAAGGTGAAGGTGAAGGTGAAGGTGAAGGTGAAGGTGAAGGTGAAGTGAGAGTGAGAGTGAAACGGCGGACAGATCATCAAATCACATGCTAGCGCACCGGATTCCGCCTTTTCAGTTTCAAGCTGCGTGACGCGCCGCCCTGACGTGACGTGTCGCTCATGATTCAATCATTTCTTACCTACCTACCTAGGTTAATTACTACAATCTGAACCCCAACCTTCGACAATTGAAGTTCCCTTATTCTCAACTCAACTCGACACTAAAGTCTATGAATATTATCGCCGCCGCTGTGGAAATGCAATGCTTGCACGGGAGTCTGCTTATGAGGGCATCGTTGTCGCGCTGCGGAGGTCGCTCAACTGCCCAAGGGAGTTTTGAGTGGACGTTCATCACCGGTACGGTAGGGAGTGGGGAAATCTGATGGGCCTAGTGGGCGTGGACGTCGTGAGGGCGGCGTTCTTCGTAGGGATGGGAATGGCCGTGGTGATGGGAAGGGCGCCGAAGCAGGCTTGATCTGTGAGTGTGGCACCGCGAGCTGGTTGGATTGGATCGGATTGGATTGGACTAAACCTGGTGAGACGGGGACGGCGATGGGGATGGGATAGGAGAGGCACGGGATGCCGATGACGTGGACGCTTCAAGTATACTCGTACCTTACGCTGTCGTATTTCAGAGTCAGTCGTTGACGCTATGAGTATGCAATAAAACAAGAACTACGAGCGGAGTACTGGTGTTGAACTCTGGAGGTATGGAGTACATGTAGGTCTTTGGATGCGACGAAGAATTCGGTGTAAAGTTCAATGTGATGCTTGCTGACTGTCGTCTTTCGAGTTATGCTCGTTCAATATGATGCTTGCTGACTGTCGTCTATCGAGCTCTATGCTCGTTCAGTGCGATGCTTGCTGACTCTCGTCTATCGAGGTCTATGCGGTGCCGTTGCTAAATATGCAATGCGTCGCAGCGGCGGGTTGAGTTGTCTTCCCACCTGTCATCCTCCTGTACGGTTGGCATGGAGCTCCGGTACGAGTCATCTAAATTCTCTTGCTCCTCCTCAATCTCAGCCTCAACCACAAACATGTCGTCGAGCTTAAGCTTCATAGACTTCTGCAGAGGTGCTCGTTGCTCGTACGGCCCACCAACCCTCCCCCCGCCTTCATCCTCGCCCAGTGATTCCTGGCTACTGGTAGCTGCGGACGACCAGTCGTGCAGCAGCGGCGTGCCGACGATAGGCAACTCGGCGGTGTTCTTCATCTGCCAAAATAACCAGTAAACGGCACCCATACCGATTATGCCGAGTGACGTAGCTGGGTATGCATAGTACACGAATCTCTTGTTGTCGTTGCTGCTCTTGTCTTGTCCAGGGTTGATCCACGGAAAGATGAGCAGGAGGGCGTTACCGGCCAGGAACACAACCGTGTGCATCCGCGGCGCGGGACATGGACTCTGCCAGCGCTCGGCCGACGTGTTTTGCAGGTAGAGAAGACCTGATGCGATGGCAACGGAAAGGACCGAGACCGGGTAGCCGCCTACTTCGACCAGGAAGGTGTAGATCTCGCCGGGAGGTGGCAACACGATCACCAGGACACTGACGAGCCAGTGGAGGAGGAGACCTGACGCTGGCGCTCCTGCGGCGTTCTTTCTCCGCCAGAAGCCCGACGCCGGAAGAAGTCCTTGAACTCCGAGCTCTTGATTCACGCGAGCTTGGGCGAAAGAGGTGGCAGCGATGTTCCCGAACGCTGAGATGATGATAAAGCAGGGCAGGATCCGCTCTCCCCACAATGAACCAAAGATGTTGCGGAGATAGTGGCTAGCGACAACGACACCGGAAGAGCGGAAATCATCTTTCTCCACGGCGCAGAAGTACGCGACGTTGGCCAGAATATATCCGAGTGACGCGAGGGTTAGGGCGACCGGACCCGCGACTCTGATGGTCGAGATCGGGTTGCGCACTTCTGACATGACCTGATTCGCCGTGTTGTAGCCACGAAAGCAGTAGAGAACCTGCAGCAACGCGGTCGCATAGTTGTACGGCTTGGAGCTGGTGCCGGCCCATATCGACGTGAAGTTCTGATGGGCAATGGAGCCCGAGCCTGCCGTGGCCGGGACTCGACCGATACTGGCAATCCCGCTGAGGACGACAGCTGCCAGGATCAACATCTTGCCCACCCCGAGCACGTTGATGATGCGGAGGCCCGTAGATGGCGCCCGGGCATGCAGGAAGCAGGCCAGCGAGATGACAAAGACAGCGATGCCGCGGACGTTCCAAACAGTTGGCTGAACTCCCAGGGCTGATACCGCATAATTTCCCAAGATGATGCAGTTTGGGGTACTGAATCCGAGAAGCACGACGTATGCCATGAACATGCTGGTGGCCAGCATTTTCGGTCGTCGGAAGATACGTTCGAGGTAGACTCTCTCGCCGCCCGAGCGAGGCAAGGCAGTTCCCAAGTCCAGGTATACCGACAACCCGCAGAACGAGATCACAGCACCCAGAAGCCAGATGACGAGCGTCATTCCGACCGAGCCGACCTCGGTGAAGACAGACGACGGTACCGAGTATACGCCGACCCCAATCGTCTTGCCCAGTATGAGGTTGATGGCGGAAAAGGTTGTGAGTTCATTCTGGCCGAGAACACGGTTTGGTTGATCTATCAGGCTTGGTGTTATCGACTGAGCACTTAGAGGAAGAAACCGGTCCGTGACTCCATCCCGGCACAATGAAGAGAGGTGTAATGACTCCGGCTTGAGGCTTGCAGGTCTTGTTGGCCTGCCCTTTTTGACGCTGCTGGCTGTCGGAAGCTCCAAGCCCAACGCAGAGGAGATGATGGGGTGTAACTCTTCATCTTCGGCGGGAGCAGAGGTGTCCGGTTGCGCAAGGCCCGACGCCGAGCCCAGAATGCTTGGTGTTCTTGGTGTCCGTGGTATGCGTGGAGTGACAGGCGACCGACAGTCGTACGCAGGTGATGACAAGAAGGATGTTGTGATTCCGGTGGCCAAGGCCTCGCCCAAGGATCTTGGCCGTTCCATACCGAGATGAAAACGTGCTCAACGAGGCGATTTACTTGCTCAATTCCTAATTCTTGCTCGGACGATGACTGCCGAGTCGGCTCCTGCGACCAGTACCTGGATCCACGTGAATTTGTCAAAATATATATCCCTGCTGCACCAATGCCAGAACTTTCGCACCTGGTAGAGAAGACGAAAAAGAAAGCAATGCATATGGGACTCTCCTGGCCGAAGCTGTCGAGAGAGGGACTCTTCCGAATAGGTACGACCAGCCATGACTGGCAAATGGCTCCAACTGTGAATGACACTTAGCTGTGATGCGATGCATTGCTGAATCTCTTCCCCGTCAAGGTTTGGCGATCAGTCGAGACGAGCAATGATCCGAAACCATGGAACCGCATGTCAGAAATGCCATCTTGTTTCAATGCGTGTCGGTTGGTGCTCGCTCGTCCTGCGATGAAACAGATCTTGGCGGTGATCAGGGGGGATTGTCACAGACCAGCTGTGCTTAATCCACTAATCTGGTGTCGACGGTCCCACTGTCTTCGTGTCTGTCAATACGGAGTAATGTCCTACACATTCTCTCCGCGCTCGACCTTGGTAAGCGACGTCTATGAAGAGATGAATCGTTGCTTCGGCTCAAGATATGCCAACATCGGTCTGCTAACTAACTTGTAGGCAAGTCAACATGCCAGGTGCGGCCAGTGGTCTAAAGCACACACACAGTTAATTAGCGACATCCACAAGGACGACTGCAAGTGCGTCTCGAAGCTGAGACGGCCGGAGTGCACGGTCTAGCTCTAACTGACGCCGTCGCAAATATAAACCCCGTCACACTTGTGAGCTCCTCTTCGCCGCCATACCTTGTACGAGTACCGACGAAAAATATCGCCGATCCAGCGAGCCATCTTATTCGACACATCTGAAGCTGTGGATTGACTCGAGTGGCAATCGGCTCGAAGCACCATCGACGTCCGAGGTAGCCGTTTCTCCAGCTTCGAGTGACAATAGTGATGAATGTGCTTTGAAACTACTTGGTCGGACCCAAACTCGGCCACGGTTCTCAGTCGACACAAGAATCAAGTTCCCACTTTCGGTCGAGTCGTGCTTGAGTTTGGCGATGTGAACGATGATTGTTTTTCCACGAAGCCCCAACCGTAGTCTACAAGAGATGACGGACCGACTCGGGGTGTCAGTACATGTTACTGGGGACACAGATGATGCATCGCCTCATATAGTCATCCAAAAAGCCAGGGATCATCTTCCCCGTGCTGAATGTGACTGCTCGAGTGAAATTGCTGAGTGGTCACTGTCTGCTTCATCAAAAGCTTATCCTCTCTGGAGGCGAACATGGGCGTCTACGCCATGCCATACTGGTTCTTCACGTTTTAGGTTCCCGACCTATATTGCAAGGTCGTCACCTGGGTAGGTCGGGGAGATTCCGAGCCTCGCACCGCCCCTTACGGGGTATCTCAGATCGATATCAAAAATGGGTTATCGGCTTCCGCTTGTCCATGCGACAGTACCCTCTGCAAAAGCGGCACTGCTGCGCCTGGAGAACATTAACCCTCTCCCCTAGCCGGAGGTAGTATTGGCAGCGATCAGCAATTGCTTCTCCTTCTTCAGTCCCTGAGCTACCGATAGGTCGATCTTCAAGGTGTTGGCCACGATATCCGCAGGCGTCAACGCGAGCCATTGAGTCAGCGATATATCTTGAACTCTGTCACTCTTGTAGATCTCGATCCAGACGAGATCGTCAGTCGGTGAGGTGTTTTCGATATAGTGGCCTAGAAGGAGACTTGTCAGCGACACAGTGGTAGTATCACTTAGTAGCAATACGGTTGGTGGGCACATACCGCTGTTGTCCGGAAATACCGCCGTGTCGCCGGGGCCAAAATCAAAGGTCCGAGCATTAGCATTGCCAATGAAGACCGTTGCTCTGCCTTGTCCTTGGTGGAAGTATAGCCATTCTTCTGCCTATTCAACAGTCAGTCCATCTCGGGATGCTAGCAATACCAGGTATTCTCGGACGCACATTCGGATGCCAGTGCAGCTCTCGCAGGCCTCCAGGCTTCAACGTTACGTACGTCGCAGCGATTGTTTTCGAGATCGGGAAGTTGGTCGAGTCAATTTTATAGAAAGTGCCACCATTGCCCGGGACGGACTCAGATGGATGCTGCAAGGTCCGGTAGACAAAGGAGGAGTTGCCGGAGAGCTGGGGGTTAATTCCCGAGACTGACGAGTTTGTTATTGTGCCGTTCAAGATGTATGGATCTGTCGTTGGAAGATTCTTGAAGACGGTTTCGTTCAGCCCGAAATTTTTCGCAATTACCGACTTGGGTGTATGAGCGAGCCTACACCACCGTTAGGACGTTGACATACCCAAAGAGAAGCAAGCCAGACGGTGGAGCGGCAACCACAATCAGGTGAGACCAGAGACCCAGCCACAACTGTTAGAGGCCCCGGCCTACACTATCCAACTCTCGCAGAGAACCTCGACTTACCAGTCGTCAACCATGAATGTCACGCTGACCATGAGTTAGCCTAGTACAAACGTAAATGAATCAATCGCTGCTCACCCCACCGCGTTAAAGTCACCATCATCGAATGTCAGAAGATACTCGTTGTCGTCCTCGAGACCCTGAATAGTATGGGCGACACCCTTGGGGAAGTACCAGATATCACCAAAACCCAATTGCTGGAGCTGGTAGTTTCCATCAGCATCAACCGCCGAGATCAGGACGGAGCCCGAGTAGACGAAACCCCATTCGGCCTGTTAAAGTCAGATCACATGCCGGACTAGCCCATCACGTCCATGGCGTACCACTTTATGCCAATGGAGCTCCCGGAGGGCGCCCCTTCTCAGGTGCTGCTGTGCGGCGGCTATATCCTTACTCTGGGGCAAGTCGTTGACGTCCTGAGTCCTGGTCCATCCGCCCGGAAATATTTTGGTTTTCGACAGAGAGAAGGGCCACTTGAGATTCGGCACCGTACCAGCATCTGTCGACTGTTGCCCGAGACCATCCGGGTTTGCGACGTCGAGCTGTGGATCTGTGCCCCCTGGGTTGACCGTGAGACTAATGTCTAACGACACTCTTGTGTAAACACCAACCAAGAATTGATGCGCCTTTCCCAGTCGCAGGGTCATATGGTTGACCACTTGAGAAGCTTCCCAGCTGCCGCCGTACCAAGGGAATGGCATTGGCAGTAGAGGCGGCGAGCAGGAGGATGAAAGCTACCTTCATTGTGACGGATGGACCTGTGTAATCAGTGCGCATCAAAGCGGGTTGAAGACAGAGCCTGCACGGGAAACAGCGTGATGAGGAGGAGGAGGAGGAGGATGCACAACTCATATCAAGAAGACGTGATGTGACACCATTAAATACCAACCCTGGGCATATTGCTGGTTTCCCACGTTCAAGAAACCGGCAGTCATATCGTGCATAACAGCAACCTGCGAAGTAGCAACGACCTTCCCATTTAGCGAGGCACATCGCCGTAGCTTCACTGCATGCGGGAAGATGGCATCGAAACCTGCAGCTTTGACAGGATAACACCATAGGCTGGAGCTGCAGCAGCATCGAATGCTACAGTGAGGAGAGCGAAGCTTCATTGTCGTGATAGGCAAGATCAATGGCGCCATGCTTGGCAAAGCTTTGGTGCTGAGGTCGCCCAGAGACCAAGGTCCGGAGATCCGGTGAATCGTAGGGCGAAATAGCGATCTTGTTTATTTTAAACCTGATACTGGCAAGGGGGGCTGCTTCATACCTAGCAGGTCAACCGAAGCCAGAAACGATGTATGCTTGCCGGAAGAGCACCATTATCGAGGCAGATGTGCATTGACATTCGAGCAAGGCGCCAGGATGACCCAGCCCACGCCACGGAAGACTACATCGGGCCGTGGGAAATGGTTGGGATATGTAGAAGAAGCCACTTGAGAGAGACGGCACACGCGAGACAACAAAGTAACAAGTACTAATTATATCCAGTGTGTGCTCGCTCTGTATGCTCTTGGCGACGAGTCCTCCGCCGTAGTTGGCTCCTTTCCGGCTTTCCCCGAAGTCAGCCTCGCCTCGCCAGTTGAAATCCGCAAGGCTCATTGTCAACAGGGAAAGGTCGAGCAAAGGCGTGGAGAGGAGCGCCCCGAGAACTGCCGCTGTAGGTCTGGCTGATCATGATAAAGGACCCGTCGTAAGAGGTGGCAAATACGGAGTGCCGGGTAAATAAGCAACGACTTAGCTAGGGAGATGGCGCAAAGCTGCAAACCGCAAGTCTTCGGTTCGGGGCGACTTCATCTTCTTTTGTGCCCCATAACCCTCGAGGGTAAGCTATGCTAATCAGATATGTTGTACAATAACGGACTTTCAGGCCTATCCTGCCCTTGTCCACAAACACATCTCTCATTTGGTCCCTGAAAGTCCATCCGACCCCAGACTTTCCTGATCCTAACCTCGTCCAGCAAGACACCACAGTTGCCGAACTACCCAATTCATAACCACATGTCATCCTCGTCAACTCACGAAGCGTTGCCCCGACTCCTTGTTCTAGACCCAATGCCTTCAGTTGCCCGCGGCGTTGGCTCTTTCTTCTGCTTCTTAGCAGATGCTGAACCCTTTGGTCGACCGGCTTTCTTCTTCTCTACTGGCTCGGCTTCTTCCTTCTTCTCTTCCTGCTTCTCCTCCTCCGTTTTCTCCTCTTTGTTCTCTCCCTCCTTCTCTTCTTCCTCCTTCTGGTCAGTCTTCTTTACCGCGGCGCCCTTCTTCCCCCTGGAGGCGGCCGGCTCCTTCTTCGCCGGCTCCTTCTTCTGTTTCTTGGCAGCAGGCTCTTTAGCCTTGACAGTCTTACCCTCGGCGTTCTCCTCCAAGGGTTCGGCCGTTTTCTCTTCAGTGTCGGCTTGCTTGTCCTCTTCTACCTCGTCGTGCTTTCTCTTCTCGCCATTTTGAGTCTCAGCTTCAGTCTCGGTCTCTTTGGGCTCCTCCTTGTCACCAGAGTCATCAGCGCCAGCATTGCCGTTGGCTTTCTCCTCGACATTGAGCTCGGAGGCCCTCTTCACGACGTCGTTGCCAGATCGCTCGACGTGGACCGCAGGGTTGCTCGGATCAGCGTTCTTCTTGATCCTGTTGCCGCGCTTGGACGTGATGGCGAGCTCGCCCTCCTTTTTCGTTTCGGCGACAGTGCCGCCAGGTTGACCGCCGCCCCAGTTCCATGTTACTGCAGTGATGATCGGTTAGCGCGGATGCGGCCAGGGACGCGAACACAACAGATGGGCGCGTTCATCAGACCACAGAATCTCGTCCGCCAAAGACAGATGGCAGTATTATAGCGACGCACGTGCGCGCCTCTATGAAGCTCGTGGCCATGCTCGGTGGGTGTATTGAGGACGTACCTTTGTCTCCTTTCTCAGGCTCGTCGGACGGCATAGTGACGTCAGCGTCGGATCGCTGAGCGAGTGGTGGGTAGGTGGATGTCTAACTACCTCCAATGGGATGGTGTTGAGATGCAAATGCTAGCAATGTGGTCGCAAAGCCTTCGCGACCAATATGATAGATAAATCGAGATAAATTTCGGCGGTAAAGGGATGACAGAAGGGGAAGGAAGTCGAAGAAAGAGGTTGTTGTCAGGTCAGCTCTGGGGAGACAGGTAGCACGCACGTCGCGATGCGGCCCATCGGCGCCCGTGGCTGCGGTTGCTGTGGGTGAGCTTTGCGGGCGTGCGGGCTTGGGGCTGGTGGGCTCGGTGGCTTCGACTAGTTAAGCGATAAGCCCCAGCCTCCCCATAAACCCATCGCATCAGTGCCCACCGTGATGCCACGCGCGGGAGATGCAGATTAGAGTTGGTCTGGTTTCAGCAGCTTCCCGGCCAACAGCGTGCCCAAACAAACGTGTGTTGCGCTTTGCTCGTACGAAGCTTCTCCATGAGCCCATGTCAGATCCGAGGAGGCGACATCTGTACCTTGGGTGTTCGTGGCTTGCCTTTGTGTAAGGCCTATCTGAGCTCCCTGCTTGGCCATCGCGTTGATTTTTGACTTCCTGGATCTGTTCGGAGCAGATAAGTAGCAAGGAGACACGTTCTTTTCATTGGAGCGCATGCCTCGGCAGCAGTATGGTCCATGTTGCTCAACGTCCAGGTTCACGTTAAGCAGCTCTGAATTAATGGCCATATGTAACGACTGGCTTTCCACGAATTAGTACACGTGTGTCGAGCTGCCGGACAGGCAAGAGAACATGTTTGAATAGTCAATTTCGAAGCAGATGTCTTTCCCAGATGGATCAAAACTTCCCGGTTGATTATCCACGGCCGGTCGTGGCAATGAAGTCACAATGAATATTTGACTTTGACCATCATCACTGTGAGTATCTGCTCCTTGTGAACAGAGGTCACATGCAGCTTCGGGCAACAAACGGATATTTAGGAGCAGGAAATGACGGGACAGGTTCACAGCATCGTGTACCACCAGGGCGCCTGTCATAGTTTCCAGTAACTATTGTGATTACATCGGATATCCTTGTAATGGTACAGAAGGCCATACCCATTCATGTCATCAGACCTAGTAGTGGCTTCTTATGGATTTGGACCTCCACGAACAGCGCTGGTGCCGTCCTCCGGACCTGGCAGCCCTTCCTCATCACCTGGCTCGCGATAGCCGCCAGATTTGGCCGCTCCGCGTGTGCGCTCGCCGATAATATTGCTCTCGTCGATTGCGTCAGTGTCATCGCGAGCTACTCGCAACTGTTAGCATCAAAAACCGTCTCTCGAAGACTATTACTCATTGGCCACGAACCTAGCTGAGCGTCAGAGTCGGCTGTTCTTTCGTCGATGGGGTCCTCAACGCGAGTGTCGTCGCCCACGACGGGGATGTGGCTTTGACCTGTTCGAGACTTGTAGTCGTTTTGGGTAGTATCGGCGGTATGTGCGCCTTCAACGCCCTCGCTGCCGGGCTGGTATTCGTTGCCTGGTGCAGACATTGTGAATTGAGGTAGAACGGATTGGTGTTAACGTTGCGATTGAACAACGTTTAGAAAGTAGATAAGCTGGATCTGGAGAGGAATGTTGGCTAACTGCATACACACCGGATATATATGCTTCATAGAGTCGCTGACGAGGTCCCTCCCGTGTTCAGCTGAAGGTTCCCGCCTCGATTTCGTCACTGCTCTGTCGTCATGATACTCGTATTGAGTGCTTCAAATGCCAGTGAAGGAGGTTGCTTGACACAAGGTCTGAGGTCATCAAAATCCTAATCACAACCATGCTGATGCTGAAAAACACAGAATGCTGCGAAGGTGGTGACGAAGAGCGGGGCCGCCTCTCTGGGGCGTCGAGCCTTAGCTTCTGAAGCAAGCCGAGACAGTACCACAGTATGTCGACGAGGACCCGGCGCGCACTTGGATCGATCGCTGAGATCAGGTACCATCTCTCAAAGCATGCTGCAGGAGGAAAGGAAGGGAGAACAGGGGGCAAGGCTGAGTATGGTCACCAATGAAACGACACGGACCGACTCCGGGCTGAATCGAAGACGTCAAGATCATCCACTTAACTCAAACTGACAGTTGCTTTCATTCGCCTCGGCTCCCCTCCGTATTCCGATCAGGCATCCGAGCTCCAGATATGCAAGCACTTCAGAGATCAGCATATCAAGATCCTGGGCTAGCAATTAGTCGATATGAGGGCCCAGTTCCGGAGGTGTAATCCGTGCCATTATTTGACCGAAGGATTTTGTCACGAAAGAACGTTGGAGCTTCTCTGACAATCCGGCACGATGCATTGTGCCTCGTAGACACGACAATGGCATCACTGGCTTGTTGTATGAAAGGTGGCATTATAGAGCTGGAAGTCTCGACCAAGGGATATCCCGAATGCAATTTGCTTCGGGGAGGTTCACCTTTGAAATGAATTAACTAGCATGGTGGTCACAGAAACGCCAAGTGGCTAGTCACGTGACTAGCCTCTCGGAATATTACGTAATCCGATCGCCGACAAAACACCCCCACAGTACTCCGTACTCCGTACCACACAGTCTCTATTGCCTTTCTGATGTTGGTCCCTCATGGCCGAGTGGTGTTCAGTCACAATACATGGTATAAGCTCCATCTTGCGCTCGCTCCCAGAGTCTACAAGATTCTAATATATTCACCCTCGTCCATCTTCAATGTGCGTCCCTTACGTCGCCCCCAAGGCCTGTTGATGACTACTCTGCCCCTCCTTACTGTCATGATACGAAACTCGTCAATCAACTCTGCAGCTATAGGCTGCATCATAACATGGATGTTGCATTGTCCCAAGTAGCTGTAGTATTTTTAATCAGAGGGAGCACGTTGGGCGTATCTGAGCCCGTCACAATGGCCATATTTTATATATCTCATGATATTCGGGGAAACAGGCAGAAGTAACCTCTGTGAGGGATGGAGAATTGCTTGTACCGAGAAACGTCCATACTGCCGATTGCACCGTGGTATCTCGGCAGAGTTTCATGGTTGACGCCGGCCCCGGAGGAAAGCCAGGAACGCCTGTCCATTGCACCCCGTGAGAAGTATGGAAACGACGCAAGGCAATTATTGTCATCGGTGTTGTATTACCGGCGTCGAGCATAGTTTCAGGGTATATACACTGCCAACTGTCTACTCATGAAAACATGCTCCATAGTCGAGAGCTTTGTACCTTAGCTAGGGATATTCAGGTGATGCTGACCTCGGAGTGGTTGCCCCACCATGGCACGTTGGAAAACTGCAGGTGCCCTTGCCGTGACAATGTGGTACGTTGCCGGCAGCCCGGGCGAGCTCGTGCCGACGCTTTGGAGGAAAGCTTCTCTGTCCCCTTTCGGCCTCTTGTTCTCCAGAATTGCCATGGTAGTCAGGCAGTATCATTAATCTTACCCCGGATTTACCCTCCTTCCATTCGACCCGGTGTCGCCTCTTTCCCCTACGAGTGTTTCAACAACGAGCCCGAGCCGATAGCAGCGTCCTGCCTATACTCAAATGTCGTGAACCCCCCCACCCGTGTCCGCCATGGGTTTGACCTCGATATCGACATACAACCCGAATGCCTGAGAAGCCCACGACCGTGGTCGCCTATGCGGCTGGTGCGTCTCTAGCCGCCATCGCCGCCTTCTACGTTTTTGGGCCGACATTCTTCATAGATGGCGAGAACTCATACAATACCAACGATGGCCGCAAACGAACAATTATTGGCCTCTCGAACCCGGCGAACGACTGCTTCATTAACTCTGTCCTCCAAGCTTTGGCTGGCTTGGGTGACCTCAGACTCTATCTGATCAAGGAGCTGCATAAGAAGCAGCTCGATGGGCCTGAAGTCTACGATTCCGTTCCTCCGGTGCTGCGCAAGGGCGAAAGAGCCGACAAGATCGTTGGCCTGCAAAAAGGGCCGGTCACAAAGGCGCTGAAGGATATGTTGGACGCGCTGAACGAGAGACCCATATACAAGAAGACAATCAGCGCACGGCCTATGATAGAGGCGCTGGAAAGAGCCTTCAATACGCGGATTAGCCGGAACCAACAAGACGCGCAGGAGTTTCTACAGATTGTCCTCGAACGGCTTTGCGACGAATACCACGCCGCACAGCGAGCGCGCCTACGATCTGAGAATCCAGACCACACCGAAGAAACAGATATAACCGACTCAAAGCCGTCAGGCTCAACTCGTGCGTTGACCGAGGTCACGGTGGGAACGAGTGAAGGTTTTCCTTTCGAGGGACGGATCGAGTCTCAAATACAGTGCCAACGTTGCGGCTTCAGAACAAAGCCCACTGCAACGACATTTGTATCTCTGACACTGAACGTTCCGCAAAAAAGCTCAACTTCTCTAGACAACTGTTTTGATATTTTATTGAAAAGCGAAGAGATTGACGATTTCAAATGCGACAAATGCCGGCTCCAGCACGCCTTAGACTGGAAGAATAAGAAACTCGCGTCTGCAAAGACTGAAAAAGACCGGAAGGAATTAGAAAATGAAATTGCCTTGGTGGAACAGGCGATCCGAGACGACCCTGAAAAGGCGCCCGAGGGTATAACACTACCTGACTCAAGCCTTGCACCGAAAAGCAAGATCAAAAAATCAACCCGGATCACAGTGTTTCCGAAAGTGATCGCCATCCATCTCTCGCGTTCCGTTTTCGATCCAGGGAACTACTCCACCAAAAACATGGCAAAGGTGTCGTACACCCAACGACTCCGCCTTGGAGGACTGCTGAACGAGCACTGGTACAAACTGCTGGGAGTTGTATGTCACAAAGGCAGCCATCACAGCGGACACTACGAGTCGTTCCGGCGGAACCATGTATATGCCCCGTATGCCACTCCGGATCCATTTAGCGCATACGCAGCCGCAAGCCGCTACCCCAGCTCTGTTCCTTCGGTGACGCCTAGTCCGACCATAGAGGCCGCTCGGAAGCGTGGTCTCAACGGATCCAATGCGCCTGCTGATGGACAATCAAGCACATCACTGTCATCCGCGTCGTTATCGACCGGAAATAGCAGGCCAACCTCTAACGGTGTGGATGCTGCGGGGCCGGCCACGGAGGATGCGTTGGTTATGTCTCCTGTACAGAGAATTGACACCCAGCTGTCAAAGCAAATCAGGACGACGGATCCGGTGCCAGGCAAATTCAGGCGACGCAAAAAGTCCAATGACAGGTGGTGGCGCATCTCAGACGACAAAATCAAGGAGGCGAGGCTGTCGGATGTGCTCTCAATGCAACGTGAAGTTTACCTGCTGTTCTATGAGCTCGAGCGGCCAGGCGATGACACTGGCGCTTGACACGAGTGCGATTGAACTGGCTGCATGTAAGCCATTGCGTCGAGCTTCACAGAGAGCAATCCGTATGGCAAATCCAACATAAACATGGCTCTGTATGTTATCCCACGGCTGATCTCATGATGACCTAGGACTGCATTATAGCTTAGATTTGGAAACAAGGACGGAATTCAGCATGAGTCTTTGACACTCATCCTTCATCTGCCGTTCAATGGAATCTTCCCGCACACTCGGAGTCAGCCTTTCCCTCTGGGGCAGAGGGGCACATATCCCGTAAGTTCCCGTGGGGAGCACGGTGAGCAGTAAGTGAGGCATGGATGAGAGAGCGATCACAAGGGAAGAACCGGAGGCTCTATTTGTGGAGATTGGTGGGAAAAGCAACATCGAAAGTTCTTTCCAACTCGAATGCTCGGCCGGTGATTTCATTTCCCTTTTGCTACCCCTCACACCCACTCATCCATCCCAAAGCTCCGTACCGGCGAGCGAATTCATTTTTCTCAGCCATCTGAGATTCTTTTCTTCTCAAACTACTTCTGACCTGCGGTATACTCGTACACCACCGAGTCATACGTTTTCACCCTTATTCATAGCTTGAACCGTCCAGGAAACATCCTCACATCGCATCAATCACCCTTCAACCCGCTTCCGATAGCCCCACTCAACACTCGTCAACATGGGTGTCAAGGATGTCTTGTCACGCAAGGAGGGCGTCATCGTTGGTGACGACGTGCTCAACCTTTTCAAGTACGCTCAAGAGCACAACTTTGCCATTCCTGCCATTGTAAGTCTAGTGGCCCCGGCTCAAATGCACCTGACTGACTCGAGATTGCCCAGAACGTGACCTCATCTTCGACCGTCGTCGCAGCCCTGGAAGCTGCTCGCGATGCCAATGCGCCTATCATTCTACAGGCCTCTCAGGGAGGTGCTGCTTACTTCGCCGGCAAGGTATGTCGCAGGATCATGGTGTGAAAGGACCACAGCTAAAGCGACTGTAGGGCGTCAAAAATGACAAGCAACAAGCGTCGATTGCCGGAGCGATTGCCGCAGCTCACTATATCCGTGTCGTTGCGCCTGCTTACGGTATCCCCGTCGTTTTGCACACCGACCACTGTGCGAAGAAGCTCCTCCCTTGGCTCGATGGCATGATGGATGCAGACGAAGCCTACTTCAAAGAGCACGGCGAGCCTCTGTTCTCCTCACACATGATTGACTTGTCGGAGGAGGCTGTCGACTGGAATATCGAGACAACCGCCAAATACCTGAAGCGGGCCGCTCCCATGAAGCAATGGCTCGAAATGGTGAGCACCTTTTGATCTGAGAAGCTGTGCGCATACTTACATCACTGCAGGAAATCGGAATCACTGGTGGCGAGGAAGACGGTGTCAACAACGAGGACGTCGACAACAACTCGCTCTACACTCAGCCCGAAGATATCCACCTCATCTACACCACCCTGAAAAAGATCTCTCCTTACTTCTCCATCGCAGCTGGTTTTGGCAATGTGCACGGTGTGTACAAGCCTGGCAATGTCCGTCTCCACCCAGAACTGCTCGACAAACACCAGAAGTACGTCAAGGAGAAGGAGTCTACCAAGAGCGATAAACCTGTCTTCCTCGTCTTCCACGGTGGCTCCGGCTCGAGCAAAAAAGAATATACCGACGCCATCGGCTACGGCGTGGTCAAGGTCAATCTCGACACTGATCTGCAATATGCCTACCTGACCGGCATCCGTGACTACATCCTCAACAAGAAGGACTACCTGATGCAGCAAGTTGGCAACCCTGAGGGTGAAGACAAGCCCAACAAGAAGTACTTCGATCCACGTGTGTGGGTCCGTGAGGGCGAGAAGACAATGAGTGCTCGTGTGGCCGAGGGATTGAAGGACTTCAATACCGCTAATCAGCTGTAAATGTCCAGTACGGGGATATGCAGCTGAAGCTCTTATGTGCTTTTTTTGGAGAGATGAGCTTTTGTGGTCCCACGGGCAGCTGGTCCTGACGAGAACATAACTTCATAAGTCAAGGGAAGCCACAATGTGCTTGAGCTTCACCTCTACGTAACTTACCCAAACAATATGAGAACAATCAAATTCAAGGCTCAGCAAGACCTTTGCCCCTCTCCGGGCCTAGGGGCAACTACTGGGTAGGCAATAGCCGACAGGCGATGAAAAGCTCAGCCACTTCATCTGTGGCGTTTTCGAGTGGCTCGTACGATTCGGAACTTAACAACAATACGTCATCGAGATTGCGGAGAGCCGTTGGGTGGACGTTGAGGGCAGATCAACAAATATTCGCACAACCCGTTGGTGCCGTCAATCAGTGTGCCACCCTCGTTCCTATACAAGTTGACCCTTCGCTCGCTTAACTTTGAAGATCTCGCCTACTGTTTTCTTCTTTTTTCGTTCTCAATCGCGCACTGTTACATCGATCCACCTCAACCTCTCTTCCACCCACGCTACCCCACCACCGCCATACTCCAAAAACATGCCTGAAGTCGAAGGTGGAGCGGTGCCGTCTCAGAGCAAAGGTTCATGGTCGTCGTTTTTGAAGGTGCGTCAGAGAGGTTAACTGCGTGCAACATACACTGACAGACGTGCGTAGTCGATTGCCTCTTTCAACGGCGACCTATCTTCGCTGACCGCTCCGGCCTTCATCCTCTCTACACAGTCACTCGTCGAGTTCTCCGCCTACTGGGCTGAAAATCAATCGCTGTTTATAGCACCCGCTCTAGAGAAGCACCCCGCGACGCGCGCACTGCTGGTGCTCAAGTGGCTGCTGAATACTCTCAAGCAACAGTACAGTTCGCGGTCCGAAAAGCTCGGCTCAGAGAAGAAACCGCTGAATCCGTTCCTGGGAGAGCTGTTTCTGGGCAAATGGGACGATGAATTCGGCGAGACGACCCTGGTGTCGGAGCAAGTCAGCCATCACCCTCCTGTTACGGCCTATTGCATCACCAATGAGAAGCATCGGATCCGACTCCAGGGCTACAACGGGCAGAAGGCTAGTTTTAGTAGGACTATCCACGTCAAGCAAATCGGACATGCCCTCTTGACCTTGCATCCTCCCGACAGCGACCATGCCGAAACCTACCTCATCACCTTACCTGCCTTACATATCGAAAGTCTGATCTATGGCGCGCCTTTTGTCGAGCTGGGCAAATTTATCCATATCATCTCCAGCACCGGTTACGTGGCCAAGATTGATTTCAGTGGCAAGGGTTGGCTGTCCGGGACAAAGAATAGCTTTACCGCGTCACTATGGAAGGAAGGTGAGGGCTCGGAGAAAAGCCCCTTGTACACTGCGGTCGGCCAATGGTCAGACTCATTCACGATAAAAGAGGGTGATGCAAAGCGTGGTAAGGAGGTTCTTACCTTCAAGCCCTCGGACATCAAACTCTCCAGGCTCAATGTAGCGCCCATCGAAGAACAAGATGTTGTGGAAAGCCGCAGAGCCTGGTCAAAGGTAGCACAGAGCATTGAGAAGGGCGACATGGATGCCGTCGCACATTACAAGTCGAGAATAGAGAATGCTCAGCGGTCATTGCGCAAGAAGGAGCAGGAAGAGAAACGTGACTGGGACAGAGTGTTCTTCTCACAGGCAGACCCGAACGACAAGCTCGAGCAGGTGTTCGAAAGCCTGGTCAAGGTTGCAGGAAGTTTCGGCATCAATAGCTGGGAAGGTGTCGCTCCGGACAAGACAGCTGGCGTCTGGAGGTATGATGAACAGAAGGCTGCAAAGGCACGCAAGCCTTTCCATCCCAAGGAAGGCTCGTTGGCTTTAGGTGAAAACGCAGATGGTTCTTCAGCACCGGTGAGCAGAGTTGCAACAAACCAAGACGCGGGACAAGCGACCTGATGGTAGCTTCGACGGAGGGGCGTGGCTGTAGCTGAGACCCCCGCGGGAAACGACACACATCCAGAAATTTAATGATCTTTGTATTAGTAGCTTCTCATGAGCAGCCGGTGGAATTCACATCAGTAATGATAGACGAGTGCTCCTCGCCAAACTCAAATCAGCACAATGGTCGAGTGAAGTCTCGTCCGACCGGTTGTCCGTGTCAATCAGCCAGCGTCAATCAGGCTACCCAGGCCCGACATACAAGCATCGATTCATGCAGACATCGAGATGAGAAGCACCACTAAGCCTTGCTCGGAGAGGTTGTGGGCGGCTCGAAGACGCACGAAAAGACGGCTCCTTGCCTGTGTGGATTGGTAATCTCAGGCATGAATAACCGAAGCTGGTTCAACGCCCGAAACCGTCGTCGCCGTCTCCGGATGTCGCACTCTTGATCTCCACATTGACATTTACTTACTCGGTGACCCGCTCTAGCTTGAATTGAACTCTGCTGGATCCGAACTGCCCAACATACCGCGTACCACTCTCGTAATACCAGGCATTCCGCACTGCTGCATATCTAGTGATCGAGGAGGGAGGACAATCGCGGATCGATGAGAGGAACACATGTCCTGGGAGATGTCATTGGGTTGACTGTTTCCCGTATTCGTCCAAGCAAGCATGCACAGCGATGTATAAGAACCCTAGGAAGCCTCTCCCCTGCCACATCACCACGAACACCGAGTACCAAAAATCAGGGAACGAGCTTTCCATCGCGGTGCCGACATTTTCAGACTGGTCAGAGGCAGCATCTCCGACTCGATCCTTCACCGGACACGGTCACGACGACAAAGAAGTCTCGACGCGGATCCAACACCATGTCGTCCCCGCCGTACAACGCCTTGACCCTTTACACGGCCGGCACGCCCAATGGGTTAAAACCCGCCCTGGTCCTGGAAGAACTCGGTCTCAAGTACGATGTCAAAGCCATTAACATCATGAACAATGAGCAGAAACAGGACTGGTTTCTGGAGATCAACCCCAACGGCCGTATCCCGGCACTCAAGGATGGCGATTTGCGCGTGTTTGAGAGTGGAGCGATCATGCTCTATCTGACAGACATGTACGACAAAGAGAAGAAGTTCACATACGAGTACGGGACTGCGCTGTACTACGAGATGATGAGCTGGTTGATGTTCCAGATGGGCGGCATTGGTCCCATGCAAGGTCAGATGAAGCAGCCCGCCGCCGCCACCACTCTTTTCCAGCTCATGGTCTTCTAACGAGGGTGGGTAAACAGGACAAGCGAATCACTTCCGCGCCTTTGCCCCGGTCTATTCGGCCTATGGCATCAAACGCTACCTCGACGAAACCAAGCGTCTTTACGGCGTGCTGGAGATCCGTCTATCCAAGGCAGACTGGCTGGCCGGTGACAAGTACACCATTGCAGACATGGCGAATTACTCCTGGACACGTGCGGGACCCTTGTTCTTGGACATCGACATGGGCGAGTTTCCGGGCGTCGCAAAGTGGCTGAAGCGGATCGAGGAGAGGCCAGCTGTACAAAGAGCGAGGAAGGTTCCCGAGTCGAGTCGCAGTGAAGAGGAGATGGTCAAGATGGTTCAAGCCGCCAAGGAGAGGGTCGACGCTTTGAAGGGGACAGCCAAGGACGAGCCTTCGAAGATATAGAGAATGGTGCCCATCTATGATGGACATGCACGTCGTAGTGAAGCGACAATAGCTTCTTCTAGCACGAAAGCGACGATGATACATACCTATGTAAGTGGCTCGTCGTGTTTATTTGCCGAACCCGACCTCCACGTCAAACTTCACTCCACTTCACTTCCACTTCGACTGGACATCCCTCTTGTAATCACCAGTCTTGCGGCTGACAAGTGCTGGCGTTTGCTGCCGCGCAGCCGACAGATGTGGAAGTTGACGAAACGAGTCAGGTACTGTAACGCTGGAAGTATTTGCCATATTGCTTTTGAAAGAACGAGATTTTTGTAGGAGTTGCTCTCTGCAATCCTGCTACATTTTCGAACTTGCTACATTTTCGAACTTGCCACATTTTCGAACTTGCTACATTTGCGAACCTGCCGGTTCGTTCTGCCTCACATCTCCATCTCTAGACCCACAACCATGCACAGGTAATCAGAACGAAATGGTCGGCACAAATTTATTTGCTTGTCCACTTCAAAGGATTGTTGTCTTGAGATATTGTATCCTTGCCTGCGTCTATGAGACTCTTGTATCCCCACCCCCACACCTGCCTCGTCACCCGAACGAGTCATGATGTCGTGCGAAGGCTGGCTCTCGAAACGAGAACGGGAATGGCGACGGAGAAGTAATAATTAGGGCCCAGGTGCGGGATTTGCGTCGAGGACAGTCCCGTCGGCGGCGCCTGGGGGGTTGACTTGAAGTGGAATGATCCCAGATGTGAAGATGAGAGTAATTTCAGGGCGAAAACAGGCTTGGGAAGTGTATGATGAGGCGAGAGGTTTGTGCGGGAGAATAGGCATGGAATTGGGATACGGATTGGGCTCGGGATGCCACAAGGACGAGAATGAAGGCGGATTTGAGCAGAAGCCTGTCTCGGGCTTGTGAATGGTGCCCTCTAGCGAGGGCGTTCACCAGCCATTATGATTTGGTCGGGATTGAGAATTCATCGACGGTGTATGCAGAGCGGATTGTCCAAAAGGGGAAGGAAAGTGGTGCGAATGCTGTGGGCATCGTACCGTGTTTTGGCCATGGCGAGGAATTGCTTGAATTTCAATATCACTATGTTGTGACCAGATCCGAGACACATCCCTCACCCCCGGAACATATGTCTGGGGCTCCCCTTCAACGCTGCCTATAATGCATACCATCACTTCTTCGTAGTTCCTCTTTAGCTGGGTGTCCTTGGGCCCCTCGTCTCCCCGTCCAGTCGCTACCCAATTGCGGCTCAATAACCGTGACTTTATCCCCCTCGGGATACCCACATCTTGTCTCCGCTCGTTGACGGTGACGCCATGTGCATCAGGCCGGTAGGCATGCATGCGACTGCCAAGCGGCCAGCTTTCTGATGCGCATGTGTCTGCGCGCCATTTCTAGGCCTTGTGCAGGCGCTGATATGCTTCCGGCTACAACAATTCCGGATATTCTGCGGCTGAAGCAGGGGAGCGTTGCTGTCTTTGACCGGCAGTCGGTTGGTGCTTGTAATCAGCCTCATTTCAATGGCTGGATCAAGAGCCCAGGAATGAAACAAAAATCCTCAGCTTGGGGGGTACCTGAGGCTTTCCTGTGAGCGACGCCATTCTTTGTCTCAGTATGTTTTGCTCCAACCGTCGCTCACACCAATGCCTGCAATGCGGGGGCTGTTGCAAACCCAGACGAGCGGAATTCTTTCCTAACAAGCATCTCTTGACGCGCCAATTGCAGTCGTTCGGCCGTATCAGCCTCTTCCTCGTGGGGCCGCAAGAAGTCCGGATACGTCCTTTCTGCGAACTGGAGGAATTCCCGGGCTTCATGGTCATGGCCTTGGGCTAGAGATAGTCCGGCGGCGTCGAGGATCGATCCCAGCCATATCTTCCGCACCAGCTTGTTGGGGCTTTTCTGCCACTTGGCGAGTTCGTCGACAAAAGACGAGCTTCTCAGCCTCTGATACAAGCTCTTTGCTGAGGGAGAGTCTGGATGATAGACCTGGAGAATGGCAGGGTCGAAAGGAGAAGATTCGATGGGGATGCCGTATCTTAACAACAAGTTGTAAAGAGGAGCAGAGACGCGTTTTTGGCTCAATTTATTTTGTAACAAGATTGCTCCGGCCACTTGGCGCCAGGAGTGCTGAAGTGGTTCTGGGGCGGATTTACCTCTCGACTTCAACCGGTATTCATGTGCTTGAGTGTAGAGTTGAACTGCCTCTTGTAGCCGACTCCGGCGAGCGGTTTCCTTGATCATGAGAGACACGAGGCGGTCCTCCGCCCGAAGATAAGCCATACCATCTGGGGCAGATTCATCGCTAGGTATGGAGGTCAAGTTGTTGAACGAACATTCGTAGAGGACTTGCAGCCATTGCCACACTTCACGTTCGTAGCCATCAATATACATGACAGACACAAGAGGTTCCATGTGCTTCGTGTTGAGCAAGAGATCCTCTTTTTCCGGAGCCGACATAGCATTGAACCAACGAGCCAGTCTCGGAGCCAATCCTTCGTCTTTGTTCGGCAGACTGCCTTGCTTCTCCCGGCCTTGGAGATATTGCAGGGCGCATGACTGGACGAGGTACGAATCGAGTGCTTTCTTCAGCAGGGCGTTGTCGAAGGTCTTCACCGCTGTCGCAGCCAGCCCGCGGGTTTGGAGAAATGTAAGAGACTGTTGCTTGAAGAGAGGATGCCCGAGAATGGTATCTAGATGAGAGTGGGTGGAATGGGTCACCCTTTGAGCGGGATCGGGAATAGACTCTGAGGCATGATGAGCATCGTGGCCGGCTTTGGGCGAAGGATGCTTCTCATCCAGGTGTCGTTGGAAGGCGGATTCGAGGACATTGAGGAGCTGCTTTGACTCGCGGGGCGACTGGGGTGATATCGGAGGGTGGATTGAGGCCAGCAGCTTGCGGATGTAGAGGGATGAGCTGAGCCTCATCTTGAAGCCGGTCAAATACGAATCATTGTAGGATGCTATAGTATGTACCCTAACATCAGTGACACTGCTGTCGTGAGCTCGATCAAGCGGGATGTGCATGTGTGGGGAGTGCTGGGCCAGGAACAGGCGCCACTGTCGCACCTTCGGGCTGCGCGCCAGTGGGAAGCTTGGCGAGGAACCTTCCCCCAGAATTCTGTGGCTAGAAACTTGTTGCAGCCTTTTGAATGTGTCTTCTCATACATTCATGTCAACATTGGATCATTGTGCTTTCACTTCCACCTCACCACTTGTACTTGCCTCTCCCGGTGACAGCTCTTCTCTCAGGAGCCAGCTGCTCTCCCAGTAGCTGCGACTTCCGCTAATATCACGTCACCATCGCCGTCGGTTCACCCTTCGCTCACCCGAACCTGCACCTCCCTGCCTGTTTACCACCGCATCACACCCAGCCCTATACCCATGGCCGAAGTTCAAAGCCGCACAGGCGGCTCTAGAGGTCGCGGCGGCTTCAGAGGTGGTCGAGGTGGATTTCGTGGCACAAGAAACACATCCAGAAGTCAGCACAAACCAGACAACGAACAGGAGAACACCCCTCCCGCACCGCTCGAAGATCAGGGTGAAGTCGGCGAATTGCTCAGGAAATATGGCGACAGAGTCCCTCTGCTCAAAGAAATCTGTCCTGGCTGGAGTGACCAGGACCTGGTCTACGCCTTGAACGAGACTGACGGCGACGTGGAAAATGCATTCGACCGCATCTCAAGTGGTAAAGAAGAGTCCCATGCTCATTTCAACGTCCTTGCTGACCATTCATGTCCAGGTTCAATCTCACAGTGGGGTGAGGTCAAGAAGAAACACGCAAAGGCCAAAGAAGCCACTCCCGCGTCAACCGAGACGGCTACCCGAAGCCGTGGTCGTGGTGGATTCGAAGGTCGAGGAAGAGGTCGTGGTGCTGAGCGCGGCGCTAGAGGCGGCCGTGGTGCAAAGTCAGCATCTGTCGCCCACACCAATGGTACGAAGTCAACTGGCGATGGTTGGGATACTCCTGCTACCACTACCGTGGACGCTACCGGAGGCTGGGATACGACCACTGCTGATGCTGCTCCTACCAATGGCGACACTGCAGCACATGCTGCGGACGACTGGGCAAATGAACCTGGCAAAGATTCGTTGTCCTCTCTTCAGACCGAAGAACCCAAACCAGCTTCAAGTGCCGCGCCATCTTCGGTCAAGCCTGGTGGATGGGCCGGATTGTTCGCTAAGCCTACGCCAGCACCAGCTCCCAAGAAGGCTGTCGCACCACCTCCGGCTACGCAGCCTGAAGCATCCCTCACTGAAGCAGAGCCTGAGCCCACGATTGAAGTCCCGGCTGTCGAGACGCCTGAGCCGGCTCTGCCGCCTCCAATAGAAGCAGTCGAGATCAACGAAGATGGACCGAGTGAGCTGCCCTCTGCGCCACATTCGGAAACAGGACAAGAGCTTACCCCTTCGAAAGATGAACTCACAGAGCACAACTTGGAGAAACTCCCAGATACCTCTCACCCACCTGAGTCCGCCACTCAAGCCAGTACTGTTGCAAGCACCCTAGATCCCCTCGCTACGGCCGACTCAAAGATCGCTCCCCGTGTGCCCCTTTCAGGCTATCACGCAACCGCGCTGAAGGCTACCGGAGGGGCAAGCCGATCTGCAAGCTTCACGAGGAAGGTCATGGAACAACAAGAGGCTGTGGTTATGCCCGGGAATCACGCAATCGAGAAGGCGGCAGTACAATTTGGCAAACTGGGACTGGGCGCGGACGACGTGGATGTGGACGAAGACCGAGAAGAGCCAGAGACTCGAACTCAGCTCCCTGATGATTCGCCAGCCGCTCCACGCGCTTCGCTCCCACCAGCCTTACCTGAAGCGCAGCAGACGCCCGTCGCAGTCCAGAGCCAACCTCTGGCTGAGGCACCGTCGACTGCTCAGCGACAAGCAGCTGGTCTGCCCCCTGCTCCTCAACAAGCGCCTGAACCATCTCCTCAGTCTTCTTCGGCATATGCGGATCAATACCGCTATGGGCAAGGCCAGAAGCCATACGACCCGTTCGGACAACAGCAACCGCAGACAACCCAAGCGCCAGCACAGGAACCCTTCTCCAACCAGGTTCCCAGCCAACCATCTACTGCTACCACCCAACCCGACTATGCGGCATACTACGGTCGTGATGCTTACAACTACTACGGTTACGGCCACGGTCAAGATGCTCAACGCAGCGGCAGTGCTTTTGGTTCCTCGGCTCCGGACAACCAAGCTCATTACGCGACGTCACGCCCTCAGCAGCACGCGCTGGGTCAGCAGGAAACACAAGGCAGTGGCAATAACACTCCTGCACCCGGCTTGCCCGCCCAGCACACCCAGCAACCAGCTGGTCACGTGCAACAAACTCAAGGTCACGCATATCCTGGATACGGTTACCCGAATGCATACAATCAACAGTATCCCCAGTACGCTGGAAACTACATGGGCAATATGAATCATCGTTTCGGAGCAAATCGACCAATGTTTGATGATGTACGTCGTCAGGACAGCGAATACTACAGCAGTCAGCAGCAGTACAACTATGGTCAGAATCACTACGGCAATACGTACAAGTCGAACTTGTATGGTCAACCTCAGCAAGGTTACTCCTACGAACATGGTTCATCTCCAGCAAACGTGGGGACATTCAGTCGAGAGGCGGGCTATGGCCGGGCTGGCTCTGCTCAACCTTCGGAGGCTCAGCAGGGTGCGGCTGCCAATGCCGGCTTCGGAGGCATGCCTGATCCCTTTGGACGATCTTCATCTGGGTTTGGACAGCCACAGGGCTTAGGACAACAGCATGGTGCGCACGCCGAAGATCCTGCCAAAGGATCAGGGCCGAGCCCTTCGATGCAAGGTGGGCGTCCTGGATCTGCGGTCAACAGTGGTTTCCCGGCTCAACAGGGTGTGTTGCCTCCGCCATCACAGCACTCTGCGCAACAAGCCTTTGGTGGTTATCCCCAGTATGGTGGTAACGTGGCCACTAGTCACCAAAACACCCACCAGAATACCGCATACGGCAGCTATGGTTCGAACAATGCCTTTGGCGGCTATGGCGGCTATGGAGGCGCCCGAGGAGGATGGAATGGCAGCTACGGCTCCGGTCATTAGTTGCATTGGCGGGCATAGCGGCATCAATCTCTCCTCTGTTTCTTCTCACTCACGGAGTCGAAAAATCATGGCGGAAATGGGCAGGGACAGATTGTCGAAACTGTTATTTGCGCGGACAATCATGCAACTTTGCCGCGGGGGAGACGGGTTCTTGATCTCTCGATGCGAGTCTTTTTCCTTGATAATGCAAACTGTACTTGTACACAAGAGAGAGGCTGAGGGTGTGGAAAGGGTGCCTGGGAGAACTCCAGTTCCACGAAGCTGTCATTATGGATTGGGAAAGGGCAAAAGTGATAGGTCATAGTACTCCTACTCAGACTGGAGAGGGCAATGGGAGCACAGCGAGGACAGCCTCATCGACGCCGGGCGAATTCGATGCTGATCAACGGGAAATTTGTGGAATGGAATGCCTCTGTCTCGCTGGACTCATAGTCTTGTAACTCGTATGGATGCTGATGGTCCGAATTCTCTTCGTGCCTCAGTCATGTGATCGGGCAAAGCCGGAAGATCTCTGAAGGCGCAGCTGAGCGGATGATCAGTGCTATTTCACCTCTGTCCGCTGCGTCGTTCTCGTCGTAGCCTATCCTCACAAGCGCTACTTTCCGTTTGAGGCTTCTTGTCCGCTGACAAACGGTCTCGAGGCTCAATGCACTGTGCTGAGTGACGCACTAGAAGTTGGTGGTGCAGGTCGCCGAGCTCGAACCTGACTGGGACGGGGACGAACAAGCTCGAATGTCGCCGACCAGTTCCTTGATTCGTTCTGCTCCGCAGCTCGAGAGAGAACTGTGCCCGGCCACGCGTCGTATCCGCGACTGGGTTTCCGCCTCCCAAGACTCTAGGCGGCCGGAATTGAAGATGTCCGTGTTGATCATGGCCAGGTAAGCAAGCAGGTCCATTACACACTCCATCGATCAAAGACTGCCGGGCGAGGGCCTCCACTGGCAGCACGAATAACGGTCGGAAGTATCTGTGGCTTAGAGCGCAGGTAAGTGTCCCTCCGTGCATGTCACCCACATGTCCAGATCTCTATATCACTGCGTCAGTCCTGGGAATTTAGTGCTGGCCAAAACCAACAACCATAACCATAACCACAACCACAACCACAACCACAGCCATCATTGTAAATTACATCTGCCAACACGATGACTTCCCCGAGCAAACCTCGCCTAGTCATCATAGGTTCAGGATGGGCGGGCTTCTACCTTGCCGAGAACATCGACCTGAACGCATACTCCGTCACCGTGATCTCTCCGCGTCGCACATCGGCATATACACCCCTCCTAGCCTCAGCAGCAGTAGGCCTCTTCAACTTCTACCTAGCCGAGGAGCCGGTGCGCAGCAAGTCCCGGTGCGCCCTCCGCTTCATCAAAGCCAACGTCCTGGACATCAACTTCCCGGCCAAGACATGTCGATGCGCCCCTGCCTTTGACGAAGACCCCCAGCTCGCGAATGACGAGTTCGACGTCGAATACGACTATCTCGTCATCGCGCCAGGGTGCCAGCCCAACACCTTCGGCACCCCGGGCGTGGCCGAGCACGCTATCTTCATCAAGAACGTCTCGGACGCCATGAAAGTGCGAAAGACAATGTTCGACCTCCTCGAGAAGGCGTCCCTTCCCAACGTCTCGCCCACGCGCGCCAAGGAACTTCTACACATCGCCATCGTAGGCGGCGGGCCCACGGGCATTGAATTGACCGCCGAACTCGACGACCTGTGCCAGGATGAACTCCGCTACATCTACCCGCAGGTCGCCGAGCATGTGAGCATCTCCATCTACGACGTCGCCCCGCACATTCTCTCGGCGTATGATAGCAAACTGCACGAGTACGCGACCTCGCAGCTGGAGAAGCGACACATTGACGTCGCGCCCAACACGCGCATCGAAAAAGTCGACAGCCAAGCGCTCTACATCAAGGACAAAGGCCGCGTCCCCTACGGCATGCTCATCTGGGCCACGGGGAACAAGAACGTTCCTCTCCTCGAGACCATCGACGTCAAGCTCTCGGAAAAGGGCCTCAAGCGGATCCTGACGGACGATCACCTCCGGGTGTTCAAGCCCGGGGAGGTAGGCGGCATTCATGACGGCGTCTTCGCACTAGGCGACGCCGCCGACATCGAGGGTGCCTCCCTCCCCACGACCGCCGAGGTGGCGGTCCAGAAGGCCAAGTATTTGGTGCGGAATTTCAACGAGCTGGCCAAATCTTCTGGTGCCGGTGCCAGTGGTGCCGGGACTGATTCGGCCTTCACGCAGCCGTTCACATATTCCCAGAAGCAGTTGGTGAGTTATATCGGGGCCCACGACGGGGTCATTGCGGGGAAAGGACCCAACAGTGAAGGGTGGACCGGGCGGAGTGCGTGGCTGGCCTGGCGGAGCGGGAGTCTCATGTGGAATCGCAACTGGAGGTCGAGAGTCACGATTGCCTTGACCTGGATTCTCAATCGGATCTGGGGCAAGGAGATTGCGAAGATGTAGGTGGGGGGTACGGGACAGTGAACAGAACCGAGGGACAGGTAGATCTGGATTTGGGCCCGGGTCCAAGCCTGGGTTTGGAATACGACTCACGCGGATCAACAACATTGGGCCTTCAATACAGTTAGCATGAGAAGCGCGAGGTCAGCTACAGGAGACATGTGCACGACACGAATACGCGCGAAATGATACCACACCAACACACACAGCCGGGCCCCTCACTAGATAATGTTAGATACAGCAACTACTGTACTATGTATTCTTTCTCCACTGACTGGTCCGGAGCATCAGGAGTAGAATCCACACAACAATTTTTACCCTATGGGTGGATCCTCTGCCAAAAGAGCACGGGTCCTCGTCCTTGCTATTGCCCTTGCCATTGTCCTTTCTGTGCCCGTCGTCGTCCTCACCTTTGCACAGACGGGTAACAGCCACACTATAACGGCACAACAGCGTACGAGTATGGTATCTCGTCATCATATCTGTCCTACAGATCACAGCCAGTATTTCCATCACTTGGTTCCATCAATACACACACCACGCTGTCCTTGTTCGGCCTCCAGCCTCTCGCAGCCCGCGACCCCCCCCCCCCCCCCCCCCCCCCCCCCCCCCCCCCCCCCCACCCCCCCCCGACCGTCACGGGCGCTAGGATCGTCAAGGATCGTGGAAAAGTTCGACATCCGAAGCCGAAGCCATGATCTCCCGGTCTGACTCTCCTAAGCACGCTAAAATAAACGCGCGGCTTCGAAACGGGCGGTGATGGTCTGTCTGAGTCGATGTACATCTACATTTCCCTCTCCCTCCCAATCTCCCTCGTCGACGCCCTCTCCGACGCCGGCTCCGTCTCCAACTCTGCAAGCTCGCGACAGCAGCGCGCAGATAATGACGTCCGTGTCGGTCCGCGTCAACGAACTCGAGGCATCACAATCGCTGGGGACCGGAGATCTGGCAACAAAGCCGTACCGTACGTGTCGGTGGATGTTGTTGCGGGTCGAGAAGCTGGCCGGGGGCCCCATCTGTAGCCCTTCGTCCTGCCAGCTTTCGTGCCCGCCATGAACAGCATGTGGCGCGCGGCACCTACGGGATGTGGCATAGGAGATAACAAGACTCCTCTTGTCGGTGGGCAGGTCGAAGACTTTGTCCATGTAGAAGCCCTGGAAGGTGGCGATGCAGATGGCCTTATCGCCGGCACGCGGCTGGTGGAGCGGTGTCGAAGCGCGTCGGACACGTTGATCAACTTGGCCGGTTCGAAATCCGCGCCCCCCGATGGCGAGATTGAGCATCTCCATGTCGAAATACAGTTGGCGGGCCGTCGGAGGCGATGTTATCTGTGACTGCTGACACTTTTGGCTTCAGCTTCAGCTTCAGACCGTCGGCGTTCCTTTGCCAGACTGACCGCGGCGTCGAGGAAAACTGGACATGAAGATTCCGCGCCAGGACGCCTTCTTTGAGGGTCCATAGTCGGCGCATCCAATTCTGAGCAGCTGAGGCGCATGGTCGTCTCTTCCGTGGTCGACGTGGGGATTGGACACTGCTGAAGTTCCTGGTTCAAGGACGAGCACGATCTCCGCCTGCTCGTACGTCTCAGATAGCCTGCTTATGGCGGTATTTGTTGCTTCGTCGTCCTCGGCCAGTGGAACACAAAGCGTGTCCAACCAGAAGAACGACACCTGGGACTCTGCGTGGAGTGAACTCGCATGCTCGAGTTTTTGGAAATATCTCGAGAGCGGCAACAACTGGCACCGCCAAATGGCATTTTGGCGGACATTTCCCAGACCATGAGACCAGACATGGGATATGGCGACGTACGGAGTGGCAGGGTATTTGACGACCTTGGGATGGACAGTTGTTTGCCCTTGGCTCTATGCCTGCCATGGAAAAGTCAACTCTCGGGATGCCAGCACTCGCGCGAGAATGGAGATGACTTGATCTCTTGATTGGCTTCGACGAGTTCGCATTCACATCCAGCTTCCACGTGGCTGCGTTCTGGTATCCGTTGAGGTCCCCGTAATTTCCCACGCACCGGAAACTGGTGCATCGTCGGTTGTCTTCACGATTCCCAGGGATGTGATGTAGTGGATTGAAATCGGCGGAGAACAGGTCTTGAAGCATTGTGATGTCCCTAATGCACCAGCCTTTTTGCGCCAATCGAGCTGTCGACAGGCCACTGAAGCCCCAATACCTGTGGGAACGTCCAGAGCACACGATCTGGTTTTACAACAAAAGGTTTGACACAGGGATGACTCTCGAAGCAGTATCTGGTTGCAAGTCCATTCGACCGAATCCAGATGCTAGGGGCAAGGACCAAACTCACGGTTCGGTCCAGGTACATATATCGTCATCGTTTTCCTTTGCATCAGCAAACTTCTCGATCCCGAGCAAGTTATTGGCGTTGTGAGCACACAAGCCTCTTATTCCACTGGGCGAATCATCTCATCACCTAATCCGCCGCCGTCGCCCTAGACCATGTGCTAGACGATTCCAGGTGGAGGGCATTCTGAAGACAGATCGGATCATTTTAACCGGGTGTCAGAATCGGCTCGAGTCTGTTGGAAGTTACACAATGTCAGGACTTCGATGTGTGTAGTCATCCGCGTATGCATATTCAACAAAGGGCCCGACAGTGTCATCGTTTATGTCTCCTTCGACGTCTCTCATCTCTGTTTGATTCGGTTCCTGGGGAGCATGACTTAAGCTTCTTTCACCCTTTTATCTTGTCAGGCCGGCAAGCATTCCCGTCACTCCAACTCCGGCACACTACGATTAATCTGGTCCAAGAACTCGGCGACATCCTTATAACTGTCCTTCCCAGCCTTGAGTGGGTCAGACTCGCAGGCAGGCTTCGTGTCCCACCCATGCTTATCTTCTTCATCATGTCGCTTTCCAGAGACCTCACTAACCTTGACGAGTACCGGGAGGGTACCACCTGGTGGTAGAGAAAGCGCAATATGGCCCACGACTCGCAACAACGCCTTGATCGTCCCACAGTGGCTCGTCATGCTGATGTACGTACTCTCGTCGTGCGTAAAGACATCGTCGAGTAACGCTCGAACACGTCTATCATGGCGTCGAAGTGACTCGCGGCGAGTAGGAGAGTGCAGCTCATCGTTCTCTGTGAAAGAGTCTTCGATCCGGAAGTCAGGAAAGTTGGTCTTAATATATGATTTCGTGGGCCGTAAGTCGCAGGGTTGAATGCCGTATGCTTCACGGAGGGATTCTTTGACCACAGGGCGGAAGGTCTGAGACGGTGGCAGGGGTAAGCCGGAGAAGGTGAGCTGGGCGGTTTGCATCGCCCGGGTAAGTGGACTGCTGTAGTAGGTCTGAGGCAAGGGCATCTTCTGGGTCGAGATCAAGTTCTGCCAGAACATCGAGGCGGCTATGGCTTGGTGTTTGCCGAGAGGGGTTAGGTGAGCATCGAGATAAGATATGCTTGGGACGTTAGGATCCCGGTCGAAGGCACCATAGTAGCACTGTACGAGAACAAAACCTCTGTCAGTCACAAGAACTGAATCAAACGATCCTCAGTGGCAGAGGGTTAGCATGCGGGAATCGGGACTGGAGGGAGATTACAAGACTTACATCCCACGCAGCATCGCCATAAAACATTATGCCAACATTGTGATACCCTTGGCCGTGTCTTCCGAGGTAGAGGAGTCGATATGTCACCCCTTTCGGAGCTCTCTCGTTCATGACTTTCACTTTATAGGCGAATCGTTCCCATTGACTAAGAAGTTTGCCGTTATCCGGCAACAAGTTGTCGGTGTCATATTTTTGGTCTATTAGGTCGAAATCCTCTTCCGTCTGCCACGGTGGAGATTGTCAGTTGGCGTTCCCAGCATTTACGCTCAGAGACGGCACATACGGCTTCGAGTCTGCCCGAAACTGGCCTTACGAGATCTTGACTAAAGAATCCGACCACAGAACTGTAATCGTAGTGCCACTCGTGGCTCCTTTCCACTTCATTCTTGGTCTTCGCAGCGCGAACCTCGGAAGATGACAAGGACTTGATCAACAAGGATTCAGTCTCACTCATGATGAAGCTGAGAAGGCAAAGGGAACACCAGCGAAGAGGACGAAAACAAACTTTCGGGATCTGCACTCCCGCGTTACTCTAACTTAGCAAGGGACTGCGGGTCGTATTGTATTAGCTATCATTTGATCGGGCTACTCTCCTTGGGTCCGGCTTTTGTTCGCAGAATTGTGTTCATTCCGACACGAACAGCGACAACCATTAGTAAGGACTCCGTATAGTGAACGAAAATAAGTCAGGGTGGGTGTGTAGTGTTGGGGGAGTGCGGGGTGAAGAAATCTGGGCAAGGCTCATCAGGCTGTCAAGACTTCCAGGCGCCTTAGGCAGCCAAAAACAAGGCGTCAACTTCGTCGAGACTCTCTTCACCAGCACGAGCGAGACGCGCCACATTGTGTTCATTGTCTTCGACAATGCAGTTGCTACGAACTGTAGCCTAGGTTCAATCTTCTCCCGCAATGCAACCTACGATTCGATATATATGCCGATCCTGCGACGAATGCCTACTGAGAATCCTCGTTCCTGTCGAGATTGGCCTGACTGATGCGTCTTCTGCAATGCGACGATAGTGGCAAGTTCACCTTGACCAAGGATCTAATCGAAGATATTCCTCCATTTGCCATCCTTTCGCACACGTGGGAAGCGGATACAGAGGAGGTTACCTACAGAGACATTGTTGAAGGTCACGGCGAGACCAAGGCTGGTTATGACAAGATCCGATTTTGTGGGGAGCGTGCAAAATGCGACAACCTAGAATACTTTTGGGTCGATACTTGTTGCATAGATAAGTCGAACAGTACAGAGCTTGCAGAGGCCATCAATTCTATGTTTCGATGGTACGGCAATGCGGCCAAATGCTATGCCTATCTCTCAGATGTCTCGAGACCTGCCTTAGACATCGTCAACACGTCCGAACAACTTCTTTGGGAGTCGCAATTCCGCAGGAGCAAATGGTTTACTCGAGGTTGGACCCTTCAAGAACTTGTTGCTCCAGGGACGGTCGAGTTCTTTTCTAAGGAGCGCTGTCTCCTTGGTGACAAAAGATCGCTTGAGCAAATCATTTATCAAACAACCCGCATTGCCCTCGAAGCTCTTCGAGGAGATCGTCCGTTGCACGACTTTAGTACCGAGGAGCGTATGTCATGGGCGAAACATCGCAACACGACACGGCCAGAAGACGCAGCCTACTGTCTTCTGGGCATCTTTGGTGTTCACATGCCTCTCATCTATGGTGAAGGTCGAGAGGGAGCGCTACGTCGCCTGCGGAAAGAGTTCGACGAGTCACTGCAGGCCCCATCAGTCTTGTGCAAAGACGTTGCATCGGACCCTCTTGCAAGGAGCGAGGATGAAAGATTCAGACACTTCACGTCGTCTTTCAACGATGCACCTGTTGATCTGCTCTCCATTCATTTCATGGACCGTCAGCAAGAGCTGACTCGAGTCCGAGATGCTCATCAAGTTCCCGAAGAGAATTCACCCGCTCGTTGTGCTATTTGGGGCATTCCGGGTGTTGGTAAGACACAACTGGCAATTCGATATTCGAAATTTTTTTGGAAGACCCAACAGTGTCAGCATTGTTCTGGATAGCCTGCTCTACTTTAGAAAGGTTGCATCAAGGCTTCTCGAGGATGCTAGTCCTTATCGACCATCCCGATCAATTCAAACCGGAGCAAAATGCGCGAATTATTGCGGCTCGTCGTTGGCTGGAACACCCTGAGGTCAGTGGAATACACCGTTGGCTGCTCGTCCTCGATAACGTTGACATGACAACAATCGATTTTCTTCGCGAAAACTTGCCACGACAAGGCAGACGAGGTCGCCTTCTTATCACTACGCGGACTGAAGCCGTCGCTCAGGCTTTGTGCAGAGCTTCTGGAAGGTTGCATCCACACTTCGAGATCAAACCGCCAACGGTGGAGGATTCTACGACCTTTTTTTTCAAATCAGTTGGGGTTACCGCCAATTCAATGTCGAGCGTTGAACGACGTCAAGTCGCTGGCCTGATGAAATCTCTGGGATGTTTACCTTTAGCTGTAGAGCACGTTGCATCTTTCATGAGTCAATCATCTCAAACTATCGATGGTTTCACAAGATTGTATCAAGGCAAGCAGAAATCCGATGTAAGTCCGACTTTGCACCATTATTTGACCTTGTTGCGATGGAGGCGTCTAACGTGGCATAGTTTTTCGACTGGCAAAACTTGTTCTCAGCCTACGAAGTAAAGTCGATCTCGGGCATTTTTGAGTCCCATCTCCGTAATCTCAGGCGATCATGTCCTGAGGTCTATGGTTTGCTGAATATACTAGTGTTCTGGGATCCTGAAAGGATCGACTTTGAAACAATCACAGCGGGCGCTTCCTTCTTGCTTCCTTCATCGGAACCGACCCAGGAACCTTCGAAATTGGAACGAAGCCGGCATTGGACACAATGGTTTATTCCGAGCCTGATCAAAGCGCATTGTTTTGGTTTCGCTTCCAACAGTCAGAGCTCCGAAAGGGCTCCAAACCTAGATCCCGAAAAAGACACGCTACTATCTTCCGAGCTCGACTCAATAATCAATATGATGTCCTCTGAAGTACGGCTCCAAAGCGCGCTGCATCACCTTCAGATGCTCTCTCTTATCAAACGCAGGTCGGCTGAAGAAGGGGGAGCATATAGCATACATGATCTCACCCAGACTTTGATTCAAGTGCTTCTTGAATCGGAAGGTAAATATCTACAATGGTTCAAATGCGCAGTCAGAATGGCCTGCGGCGCATTTGGTGAGATTGGAAATCCTGATATGCCTGAATGCTGGCATAAATGTGACGGCTTGATCTCCCATATCCTCTCGCTGACAAGGTACGGCGAATTGGTATGTCCTAACAACGCCGAACTACTAACAGCTCGTGGCCACGCAGCTGCGTACTGGTGCAAGCGTGGCAGATATCACGAGGCTCGTGAGATGTATCAGCAAATCCTGCGCATCGGCTGTATTGATGATACCCAAGCAATTCAGTGGAAACTCGGTCTCGCGGAAGTCAATTGGCACCTGAGCAATCACAGTGAGTCTGCATTGCTGTATGAGCAAGTACGGCGGATTCGAGAACCGCAATTTGGTGCTGATCACCCTGATGTTCTGCATGTCGTCGAAAAATTGGCACTCGTGTACCGGTCGCAAGCCCGGTATGAAGAAGCTCGCTCAATGCTAGAACATGTCCTTGAGAGCCGCAGAAAGAGGCTTGGACAAGACGACCTCGTCACTGTTCAGGCTGTTGAGAATCTTGCTCTAACTATCAACGAATACGGAGAAGCCGAAAATGACGAGGCCCTATACCTTGAGGCCGAAAGTCTGCATAAACTAGCATTGACTCATCGAGAAGCACAATTAGGGGCAGACCATCTTGACAGTTTGTGGACGGCTGATAGTCTTGGAACTAATTATCGAGCTCAAAGCCGACACCAGGAAGCACTGGAGATCTACGAAAGAGTTCTCAAGGGACGCACATCACAACTAGGAGAGGATCACCCGCAGACGTTGTGGACAGTCGCCAACCTTGCATCTGCATATACTGGTTTAGGCCGCTTGCAGGAAGCCGAGGCCATGTACACGCGGGCAGCCGTTGCCAACGGGAAACAGTTGGGTCATGACCACACGCAAACTCTCTGGGTAGTCGAAGGGCTGGCGGATGTCTATCATCAGCAATCACGGTTCGAAGAAGCAGCAACCTTGTACGACAGAGCGTTACGCGGCATGCAAGGTCGCCTAGGAGTTGAGCACCCAAGTGTGATGCGGATAATGCACAAGTTGGCGAACCTCTACCGAGACAGCAATGATGTTACAAAGTCGATTAATATGTTTGAGAGACTTCTAGAGCTTCGTGGATCGGGGCAAAGATCTGGCAATGCAGAGATGCTTCGAACGTATCACGACGCAGCTGCCACATATGTCCGTATGGGCAAGTACAGTCAGGCCGAGCAGTGTTATAGACAAGAGTTGGCCAAAAGTGTTGAAGAATGGGGCAATCTGCACGTGGAAACCAAGAAACGGGAGCGGAATCTGGCCGACTTCTTGAACGATCGAGAATCGCAGGGCAAAGCAGCCAATGATGGCATGTAGGAAGCTGTGGGAAGGGGTGAGGCTATGGCCTTCCAGTAAATGTGGGAAAGGAGACTGGGGGAATGGCCGAGTGTACGCTTGACGCCATGTATGTGCTGGATAACAACACCCCTCCCATAACACCAACAAACGGCCCCGGACAGAGGTGAACGATAGTGCTTCGATTATGACTTTGTCTTTGCTTGTATCCAAACGACGTTCATCGACATTAATGCGCTTTGAATATATATCAGGAAATCTGTAATAAGTCACGTTTCCCAACGACGCATTGAAGTACCAGTGAGGTAATGAAGGTCAGCAGCACATACCGATTGATAACATGCTGGCCTGGCTTCCTTTACCTTCCCCCTAATAGACTCCCTCCCCCCGGACGATCTTTTCCTCACACAATGCAGGCCGTCACATTCTACTTGAGCATCCTTACCCACAAATGATAGCCCTGACCTCAATACTTGCCCTCTTAGTATTCCCCGAAGCCGACGGGTCAACAAAAGACGTATGCGGCGCAACTACTACATGTCAGTCACCGCACTCAACCCACAAGACAAAATCACCCAACCTTGGACTTACACCTAGCCACGCCCTCCAAATTATCATCGATCTTGAATAACACAATATCATCCTTCGACATTCCCTTCTTGTAGTACCACCGATGCGCAGGGTTATGCGTCACTTCGAACCCTTCCTCGCTGAAATGTGGGTAGACTATGTCAATTCTGTGCAAGTCAGTTGGTGTTATACTGCGGTAGTCGCAAACCGCAAGGGGGGCGTCGACGTTCGTGTCGGCGACACAGCGCCATACGCTGTTCATGATTGTCAGTACCCGGTCGATGTGGATTGTTTGTAGGGTTGCTAATGGTCTCACTTACTCTATATACCGGTAACGACCACTTTTGATTGCTGCCGCTTCAGTTGGGAACTGGAATTCTAGGCGTTTGGCACAGGACTCGGGGGTGTTGTCTGGAGATTTGGGCTGGATCAGAAATGGTGGATTTGCTTTTGAGGGGCTGGATTGCTTTTGCTTACCGCAGTGGACTCGGAATATGGGACTTCTCCATGTGCCATCCCCCGATCTTGTCGTGTCGTTGGTTCGAAGCTTGCTGGTGTCAGTGATGCTATGCATTTTAGATGGTGGGAAACGCGCCGTACATTGTAATTGTAGATGAAGACCTTCTCGCATTTGAAATATTCCTTCAGCCATGCTGATATGGCTGGGAGATATTCTGATCGTACGCTTTCGTCCGTCCATTTTGATATTTCTGTCGGAAGGTGCATGAATTGGAAGCCTGTCTCGTCGAGTTCAAATACGTCTTCTTTGCCACCAATATCACAGACCTCGACGAGGTGGTCGCTTTCAACAAGGTTAGTACGCGCTAGCGTCGTTCCGCAGGGTAGCTGGCTGAAATATGGTTTCTGGGTTTTGTAGAGCTCCAGAGGAGCAAGATATGTAATAGTGGCACCTTGGACTTTGGGTAGACCTGAAATTAGATCCGAGATATCCGTGGCCGGCGCTGACGACAGGTCAGAGTCAGAGTTAGAGTCACTGGGTTTGCAGCGAAATACCTCGATTTACAATCTTCGAAGTAAATTTTTCTCGACAGTTGCCTACTTCGCCTTTCACGGGCAGGCTTCTGAGCCAGTTCCGCCAAGGTTGATCGAAGGGTCGGTCGGGATCGAATTGCCACGAGAGAACTTCTGGAAATTCGGATAGAAGCCACAGATTGGAGTTGGCTCCTGACCTAGGTGGCCAGAATGCTTTCCATGGTCGCCTGGTGATTTCTGTGGGTGAGAAGTCCTTGATAGGTGAATTGTCGTGCTCTTCGGAATCATGAAACCACGAAAGATCAAGCCTGTTCTTGCTTGACATCGTGAAACAACGTACTGAAAGCTATTGTGGGGCCGGACTTGAGATTCTGAACAAAGTCTGGTTCGCGAATGACCCCTCGAACAGAACAAAACATATCTCAACTTTCGAAAGAACGAATTCCATTTATTTGCAGGTCACACAGACTTTGTAGCCGAACCGTCTTGTTTCTGTCGCATCTTGTCCAACGTCTTTTAGCCTGATCTTGTGTGGACCGCAGTCCCCACGTGCTATTTGTCGCGCTGCTAGACCTCGTGGCGTCACAGCATCAAAGATTGAGCTTAACGAAGCCTCACTGGTCCCGTGTGCTCTTTAGGTTGGTCAGGACATGTATCTGTAGACTTGAATTACTCACCGGTTTCGACTTGGGCAAATGGGTGCAGAGTGACTAAGCGCCCAGCGCATCCCCCTCAAATGATCTAGTAGATTCTAAACCACTTCCCCGCAGGCGATCCCCGCTCCACAACGCCACTAATGTCTTGCGAATACTCCGCAATGCTTCGGGTGGTTCCCATACCAATCATTAGTGCCTAGTGACCACGGAGCACCCTCGGTTACTTTTCAATAAGCAAGGCTGGCGACTGCGCTGCTCCTGACAGATACACTGTTGAACGGCAGGTCCTCTACTCTCCACAGGGGTAGTTTCCATCTTTCAACCCTGGACGAGCCTCTTGTCCTGGAGTCGCGGCGGGACAGCGGGCAACAAAGACGTCCAGGGAATAACCCTCAAAGAGTGGCGGTGCGCTCATCCCGCGACCATACCCGAAACTGCGCCCTGGCCGCCTAAACAGTAAACCGCAGACCGATTTCCCAGCACCGACTTTACAGTAGCAGTTTCAAAACATCCCAGCCCGCTCGACGGGGATGTCCCTCGAACTCCAAGCCATCGTAGACTTCCTTGCAAAGATACGGTACGGTGACAGTGTAGCAAGGATGATCTCGAGTCGAGAGGTGGTCCATAACAATGCGACAACTGGTCTCGACGGTCCGTATTCGCTGGTGATCTTGCGTTGAAGCAGCAATCCGTCTGAGATTGATGGTGCAGATAGAACCGCAGTCTGGTGCCGGAGCTGCCATGCCACATGCTGGCAAGAAGCTCGCCTCGTGCTTCACGGAGTAAAACGTGATTGAGTGCGACGAGTACATAAGGCTGGTGAGGCTGATAGCAGTTCCTTGTGCCGGCGCTGCCAATGTTATGCAAGGACTGAGCGTACGAGGACGCCACGCCACGTAGCTTCAAGTACCGACCCGTCATCTGTAAATGGTCGTCACAGCCACCTTCCCACGTGGATGGCCAGCCGTTGACTCTGCCGAAGCGATACGCATCTTAGCTACGCTCGATACAAGGCTTTCGATTTCCAGCACCATACCACCTGTCTGTCAAAGTGAACCTACAGTAAGTAGTCATTGCTCAAATTGAAGCTCTAGCTTGGCCTGTTGATCCTACAGTAGAGTACAGTCGCAGTACAATATCAGTGCCGAGCAGTGATCGCCTGCCCGCTGTCTCGCGAAGCCACTTGCCTTGTCCCAGTTGTCCTCCCAAAGCCATGACTTGGCTGCAGAGAAGAAGAAATGAGAACCGCCCACTTGTAACTCCAACGGTCCTGATGCACGCTCTCCTTTTCCCGTACAATTGATCCTTCGGTCCAACTCCAGGCAAAAATCTTGAAAGGTCCTACTCCCTTTGACTGTGCTGCACATGTTTTGTCATAGCGCGTTTCATACTAGTTCGTCATTCATCATACTCAATCCTTCACCTCCATCGGCGCCGGATACAATGTTTTGAGCCACCTTGACCGCTGATCTCGTGGCAGCCGCCACAACGTGCTTTGCCCTGTCGTCGTCAACGAATCCATCGCTCCACCCCACCGCCATCGCAAACACTCGATAAACCGCGACAAGCACTCTGCAGGCTCCACCCAGCATGTTTCCCAGTATTTCTAATACCGCGGAACCATATTGTCCGAACATACCCCGGCAAAGCATTGTCGGCAACACGAACGGAAACTCCGGCTCCGTAACGCCAGGGGGTGGGAAAGTATACCGCTCGGCATAGAGAGGTCGTGCATACAGTTCCGTCATGATGCATTCGAGAATATACCACGTCCAGAAGGTCAGAATGAGATAACCAAGCCATGTCGGCCGGCCGGGGAGTAATGTGAGCATCTTGGAGTTGGAGCCTTGAGGAGTGGCGATGGTGCGAGGATGGAAGAGGAGTGGAACTGGGAGAGTGAACGTCGTATACGTTATGGGGAAACCCAGAAATGATGTGATGATCGGAGCAAGGGGGTGGACATGAGGTGTGAGGTCGTCATTGGGCCGGCCGCATACCGCGCAGGGCTGGCGTGGGTCGTGCACCGCCACGAGGGCTTGAGTCTGTTGATCCATAGACGTGACCGTGACGGAAGGTGCATGCGAAACTTTCTGTTCTAGCCTTGAGATACCCTTTCGTGCTTCGTGCAGATTCGACATTAGCCTCTCCATGCGGCTCGTCAGATGCCCAATAAAAGCGACGTCTGACGTCGATCCCACCTCATCACCCCGGACGGCGGGAGCAACAGCATCGTTTCTCTGCCTTAGAGCGAGAACTTCCTCTTCGGCACTTGTTCGGATCAGTGTGGTCAGATCAGCCGTAATGTCCGCAGCGTCGGTGAGGAGGTCTTCCATGGACTGAATGGTGGCATCGCCTAGGTTCAGTGTGTCTGTATCGTCGCGGGACTCCGGCCGAGCTTCGTTGGTGTCGCGTGATACTAAGCGGTTCTGCTTGGCTTCGTTAAGCACATTTGTCAGCGCGCTAGGAGGGAGGATGATTTGCTGTGTTGTGGGAGGATGTGGAACTGCTCGTGGCTGCTCTTGACCTGTTGCTGCTGCCTTGTCCGTTTCGTCTTTCGCTGTGGCCGGCTTCTCACTTTCCTTCTGGATCCCGCCATTCTCGACGAACTCAGTAACCTCCTCAATGACTTCAGGAATAGGTACAGATGTCAAGCGAGCGCCGTTGGGCAGAGGAGTATCAATCCATCCTCCGGCACTGATGTGCGGAGTCTGAGCATACTGCGGCACCTTCTGCGTCTGTTTCTGTGTCTTGACTGTATCAGGCAGGATGGTATCGGTCCATGCGCCAACAATCTTCGGCGTCTCCGCAACTCTTCTACCGAGAGTCACACCGTTGGGACGTGTTTCTGGAGACCGCGCCTTTGGATCTCCTTCAGGACCTGGTAAAGGGATGGCAGAAGCTTCCTCAACTTCTCTGACCATGTCATTTAGGGCGGGACTTGCTCGGGGAGTTGTGCTTACGGCCCGAGCAAGCCTCTGCAACTGATCGAGAGAATTTGACACTGAGCGTTCGGATGATTTCGATTTGTCTGTGCTCTGGCTCGACGACCTGTACACGACGATTGGCGTGTCTGGAATCGCTTGACCCACATCATGGCTACCATGGAATTGACTGACTGACGATTGCCGTTGTGGTTCCGTAGACGCTGGTTTGCCGTCCTCGGGAGTAAGATTGCGTGAGGACTTCCGTACATTCAAATTAGAATCTTTCGCAAAGATTTCATATAGACGGTCTGAGGCGACAGCGTTCTCCGTGAGATCTTCCATCTCCTTCTCCCTCAATGAGTCGTTCAGGTTGTTCCGCCCTCGAACCGGCGGGCTTTCCGAGACCTGGAATGACATGCCAGTGAAATCATTTTCCCACTTTCTTATTCGGTCGGTCGAGCTCTGCTTGGAGATGGAAGAAGGCAGCGTCCTCAACGGAGGGCTGTCTCGAGGCGTTGAACTCTGCTCAACCGATGGCAATGGAATGTCTGCCCCTGCTGCCGCCCAATCAATTTCCGACCCGGCATCGTCCTCGTTCTTTTGGAAGGTAGCGGGATGTTCTTCCGCAGCTGCTGGTTCATGATTCGATTCTCTCTTGTCTGCATCTTCTTGCGCTTTAGCGGCGCGTCTCTGAACCGCGTCGTGCCGCCATCTAGCAAGGAAGGCACGTGTTGAATCCCTGGTCTGCTTATCATAAGCGCCCGCTGAAGTAGGCTCCGAGCGCGTTGAAGAGACCGATGCCATTGTAGGGTCACTTAGTGGCGGCTGGTGATTACGTATCCGCGAAGGGTCCTGATAAGGTCCGGGCCCACCATAGGAACGAGAGAATACCGATGCCCTCGGGTCTGGACCAGGTCCCGGACCTTCAGTTCCCACCACAGACACCCTGTTTTGGCGGGCTTTGTTCAGGTCAATTGTCCTTTCCACTTCCCGAAGTTCATCTGCTGTGTCGCTGCCAGACTCATCATCTTCCGGCACAGTCGTCGGCTCCAGCCTACGACTAACCGTGCCGAGTGGCCGAAGGTTTTTATTCGGGGTGGCATCGGCGCTAGTGTCTGAATACGCCTTGTGTAACCCGTTTGCGCCAGCACCCAGGATATTGTCGAACGATATGGGGCCACGATTGGCGATACTAGCGAGATCATCGCGCCGATGTCCGCCATTGACCTTTCCCCTCGCTCTGTCCCCAAAGTTGATTGGCACGCTCTGTCGCAGCCGTTGGAGTCTTGCTCGATCTCGAGCGCGATCAATGACATGAGGCGTCAGCTTTTCGGCCAGCACACGGTCGGTCATCTCGTTCTGAACGAAGTCCAACGTACCCAGGGTGGGCGGTGCAGATAGACTCCCAGTCCGGTCATCGACAGGTGATTGAACAGGTGTCGTGTGTTGTGATGCACGGTCCTCATATGAGTGTCCCTGGCTTTGTGCATCCTCGGGGACAATGGCGTTCATATTGAGCTCCAAGGTGTCCGGCTGGTCTCTTTCAACTTCATCCTCGTCACTGTCAACGTCTCTTTCTGTAGCCGCCAGATCCTCTTCGTCTGCTATTCGCTGATAAGATTCATGGAGGCCACCAGGAGGGCTCGAGAACTCGCTGGGACTCCTAACAGGCGGGCCATGTCGGGACTGCGGGGGTGTGGTGAGTCCATTCGTTCGTGTGGGACTCGGGCTCTTCCTTTTCGTAAGCTTGGGCGACGTTTTCAGCTGCTTGCTCGTGCGCGCATTCGTGTAATCCAACAGCGAGGTACGACTCTGCTTGTTGCCCAGATCTTTGGCTGTCTGCAACGCCCTAGTCGCAGGGAGGGCGCGTCGGGGTTTGACTGCTGCTGGCTTCGCCTTCGATGGCGATGGGATCAAAGAGGCGCTGGAGAGACGCGAGTCATCGAGCAGGCTGTCGGTGAAGAAGTCTGCGCTCGGAGGATTTCTGGTGTGCTGACCATTGCGCTTACTTGACGACAACGGGTTGTTTTCCTTGTTTCGAGCCATGGCGCGCAAACTCGCATGCTTGCCCTTGCATGCTACCTGATACAATGCACTGACGATGCTGGTGGTAATGCCATGTGGAACAGGCGCGCGCAGAAGTGAAAGCGAGGGCTGCGACAAGGTGCAAACAAACACCCAAAGCGGGATCGAGGCAGATGCAAGATGCGATCGCGAGTGGATTTGCCCGGTTCGGTACGTGCCAAGCATTTCCACTAAAGCGGCATGTCCGCTTTCACTGCCGCTTCCTTCACAGCCAAGTGCACCACCATGAGGTACCGTAGTAGTCGTATTGTTATTTCAATCTCTGGGCCGTACGGGTCGCAAAAGGCCTAGCACACAGAGCGAGACAATACTCCAGTCACGCGAGTGGTATCTATAGGCCGAGGCAATGATGTCGCCATTCAACCAGCAGAAAGATACTTCCACCTCTCCCTCGCCTCACTCTCCCGTCTTTCCTTCTCTTCCTGGCTGACCATCTCTGTGCCTTGGGCGATTCTTTCATCCCTCGACTCAAGGACTCGTTTGACCTTCCACGCCATAGCCGCGACAAGCGCATACAATACTCCACTGACAAACTGCAGTGCGACCATGACATCCCAGATACTCTCATTCCCGCCCGTTCCAGAAGGGCATTCGTTCCGCTGTAACGGGCCATTGGCATTGTTGTTGACGCAGGCCCCGAGGAAGAGGATGGAGCTGACGAAATGTAATATGCTAAAAGTGGTCGAGAACCATAACGCCAGTCGCGGTGGGTTGATCCGGGCGAGGACATGCAAGTGAAGTGAGGGGATCGCGTTGAAAAATGCGAGGCCCGGTATGAGGATGGGTTGGATAACTTGGCCACTGTCGCACTGTCAGCTTTCCTTTGCGCTCGGCCAAATGCTCACCAGTATTTACGAGGTATAGGACGTACAAGTTCAGGTCGGTCTTCAGCGAAGCAATCCACACAGCGCCCAATGCTATCTCAACCATACTGTATACGCCGATGGCAAGAACGAGCCAGGGCGCGCAGCCTGTCCACTTTGCTGCATTTCGCCAACGTTCATCGCCTCTAAACGAGGCATCGGAGAGTCCTTCGATCCCAAGCATCACTGAAATCGTGTGATTCAATCGCGTTGAGCGCTCTGGATAGCTCTCTGAGACGAAGGTTCTTGCTGCGGGGCAGTGCAGGACCTTACAATGCCGACTAGTTGCCTGTTTAAACCCCAACAGCAAGAATCGCTGCTCACTGCAACTCGAAGTGTGCCGGCGCCCAAGCGCAATGTTTGCGTCTCCTGCAGATGTGTAGGGTGAGGCGACGGTCGAGGGTTTCTATGCCGCAGTCTCACAGCAGAAGAATATTGGAGATAGAAGGAAGCTCTCATAGTCTTTAAGTCATCGAAAACGGGTAGCAAGGTCACAATACTAGTGGTAGCGTACATATGCATGTTGATCTTTCTCCAGCCCTAATCACACTGCCTGACTGCTATCCCGCGTGTGGGGTCGGTATGGGAAGCCTGACATACCCGTCGTGAATCGTTTAGGCGCCTCGAAATCCTTATTCGATGTCGCAGAAATAGCCGAGCCAAAGCTTGTGAGGGCTTCGCATGAGCACAAGCTTCATGGCGATCACTGTGCCGGTACCCGCGCCGTCGAACATACCATCCTGTGCTGACTCGTGTCGATCCGAGCTTGTCGTCTCTAGCTACGGCTAGAAGTTCAGCCGATTTGGTACTGGTTGTAGGCTCAGCATATCACCGGATGTTGAAGCCTCGAGCTGGACAGGATAGTTCGTATCCGCACATTAGAGGTCTCAGACGCCTCCTGCACGCTTTCGCAATGGCTGAACCGACTCTTGCTCATGAATACTATGATGCTCAAGGTCGGCGACTCTTTCATGTCTTCATAAATCGTAATTGACTCGTGTTCACTTGGGGAGACAGACGACGCTCATGCCCATATTTCTGCAATTTTGGCACTGAGTGTCTTGGCCACCTTCTTCCTCGGGATCACATTTCCAAGTCGATCACTTATCATGGAGTCCCGCGACGCCCCCTTTTCTCGTCCTTCGTACGCCTCAGCCAAGGCACGGGGAGTGGGCCAGTTCTTCTGAATCTCGACAGCTTTCTCTCCAGTCACGCCTCTGATACACATCAGCATCTTGAGATAAACATCTCTGAGCGTCATGCTCTCAGACTTGTCGCACATGGCACTGAACACCGAAAATGTCATGCCAAATACTCTGTCTGGTGAGGTCTTTCTGAGACGCCCCAACAGCAATGTGACTGCTTCAGCCTCGAAGCTTTGAGCAGGTATGACATTGACATCCCTCGCTTCGTACAATGCTTTCAGAGTTCTGGTCATGCGCGCCAGATAGGATATAGTGTCGTCAAGCTTCGTGGTCTGCTTGACAAAGAAGTTATCGACAACTTGCATACTCGCCATTGCGCTCTCAACCGCATCTTCATATTTGTCCATCCTCTCTTGGGAAACAGAGTATTCTTCAACCAGGTATGTGACGTTCTTGATGCCAGACTTGTGAAGCCGGAATTTCTGCTCGTGAAACCGGCCGTCTTTGATGCTGCTGATCAGATCATCAAGTCGCTTGCGCTCAAGGATGTGCTCTAGCATAATTTCAATTTTGCCGTCTTCCCCGTCATCGATATTGGCACCTTTCAGGTTCTCTTTGTACAGTGGGCTGACTTCTGCAACCCAAAGCACGTCCCCTAAGGGCAGTGAGCGGATAATTGGAGTAATACCGAGCTTCTTGAGCTCCTCGGAGATGTAGTCCCGGTCAGTCACGCTTCGTACCTCACGCATATCGAGCACTATTTTCACCTCAAAGGATCCGGCTGGTAGAATGATGGTGTCTTCTGTCGTGGAGCCGGCGCTCGTCGGTCTTCGATGAGTCTGGCCTCCTCTGACGGTTGTTAAGCTCAACTCTGGTTCCGAATCAGGCCAGTCATTTTCGGAAGCGGATACCAGATCAAGGATATCAGAGGGCTCTTCGGCACCTGGGACCTTCGTTATACTTTGCTGTGGCCGAGGTGCTGGTGCGGGTCGACTCGAAAACAGCTGAGGCGTGATCGACCTCGAAATGGTGACTGGACGAGCCGCGGGCAGGTTTCGTTTGGTGGCTGGACCAGGCATGGCTGATCTTGATATCTTCTCTTCCCCAGCTGGTACGCTCTTCTTCTTCTGCATCAGTTTCTCCACAGGGCGGCCCTCCTCATTGGCCTTGATGCCATCCGCAACTTCCCATCCTTCGTCTGACAGATAGTATTTTTTGGTTGGATGACCCTTGGTGCACACAAGCTCTTTTGATTCCAATGTATTTATGGACTTCCATGCGGTAAAATACTTTGTGGTATCACTCGGGACGGTATAGCTCGAGTCGCAGTGTTCTTGTGCTAGCCTAATGAGGTCTGCCTTTGGAATAGCCTGATTGCTGGCCCGGTCCAATGTGCCCAAAGCCACTATCAGGCCGTAGGCCCCAGAGCGGTATTTTGGAACGTATGGCTGGGGCCGGCGCTTCTTTTGAACAGGGGAGGATTGTTCAGCTTCAGCAGCCGTTGCCGCATCTGACGCTGTGGCCTCCGACGCCCTCTTCGGCCTGCGCCTATTTTTCGTTGGCATAGGTAGACCATTTTGCTCACAGTGCTCCTTCAGCTTGTTTGTCAGTCTGTCACAGAGTGTTGGCCCAAGGCCATTGAGCGATCGGGCTTCGGAGGGGTGGCTGAACGGTATAGGACATGCTATCATCGAGTTGTATGCTTTCTTGTAGCTTTATCTCAAGTTAGCCCTGCGCTTCAGGAGCATGAATGTGGTAACATACACAGTGTAGCTTTTGGCATTCCGTTCTTTCGCTTGATCCATCCATTCCTTCAGCCATCCCGCCAGTAGCGGGTTCCTACATTCTTCATTCATTTTTTCGAGCACATAGAGGTGCAAGTTCGGTTCACATCATGATTTGGGTTTGATCCCGCAGATATGAGTGGGAAGGAAGTACCGTGCAGTGTGGTGTCTGGCTTGTCCCTCGATTATTGAGTCAACAATCGTGATGATACACAAACACCCACCCCGAAGTTCTTCCGGTTCAGTCGCGTCGCGGGTAGTCGCGATCTCTTGACGCGACGTCATGTGATGAGAGCTGCATGTGGTTTGCCACCCCTCTGGGCACTTTGGGGATAATTACTCCGTACATATCTACACTCTGGCAATAATCTCGTGCTGCCTGTGTCACGAAAGACTTGAAAAATCTCACAAATCATGACGTCTGAGTTCAAGTGCCGAATGTTCTACTCATATGATCGTACCAAAGACTGACCTCATATCCGGCGAAGCCTCTCAACTCCGTCTCCTTCATTTGTCGCGAGTGTCGCTTAAGCAGGTAATGAATCATGGGAGAGATTGGCGGATTGAAGGCACATTCCTTCGTTGCGTTGGCAAAAACATTGCTTGATGAGCGTCTGCGTGTTTACTACAGGGCTACAACACTGGATGGTCTTTGATGGTCGGGCAATCGCTTCATCGAATGACTGTGCACGCCAACTAAAGTTTGCAGCAAAGCTGCCCAGCTATGGCGCATGATTGCCGGCGGTATGTGGAGGAAGAGGTAAAGAGTGACTCGCTCCACTATTTGCTATTGTACATGCAGGAACACAGAGGAACTGGCTCTTCTGCCACCAACCCCATCTCAAACCCGAACCTTATTTCGTCATGGCAGACTCTAGAGGTATCCTCTCGGGCGGCTTGCCGGCGGCACCAGTGCTAGTGCTTCTCTCTGTAGGTCGTGCCCGTTCAGACCGAGAGGACTAGGGAATACTGATGACGATAATGACGGCGTTGGATGGCGATATGTGTTATAAAAGCTCGTCTCTTCTGACAAGGCTTTCCGTCGCCCCGATATAAGAACTGGTACGTACACAGCACTACCAACGATGTCAGTGGTTCTCGTTCTCGCGTTGACTTGCTATGGAGCTTTCAGCGCTCCAACTCCTCAACAGAGTGGCGGAGTTAGCGGAGGTCAAGGTGGCAGTGGCGGGCAGTCAAGTGGCAGTGCGCTACAAGCAAGCAATCCCATGACACTGACCAGCGGTGGAAGCGCGTGGCCCACCACCTCCCTGCTCGGACCTGAAAATAATATTGTTTTCGCGACTACAGACTCGGCGAATCAGCCAACATATACGCTGGTGCCGAATCAGGAAGCCCCGGCGGACAATGGCATGATACTCGATTTTACGAACGAAGAATCCCCACAGGCAATCCGAGGTGACAACGGGGCAAGCGATTTTACGGGATTCAATGCACCATATGATCGTCTGAATCCCAATGCTTTTGCCCGGCCAGGAACCGATGCAGGAGATTCGCCAAACTTCAAATGGCCAATGGGTCTGTCGAGCGCTCGTTCTGGCACTGGTGGCGGCAACCCAGGGTATGCACGACAGCAGAATATTGATGAGCTGCCAATATCCCAGAGCATGGCTGGAGTTGGTACGTTTCCAGCCCAAGCCTGTTTTCGCCCGTTGCAGAGCTGTTACGGTAGCTTCGCAAAAGCCAACCCCGACTAACAGACGTTTACAGATATGAGGCTAGCTCCGAATGCGCACAGAGAACTGCATTGGCATTCCGCGAACGAGTGGTCTTACGTCTTCAACGGCAGTGCGAGGATTTCTGCTGTCGACCCAGCTGGCCGCACTTACGTCGACGACATTCAGGCAGGCGATCTGTGGTTCTTCCCTGCCGGAATCCCGCACTCAATTCAGGCAAGCCCGGATGGAGTCGAATTCCTCCTTGTTTTTAGCCAGGGCGACTTCTCCGAGGACGCAACAGACCTTGTGTCCGAGCTTTTCCTGCGAAATCCAAAAGAAGTCCTCGCGAAGAACTTCCAGACAGACATTAGCGATTTTGACAACCTTCCCGAGGACGAGAAATACATTTTTAATGCGGCACCTTATCCAGAAAATCTCACAGAGGTCCAGCAAAGTGTGCTTGGACCAACGGGCCAGGTGCCCTCTGATCAGGCCTACACCTACCATCTATCTCAACAAGAACCTTTGCAAGTTCCAGGTGGTTCGATCAAAATCGTCGATCCAACTGTCTTTCCGGTGGCAGAGAATTTCTCCGTGGGGTTTTTCACAATCGAGCCAGGAGCAATGCGCGAGATCCATTGGCATTTGACCTCTGACGAATGGAACTTCTTCCTAGCGGGGAACGCCCGCATCACGAGTTTCACTGCCCCGGAGTCATCTCGCACATTCGACTTTCAGGCCGGGGACGTGGGGTATATCCCAGTCGAAAATGCTCATTACATCGAGAATACGGGGAACACGACGGTCAGCTACATGGAGGTTCTGCAAGCTCCGCAGTATCAAGACATGAGCGTGAGCCAATGGCTGGGTCTGACGCCTGCGAACGTGGTGGCGGACACATTGCATCTGCCGCAAAGCCTCATCAGTCGCCTTCCCAAGGTCAAGAACTACATCGTGCCCGGCAACGCGAACTACTCGACCACGAACTTCACGGTCGAACCGTCGGCGGTTGTCAAAAGGAAAGAGCCAATGGGTTACAGCAGGAATTCAAGACTATTCTAAGCCCAATGTGAACGAAGTGGCGCTTCTGGGCAGCGGGATGATCCGTATAGTTCAATAGGTATTCGAGATAGGCAGCTCAGTACCTTTAATCTGATTGTATGTTTCTCATTTGATTCAATTGAAAATAATATCCCAGGGCCAACTACACAGAATGAGCCTGCTACCATGAGTCACTCACCGTGTGTTCATTCAGTGTATTCCAGAAAGGCTAACGGAGGGAAACCCCATATTGCTTGGCCCTATTACGCGCCAATTCGTCAATCCGAACACGTCGCAGCACTGGGATGCAATGGCAACGCCGTAATGTGCTGTGACTCATGGCACGTTTTTAAACTACACCCAGACTAGATCGGATAACGGGCGTCTGCTGAGATCCTCTGCTTTTCAGCCTCTGACCAACATGAAAGTCGTCGTCGAACCCTACAACCCCGCCTGGGCAACGCAATTCCAGGAGCTTAAGTCCGAGCTCGAAGAGATCCTCCGCGGGGTCACGTACATCAGCATAGAGCACGTCGGGAGCACATCCGTCCCCGGGCTCGCAGCGAAACCCACCATCGACCTCTCGGTTATCGGCGAGCCGCAGGACATCCCCGCTGCTATTGAATCCTTGACGACCAAAGGCGGGTATAACTACATGGGCGAGATGGGCATCCCGGACAGGCATGCATTTCGGAAACCGGGGGTGGCTCCGACGAGGAATCTATACGTCTCCGTCAAGGGTTGTCAGAGCATCAGGAATCAGCTTGGTGTCAGAGATCTTTGTCGAAGCGATCCGATCGTGAGAGATGCTTATGGGAGGAGGAAGTTGGAGCTAAGCCGGCAGGAGTGGAAAAATGTCGACGAATACTGCGAAGCCAAAAACGACATCATCGCCTGGATGCTGGAGAAGGCGGGATTGGGTGAGGAGGAAAGAGAGGAGATCAGACAGTTGAACAAGGTGACCGAGACGTAGGCGTGGGGACGATTGCCTCGCTGAAGATCCTCAGAGGTCCTTTGGCACCTTTCATGGGGGTTGCACTGGCAGTCCGGTCTGCGGCTCAATCCCCTCATCGACGTGCAACATGGCAAGAATGAGCGAGGAAGCACGAGACCAGAACAGGTGTCTGGATGTGGCGGCACCTTGGTGGACGATCACCCTTTTGCACTATACCCCAGTATTCTCTGCATTTCTGATGGAAATTGTCCCAACGGTATGAGTATTCCTGTAGCCGTCCTCTTCCAGCAATGGCATGACATTTTGAGCTAGTCGAGATGATTTGACCCGGAGAATCCTACGAGTACGGTGCGTGTTTTTGACACATATCAGATGACATCAGTGGTATTCTTGTTCCGAAGTTTGCTGTTCCTCAACTCGCCTAACGAGACCGAATACTTGTAGGCAGGGCAAGGAATCGCGATGGCAGTCGGGTTTGGTGGGGTGGTAGCATCACTGTGCATGTGGTGGAATGCGCTGGCGACGGTCTTCTGCATGACATGTGCACACTGGAAAGATATGGAAGGATTGCGCACAAGAACGTTCCATCGTCAAAGCCTTCTTTGCCTCGATCACGATGGTGCCGCTGAAGAGAGACGGAGCAAAAAATGAGCAGATCACTGACACCTGGCGAATGAGATTTTTCAAGTGAGAGAAAACAGCGGAAAATTCTATGGAACAAATGGAGTGCTTGACGCACTTCGGCCCAATGACAAAGGCTAAAAGACGCTAAACGCAGTGGGGGCAGCTAACTAACCGAAGGATTTGGCGACGGCCAATTGGCACCCCCAGGGCCCTGAACAGGACCCTTGGCTGGCATCATAAGCGTTGGGAGCGTCGAGGGTCTCACGGCCGTTTCAAAACGCTCAAATTGGAGATTCGGCGAAGCGCGACATGCACCACGAACCATTTCTACACCTTCGGTTGCCTCTGAAACACCTTCGTCTTCCCAATTGTTAGATATTCTTGGACAGATCTCCTTCTTACATTCTCACATCAGCAATACATTCGCTTCCAATCCTCTTTGGTTTCTTACAGACAGATCTCCTTGCACCGTCATTGTCTCTCGCTGAAGCCCGGACACTAGGTACTGTACCTCCTGAACCGCACTCGCCTTTGTTCCCAGCCCGGAAATCCCATTGTTTTCAGAAGTACTGCGGCAGAGCACCTTCACAGACCGTTCCACCAGCATTCGTCAATCACCGCGGTCTTGCGCCCATATTATGCGAGTATACTTGTCAAGGTCTGCATTGCAGAGATAGAAGAGCATCAAAACAACATGTCGGTGGCCCAGGCTCTGTACCCGCGCCAAACATCGTTCGCTCCAGATGCAAATCTTTCCCCAGGAGAGCAGGTCCTCCAATTGATTGCCAACCCTTTTCAAACTTCAGTATGTATGTCCCGAGCTCACACGGAGGCACATCCGCTGACCACTTTCCCAGCTACAAACTAGTGCCTTTTGGGCTTCTCTTGCAACATCACTAGGAATCAGCGCTGGTCTCGCTCTCCTTTTTTGCCTCATCCGCCCTCGAAACAACGTCGTCTATGCTCCACGCTTAAAAATTGCAGACAAAGATCATGCCCCACCACCGATTGGCAAGGGGTTGTTTAGTTGGGTGGCACCTGTTAGGCATGCGTCGGAGCCCTTTCTGATGGAGAAAATCGGCGTGGATGCCGTGATATTCCTGCGGGTCACCCGCATGCTGAGGAATATGTTCCTGGTCCTGGGTTTGATCGGGATCGCCGTCATGATACCAATCAACATCACTCAAGGCAACAAAGCAATCACACATGGGCTGGACCCCTTCGCCATCATGACACCCTTATTCATCTTTGGCGGTGGGCTGTGGGCCCAGGTAGTCATGGCATGGCTTATGGATTTGGTCGTGATCTACTTCCTTTGGTTCAATTACCGCCGGATCCTGAAGCTGCGCCGAGCGTACCTTGAAAGCCCGGATTATCAGAAGAGTCTGCACGCTCGGACACTGCTGCTCCGCGATATCCCAGACCAACTTCGGAACAACGAGGGCATCGCACACGTTACCGATGAAGTCAATCCCACGGGTGCACTCCCGAGAACCACGGTTGGGCGCAATGTCAAGGTGTTGCCCGAGTTGATCGAAGAGCATGAAAAGGCTGTCCGGGAACTCGAGTCTGTACTTGCAAAGTATTTGAAAAACCCGGACAAGCTGCCACCGAACCGCCCAATGATCAAGGCGCCTAGCAAGTACAGAGGTCAGACCAGCGGAGGCAAGGTCGACGCCATTGAATACCTGACCGACCGAATTCGGGCGCTCGAAATGGAAATTTCCGACGTTAGAGATCGTGTCGATAACCGCGATGCCATGTCTTACGGCTTTGCCAGCTGGGATCAGATTTCTCAAGCGCATACGGTAGCCTTCCAGGCACGGAGCAAGCGTCCACAAGGCACCAAGATCCAATTAGCACCCAGGCCGAATGACTTGATCTGGGACAACTTGGCACTGTCTCGAGCTTCCCGGAAGACCAAGCGGATAATGAACGGTGTCTGGATCGCCGTTCTCACAATCATCTGGACTCCCATCAACGCAGGCATCGCTGTCTTCTTGTCCAATCTGTCCAACCTGGCTCTTGTCTGGCCGGCTTTCAAATCTCAGCTCGAGGCGCATCATGCAGGCTGGTCGATCGTACAAGGTATAGCGGCCCCCGCCATTACCTCGCTCTTTTACCTGCTTCTTCCCTCCATCTTCAGAAGACTCCAGGTTCGCGCCGGAGATGTGACCAAGACGGAGCGAGAACGCCATGTTTTGCGAAACTTGTACAGCTTCTTTACTCTCAACAACCTGGTGGTCTTCTCGATATTCTCGGCAGTTTGGCAGTACGTGACAATTGTGATCCAGTACAACAAGAGCAACAACGACCTTTGGACTTCCCTGAGACAGGGCCAATTCTTCTTGGTCATCACAACCACCCTCTGCCAGATCTCCCCTTTCTGGGTCACCTGGCTCCTTCAGCGCAATCTTGGTGCCGCGACTGACCTGGCACAACTCTGGCAGTTGACCTACGTCTGGTTCGCAAGGACGTTTATGTCACCCACGCCCCGACAAAATATTGAATGGACGGCACCTCCAGCATTCGACTATGCCAGCTACTACAATTACTTCCTTTTCTACGCCACGGTGGCCCTCTGTTACGCAACGCTCCAACCAATCGTGCTGGTCGTCACGGCGTTGTACTTTACCATCGACACGTTCCTCAAAAAGTATCTTTTGATGTATGTGTTTGTCACCAAAACCGAGTCTGGCGGCCAGTTCTGGGTAACGATATTCAATCGGATGATCTTTGCCACCATGTTGTCGAATGTTGTTATTGCTGTTGTGGTGAAAGCGAGAGGAGAGTGGACCCTTGTCGCCGCAATCGCGCCACTGTTGGTCATCTTGGTCGCCTTCAAGTGGTATTGTATGAAGACTTTCGACCTGGACCTGAAATATTATGCTCGTGGTGGCTCGCAAGATTCAGAGCGCATGGCAGCCGAAGCCAAGGTTGGCAAGGCGGAAAAGATTTCTTCGAGGTTCGGCCATCCTGCTCTTTATCAGCCTCTGATGACACCGATGGTTCACGCCAAAGCTAGACACGTCCTAGCCGAGATTTACCACGGTCGCCTCAATTCGGAAGCAGGACAATCCATGACTTTCTCAGACATTGCCATGCAGCCCATGAACGAGACGAGCAAACCGCCTCAGAACGTCCCTTTCGAATTCGTTGCTGAGGCACAGCAAGATTTCCAGTTCTACAAGCACCGGGAGGATTTCCGATCAGAGGCTGGTGACGACATGCTGTCCGAGTCAAGAGCTCAGACCCCGGCTCTGTCGATTGCGAAGAACGAATTCGGTTCAGCTCCGAGTACTCGGGATTCAAGCCCTGCTCCTGCTATTCCGCGTCTGGCTGTCCACCGCAAGCAATTTGACCAGTCCAATGTGCCTGCCCAATTCAGGGTTGCGCCTGTCGCTCCTGCTGCCGGCAACCTCGGACCCCGTCTCGGTCCGTATACAGATCCATACGACGACCGGGCGAATCTTCTGGGAAGTGCAGGAGACATTAGGACTCCGAATGGAGAGTTCATGGCGATGGATCAATTCCGGACGCCCATGGAAAGCCGGGACGGTAGTGAGTACCACGACAACACACCGAGAGACGAGTTGAGCTATGACTATTTCAGGAGCAAGAGGTAGGACACCTCATGAATGTCAGCTTAGAGTAAATCTTTTCGGCTGTTGGTTTCAGAAAGGCCAACATGGACAAAAGCAGGCGCATTATGATGAAATGAAATCGGGTATGATTGTGATGACGATAGAAGACGCAGTGGAAGACATCTGAACCACCTCATTTCCACCCGATCACCGTACCATGTTCCTCGTGACTGGCAGGTAATTATACGTGAGTACGTCTCTTGGTTCACAGCCCACCTAGACTACTGGGTGGCTCGGTGGCCACCGTCTCCGAGCACTGACTGAATCATGGAAGAGGTCTTGGCATCAACCCATGATTCAGTCGGGTATGTCAAACTGGCCTCCCATCTGGTACAGAGTGCTTCTCACGATCTTCCTCTCCGGTACAGCAGTGCAAGGCGCCATTATGGGTGTTTTATGATTGTCTCTTCGATCTCTCCATGATGCCGAATCCATAGCAATCGTGAGTCTGGCTGGAAGCCACCTTCGAGTTCACCACTTCCCCCTCTTGCCTTGGCCTGGGATTGAGGCAGGGTCTCGCGAGAGAGACTACAACAACCCTGCCACGTGTTGCCGCGCCTGGGGTCGATTCGGCCTTGGTGGCGCAGACAGAACGCATTCATGCAGCTGCTCCAGGCTGACTCTTACGACAACGCAGTATGCAGCTTGGGGGGCTCGCGGCGCCAATGGGCCGCACGGATATGTGCCGCAGGTGCTAAGCGCCAGCCTTACTTCAGTGCTTGAAGATTTCGAAACCTCTTTCAATCGTCGCAAACTTTGTGTTTCCTACTCCTTCCGCAGACTGACAGGCTGTAAGTGTCAACAGTACCCATCATGTCCGGTGTCGAGGCAATTATCGGTTTAGTGGCTGGTGGAGCAGGTTTTGTCTCGTTGGCCTTTCAACTGATGGAGAGCACGACAAAGCTGAAACGCATCTACCACGCTGCACAAGATGCACCGACTACCCTGTCAAGGCTGACGTTCGACTTGGAGACAATGGCTATGGCCCTACGTCAACTCGACCAGCATCGCCAAGCAGGTACTCCCACTGAAACTCTCCTTGCACGCTGCATTATAGCGTGCGAACGTGCTACAACCCAAATTAAAGAGCTGGTCGACAAGCTGGAAACTTGTCTAGCAGGGCACAAAAAGATACGCGGCAAGCTGTACACGGCCTTCAAACAACACGATGTCCGAGAGCTCCTAGACAACTTGGAGAACGCGAAAAGCTCACTTCACATTGCATACACGATGCACTTGGCTGAAGAACAAAAGCTGCGCGACCTTACGCACAGCAATGTGGTGGCGCTCCAGAGTGCTATGATTTGCGACCTGCAAACTCAAATGCAGATGCAAACTGCGAGTCTTTCAGATCAGTTAACGTTGGTCGCTCAAGCACCCTGTCTTTCGCACCACCAACACGGCAACGCAAAGACACAAAGACCACTGGCTTCCCATTTGCGTGGATTAGCTCCTATTCCAGAGGACAAAAAGGATTCGCTTGTGAATGATCGGACCAACACACGCAATCCCCCACGGAAAAGTGCCAGGACAAAAAGCAGCAAGTCGCGCTTCAGGGTGACATACCAACTTCCCAACTGGATTTCCCGCCGAACATACGATATTGCCTTACTTCAACTGCAGTGCGGCTGGGATGTGTTACTGCGGACATATAACGTCGTGCATTATGATTCACTTATCTTTGACTTTGTTGAATACGGAAATCTCGCAAGAGTTAGAGGACTCATTGAAAGTGGATATGCGACACCACTAGATGTTAGGCCCAATTATGGAGCAGGTCTGATACGGAGCTTTGGACCTTGGCAAACATTGCTTGAGGTGAGTGACATTTAGGTAGTGTGCTGTAAATGCCACTAGTGATGGACTAACGAGTTATAGGCTGCTGCAAGCTTTAATCAGGTTGATGTTTGTCGATATCTCCTCAACCAGGCCACTTGGCCGGACCATGACACTGTTCTGAGCAGAAGCCTTGGTACTTTCAGCTATCGGTACCAAAGAACGCCTTTGCGTGGCTCTTCTAACATGTATCGCCTGTTCATGGCCGAACCAGATTTTGACCCTGCCCTCGACAACGGTCTTCGGTACGGATGGCTGCAATTCTGCAGCTCAGCGGCGGCTATGGAAACCATACTACGCAGTCAAGCCTTTACGCTAGAGACGCGCCCTGTGCAAACCAGGTTTGAGCTAGCTTCAAGACTGGAGAATACAGATGCTGCCACTTTTCTCAAATGTGTTGGTTTGGACTCCTCAGATCCGATCCTTACCGTCCTGCGTAACAGCAAGGGGAAGACCGTGCTCCATGTTGTCGCACACCATCTACATCTATACTCGGAAAGGCGGGATGCAGCGCGGCGCTATCAACTCAGTCGAGCTATACAAGGATGGTTTGACCTTGGAGTTAGTGTCTTGAAGAACGGGGCAAATCCGTCCAGTCCTGCAGAACAGGATGAAGAGTCATGGCTGACCAGTACAGATATACTTGAGACAGACAATGGACCTACCCCCCGACCTCCCGGTTGGTCTCCTGGGGCGGAGCTTTGCACCCCCTCCCTCGTGGCCCTAGGGTGGGATGATGTCCTCATCACTCGAAGACACCTCATATTCTTCAAGCGCAAGGTGGAAATTCTACAAATGTGGGCCGAGATGGTGCAAAGTGCAGGCCTTGGTCTGTGTCATTATGGCGCAAGTGAAAGTGAGGTTTGGAAGTCGATTGTGCTTGACAGCCCATGCTCTCTATTCGACTCTCAGTCCGGTCACACGGCGTATAAAGCGGAGCTACTGTATGGCGCTACGCCAGAGGAATGGAGTTTCAAGGTCGTCCATGCTTGGTCAATCGGCCTCTACAAGCTACAAGCGCCGCCGGGGGCCTTTCCAACACAGTCCGTTGTCCCAACCACAATTGCATGGTCGCCGGGGCCATTGGAGTATGATGAGGGTCACTGGGCTCTTGTGGGTAGAAAGCAACACCGCTTCAACGCCGGAGATGTCAGACACATAAGTCCCTCTTCGGCAGAGCCCTTCATCGACCTGGTACAGTCTTATCAAGACGACGCTGGGGTCATCACGCTCATGCAATACAGTGCCTCGTGGCAACGGAGTACCAGAACGAGGTCACACAGCCAACCTCCCAGTCTACGTCGGAGGGGGCCGCATGCTTACTACACATGGCGCGAATCGAGGCAGGAGTGGTTGCCAGACTATCATTTTTGTCCTGGGAGTTCGTCTTGGAGGTTCGGCTGTGTCAGTGACGAAGACCGGGGTGGAGAGTACGTTGATCTCCCCGTGCTTGGACATATTGTGGTGGACGTGAGGAGTTGTGTCAAGAGCGTCCATACGGAGTGCTCGTCGGTCCAACAATCGTACGACTGGCGCGATTGGAGCTTTTTGGCGGGCCTCGCCGACTGCCAGGATAACACCGCCCTTACTGGAAGAGATATGGACCATCTCTATGAATGCCCCTGGCCAGAAGGCTGCAGGAACATACAACTTGACCGATTGAATGTACCTGAAGACCTACGTAAGTATCATCCTTACCGCCGGCACTTCCCTGATGGTGACGACGACGGCGAGAACGGCGGCTCTGTAGAAGGATAAGCCTACGACGGGAAATAGGAACTTCACAGCATTATCTCATAGCTTTAAACGCCTGGTTTATGCATTGCCTAGGAAAGCCAAGACTGTCGTACCACCCGGATCTTCCCCATGAACATATAATACCCTCGACTCCTTAGAGTGACAACTGCCACCAGTCCTGTGGGCTCGCCCATTCCACCAGGAAGTTCGCGGTCGCCGTCTCCAGGTAACGTCGGTCCGGGTACCTTTGACAACGCTCTGTACGCAACCCGGACCCAGAACGACGTTGTCAGACAGCCTGTCCTTCACCCAGGGGAGCCACTTGGCCGAGCTCGCTTGCACGACAGGGAAATGGTCCATATCCTGGTAAGTGACAGACTCGAGCGACTCTTCCCAGCCGCCTTGCTCGAGCATGTTGCAGGTGTCGTTGACCGCAGATGACAGCTGGCTGACGAATACGATCTGATCGGCATCACCGCCAAGCACAAGCAGCGGACCCTCAAACAGCCGGCGGCCATTTTGGGACATGTTCGCGTATCGTTGGACGGCGGGGTGCGTGTTCCAACCCGGTTGCACCAGTTGGTCCGGAGACACGTCCGCAAACACCTGGCTCGCCGTCGGGTTGCAGCCCGAGAACGGCACCAGCACATTCATCCACCGATCGTACGCCAGGGGCGTCATGCCCGAGTAGTTGAAGGAAGGAAACCCGGCGGCGACGGCGGCGATGCGCGAGTGCTGCTGCGCCGCGATGAATGACGCCTCCGCGTTCACGGGGTCTGCCAGGTTTTCTTCCAGCAGTTGATACTGGGGCGTCGGCGGTGCGATCGCCACCGTGCCCTTGTACCCGGCCATGGTCGTGTTGGCCATGCGCTCGGAGAATGCCCAGGCGGCGGCTCCGCCCTAGGAGTGGCCCACGGCGACGAAGGGACCGTCGGCAGGTAAATTCCGGGGGAAAGCCTTGCGAGCGGCAATGACGGCGTTGGCAAGATCGGTGGCCTGAGACGGACCGTGTAACCAGTTATGGGCGATGGTCTGCCCGTTGGGGAGCCTGTCGACGCCGAGCCCGGCATAATCGGGAGCGACCACCGCAATCCCCCTGCTGATCCAGCAGATAAGGAGCCGTGAAGTGGTACTGCAGGATGCGGTATTTGCTCGGCGCACACGCTCCAAAGAAGCCAGAAGACCCATGAGCCCAGACCACCATCGGGAATTGGTCCTTCTTCAGTCCTGCCGAGGCGAGTGGCGTGTACGGCCACAAGACGTACGCCGACGCGGGCAACATCGGCCCGTTTTGATCTGCCGTTGTGTAGATGATGCGAGAGATGGTGAGACTGCTCGGCACCGTGTATCCCGAGAGATTGATCGCCACCTCGACGCGCAGCAGACTGCCCGGAGCGAGAGTGCAAGAGAAGTTGGACGGCACGGTGTAGAAGGAGAGGTCGTTCGAGGCATGTTGCTCAGCTTCCCACGACGCAGCAGCGGTCGACACTGTTCTGGCATTGCGCTCCACAGGTGCTGCTTGTGCTGATGTTCTGTGCCACGCACGACCAGAGAATGGCGGCCAACGACGAAAGACAGAACCGGACCTGCATGTTGGAAAGGGGGTACTCGCAATCCCCTGGTTCCTCTGGGGAAGAAACAACCGATGACGGGAACTGTAAAGAGGAGGTCTAAAGAGGGAACAGGGAACAGGGAACCACCTACGGTACTCACCAGCTGCGCGTGTTAATATATAATCTTTCACGTTCCGGGCATTGTCGTCGAGCATTTCCGCCGGACCGTGGACCACAGGCTTGTCGGCGTGTTCGAGCACGCATCATCGCCGAACTGATTTCATTGCTACTGTACTCCACCCGCTGAGATACTGCCGTAATTACAGGTCAACGGTATGACCCGCCTCTGGTTATGTAGATGCAACGACTTCAAGATGCTGACGTTGACGACTTACCTACCTCCATGCGGCGTGACAAGTCGCTGGACCTCAAGCAGAGCAGATATACCTTGCGACCGGCCATGCGGACGCATGAATAACTATGACTGGGACCGAACTCGCCGGGCTACTGTGTACACTGGGGTGGAGGAAATAAGCTGCCGCCAAGGAGACGAGTACTGTTTACTCCGTACGTACCCCTTAACGCCGAGCCCGTCTGCCGCCTACCTCCATCCACTACGACGTACTCCGTACTCACGACAACGCTTCCAGAGACTGGCGTCAATGAGCTCACCGACGACGGACCTGAGCGAGTCGGACATCTTAACTCTAGGCCGTGGCCGGCCGAGGCTACGGCACCAGGCTGCTGATGAATGAATTGACGCTTACACACGTGGAAGGCAAGCTGTCACCTAAACCCAGGAACGACCAGTATTCTCGGTATCTTTTGTGCAATCCACGAAATGATGTGGATCTTGCCCGACCAGATCCACGATCTGAAGGATGCCACCCCAGTCACGCCAGTGCCTGTCGATCTCGAACCGAACCCTACTGTCCTTGGGTTTCTGTACTCTAGCTGACCAGACATCCGCACCGGCATCTCCGAGCAGTCAAACGCCTAGGCCGTGGTACAAGCGCCCGTCGAATTCGGCATCCCCAGGGGATTGACGAACCCACTTGCAACCTCTTACCTACGAGTCTATTGTGTTGTGCCAGTTTTTATCCTTGCCCTTGCCTTTTCCTTTCCTTTCCATGGACTCTTGGAGACCACAAATAGCTAATTACATGCTCTCGCAAGTCCTGCGCACCGAACTTAGCACCGACTAGTCAGTTAGCTAGTACTGTCTAAGTACTCATGTCGCTCTGGCCAACCAGTGTGCCAAACGAAGTACGGCATCTGCAGGCTCATGCTGAGCCTGATTCCCATGCTCATGCCCCTCAAGCTGCACCCCCGACCCGTCGACCTCCATGCCCAGCCCTCTCATATGCTCCTCCAGACGCCTCTCCAGACGGGTATACAGCGCGATCAGACGTGCGCGTTCGTTGTGCGTGAGTGCTTCTCTCAACAAACTGCCGGTGCGGTGGCGTTGGAGCTCGTCAAACTCCCGTATTACTTCCTCGATGTGGTCTTCCAGCTGGAGGTAGGAGGTCATATGGTGGGCGTGGTTGTCGTGGTGGTTATGTATGACTGCGTCGATGTCTTCGTCTACCTTTTGGCCTGGGTTTTCGTTTGTGTTGGTGTTTGTATCTGTGTCAATTTCAGGAGTGGTACAGTAACTTTTTGTCTCCAGGACCCTGTCCTTGTCCATGTCTGCGTCTGCGTCTGCGTCTGGGTTCGCGTTTGTATCCACGGTTCTTCGAGGATCCATCCCGCCGTGAAGTCTGGCGTATCTCTCGGGCTGATCCTTCGAGCACGGCATGAGAACGTTGTCGCCATCGAGTTCCTGGACGGGCACTAGTCTGGGAGCGACTCCGAAACGCAGAGGCAAGCTCTTGACATCGGACTTGCAGCTCTGGCGGACTGATCTTGATGCTGATATTGATGCAGGTGCAGAGGATGTCTCTGGCACCGGTCGTGGATGTGGCGTCGTCTCAGACGTTGTCTTTGCGTGTGTGCTCTCACGCGTCTGCATTTCCTTGAAATCGAGCTCCAGCCGCAGACGACCACCATGACATGGCGCATGTCCTTGAACTTTACCCGTGCAGAACAACCCTCCTGACGCCTCCCAAACGAGTCGTACTTTTGGGGTCCAGGATGACGATTGGACGGCATTCAGAGCGCAAGACGGCTTGTCAGGCGAGCAGCAATTGGCGCGAGACTGTCCTTTGGTTCCGTTGAAGAGCCACCACCACAGAGACACCAGCTTGACGACCACGAGGGCAATGAGGAGGCATATGTGCAGCGAGAGGTGCCAGGGTACTTTTACCGTGTGGCTGCTGGACGGGTACGCGTCCGGATGTCTGGGGGAGAACCTGAACTCGGAGGGCTGGCGTGATTGAAACGAAGACATCTTATCAACCTTCAGATCCGGGGCTGGAGGAAGAGTGACGAAGAATGGAACGATTCAGCGAGACTCAAGGACCTATTTGGCAAATTTTGGGATCGCACTCAGTCAGTCGCTTCTAGCACTCGCTGCAGCGGTGGTGGATGTCCCTTCATGACTGCTTTGTGCTGAGAATTTATGGATGTAAGACGTTGGTGTTGAGTTCGCTCAACTGTGGTTTGTGTCTTGTTTAGCAATCGCTAGTTGTTCAAACAATGCGTGCCATCGCTTTGATTGATGGCTTGCTTACGATAGCAATTCAATTGTCCATGGCTAGCTATATCTTCAGGTGAGGCTGTGATATACTGTACTAACTCTCCATTTCTTGTTTGTCTTGGTGTGTTCCCTTTGATAGCTGCAGTTGTACTGAGTACGCTCCCACCGCGTATTCCCTGATGTGGACCACTAGAGCTCCATATGGAGATGGCAGCAATGGACTGAGTGGCAGACTATTGAAAGACATAGGGTCAGTGAAATACTAGCAGGTTTCATATGTCCAAAAGCTGGCCATGTCATTGGGTTTCAACGGTTAAGAGCGCCACGGATGTCAGAGACTCACATTGCGTTGGGGCGGTTGGTTGAAGGATCCGGGCTCAGTATCGATCGACTGCATCAAAGTGCCCCAGAGGTGTAAGAGTTTGTGTCTTCATTTGATTACTTTCCTGATGCAGAGCTCATTAGCCGAGTCCAGCCGCATTGTCTTCATCAATAGCCACAAGTTGTGGTACGACGGATCTCACTCATGTTTCCGCCATCAGGTCCTGTACTCTAACGTCCACTCTCGCCGGGTCAGGATCTCTCGGCTTTCGCGACAACCACGGTTAGGGACACTGACATACTCTGCCGCTGACTCTACCTGCATACATGATCAAGTGCAACTCCACAACTTCTCTTCCTTAGCATTGACATACTGTGCTCATGCTTTCTCAGACTTTGCTTTTCCACAGGTGTATACTTGGGCTCGTCTTGACCGATGCTGAGACAACCTATGCAGGTGCCGTGAGTGACCCGGCTTGTGATCAGTTGAAACAGAGGTCGACATGGTGTAAGTCACAGCTCGTCTGAAACTTGAATTCTCCAGATTTGACACATGGGAGACAGAGACCACCAATCGCCTGATAAAGCCGCCAAGTGGATTCTTGGGGAGTGACATCCAAGTGTCTCAACCGGAACCGGCCGCAATCAAGATGTCGGTCATTCGTGTCGTTGCCCTGCTGGCGCTTCGCCAGTTCATGTATATCCTTGATGTAGGAACTGGATAGACCCCCTGATCGTAAGAAGGGTTCACCTCTCAGATCCTCGTCCAACCAATTGCTGTTCTTGCTTATGATCTCACGGTGCCATCTTTGATCTTGGGACACCGAGGCGCACTTTCCACAACCCAATAGACCCTCACCGTGGTGATCAGGATAGAAAACCGTGGGCAGTCTCGAGACCAAATCGGTTCTTAGCCGTACCGCGTCTTCCTTGAAGTTCTCCGCCAAGTTCATCCCGCCCATTCCCACCACATCCCACGGGCCCAGCTTCTCAACATCTTCATATGCGACTGACCACATGATTGCCCGAGATGCTTTGGCAAATATTCCACACAGGTTGAAGAGGTATGAGGTTTGCAGAATTTCGAACACGATTTTGAGCACCAACGATAGTGCGGCAGTAGGAGTCACCGAAAGCGGAGGCTGTGATTCCGAACAACGCGGGATTTTCGGGAAGCCCAGAATTGAGCGAGTCTAAACACCACGATGGGAGGCGACCTCTGAAGAGATACTTGTCGCAGAGCAGGCCAACATGTTTAAGATTCACTCTGGACGATTTACAGCATAGCTAGGACGGAGATTCGTTCTTATTGCTGTCACGGCATCAAGAAGCGTCGGAAGTTCTGGGTTAAAATCTGATATTGTGGTATGCCGTCTGGATGGAGCCATGGCTGCCGCGTGTTCAGGTTTGAGGAGCCATTCCATGTCAATTGCGCAGCTGTGGTCATATAGCCATGCATTCGGAGGTCGAACACCGCGTAACGTTCTCAAACTGAAGAGGTTGAGCGTGGATGGCTCCGGATTTGGACCACGTTGCCTCAACCTGGTCCTTTGGCTGAGCGTCTGCGGTGTGCTGAGAGAAAATGACAAGGAGCGTAGGACGGAGAAGATGCCATTGGTGTTTCTGCAGTCTTTGTGGCCCTCGATCCGATTACCGGCAACGCTGAAGGCACCAGCTCAACGTGCCAATTTCCCCGATTGTAGGCCTACTATAACCAATTCCTGGGCTCACAGCATGGGCCTCTAACCAACAAGCACTTTGCTTGCTTCGAGCTGGACTGGGTAATTATCTTCCTGCCGTACATTCTTGCGCTGTTATCAACCCGCACGGAGTATCCTCCTCACTGGAAGTCCCGAGTTCTTCCTTATCATCCTCCCTCACGGCTTTCTGCTCCTTACTGCACAGGTCCTCTCTTCCCGAACAACTCACGTGCCCTTCTGCCAATTGTGTAGCACAGCACCGGTAATCCCACAGGGTTGAAGGATCCTGACCTGGAATCCAAACCGCGGTCAACAACTACCTCCACAAACACTTCACTCAGCTCCATGATCGCGGCTCGCTTGCGCAGACACCGATACTCGCCATAATTACCCGAAGATCATATTGTTGTAGCATTCCATTTCCCTGAGCTTCTCCACCGAGGTCTCGTGGCCGTTTGGCTCGGAGGCTGGAATCCACGGTTCGGGACGGAAGGAGTCATGATCAGGCGACAACAGGGGCTGCGTTGCGATGGAGAGCGATCACAGAGGCTCAGTATTGCATTGGCGATTGAGTTACGCCTTTACTTTAGGAAGGGCGTGTAGGCTGGGCTGTTATTGCATGCTTGACTCGAATTACCCGATCCTGACGCCCCTGAAGACGAAGTAGCCACCAATGGTGTCGCCTTACGGCGGTGTCTGGGACAGCAAAAGGATGGCGCAGTAGGGGCAAAGGAGGACCGGTAGCAGTTATCAGTGGATGGTGGGTATCATGGTCCCAAGGCGTGATGCAGTTAACAGTGGATTTGGGCATCATGGTCCTAAGATGGGATGCAGTTATCAGTGGGTGTCGGTATCATGGTCCTGAGATGAGATGAACAGGTGAAGAATATGTCGACCCGATTGCTTGCCGTCTAAACATGGCCGACATCTGGGCTGGATGCGGAGCAGGACCGGCGCATCAATGGTACCTGATGCTAACGTGCAGTAGCTCCACCATCTAGTCGCCAGGCGAAAGGCAGGAGCATAACTGCGCTTAAGTCACAAGCTCATGTGTGGTACCACGGCGCTTCATTTGCTAGCATAGGCGTATCGTCCACGACACTACAGGACTCTATACTCTGTACTCACGTTCCAATCAACATTCTCTGCCTTGTAGCCCGCACCCGCCCTAAGGACGCACTATTACCCGCCGACTCACTGCGGTCGTCATAACTGTCAGGTACCTTCAAAGATCCTACATGGACCTCTTGCCGTATGGCTCGAACGGGAAAGTGGCCGCCACGATAGCCTAGTCGGACATGTCAGCATTGTCACTGAACAGGGTTCGGGGATGAATCTTACCATGACAATGTAGAGCGTCGCGCAGATATAGATGGGCGCAGAAGTGGCTGTGTTGGCATAAGTAGCCACAAACGCCGACACCAAACCCATGACTCGGTTGAGACCGACGGCGATGCCGTTCCCGGTCGCGCGATGCGCAGATGGTAAGGACTGGCAGACTCGTCAGACGGTTTCTTTCTTCCTGTCTTGGAGCATGTAACTTTGTCCACTTACCTCGGGTGTATAGGCGTAGAGCGTGCCGTAGTAGATGTTGACAAAAAAGTAAATCGAGCAAGTAAACGCGATATTCTGCGCCGGGGTCCGCACAGCCGTGTAAGCGAAGAAGAAGGCCATGGAACAGAGGGCGCCAATGACCATCGTGTACTTTCGCCCCAGCCACTTGAGATTGCACATGAAGCCTGCGGCTACAGGGCCGAAGATGCCCACAGTGTTGGTAATCATGTAGTTGCGCCATTGATAGTATGGGCCTGGCTGGCCTACTTGGGCGCCTCGGCTGGCGAGGAAGTCGGGTAGGAAGACATAGAAAAGCGGGTAGGCCAGGCCTCGAAGAAGTCAGTATATAACAACGCCTTATCATCCCCTAACACCAGAGACATTCTTACCGATCAAAAGCCAGGAAAACCAGATCATTGTGGTCGATATCGCCAGCTTCTTGGTAGCGAAAAGTCCTCGCAGGTGAGCCATCAGTTCACTAAAGCCGTATCTAGACTTCCCGTATGTCGACAGTGTCGTTCCACAGGCCTCAAGTTCCTCCACGGTCAAGCTGCAAGGCCGGTTGTAGCTGTGGGCAATGTCCCGGAATGTACGCACGACGTCCGCATCTTGACCTTTGGCAAGAAGATATTTGGGAGATTCCTTCAGTCGAATCACCGTGACTCGCAGGACACTCAGGACGAGAACCAATGCTCCATTGCCAAACCAGATATATCGCCAGCCCTATTACCAAGGTCAGAGATAATTGAGACTATCTTCAGACCATAATTACCATGTTGTTCGACCGGGTGCAAGTCGCAGCCTCGGTGCAGATGAATTGAGGCAATGAGAGGAGAGGCCAGGCAAAGGCAGCGCCGATGACGGGCGCGAGCCCCCACCAACAGGCCATGAGAGTAAGAAGCCATTGTTTATTGCCGGGCAGGAATTCGAGGAAGACAGTTGTGTCGAGCACAAGATTGCCGCCAGCACCAAAGGCAGTAAGTGCGGTAAAGGTGCCGAGGGCATACCAGTTAGGCGATGCTCCAGCGACAATGGCGAAGACCGAACAAATAAAGAGCGAGGTGTTGAAGGCGAAGCGACGGCCAATAACGTCGGCGCCTACCCATCGGTTCAGGTCTTTTGTTTGCATGAATCGTTGGGATGGAGGTTTCTCCTACCGAGACCCCAGAACAGTGCCCCCACCAGCATTCCCGAGTAAGCGGCAACGGTGAGGCCATAGGAAAACGAAGGTTGAAACTCGAGGGCCGCTTGCCCGGCAGTGACAGACTGCAGGAGGAGGACGAGGGAGTCGGCCGCATATCCGAAGCCATTGAGGAAGAAGAGCTTCAGGTGCATGTTTGTCCAGCCGATCTCGTCAATCGTCTAGAGGGGGTGGTCAGCTTGAATACAGATTGAGACCTTGCCGTGAAGGGATGTGGTACTCGGTTCAACAGTCTCATCTTGGCATCCAAGGCGGCATCAACCTCACCCATGGAGAATATTTCTCCTTCTTTGGTGCCTCCATCGACAGATATCGGCGAGATGCTGGTGTGCAAATCGTGTCCGAGGCCGATACGTTGCTCATTGTCGGGGTGCTTCTCATTCTTGACGGCGTCAACGTCTTCGTTCAGGATTTCTTCGACTGCCATGTTGAGACAGTCGGTCACCAGATAAATGCGGATGGTCTAGTGTTTGGATATTGGGGATCTGGGATCTGGGAACTGCAACGAGCAAGCAGAAATGACTCTGGAGACACGCAGCTGGCTCTCCGATGGGGCGGCAAACCTCGAGTCTAGAGAACGTGGGCCTCCATCGGGTTTATCAAGGGATCTAGCTCGAGCATCCTGATCGACCCCAGTGCTTTCCCAGCGGCGCTCACTAGAGGAGAGGCTGGCTTAACCTCCCCTGTAGCATTTTTCGATATGTGATAATCTTGAGACGCGCCATTGGCTCACACGACCCCCCGCGTCAAGCTTGTTACCGAACCTGGGGTTGGTGTGAGACGGGGAGGGCTAGGCAGAGGTGCTTCGGTAGCTACAGTGGGTTGCAAACGAGCCAGGAACAGTGGAGGTCTTGGTAAAAGGGAGGCCGCGTATGGCCTTTGGGATGGCGAGGGAAAGAATGTGGGTTGCAATCAGCGGAGGCAACTAATTAGACGAATCTCCGACGAAGCAGCGGCGCCCGTTCATGTGACCGGCTCTTAGCGACCAGGCTGATTGTTTGATGATAGCCCAGAGGAGAGCTTGCTCAATGTAGTCAGGCGAGTCCCGGGGAGATAACAGAAGACGGAGCTGGATGCTAGCTGTTGTCGTTGCCGAGAGGCGTGTTTGATGCACGTCGCGAGATCAACAATATATCGGAAGAGTCTCCCATGCTCCTCTGGAGTCTCGTGCCCAAGTAGGCCACGACTCCAGACAGGTCTCATCACGAACGATGCCGTCACTTTCGAAACAAGACGCCATTGTCATCGTCGGTGCCGGCGTCTTCGGTCTCTCGACTGCCCTTAGTCTGGCGGAGAGAGGTTTCAGCAATGTCACGGTTCTCGATCGCATGGCACCGCCCGTACCAGACGGAAGCAGCTGCGACATATCGCGAATCGTGCGTAGCGACTATTCCGACCCATTCTACGCGCGCCTGGCCAAAGAGGCGCTGCAGGCCTGGCGGACGGGACCCTTTGCGAGTTTCTACCACAACTCCGGCTTCGTATTGACCTCCGAATCTCGCCCAGACGCGTTTCTGGAAAAGCTAAAGGGAGTCCTCAAAGGACAAGACATTCCCTATGAAAGCTTTGACAGCACCAATGAGCTGAAGCGGAAGTTTCCATCATTGAACGAGATTCAGACAGAATTTGGCGGTTATCTGAATCCTAATGCAGGCTGGGCCGATGCGGCGGCCTCCATCAGCCTCTTGGCCACACTGTGCACCGAGAAGGGAGTCTCCATCATCACTGGACCAAGAGGGACAGTTACCTCAATGAGAATCGCGGGCTCTCGGGTTGAGGGCGTCAATGTCGCTCTGGGTCTTCCTGTTCTGGGATCGAGGGTCATTCTCGCCACTGGTGCATGGACGAATAGCTTCTTAGACTTGACATATGCCATGTCGTCCTCTGGGCAGCCGGTCGGTTTCATTCAACTTACATCAGAGGAAGCGTACAGCATCTCCCGGATGCCGACCCTCATCAACATGACATCGGGATTCTTCGTCTTTCCCCCTACCCCCGGCACGAACATCCTGAAGGTGGCCTGCCACAGCCACGGCTTCGAGAACAGGGTGCCCATCGAGGACGGCGGCCGGACGATATCTGCCCCCAGACGAGACTCGAATAATGCAACGTCGTTCTTCATCCCAGACTCCGCAGACGCGGCGCTACGACACGGCCTGAAACAGATACTGCCGAGATTTGCCGACCGGCCGTGGATGAGACGTCGACTTTGCTGGTACACCGATACCCCTGAAGGTAACTTTGTCGTGGATTACCATCCGTCCATTCAAGGACTATTCTTTGCAACAGGAGGGGCAGGACAGTAAGTTTGTAATTCCGCTGTCATACAGACGACAGCTGGTTCAGCTCATATGACTTTTCCATCACTAACGATTGCAAAGCGGCTTCAAGTTTCTTCCGGTCCTTGGAAACTACATCGCGGACTGTTTCGAAGGCAAGGCGCCAGCGGAAGTCCGGGAGAAGTGGAGGTTGAGGAATGATCCCGGTGTCAGGCTTCCTTTCGTGTGCAATGATGGAAGCCGTCGAGGGCCGCCCCGCAGAGTCCTCTCGAGGTCTGAGCAGGCACGACTTTGACAGGAATAACGAATCCGTTGAAGGATCAATGGAGGGCAGGAGTGGCTAAGATGTCTTTGCGCTGTTGCTGATTTCATGCTTTATCTTGCTGGACCTGCTGGAAAGGTCAAGGCCAAAGTCACCAGTGATATGCACCTTCCAGATCTATCAAGCACTGTCTGCCCGGGGCCTTTCTATCTGATTATATATCGGCCGGTCAAACCCCGTCCATTGTGGATGATAGCTGGTCCTAAACATATCGAAGTCAGACACTAAATGCTGTAACACTCGACAAGAAGTCAATACGAGGCTCGTCTGCGACTTCCCGATCCTCGTCCCAGCGGCTGAGATGGATTCGTTCTTCGAAGTTGCTGGGTTCCCCTGAGTCGACCTGATACTTTGGAGGCTCAAGTTCCGACTCTCCTTTGAGGTCTGAGTGAGGTTGCCCCTGAATAGCCGAGTTCTGTGGACCTGCCACACGTCGTAGAGCTTCCAGGGGTAGATTGGGATGTGGCTTGATCCAATAGCTTAAATCCGGTGACTCACCCCCCTCGCGCTGAGAGAAACCGAATCCCCAATAGGCGAATCGGTTCCCGTCATACCGCCACTCGAAGTCCTCCCATCGATCGGCCTCGAGGAATTCCCGATAATGCAGTCCGCTGCCAGGCCAGACGGCCGTGACCCTGCCGTGGCTGTTCTTGAACCAGGATCGACAACCCCCGGTCCAGACAAGGTCCTTCATGACACTTTGGGTGTGGTTGTTGAAGTCGTCCTGGACAGACTGTCGAACATCGAAAGACGACGCCTGCTGCACTCTCATCTTTCGGATGAGGCGAATGAAGAAGTCAGCTGTACCTTCGAGGATGCCCATCAGGCTGCCGTTAGAAATGGGGGTGTTTGGTCCGAGGAAGAGGAGATAGTTGGGGAAACCCGCCACCGCGAGACCGCAGTAAGAAGCAGGTTCGTCTTTCCACATCTCTCTGAGGTCTTGTCCGCCTGTGCCGATGATCGGAAAACGAGGCCTGAACGACGTATCGAAGCCTGTGGCAGCAATGAGGACATCTGCCGGCCTTATCTTCCCCGAGGAGTCTTGGATGCCATCGGTCGTGACCATTTGAATCGACTCAAAGACCGGCGTAACATTTTCTTGCTGCAGAGCCTCGAGATATCTTTCGCCAGGGTTGAGACGGCGACAGCCTGCTTCGAAGGTCGGAATCAACTTCTGCTGTAGGTCTACATCGTGGATAAGCTCCTTCATCCGCGTTTCAATTCGTGATCGCATCTCCTGCTGCTTTTCACTGCCCTTTAGAAAGGCACCAAACATGGCATTGAATGATGCTTCCATCTCCTTTCGTATCTGAAGAGAGTAGTTGTCGTCTTCAACGAACTGGGCCTTTTCATCCGCAGTATATATATGATTGTACTCGTTTGAGAAACTGGCACCACTCGGAGGAGTGATCCAAGACGGCGTCCGTATGTAGATGTCGATATGATGTGCATCTTTCTGCAATGCTGGGAGAACCTGGATGGCACTTGCACCTGCACCAACTATTGCGAGTCGTTTTCCTGTGACATCGACTTGATCGTCCCAGGCAGCGGTGTGAACTACCTCTCCGCTGAAGGCTTCAAGGCCAGCAAACTCTGGAAACTTAGGGTTGTTGAGGATTCCACTCGCATTGACCAGGATCTCGCTCTCGTATTCACATCCTCCAACCGTTAAGGTCCACAGACAGCGCGCGTCGTCCCACGCGGCCTTTTCCACTCGACTGTTAAATGTAATGAATCGGTCTAGCCGATAATGCAACGTAACGGCCTTGAGATATGACTGTATCTCAGCGGATGAAGCGTAGCTAGAAATCCCTTTGGTCAGATGGACGTCTCGACGCATCCCAGCAGGGGATCTGCAAGGGAGATTCACCCTTACAATTTTGACCAGTAGGGGTTCGGAGCGAAGCTGAATTGATAGATGTGACTGGGCACATCGCAGGCGCAGGCTTATGGGGCAACGAGATCAGTACGGCGCATTACTCTCCAAAGTCCAAGGCCAGAGCCAGACACATACCTGGGTATCTGTTCTCGAACCATGTTCCGCCTACATCGCTATTCTTCTCAAAGACCTTGATCTCAACCGAATCGCCAAAGGCTTCCTGAAGCTTGAAAGCTGCATGATGCCAGTGAGCATTTTTACGCTCGAGGTTGATGAAGGAAATTGCCTTACCCATCAAGATACCTGAAACCCTGTCGTATAAAAGCAGTCAGCCAAAGCCGTCGACCGGTTCGAATCTGAGTATACTTACCCTGCCCCCATAATGTTGCATCTTAGTGGTTTGGCCATGTGTCCTGGCGCTGCTTTTTCTGGTACGGTACTGTGTTCTCAGAAGGGCAGTCCCAGACTATTTCCAATGTAGGCCAGGCAGTGAGCCTCGTTTCTCGGGTCATGTCGTCCCCAAACATCGAACTACTCATCGTATTTTCTGTGATTCCCTCAGTCAACAACCAGGTGGATACATCGCTCTGGGGACGGATTTGTTTTCCCGATACGGAAAGAACTCCAGGCGGTCCTTCTCCGCAAGCCGCCGCTCACGTGACCGGCGTCGCTCCTGTTTGCTGATTGACCGAAATTAGACTTGCTCCGTCCAGCAACGCGAGGGTCCGGACTGTCGTGGCCGCCAACGTAGTGAACGTCTACGGTACCGACGGTCTAGCAATGGAACCACCTCCGTATGCGTGATGACTCGGGTGGCTGTGGCCACTACGATCGACGAACACGCAAGCTCTGGAACCATGTGCCGAATGCGGCCAGCGGCCATGGCAATCGCTTCGGACAAGTCGAGACAGAAGTATGGGGAAAGATAAGAGGAGGAAGCCTACGACCAGACGCTGGAGGTCTCGCTTCCCATCACGCATAGCACAAGATGTTGTCGACGCTCACTTCTCTTCTTGGATCCGGGAACGTCGATTCGATACACAAGATACCTTTGAAAGCCACCTCAGAGCCCCGGGCTCTTCCGGCGTCATGGTATTCCAGCCCTCACATGTACGAACTCGAACGTCGAGCCATATTTTCGAAGAAGTGGCTCCTGGTCACTCATAAGCTGAGGTTCACCAAGCCGGGCGACTTCTTACGCTTCGAGCAGGCTGGATATTCTTTTGTGCTTTGCATGGACAAGGACGGCAAGATAAATGGCTTCCACAATATCTGCAGGCACCGCGCCTTCCCCGTCGTCACTGAGGATGCCGGCAACGCGAGAATCTTCTCCTGCAAGTATCACGGCTGGTCGTACGGGTTGAACGGGAAGCTCGCAAAGGCTCCTCGATTCGAAAGCGTGCCAACCTTTGACAAGGAGAACCACACCTTATTCGCGGTTCATGTGCATATCGATGCACTGGGCTTCGTATGGGTCAATCTCGACGCCTCGATCAGCCCATCAGTAGCGTGGGAGGAGGACTTCAAAGACGTCGATACCCAGGAACGATTCCAGGCATTTGACTTCTCGCAGTACAAGTTCGACCACGTGTGGCAGATGCAAGGCGACTACAATTGGAAGACGCTCGCAGACAACTACAACGAGTGCTATCACTGTCAAGTGGCTCACCCCGACGTGGCCAAGTTGGCCGATCTCACATATTATTACACTGTCCCCAAGCTTGGCTATATCCAACACTTTTCTCGCCCGAAGCAAGGGCAAGAAGACGTGGACATCAAGAACGCAAGCACCTACTACTTTCCCAACGCTTGCATGACTGTCTCGTAAGCTGAGCACCGCATCGTTTACTAGACAGCACTCCTACTGACGCTGCCCTTCTCTAGGCCGCACTTCTTCTATATGATGCGCTGTGTCCCAACATCTGCGACCACCTGTTCCATGGAGTATGAGGTCTATCGGCACGTCGATGCTTCGGACGAGGACTTCGGGTACATCGACTCCTTCTTTAAACGCGTCCTCGCTGAAGACAAGCACCTCTGCAACGCGGCCCAGAAGAACTTGAATAGCGGAGTGTTCATCAACGGCGAGTTACACCCTCACCTCGAGAGCGCCCCTCTCTACTTCCAGAATGTAGTCAGGCGGCTCGTCACAGAGCACCGAAAGAACGAGGAGGCAACAGGCGAAGAAATATGGCCGGCACGTCGGTCGCTACCCGTCTCGAAAATCACAGAGGATGATGCGGCTTTTTGTGCTGGACTGGCGTGCGATGCCGTGAAATCAGCCGAAACGGAATGGTGAACAGTCTCGGATCAGCTCTCAAGGACCGTCTCGTCGTCTCCGATATGCCGCCCCGGCGCAGGAAGGGTTGGCTCCGGACCACGACTAGGACTCCTCCGTTCATCCTGTATCTCGGAATCTTCTGCATGTATTGAAGCCTTTCGATTTTTTTTTATGCCGGGGCAAAAGGGAAGGGGTAATACCGTGACTGAACCCGTAGTTCGGAGGCGTTGATAAGCATTTTTGGCAGGAGTGATTGGAGCAACCGCAATTCCACTAGTTGCATAGACATAATGCTGCCTAGAAACATTTCTAGCACTGCGCGGAGTCTTCCTAAGCCTTAATAGGACAGCAATTCCGGGCGCTGAATCAGAGCCTGATAAGCCCCCAAAGTCTTGGTGCATGTTTCTCCGCAATTTTTCCCCTGCAGCTGCACTATTCACATATTCCTCAATCTCGGTTTCTCGCCACCAGAAGCACGTTGACGAGGGGCCCCCTTGCGCAAAAGATGAAGGATTATTGCGGTTGCTAAGAGGATGCCCGCTACGCAGAACCGCATCCAGAAACGCATGCACCAGGCGTGCGAGAACTGCCGGTGCGAGTTACTCCACCGCCGTCAAAGTGACTTTGTCTAGTGCTAACGGCGATGACCCAACAGAAGGAAAAAGACACGTTGCCCTGGGGAGAGGCCGGCATGTTCGACCTGCACACGTCTATCCCAGACATGTCGCTATACAGACGGGCAATACGGCTATGTCTCGTCGGAGACGCTCCAGGCCGGACCAAGGGACGTGGTATGGTGTTCGCGAATCCATGAACGACATGAAAGTCTCATGAACTGATCTACCCGCTTGCAGGAGTCTCGATTGGCACAGCTGGAGGAAAGAATGGAGATGATCATTGAAGGGCGGTTGTAGGACTGCAGCCCTGCTCTTCTTTCATTCGGCGTCGAGTTCGGCCACTGACGCCTGCGGCGAGAACTAGGACAAACAGCGACACAGAGTCACCTATATCGGATTCAACCAGGTCTACAAGTCACCGCCCATCGCAAAAAGCTCGCGGCAGCATCGTCACATCTTCGAGGCAAGGCCAATATCCTGCTCCTTTTGCACTTACGCCTCGCAGCTGACTTTCCACCAGGGCCATGCCCCCACGAGATGCAATCCTTGATACTGTTGATGCATACTTCAGATACTGCCACATGCAGCCTCTGTGGCTCTTTGATGCCGAAGACCTCTCCTCCATCGAAGACTGCCGTGACGAGGTCATTTTTTCGCTGCTAGCCCTCTCCGTCTGCCACTCTAAGCATACCTTCTTCCAAGGACGATCGAAGCAATTGAGTCGACAATACGCGCAGCTGGCGCGAGAGCACATCATGCTTCGGATTGCCCAGGGCAAAGTCACGCTCGCCACCGTTCAAAGTCTCTGCATGCTGGCGCTAGCCAACTTTCATGGTAGGCCTCCATCCCTTTGAACGGAAACTATGCGAGATTGCCCTCTTAATTCCTGGCGCAGCGAACAACGTGCATCTGGCCGCCCTGCACCTCAACATCGCCGTCACGTTTTCGAAATGTGTCGGGTTGGACGTGGAATTGACATCGAGCGAGCTGTCTCCCACGGCCGAGGCGCGCAGGAGATTATTCTGGAGTCTTCACCTTCTGGAGCGCATGTACGGACAGTCGGTTTCTGAGCTGACCATCCTCCAGGATATTGAAAACCCTCAATACGTTCTCTTGCAGCCAGAATTGCGGAAAAAGTCAAACGTGCTGCCTCCCCGCATGCCGCAAGAGACGGTGCGAGGTGAAGAGCCGGAGAGGACGGGCATCTGGGCGTACATGGTGCAGCTGGGGACGCTGTGGCGGCAGGTCCGCACGTACGTGATGCAGTGCGCCCACACAAACAGCGAGCCCCCGTGGTCCGTCGAGTCAGGATACGCCGTGATCTGTGCTCACCTGATGGACATTGAGACCAAGTTTCCGACCTCCCACCGGTGGGACTCGGCGAGGTTCCGCGACAGGAACAATGAAGAGCTGCAGAACCGTGGCTACTGGAGCCCCTGGCTCTACCTCCAATTCACGTACCACGCGATCCACAGCATCCTGAACCACCCGTTCCTGTACTCTGCACGGCCGCAGCAGTCAGCCCAACTGGCCGTGCCAAACACTTTCTGGAAGACGTCCTCGGAGCTGGCCTTCATCCATGCCACGTGGATCGTGCGACTGATCGACATGGTTCGAGAGAAGGGTTACCGCATCTCGGACCCGTTCATCGGCCAGTGCACCGCCGTCGCGGCCACGATTCATATCTACTTCTGCCGGGCGGCGGACCGCCAAATCCGCGAGGCCGCCCAAGTCAAGCTGGAAACTTGCACGTTGTTCTTGGGAGAGCTAGCCGAGCTGTGGCCGTCGTGTCGATTGCTGGTAAGTTGCCTCGCCTGGACCCCGGACTCCCTGCCTAGCTGAATCTTTCAAACCAGCATGACACGCTCCGGGCCCTGATCCACTCGGCCTTCACATCCGGTTATTCGGACCAGCAGCCCGAGCCGTCTCGACGGACAGTCTCGATCAACACGCGTCTGATGTGGAAGATCCTGCAGTATAACTTCGACGGCAAGGATCTGGGTATATCGAACCACGGTCTCTTCCATGAGTCCTTCTGCCGCGACGATGAGGATCGTGCCACGGACCACGAAGACCACACGGTCGAAATGCACATCTCGCACAATCCCCCGACCACCGAGGTCGATCTGTCAAACGGACAGGCCCTCCCACCTTACTCGGACCACCACTCTACAGGGCCAAACACGCAGCAAACCGCCCAACAGCACGACCGGCAGCTCATCAACGAGGATATTCATGGTGCATCGAACGCCAACGCCAACGCAGACTCGAGGACACCGCTGACTATGATGTATGCCCCGTTTTTCAAAGGCCCGACCGCGCCATGGGCGATGCCAAGCAACGCGCCCGTCATCGACATGACTTACGATCCGTTCTACCAGTTCCAGGATCTCGGGTCCCCTGCTGATGGGGCCTGGGAAGTGGGGAATCTGTAACAGGAAGAAGAGGATAATAATAATGACGGATATTCGTTCACAGTTACAGTTACAGTTACAATTACAAGTAGAATTTCATTCATTCTTATTCTTCAACTCTTCATGTTCAGGTTCCCTGCGATCAATCAGTCCTGGTTCCTATGCGGCCGCTCCCTTCCCCACAGCCTCATTACAGCGCCGTCCGGACCAGTGACGGGATCCTGCGTCGGCAAAGCCACGGCCAGGATCTCCTTTCGTAAGGCCTTCTCGTCGATCGGCTCTTTGCCCAGCTCATTCCTCCATCGAGGACAGCCCTGCTGACGTTAGTGTTCAGTATTCAATATACGGTACTCAGTAATTCCAGCTTGAGCCTCAAGTCAATGGGTCACCAGTGAACCAAGTATGCAGCTAGATTGCCCTACCTTAGGATAGACACCCACGTATCTATAATCCGGGGTACTTTCGACGGAGCAGTGCGCCGTGCCCGCCGGCAGGATAACCACATCCCCAACATGCACGTCGACGTGTAACCCGCTGGCCGTGCTGGGGTCGCTTGATCCGCATCCGAGGAGGAGTGTCGACTGGCCTTGGAAGATCCCTGCGTGTGCCATACACGGGACGTGTTAGTTGTGGTATGTGTGTATGTGTGTGTGGAGTTTGGGTCAAAGAGGTATGCAGGCAAAGATCGAAAACCGAAAACCAAAAACCGAATCAATACAGCATAGCATACAGCGCTGGCGTGCTTCCTAAACTCCAAAAAGCGACAAAGACAGCAGAACATCAGAACATCAGAAAGTCGGAAAGCGCAAAGGTTAGACCACAGCACAATCTGCAGCCGCGACCCACCATAGCATTCATGCGAATTCGGATGGAAATGCCGCACGGCAATGTGTCCCCACACGCCACGCCTCTCCCAGCCATGTCCCTCTAGGAAGGTTGTCGCTGTGCTTTCTGTCACGGGGAGGGGTAGCACGTCCCGGTAAACCAGCACGGGGAGGTCGCTGTTGGGGGCGTAGGCGTTGGGTTGGAGGTGGTGGACCTCAGGTTCGAGAGCCATTTTGCTGCTGGGGAGATGGGTGGAATGGAGCCGAGACGAGTATATTTGAGCGTGTAAAAGAAGGTATGTAGCTTAATTAGGTAGGTACGTGCTTGTAGGTATTTTCCGAGAAGACAGGGATGGCGGGGGCTGGTTCCACCTGAATAATAAGTGAACTGAAACTGAGCTGAGACTGAGACTGAGACTGAGAATTGAAGTGAGATTAGGCTTTGAAGGTGGTTGTGTTTGTGACTACAGGGTAGGGTTGTGGAGATGAGAACTTCTACCCGTGCTCGCGTATGGAGTGTTATGCAGAGCCTCGACTTGCCTCCCACTGACGTTCAGCTTCGGATTCGGATTCGGATTCACATGCAGACTCAGTCAATAGAATAGTTCCGCGCCGCCAAGTCTGACGACTTCACCGGCGTTGTTGTACGATTGATCGTGCCCGGCTTGACCGACCACGGAGCCCTCCGTGTTCTGCCCGGGGACCGTTTCGACGTACTCCGTACGGAGTACATACCCACTATATGATGCCGAATACGGAGCGCGGAGGAAGTGCAGCTTCAAGAAATGGGGCCTCCATCGGGCAGAGCACGCTACAGTTATTCCGTCCTTCGGTACACATATCGGGACCAAGGTCGAGACCAAGTTTCGCCCAGACTAACCTCGATATACTTAACGGAATGCTCAGGACTTTGTAGGTTAACATTAGTGTAGCTGCCTATTTATTTGCCTTCTCCGCTAAGAACTTTATGCCGAGGTGGGCGCGGGCGGAATTTGATTCGACTTTGGTCCCCGTATACCTACCTACCGTGACGGATAGTCTGCCGCGAACGGCCCCGGCCCGGCTTCCAGAAGGACGTGCACAGTACAAGGCAACCGATACGGCTATTCTCAGAATCCGACGGAGGACTGATATCGGACGCAACGCTCGGAGGAGCTCCCCGGTCTCGTGACCGGAACGCATGCGTGAATGCACGCAGTATCCCGAGTACAGTAATCCCGCCCACCCGCGGTATCTCGTAGAAGCAGCTCAGCCGCTCGACTTTTCTTGATCTGACCTGCATATGACAGCTGATCGAGAGCTTCTGTAAAGGTCATTTCGAAGTGAGGAGACTTCGAGTCACTGTCATGTGTACGATGTCCTAGAGCGGAGCGAGCGACTTCCACCGCTGGCGTTGCATTGTAGTCGCAGCCTTGTCGGTGACAAGGCTGTCAATGAGGAAGTCAGTCGTCTCGCCTTGGCACGTCTCGACGTCATCGGAGTACACGCTCGTACCTCGTATTCCTACTCGTAGGTACCTCGACACAATGATGGCGCGGACTTCTCCACGACGTCGGTTGTTCAACTGAAGATCACTCACTTTTCGACACTCGCTCACAAGTGACTCGTACTGTGTAGCGCTCTCTCCACCACAACCGTGCCTCATTTAAAATATCAGCATTCAGAGTACACATTATACAAGCACACAGTACACAGAACCCCGCACTGAGCCCCATCTACGCAGCTACTGTATATCGAAATCGAAGACAATGCCAGACCCTCGAATCCTCTCGATATCGGACCTCCCCACGTCGGAAGCGAAATGGGTGGCGCTCAAGAAAGTCGAATTCGTCGACCAAAAAGGCACCCCTCGCTCCTGGGAGATCGCCGTCCGCAAGACGACCTCCAAGTCCGGCGTCGACGCCGTAGCCATGGGAAATATCTTCGTGCACCCGTCAAAACCCCCGGCGACCCTACTGGTCATCCAGTATCGACCCCCCGTGGGGAAGTACACGGTCGAATGGCCCGCGGGGCTGATCGATGAGAACGAGACACCCGAAGAGGCCGCGATCAGAGAGATGAAGGAGGAGACGGGCTACGAGGGGAGGATCCTGGACTCGAGTCCCGCGGTCGCGAGCGATCCGGGGCTCACGAACGCGACGCTCAAGCTGGTCATGATGGAGGTGCGATTGAGTGGGAGGGAGGCGGACGATATCATGCCGGAGCAGAAGCTTGATGACGGCGAGCTGATCGAACGGGTGATGGTGCCGTTGAGCGAGCTGTACGAGCGCTTGCTGGGCTGGGCCGCGCGGGACGATTTCATGATTGCCGGGAAGTTGTTTTACTTCGCGGCGGGTGTGCACTTTGCAAAAACTAGCGGATATATTTGAAGGTGTACAAGATCAAGGGGCTGCAAACATTTGACAACCGTCAGACCGACCGACGGAGAGACGGACTGGCGACGAGATTCCTGCCAGAGCAGATGGCGTTCCCGAACGGCATCCAGGGTTCGGCTACAAGCTACGAACATGGCGGTCCCATGTGAAGGGACTCGTACGCGCGGGTCGCCTGCCAAATGACAAGCTCGCTCCGAATCATACGCAGAGCCAACGACCATCGTGACTTTTATACTCGGGCATTGTGTGGATCACGTTGCGCTCTAAACGCGGCAGCCAATTGCCCATAACCACAGGACCACCCATGGCGGCTACGTCGTCGGCACCGAGATATCAATCGAGCGTTTTCACTCGGCACTGGCACTCCTCCACCATGCGAAAATCATCAGAGTCGCGATCCTCCTTGTACCGGACTCCGAGTCAGCAACTCGGATGCCGCCGCAGCCTGACTGCCCTCTTCAAGGCAGGTCTCTCCTTTTGACCTTGTCCTTCCATTGAATTGGACATATGCCTTCCTTGGAGCAGCATCACCTGGACCGGGTACAAGGAGTGTTTACTTCATCACCGTGTTGACGGTCAGACTGTCCGGTAACGAAGGTATTGGAGGTATGGCTGGTAAAGCCGTGAGCAGGTCTTCATTCAAGGGCCCCGAGCAAAGCCGCAAACGCATCTGAAACACCCATACAACTAGTACTGGAAGGGTCTTCTTGTGAATCTGTCTCGTGTCCAATAGTGGACGATACTGTAATGAATCTTGCAGATCACTCGGCCTGACCTCCACAGACGTCTATATTCAAGATCTTGCACGCGGTGCGCAGTTGCCGCTTGCCACGGGTCTGTAAAAACCGGACTGATCTCCAAGCCAGTCATCGATCTCAGGCCTTCCTAGACCTCAGCACACAAGACTGTTTGTTTGGCTTAAGATTGTAGTTGCCTCGGTTTTTGTTCCATGGTCCCCGTGATGGCAGAAAGAGCAGTGTCGAGATGTAACTCGTGGACACCACATTTGACGCCAGCGACTCGAGCGAAATTCTGTCCTTCAGCCCTGACGCAAGGCAAGCAAAATCCGTGAGTCTTTTCCAGCAGCTCCCTAGCTGTCTCTTCAACCATACAGGCATAATCTAGCTTGCAGGACCTACAGTACGAGTCTCCACAGCTCCACTCATCATCCTTGACCATCTTGGCAGTCTGAAGAAGCAGCTCGATGGCCGCCTTGACAGGTATACCATCAAGGGACTGCCCACCGTTCCCAGACTGATTCCAGAGTCCACTGACATGCACGGCGCCTATGTACTTGACTTGTCGATATGACTGGAGCTTACAGACATATGGGACATTCACTGTAGTGCCGTCGGGAAGCGTCATGCTGGGGCCATAAGATGGCGGAGGAAGAAACTTGCACACCAGATCCGTGCATTCGCGCCGGACCACCTGCAGGCGCGCCGTCTGTGCTGCCTTGATTGCGTCGACGAAGCCCTCTGGCAACGCGTCACCCAGTCCTTCCACGAAGGCTTCTCCAGACTTTGCCAGTGACAGGTACTGTAATGCTGCCTTTGTGAACTCATAGAACACCCCAGGGACGTCAAAGAGATAGGCTGCTCGAATGACGCGGGCAATGTCCCCTCCGAATGTTGGGACGGTCGGTGGCGGCCTCAGAAGCAATTGAGAATGGAACCAACTCGCAGTGGCGGTTTGGCAGCCGTACATGTCGCTGAGAGTCGCCACCCTGACAATGTGTTCAAGATGTACAGGTACTTGGGCGGCTTTATCGTGATGGACGATCCGGCAGAGTGTTGTCATTGCCTCAACATCGTCCACGTCGAGCTCCAAACTTGGTGGATTCGTCTCGCTTAGCGACAACTGACCTTCCTGGAAGCCGCCTCTCAGCATGGCTTTGAAAAATGGGGACACGAGCGTCATGATCGAGGTAGATATCCGCAGCTGCCTAGTCTTCTCCGGAGCCTCCTTCTTCCCGATTTTGAGAAGAAGGTCTCCGTTGGGGTCGAGGTCGGTGACCGTGTCTAAGGCTGGAGTTGAAGAGCTAAATGTCATGGCGCCGGTGGTGGAGATGATCTGGGATGTGTGAAAAAACTATGAGACTGCGTTGGAGCCGATGATGAGGGAACAAGATCTGCGAGACGAAGAGTTTTCTTGTGGCAAGAATAGCAGGTATGTTCAGAAGACCAAGGTCGAAGAAAGGGCGCCCAGAGCAGTAGGCAGCCGGTGGCGTGTTATGACACTCTTACAGAGAGCCATAACGGCATTTCGATTCACTCCGCAACGGCTCAAACAACGAACGAAGAGCGGAGAGTTGTCAAAGTCACTGAGTTGTAGGAAGACGTCTTGATTCAGGCAAGGGATCTCAGATTTCTGCGGCTGGGAATCAATACGTACTGAGGACGAAGGATTGAGTAGATTCCAGTCCGGTAGCATTACCTCCGTAATAGCCAATCTCTTGGCCTTCAGGCTTCTCAATATCAATGGGATCTCGGGTCTTCGATGACCAACTCAGTAACTACGGGCGTACCCGCTCTTCCATGACGGGTTGCTAGACAGCATTCTTTTGAGCCCTGTCCATCAAGGCTCGAGCATGTCTTGATCCGATTGTGCTAATTTCCGTCCCTGAGTGTTCGTAGCAGAAGCGAGAAGTCGAGGTCTGTGGGAGAAGCCAGAAGCCACAAGCTCATCGTATAGACAGCAGCATTACCGAGAGCCTCTTCTTTCTTAACGCGGTGACCGGCTTCCATTGACTCCTACGACCAGATACTTTCCTTCCTCCCCGACTCCAGCTCGTCCAGCTGCTTCCTCAACACATCCGCCCGAAACGACCTGAAGGCCTTTTCAATCCGCTCCCTTCGGTCCGGATCCGAAGTGATTGTTCTCTTGGCCGACCACGTCCCCGTCAGCAGGCCCGTCTCACCACCCAGAAACACCCCGGCAATGCTGAAGAACGTGTATGTCATGACATCGCCCAAGCCTGTCGGCTTCAACAGCGGTGTGATATCCGGGATCGCTTCTTCTCGACCACTCGCGAATCGGATGTGCGTGGGCTTCTCGGCCGCGCGGAAGGCCTGATACATGGCGTTGCGGTTCGCTCGTATCCGGAAGGCAAGGTAGCCGCCCAGTGCAAGGCCAGCCAAGGAGCCGATGAGGGCGTGTGTCGAGGCCTTGGTGGCCGCGCTCTTGACGAGGTCACGGTCTTCTTCTCGGAGGCTAAGCGACGTACATGGATGAGCCTAGAGCCAGGAGAGGGTAGTAGTGCTCTTGACTCACTCATGCTTGAAGTGCTCCTCTGCGAGCTTTGCGAGCTCCTCGCCCTGCGTTTTCCGCAGCGCGGCGAATGCTTCCGCGGACATGGCGGTATCGTCTCGAGGACTTGTGGTCTAGTCGTGGTCGGTCAACTTCTCACTACGAGGTTCGTCGATCGATCTGTATGAAGAACAGCTGGGATATAAGTAGTTTTAGTTTTCTGTGAAATCGTACAATGTCATCAGACCACAGCTGGAATCTGGGTGAGTGCATTATGTACGGACTACGTCATAGCAGGGAGCTCCCGCGGTCCATCTGGAAGCTTCGGATAAGATTGCCGAAACGCCGGCGTTGATCACAGCTGATCCAAGCTCCTCCGGCGGTCCACTCCTCCGTACTGCGTACGCGTTCGCAGTACGAGTATTGTGTAGAGCCTAATGCGGTCGGCTGGACCGGCTCTTCGGCAAATCGTGCTCACTGTGGCAGTTCCAGAATCCCAAGCATCCAACGATTCAGCTATCCAGCCAACACAGCCTATGCTGCTACGCCGACGCAAGCAGAGGAGGATGACCTTAGTTCTTCACAGATCTCCGCCCTCTGCGCTCCAAAATCTTGCCAAGGGACAAACCGGCGCCTTCCTTGAATCTATCACGACGGCTGCGGTCGGCCTCGACGAAAGTCTGGGGCACAGGGTGAGCGCGCAAATGGTACAAACCGAGCTGGAAAGCCTAGAACCTACAATCCTGTCACACTTTCCTTACTGCGATGCTCTGAATGGCTGATAGTTTGAATGCACGGCAACACTGGCCACTCACAATGGCCGCAATTCTGACAGCTGGCGGGGTCCATGACGCGGTCACGCAGCCTTCTTTTGAGTTTCCTCGTCTTCGTTAACCTCGTGCTTTCACTCCGCAACCAAATCGGTGTGAAAGGTCTTCTCCGGTTCGAAATCTGCCAGGCGGACGTCCGACCTGGTCGGGAGGAGAGGCAGGTTTCTCCTGCTCATTTAGGTAAGTAGGACAGACATGCAACACGTGGTACCGGTGCTGAGGGGGTCGCAGCGAAGCGTGTCCCAGGCCTACATACTCCAGGCATGGGCCCACTGATCTTGATCCCCGTCGTGGTTATCGGCGCCGGTGTTTGCATCGGGATATTCTCCAGTTTCTCTGAAGTTGGATCCAAGACCGAGGAAGAGTGCGGCGCATGTCTCACCCGCGAAGGACACGCTCGCCGCGTGCTGGAAACCCGAGAGCAGCATGAGTTCTGGTGCCCTTATTATCCCGACAACCGGCGGCGTAGCTGGTAACGCCCAGAAGGTGGAGGAACGGCCGGAAGCGCCCTCTTGCATGGGAGTAGGAATCAGGGAGATTGCCACAGGTCTAGGGGGGCAAGAAGGGGACTTGCTACAGGATGGCATGGGGGGAAAAGATCGAGGTGGGAGTAGAGCACAGAACAGTCGGCAAAGCCAGGAATCATGGTATCGATTGAATACGCTCTCATATCGCACGGCTCTTATATATTTGGCCCTCCCTCAAATGGGAAAATGCCCGATTCCCCAATAGATCCCATCGCTCTGGGGCGTTGCTGCTGCCGAAGCAGACAGAGACGGCGCTTGCCCAGCAAGTGTGCTTCCTGACTCAACCGCATATGCATCCGCGCTGGGTTTGGGTAGAACTGCTGGCGCTGTCGGCGCTATCATCGTCGTCTGCCCAACCCCTGCCTCTTGGGCTCTGCTGAGTAAGTGCTTCAGGGAGGCAACGACGAGCTTCACTTCGCGTGATGACTCGGACTCCTTGGACTGGAGCCACACAATGTACGCACTGCTCAACGCGTGGAAGACCCGGTCGCGCATTTGGTTACTGGCATTGCCAACATCCTCCGAAGCCGGGGCCCATCCCAGATCGGTAGGGGATATTTCTTCCGCAAGCTCCGCACAGAGAATGGCTGTTGCATATAAGAAGTCCTGAATGAGAAGGACCAGGAACTTCCAGCCGTGACGGCATAGTTGACCACCTACTCGAGTTTCCAGATACAAGACCCATTGATGTTGCAAGATGGTCAGAGCGGCTTCAATTCCGACCTTGCGCGAATAGGTGAATTGCTTGTGCTTTCGCCCGGGAGCGATGTACTTGCGATGCAAGGCGATCCGGGCTCTGTAGTAGCTGAAAGCGAGGAATGTGTAAGCCACGCTGATAAAGGGAGCAGCTCGCGAAGAAGTCGACATCGAGTCTTGTGGTTGGTGTTGAGGTTGCCACACGGAGATGATCGATTCATATGTATTCGTAAGGGTGGCGTCCAGTTTGAGAATTTCGGTGTACGAAGGTGAAGATTTGACCGACGTCGTCAAGTCATTGATTCTACCAAAGATCTCGAGCAGTTGATTCTTGGCGACGTGAAATTGAGGGAGTGTATGTGCCGAGTTCGCTCTTGGAGGCGGCAATTCCACCATATGCTCATAGAGGTCTTCGTCTCCAAGGTTTCTGGGTTCTTTGGTATCGCACAGTGACAGATTGATCATCGAGGGCAAGGCAAATTGCATCGACAAATATAGATCCCATCCCACCAGAATTGCCCAGACTCTTCGCCGTCTTTCCGCCTGAAAACATGAAATACCAGGAAAATTGGAGCCGTCTCTGTGGTAGCCGGCTTTGAATGCGATCCGAACGAGGTTGCCCCACTGTATCAAGGGCCCATCAAGGTTTTGCGTACTTTGGCGACCCAGTGTCTCCATTAAGAGGTAGAGTAAGATGGTTTCGACCGCATAAGGCGGCGCGTTACTGTACTTCCCCAAAATGAGGCATTGAATGGTCCTTGTGCGATAGAGTCGAACGAGATTTTCCGGATCCGACTCGATAACCTGCAGCCGTCGTGCTTCTTCTGGAGAGTATTGCTGGTATTGCACAGCGAGACACATAAGAGCGAATAGCAGCCCAACCCATATGATAGGGGTCGAAGTCGGATCTGCCCAGAAACGCTCGTACTGCGATATCGTTAGTGTACGTTTCACACCATTGTGCGCTGACAGATTCCTTACCTCTTTGCGAAAGGTGGGCGGATGTACAATCACTATTTTGATCAGCCTCTTCCTGGTCGCCTGAAGTTGCACTGACGTACTTGCTTCATTGTTTGTATTTGTAAAGCATACCGCCACCAGGCTGTCTGCGAAGTCTTTGGGAGGAAGTGCGTTAAGAATATGTTGCCGGTCTACCCTCTCATGGTATCCCATGAGGTCGAGTTCATCATCTTCTCCCTCTGCAGACATATCGGCATCCTTGTCTAGGAGGCGGAAATCGCTACCGAAAACGTCGGCCAATTCTGGTATCTGAGCAGGACGATCGGTCAGCTATTGAAACCGAGCATTCGAGTCAGTAAAGCCGTACGTTTCTCAAAATCGACATCCAATGGCCACCCCCAACGTAGGTTGTCTGCGAGTGGGATAACTGAATGTAACCAGCCGAGTCGGGATCCAAAGCCAGTTCTTCGTAGCTGGCGCCCTCTTCATCGTTTTCAGACGAAGGTCCTGCGGTTTGAGAGCCAGACATGGCGTCGTCCAGCGTAGTAGCTGGATTTGCCTGCTTCAAGGCGCCCATGAGAAAGTCAACTTGGGACTCGAGCTGTCTGACACGGTCTCTGACGTTCGGAGGAGCATACTGGGTCGGACTGTTCGAGTTTGCTGGCCTGGGAATGTTCGACTCTGGGAATGTGCAGGAGTCGGCCAGTCCACGACGGGAGCAGTTGTGGCAGGGTTGGCATCGGTCGCATTTCAGTCTATGTCGCCAGAGGTGAGCCTTTGATACCCTTCGTACTCAAGTGGTAACATTCACTTTCGCTTTCTGCAAAGATTGCATGATAGTTGAGGCTTCTCTCTTCGCCGTCTCGCGGCCTTCTCGAGCTCTTCCAGAGTGTGGGCCATTCCCTCGTTTTTAATCGCTCACCGGTGCAGCTGGCTCCACTTCATATCAAGGACGAAATTGTGCGTGGCTTTGTAACAAACAGAGGGGAAAACGAACAGGAGACAAGACGATGGAGGCTGTCGGTACTATTCGATTGTTTTCAGTCACGTCTCTGGACGGTCTGCCCCAATCGACTCCACAAAAATACTCGCATATCCGACCCTCCGAGCGACACCAGACGAAGAATAGCAGTCTGGCCCATGCCCAGAGCGGCACTCGATGACGACATGAAGCTTAGCGAGTGGATGCCAAAAGCAGCATAGCATAGCTGGGATGTAGAAACGCCGAGGGATGCCTTGAGTGTCGTGTAATCAAGAATTGACAAGAAAGGCAGATCAACCGCCGGCGATATTCTAATTGATTAGGCGAGATTTGCAAGGAATGAATACGGAGGAGCAATCGAGCCTCGGATGTGATTGCCTGTACTGTACCGTACCCGGTATTTCTCAGCCTCATTTCCCCTCGAGCCCCCTGCAACTTCTTCCACGGCTCGCTGCGACCTTGACTCCATGCGGTTGTAGCCTCAGCGCCATTGAAGTTGAAGCCCGAGGCCTACTCCAAAAGACGGTAGGTGCCATGGCTGACAGCCACCTCTATGGCGTGAGGCAGTCCTCTAAGACCAAAGCCAAAGAGATTTCCTCATCCACGTCCCTCGCGTTCTCTACCAACCTCGCGTCACTGATCTCCAGTTCATCCTCGGTCAAAGCCAAAAGTGGCACAGCCCGACCGCGCCCGTCCAGGGACAAGTCCGATATCTTTACTGCTCACAATAAAAATGTCAAGAAACGGTCCGCCGCCGACCTTGAAGATGGCCAGCAACACCACCAAACCAAAGCCGACATCGGCTCCGTCGAGGACGCCGAGTTGCGCAGATCCAAAAGGAAGATGGAGGACAAAGTGCGGATCTACAACGCTATGAAGCGTGGTGAATACATTGGGAGGGGTGATCACGACGATCGGGGCCTGGTCGACTTTGACCGTAAATGGGCTGAGACTCAAGCAAGTGGAGGAGCACATAACTCTGATAGCGCAGACTCCGATGAAGAGGGCGCAGAAGAGGACGACGAAACTGTGGAATACTTGGACGAGTTTGGTCGACTACGGAAAGGGACAAAAGCCGAAGCTGAACGGGAAGAGAGGAGGAAAAGAATACAAGCAAACGCGGCCGAGGAAGAGGAACGGCTAGCCGCAAAGCCTTCAATGCCCGCCAATGTTATCTATGGAGACGCTATTCAACATCAGGCATTCAACCCGGACCAAATCATTGCCGACCGCATGGCGGAACTTGCGAAGAAGCGAGACAAATCAGCTACCCCGCCTCCCGAAGCACATTACGATGCGAATGCAGAAGTCAGGTCCAAAGGCACTGGCTTCTACAATTTCAGCAAGGACGCAGAAGAACGTAAGCGGGAGATGGAGGCCCTGGAGAAGGAAAGACTCGAAACCGAGAGAATCCGCAAAGAGAGGGAAGAGAAGAAAGAGCAAAGGCGGAAAGAGATCGAAGAGCGGCGCCGGCTGATCGCTGAACAGAGGGCCAAAGCTCAGACCGACAAATTCTTAAGCGAATTGGATATTGAGGGGGTGTTGTGAGATGCTCGCAGAATTCTTCGCCCTTCGTTACTGCAATGAAGTCGGCCTCTCATTTTTCGAAGTGTCAACTCATATGACGAGCTACGTCTCATGGCATCATCGCCGGCCAGGCCTTCCTCTCGCATTGCAATCCAAGACCGACACAGAAGAGGCTGTGTTAGGACGTGGTGTTACCTATTCTACACGTCCTATGGAACAGAATAGCCCTCCTCGATCACGGCAAATAAACCGTGTTCATCATCCCCGGACCGCAGAACCTCACCAGCCAGGCAAATGGAACCCTGCACAGGTCAGTGATCGTATCTTTACTGTCCCTCATGGTGGTGACGACACTGAAGCCGGAAGAGAGGGAAGACGAGCGCAGCTCGGAGAGGAGGGTTTTTAAGGCCAGTCGCGGGTACATGCTCCGTACAAGTCGACAAATTAAGCCTGTCTCTCCCCCAGCTCGACGTTCTCCGCTTATATGGCTTCATCTCATGCGTGCGAATGCATCTGCATCTGCATCTGCATCTGGTGTGACGCGCGCACCGCTCCTGGCCATGCCTGCTCTCATCACGACGAGCGACCATGTCAAGTCACGTACATACCTCGAGAAGGCTGCCAAACAAGGCCACCCGCTGGATCCGCAGTATCCAGCGAAGTTTGAGTCTCCACGGACAGCCAGGCTAGGCAGCACGCCAGCCGTTGAATTACACATCTCTGGAATGACGCAAGTTTGGATTGGAAGGAGAAGGAGGAAACCATATGAATGCCAGTCCACTACGCCAGTGGGTGCCGACTCGCCAGTCTGGCCTGACCCATGCCATGTCGTGCGTGACATTCATCGATACCGCACACCGGAACACGGAAAGGAAAATGTAGATATAAATATGAATGTAGATGCTGTGCTTCGTAGTCTGTGTGATACCGTCCTCGTATCGTATGCTACTAGTATCCCATGCCATGCTATGCTATGTTACAATGTGATATACCATGCCATGCTATGCCGTGCCGTGCCGTGCGCCCTACCTATGTGTACGTATATTCCCGAAAAGCCCAGGTGCCCAGTCAGATATCGAAAAAGCCAGATACCCAGACAAGCAAATACGCATGCGAAATGCAAAATAACCATACACTACTAACTATTACTTAGTACCCTGTATTCTGTACCCTGTACTCTGGACTCTGTACTCTGTACTCTGTGGGCGCTCCATCTTTTGCCTTTCCAGATCCAAAACCCATTTCACAAAGCACATATGCAGCAATCACTTTTTTTTGGGGACTCGTTCGCGTGGGTCGAGCGATCGAGCGCGATATCTCAAACCATAAACGCCACACCAGCAATCACGCCGGCGAACACACCCCACGCGACGCTCTGCCTGCTCGCTGCGCCGGTGAAGATGTCGGGCGTGACGCCCGTGCTTGTGCTTGTGCTTGTACCCGTCGCTGCTGGGGCGAAGCTTGTGGCCGCGATGGCAGCGGTGGTTGCGGACGCACCACCCTCGGCACCATTGCCGTTGCCGCCGGATCCACCGGAGGAGGAACCGTTACCTGCGCCAGACCCGGACCCGGACCCGGACCCACTGCCAGAACCAGATCCGGATGCAGAACCAGAACCAGGCGTCGGGTTTGCCGTGGGCATGGGAATCAGGCCAATTTCGGGGGTGGGGCCTGCGTTGCTGCCGGGAGCGGTAGGCTCCACGGTGACAAAGGTGACCTGCGGGACAGTCACGGCGGTGGTGAATGTGCTACCGCTCAGGGTCTGCGTAAAGGTCACGGTCGTCACGGGGATGGCGACAGGAGGCGTCGGAGCCGGCGGGCTGATACCGTTGCCTGAGCCCGAGCCCGGAATGTCGGGTCTGGGTCCTCGGCCTGCGCCGTTCGTGATCGTCGCTGTAGCTGTGACTGTCCCTGTCGCGGTGACGGTGCTCACTTGTGTCTCGGTCGTCGGCGGCGCAGGGACCAACGTGATAGTGCTGGGGACACCAGTGCAAATGCCCGGGTTTTGGGGCACAAAGTCTGCGCATATGCCGGCCAGGTAGCTGAGTGCGGCGGTGATCTCATCTTCGGAGGAACCCCAGGCGGAGACACATGATTGGACGCTGGCGATGAAGGCGGGGGACGGACAGAAACATTTGGTGTCGGAGTTAGAGGCGCAGGAGGGAAGGGTGCTCAACCAGGTGTTTAGGCATGATGGGAGCAGAGGTGGGCACGGCGAAGTTGGCTGCGATGGGGGAGGACCGGCTGGCGGAGCTGAAGAGGATGAGGAAGGCGGTGTGGGTGGTGTGGTCGAGGAGGAGCTTGGAGGTTGGCCAAATGGAGAAGTTGTGGTGGTGGAGGAGCTGGGAGTGTCGCCTGGCTTTGTTGTGGACGTGCTGGGAGTTTCGCCGGGCTTGGTGGTGGACGTGCTAGGAGTCTCGCCAGGTTTGGTGGTGGTAGACGTGCTGGGAGTCTCGCCAGGTTTGGTGGTGGTAGACGTGCCAGGAGTGTCCACAGCAGGGGTTGTCGTGGTCGTCTGAGGTACCGGAGAAGTTGTAGTCGCAGGGCTGCTGCTTGTGACTGGGCTGCTTTCGGTGGTCGAGGTGGTGTCGGCCTTTGGCGTGGTAGTTGTGCCCTCAGACGTGGGCGTCGTAGTTGTGCCCTCAGACGTGGGCGTCGTAGTTGTGCCCTCAGACTTAGGCGTAGTGGTTGTCTCCTCGGTTTTCGGCGTAGTAGTCGTACTCTCAGATTTCAGCGTAGTGGTCGTGCCCTCAGTCTTGGGCGTCGTAGTCGTGACTACCGAGCTCGTTGTGGTCACTGGCGTCGTCGTGGAAGTGGCTGGGCGCGTAGTTGTCGAGGAGGACGTTGGTGGAGAGTTGCAATCAAAGCCGATGGAATGGATACCGATATCGCAGCCATCCTTGTTACTGCTGGGAGGCATCTGGAATGTCACCGATCGAGCACCACCGCACTGGGTGTTCTCCACGGTCGTGCCCTTGGCGCTGCAGGACGCGGTATGTTTGCAGCTCGAGCCATCAGGCATGGCGAAGATGAAGTCCAGCTCGGTATCGAAAGAGACAGAGACTTGCATATGTGTGATAGAGAACCTCTCATCTTGGGCACACGAGAAGCTAGGGCTACTGCTCGATGATTTGCCCACTTTGCCTTGGATGCACTTCGACTAGCAGGAAGTTAGGAGAGGCTTCAGGTGGCAACACACTTTTCCACTCACCTGAAAGTCACTGCGGGTCTTGATCGATCTCTTCCTGCCGTCTGACTTGAAGGAGTCCTGGCAAGAGAACCCTCCGAAGCCAAATCCACCATAGCTGTTGAAGCCTCCTGTTGGGAGGCCCGACCAGTCAAAGCCGTTCTGCTGGTCAGCTGAGCAGTTGTTGTTGGTATTCGAGACGCTCGGGAAGCCCGGAGAGTCGCCCCAGCCTGTTGCGACAGCCTGCTGAACGACCCAGGCAGATGCCACGAGACCGGCAGTGAATGCAGACCTCATGGTGAGCGAAAATGATGGGAAAACAAAGAGAGAAATGAGCGAGCGACCAGGCTATGCTGCAAACGATTGACTTTTGATATAGCGAGTGTGGACAACGAAAGACTGTATGAAACAGGAAACGAAATTCAAAGCACAGGGGGAGAAGAGCTGGGGGATGGAAGGATGGAAGTGATGGATGCTCGAGGAGGTCCCAGGCCTTTTGTATCGATGGACGTCCAGCGTCAACCCGAAAGTCCTCTCCCTCCGTTGATGGAGGTAGGTCAGCACGGGAGATGTTACCCAAGCGTCCCTCCCACGGCGGGTCTCAAGACAAGACATTCTGAAGCCGACCACTCTGGCGCGCGCAACCACCGGCCGCGGTGTGGTAGCTGTGGAGTGAATTGAGAGCCTCTCGTGGCCTCGAATAACCAAGATTGGAGCAACGCGAGCTCGTTGTAGGCAAGGCTGAAACCGAACTGGACTGTCGACAACAGCCAATCGAGCTAGTCGGCGCTGTCGAGGCGTAAGTCAGGAGTTCTGTCTTGGACTGAGCGGGGCCGGCCGCATGCAAGCGATCGGCCATTGTCGTCGGAAGCCAGAGCCTGCTCATCCGCAATCGAGGCTGTGTCCATCGAAACCCCACATCTGCAGTGACAGGTCAAAACAATCTTCGCGGTGCGAGTCGCTCCTCGCGCGTGTCGAGGCAGATTGCTTCGGTTTGACATCAGTTTGCAGCCGAGTACAGGGTGAATTCTCATTGGCTGCCGAGTCTCCTGTGCGGCTAGCTTGATTGGTCCGGATTTAATATCGGGCTTGGCTCAAGTACTAGTCTATTTTGGGCCGATCGGTTGGCGGTTACGGGTTGGAACCGCGGCGTCGCTGTCCTCCACTCGTCCAACTCGTTCGGGCAGGTCCTGACAACAATGGGAGAATGGCCAGTCTGCCCCTTGATGGAGGTGGAGAGATCTGCTGTGATGTGTCTGCTTCGGGACAAATGGGTAAGCATGTGCCATTGCTTGTGGGCGCAACCCTTGCCCGTTGTGGCGGGGTGGACAGAAACCCATCTACAGCACTGGTAAACAGATGCATTGGCATAATATATGCATCACAGGACAAGATATCCCTTTTGCAGCCGTTCCCCCTGGACCATTCGCTCCACAGCTCCATCATGAGTTGGCCCTGTTCCATACTGTCCCTTATGCACTGGGAGCATATGGCCCGAATGGTGAAAAGCTCTGCGTCTATATTCATAACACCATGCGCCATGCATTCATGTCGTTCATCCCGTTGATCCGTCCAAAGGCGACCTTTCCCTTTTAAATCCTCAAGAGCCCTCCTATTCCGCCCTATCCATATTTCCCGACTTCTCTTTCAAAGGTAGGGGCATTCCGTTCTGATCGCCGCTTGCGTGACCATTGATGCCGTTGGTGCTAAGGTCTAGCACTGCCTTGGGCATAACGTGGTCCGAACTAATCTTGCCCAACTCATCCGTCGCTCTCTTGCCACTTGGGGGACTCGGACCATGGCTCGCATCTTGTTCGGCTGCTGCGCCTTTAAGCTTGCGGTTCGCATCTTCACTCACTTCAGCAATATCAGCTTCGACTTTCTTCATGACGCGCTTGAACGGACGTCGGATTTTCGGGTTTTCCGTCGGACTGGTTGTCGGAGTACCATTAGGGGCAAGCTCCGGTGGTTTGTCGCCGGCGTCGGTGAGGCCGTCAACACTATCGCCCGGGACCGCGGGGGAGTTGCCTTTCTTGTCCGCGGCTTCGGTAACCCCCTTACTGTTCTTGATGTAGTCATCCAACATGGTTTTCAATGCTGTTTGGCGGACAGGCTTGGCAAGATAGTCATTCATGCCTGCCTCCAAGCACTTTTCCCGGTCGCCTCGAATTGCAGAAGCCGTCATGGCAATGATCAAAACACGATTGACGTTGGGATCCGGGTCGGCTCTGATTGCTTTCGTCGCTTCATACCCGTCCAACACTGGCATCTGGACATCCATGAGCACGAGGTGGAACGGCCGGCCCTCTTTGCTCTCGGCCTTTAAAGCGTCGTATGCTTGCTTGCCATCTTCATACGCCTCGCATTTGAAGCCAAGCTTTTTGACAAAGGAGATGGCAATCTTCCGGTTGATGTGGTTGTCTTCGGCAATGCAGACACGTAGTTCTTCGCGAGGAACTTTGCTCAGGTCGCAGAAACTGTACGTCTTGTGCTCCGTTTCAGGACTCGCCGCCTGGGACCAATTTGCCATCGGGTCTGGATCCTTCGCAGAGATTTGCATGTCGTTCACAACGCTACTATTCTTGGGCGCCTTGTGGAAGGTCAGGGTGAACGACACCGTCGTCCCCACCCCAGGCGTGGACTCTATCCATATCTTCCCACCAAGCACGTTCTCGATCATCGCCTTGCAGATGCTGAGGCCGAGACCGCTGCCACCGTAGGAACGAGCCGTGGATGAATCAGCCTGCGAAAACGGCTGGAAGAGTCGTGTCAGCTGCTCCTGAGTGATGCCAATCCCCGTGTCTGCGACAGAGCAAGTGATCTTGACCCGGTCTCGTGTCTCGGCGTTTTTGCGAGCGCGCACTGTGACCGAGCCTTGCGGCGTGAACTTGTACGCATTGCTCAGAAGATTCATAAAGATTTGATGGAGTCGGACTGGGTCGCCCAAAACCAAGTTGTCGTCGATCTGCAAATCTTCGATCGTCTTCAGGCCGTGCTCTTGATTGGTGTAGGCCAGTGCCCGTACCACCTCGGTGATGGTCTCCTTCAAGTTTAGAGGTACCGTGAACATCTGCATCTTGCCGGCCTCGAGCTTGGAGAAGTCTAGAATATCGTTGATAACGGTCAACAAGGTATCGGCACAAACACGGATGCTGTCGGCATATTGTTCCTGGTCTTTGCTTAAAGGGGTCCCTTTGAGGAGTTCCGACATGCCAATCACGCCGTTCAACGGTGTTCGAAGTTCGTGGCTGACATTAGCAAGGAAGATGGACTTGGCCCGGGCGGCCTCTTCTTTCAGCTTGACATTGTGCATCGCCTCCGCTTCCGCTTTCTTGGCCTTGGCTTCTGCTTCCCGGGCAGCTACAAGCGCGCGCTTTTGCGACTCGACCATGCTGGCGTTTGATGCACTCACTTTCCGGACCTTTCTGTACAAGAGTGCATTGCCCAGTGAGATAGCAACCTGGTTTGTGAGGAGGTTGAGGACGATCATGTTACGTTGTGTGAAGGCGTTTGGTCGTCCTTCCAGGTGGATCACACCCATCAAATGATCAGCCTGTATTATAGGGATGGCAATGATCGAGCGTCCGTGCGGGTTTCTGGCCAGGTACGCGTCGCCCACGTTAGAGAATCGGTCGTCCTCGAGCACATTGTGCACAAAGACCGTTTCCTTTGTGCGCAGCAGATAATGTGTGATTTGTTGGGCGGCTTGATCGTCAACCTCCGAGAACGGAATGCCATCGGGATATGTCTTGACGCCTGTTTCGTGGTCAGCACTCGCTGCGACACACCAGCCTTGGTCCTCAGAGTCTATCACGATGGCGCAGAACTCGGCCTGACCGCCGACAGATTCGAGGATGACCGATATCATCTTGGAGAGCAAGTTGTTGATCTGAAGTTCTGAACTGATTACCCGCGAAAATTCGAGGATAGACGTCAGATCCAGAATGTCGAGTCCAAGACCAGGAACGTCCTGCTGTGTCTGCGTTGCAGCGCCCGGCTTGGGTTGCACCCATTGCTTTGTGTATTCGCGCTTGTTCTGAAGGGAAGGGTCTTCAGCCACAGCCAAAGAGTGCAAGTCCTGCGTCTGGGTGGCGGCGTCCATTGTCCTTGAAGTAGTGGCAGTCTTGATTAACCACTCGTGCTTGTCCTGAAGATGGCGAGCTTTACCGGCAGCGTTGATCCGATTCCAAGCACCAATGGCTTCTTGTATCATGACTTTTCCCGCCCTCTTAGCGCCTCGCGCAAGCAGAAACTCTGCTTGCATCTCCACTGCGAGAGCCTCTTCCAACGCGAAGCCATGTACTTGACAGTGATCAATGGCCATCTCGATATTGGAAATGACGTTGTAGTACTCTCGGGTGACGTCCGAGATGGCAGCTTCCAACATCCGGGACCAGGCGAAGTAGTTGACATCGTTGACACTCCCCCAGTCATCGATGAAGTTCTTCATCTTCTTAGCCTCTTCGATATATGGGCCCCGCTCTTCTTCGGGCTTCTCTTTCGCAACTGCCACCAACGACAAGCCTAGATAAAAGCGAGTAGCGCAAGAAGGCCGATTTGACCAAAGCTCATCGAGAGTCGTGGCAACCAACTGTCGACCTTTCTCAACGACATATTCGTGGTAACCGAGTAGATGGTAAGCTACAAGGGACATGGCGTCGAAGATGTCGCGAGGACGTTGTGCATTAGCCGCGTAGATATCGCATTCTGCCATCCACTTCTCGGTCTGGTGATCTTCATCGTCTAGGAGGGTCCTGGCATCCGCGGCGATGGTCTTCCCCTGAAGTGCCCGCGAAACCTGTCTAGTAATTGTGAGCAGCGTTCCGCCGCGCCGATCTCTCTCCCAGTTATCAAATTCTTCAGGACCGTAAGTGCAGAAAGCCTCGACCTCGGCAAGATCCTGTCCAGCCCAGAATCTTGAGATGGCCATGACACCAATGTTGAGAATGCTGACAAACCTATCTCCGGATGACAAGGAGTATTCGAGTGCGCTGTCCAAAATAGGAAGCAAATTGCGCACCGGGGTCTGGAAATGGCCAATGAAGAGAGTGTATAGCGTCCAGCCTCTGCCTCGACTCCACGCATCGTCGAACACGGTGAAGAACTCTTGTGCGAGGTCGCCATAGGATAAGCCCAAGTCGATGTCTTTGAAGCGCCCAATCGCAGCAGCACCAAGCATTCCAAAGCCGACTCCAGCCTGGACAAAGATGCCACGGTCAAGGAGCGCGTTGACGTACGCGATGACGAGTTGATACCAGAGCAGAGCGTCGGACCAGTAGAGCGCACCCAGGGCTTCACTAAGCACCGTTCCGAGTGCAATCACGTTCTTGTCTTCGCTCAACGGAGCTGTAAGAAGTGCCTCCTTATCGAGTTGCCGTACCCGAAACTCTAGTTTCTTGAACTCGATATCGCATTCGTCCCAAGTCGGCTGTGTTAGAACAAGCCCGAGCTCTGCTAGACATTCTCGCTGAGCTGCAAATGCGTCCAGAAACTTTCCTTGAGCGGCAAGCACGCGCCCTTTTAGGATAAAAGATCTCGTCTTATCTGCCGAACACCTCGCGTGAGTGAACGTCTCATTCAAGAGCTCGAGGGCTCCTTCCTTGTCCCCCTCAAGATACATGATTTCAGCGGTATTAACGTGAAGCTGTAGAGTTTCGTCGTAGAACACATCAGGGTTATCTGTATCCCATTTGTCGTCTTGAAGCAGGTCAAGAGCAGTCTTGTAGTACCGAAGAGCCGTTGTTTTGGCGCCAGCCTCAACGGCCTTCTGAGCTCCGCGCCAGAGAACGTCTCGGTAGCGCATCCGAGTCGGAACCCGTTCTTTGACGATCTGGGCCGATAGACAGATGTGACGTGCTAGAGGGTATAAGTTGTACTTGCATTGACTGAGATAGCCCATCATAGCCTGCACTATGATGAAATGCATCTTAGTCGTGTTTTGACATTCCCGCATTTCGTTCGCTGCTTTGAGGTACCGCGCATGCGCAAATCGGAACTCGTCATCGGTCTCGCCAGGTGTGACAATGTACATGTTGACCAATTGCTGAAGACCATTAACGCAGTCGGTTTCGGAAAGACTGAATAACTTGGCTCGTTTAGGGCATGTTGCATCGTGCGCCTGGTCCCTTCCGCTGCTGTAGAAGAAGTCACCGGCCATAATAGACTGGATCAACTTGAATGAGAAGGTGGAGCCGATCAAGGAAGCCCAGGCCAGAATGGACCTTGCAGCGGGCGGTAAGTCTTGCAGTCGTCTTGTCAGATAGCCATTGTCGGTGCATCCCTCACCACTAAACTCGTCGAAAATCTTGTCCAGGTCAAATTGCCAACCGGATGCTCTCCAATCGTACCATAAACAGTTGCGTTGATAGCACGTTTGCAAAATATCCTTGAAGAGGAATGGATTGCCTTCTGACTTGGCGTAAACAACGGCACCCAAAGGAAGGATCGTGTCTACTGATTGAGACATTGTTGCTGCAACATACTCGAACACGTGCTTCTCGCGCAGATTAGCCAACTCTATCTTGTTGCTCGAATCGAGGTCGAGAAGCTTGGCGATTGATTCGGGAACGCCGTCATCGTCGACTCTGCTCGACAACATGAGCACCACGGGAACCTTGGCTTTTATGATATGCATTAGCAGGTCGACCGATTCGCCGTCTGCATACTGCAGGTCATCTAAGCAGAGACAGATCAACTTCCCTGTGCAGATGGTGCGGAGCACGTCCATGTACGTGTTGATGAGCCGGATGGACTTGGTATTCGCTGGGCCACGGAGGAAATCGTTGGCATCCCAAGTACCATGGGTAGCGGATGGGCTCACGGTTGGCTTAGTCCCAGTTTCGATCGTAGGGACCTCCGTGTTGATGCTCTGGTTTGCTGTATCTGTTTTGACTAGAAGCTTCTTCGAGAGTACCGTCACGTCGAGTAAGGTGGCTGGTAAATCCAACATTGTGTGTAATACTGGCCAGAATGGAGCAACGTGGGCTCGAAGATGCTCATGATAGGGGGAATTGACGTCCTTTTCGGAGAAAATTTGTCGAAAGAGGCTCGCCATAACCTTCATCAGTGGCTCAAACGGAGAAGGTCGAGCTCTATCGAATCTCCCAAGGGCGAAGTATCCATGGCGGCGAATTGCGGGCTGCACAGCTTTGATCAGAGCAGTTTTGCCTACTCCAGGCGGCCCAACAATGATTATAACCTCCGTCTTCGACCTCCGCTTGTACTTGTGGCTGTTCCTCCTTCGTGTCATCATCCCTGGCAAGGAATCAGTTGGTGGCTGCAGGCCGCCAGAAAAAGTGCTATCCCGATCAGACAAGACGTCCAGAGGAGTAATTCTCGGATCGGCTATTGCTCGTGCACGCTTTCCAAAAAGGTTGGCCTTGTTACCGTAGCCTGGAGGATATGTACTGTCCAATCCAATCGTCGTGGAGTTGCTTCGGGATTCCCGAAAACCGAATGAGCTCGAGTCGTCGGAAGGCGCTCCTTCTTCAGGGCCATCCACCCGGCTATCGGAAATAGAGGAATTGGAGCCGCTCAGGAGCCCATGCTGTGAGGGACTCGGCCGCGATGCCGAAGAGCTCTGCCGTTTATGAGCCCTGTCAATTATCTTGGTGATGCGTTCAGTCTCAGCGTGCCGACCAAATAGTTTGGTAGGGAGAATAAAGAAGGACGAAACATCTCGTTGCCCAACCTTGTAATTCTTGATCTTCTCCTGATCGCCTTCACCCAAGAACTTCTGAATCTGCAAGAGGTCGTATTTCAGACCGCTCATCGAATGATATCGTTCATCCATCTGCTTGTGAGTCATCTTGGCAATAATGTGGGAAATGGCGTCCGGAATATCCATGCGGATCGATGTCACCATGGGGAGCCGATGAGTGAGAACTCGCTGGACAATATCAATGGGAGTTTCGGCATCAAAGGCGGGTTGTCCGGTGAGAAGTGTCCAGAAGAGGACTCCAAGACTGTAGATGTCGGTGCGACTGTCAGGTTCGGCTGGCAATCGGCCAGTCTGCTCTGGAGCAATGAAATGCAGCTTGTTCTTGACTCCAATTTCCCTGCTCATGCTAGCCCAACCCTCGCTAGATAGTAGGTTTTCGAATGCTCGCGGTCCGTTTCCGCCGTTGGCCAGCTTGACAGCGCCAGTTTCGCGGTTCCAGTGGAAAGTATCCGATCGAACCTCGCCATGTACGGTTTTGGCGCCGTGATGCAAGAGCTCGAGTGTTTCTGCCGCGCCGACGGCGAAATCGAGAAATGCTTGCAACGGGATCTGCTCTCCCGGAGTGCCATCTGACAGACCTATCTTGTGTTCCAAGCGATTGTTGAGGCCATAAAAGGCCGGGCCCATGTCCAAGATCTCTCGTAGATAGTTCTTCCCAGGCGCTTCATAGACGCAGACAACGATAGGGCGGGTGTCGCCTGGGGTGCTGGGCAGCTTGAAGATCTCTATCGGTCGGATAGTATGTTCGCATTCCGGATCAGCCTCTTTGACCACAGCCTGGTTGTAGTAGAACTCCCTCTCCAGTCGCAGCACATGTGTGCTGATACGGGCCACCACGGGCATCCATATTGGGTCCGGGTCTCCGCCTTTGGACGATAGATTGTCACTGTCGGAAGTACCGCTAATACTGCTCCAGTGATGGTGGCGCAGCGACGGACGATGAGGATCGAGTTTCGGAGAGCTTTTGGTCGACCCGTTGGACAGGAGGGAAAAGCTGGTCAAGGTACTGGCCGATTCGCGAGGATTGATGACTTCGGGATTATGGAGGATGCCATAGATATGCCTATTCGGACAACGACTCATCAGTTGCTGGATTGCGAGACTTCCGGATCCAGACTATGTCCCTTTCGCACTTACCAATGGTCGTAGCTCGTGTGAAACGGCACAAACTGGAGAGAAATCAAATCAGCTCGGGCGTGTCAGTGTGTGAATTCGAGGCCGCCATACCGAGCGATCCCAGGTATAATTCGGTACTTGTGAGAGCCGCTCAAACAGTCTCGCGGGCGCGATGGGCAGGTCTTCGCCCAGGATGTCTTCCATTTTCTCGGGCTGCGGCACTGACGTGGGTGGTCATGTCATTTTCGGACGCTGATTTGTGGTCTGGACTCTCAAGTGGAGGCACCCAGATCTGCCAACAGTGACGGCAACTGTAACGGCGAACGCAGTTCAACCTTACTGCGACAGCGAGGTGCGTTCTGAAAGAGAGCGGAGAGAAAGGAAAGGTGCGGCAGAAGTGCCAGACGCGATGGAAATGCACGCCGGGAGTGTCTGGATGTTCTCGAACGAGGATTTGACTGCATGTGGTTCGGTCTGATGATTAAGCATTTCAAGCAGCTGCCAGATCAAGTGGGCGTCTTGGGGACGAGTTTCGGTCAGCAGCCACACACTGGTGCGCGCAGGTCGGATAGGCGGGCGTCACACCACTCTTCTACGGAAACTGCGAACATGCCAAATCTCCTCACCCAAGAAGATCGTGAAAATCACTGCAGGTCTGTTACGCACGGTTGGTGTCGTCTTCCTATATTCAGCAATAGATGAGCAGTGCTCCAGCCCGGGAGGGGCACCTAAGGGGTAAGCCAAAAGCGAAAGTCCCGCCGCCAACCACATCATTTTCCAGGCCTCAGATCACCTTCATGCTCTACCGGCAGACCTTGTGGTGCCGACCGCGGGAGAGCGGGAAGCGGACTTACTAGTCCAGGCTCCAATTAGGCGGGGTCGGCAACTTTTGATCGGGGGCACAGTCATACAGTAGACGCGTACGAGTCACTCCGTACCTAGGTACTTCTCCGTACAGGACTACCGACAGCCAGGACAGCTCATGCTATTAATTACTGATACCACTACGATACACACTCCCAACATCGGACAGCGGACGGCCCACGTACGAGTGCTCGGTAGAGAGCGACCCATAGCACAGTTGCTCCCTCGACGTCCTTACTCTCGATTGTAAGAGATTGATATTCGTTGTATCCCGTAGCTCAGCTTGATTTGCCATGAAAGTCCGCAACTGATATGCACCACAGTCAGCACGGCGTGCTTGGCTGCGCCAACCAAACTAGTCTCCCTTGGGACCTCTCATACGCCGTGGCGTGCTTGAGAAGTGTACTCTTGGAATCTTAAATTATTACCATGTATGAAACCACGGCCAGCAACCATAAGCCATATATTCCACCACATGCCCTCCTCGCTGCCACGCTGTCAATCGGAGGTGTGATCTCTGGCTGTGTGGGTCCTGTGGTGCTCTCCGCCGGCGTTGTGCCTGATGTCGTGGTGGTTGGACTACCTGAAAGAGCTGTGTTACTGCTCATGAGGCTGGTCGCGGCACTGGTTGCGGCTGCGTTCGTAAGAGATGCCACGGAGCCACCCGTGCTCGTCACAGCTGTGGTTGTGAGTCTGGGCAAGGATGGCGTCGCCGACGTATTGGTGAATGCTTGAGATCCAACTTGGCTCGCTGGTATGGCGGAACCAACCCCACTACTGGTCCACGGTGTTGGGATTGGCAAGCTGGCAGTGTTCGGCTCATCAAGGCTGTCTTGGTAGATATTCCCACTCTGCCCATTTGCCAACCGGTAGTTTCCTGTGATCAAATTGGCTTGACCACCATCCGGAGTGGTATAGTTTCCAGATATGATCGAACCATAGGAGCCATCTTGGAGGTAATAGTCGGTAGTGAATTTGTCCTCAAGAATTGGTTAGTCAATGGGGATGGCATGAAGATTGGAGAGCAGTACCCAGCACAAAGGAATGTCATAACTGAGCACAAGCATACACTCAGTTGTTTCAGCGCCTGTATCGGTAAGTTCACCCAGCATGATGCTGGATTGCGTCCTGGACTCACAACAGAGGCTGCCTGGTGTCTCCCTCGCCTGATGAGCTGGAGAATTTACACCCCGCAATACTTTCGCCTTCTTCAGCTGTTCGGGCAGAGGCTGTGAGCATTTACAGTTCTTGTCGCACTCCGAGATCTCGTCGCCAGTGTGATACAAGATATCCAGGGAGGTACCCCCCATCGCATCGAGACACGAGTACCCATTGTCCGAGCAGTGGCTTGTCAGGCCGCTGTCCTGTTCACCTCTTGCGAAGCAGGACATGCTGGCTGGGTCAAGTCCGCCCACAAGTGGGCTCTCGTGGAAAGTTTGAGCTCTTTCCAACAAATGGGCCGGCGCAGGCTGAGGATTGACTGTGGCGATCAGATTGAGGTAGAGCTTAGCCAGACCGGGACCGATCTCAGGAACGTCCCTCGAGGACGCGCCCTCAGGTGAGCAGAGATGATAACCCTGTCCGCATGCCTGGCGAGGACCAAGATCAGCAAAGCAGAAGCAAACAGTGATGAGCCAAAGCACAGGCACAAGGCGGACTAAACGATGACGCGGCTCGAGCCCAGTTTGGCCAAACATAATGTCTGATGTGGCAGACGTGGGATGAGTGTAACAGGCTGGTATCAGAAGTCCGAGGAGTCTATCAGAACCAGCAGCGAGTTGGTCAAGGTAGTTTCATTCATCGTCGACCGATATTGCGGGTAAGTGCGAGACTTTCCTCTGGCTGCCGTCACTCGGAAGAGGTTCAATATGGGAAGGAACGAATCACCGTACAACTCATTTCAACTTCACTCACTCGAGACTCATCTTTTACACAAGTCATCTGCAATTTCATTCTCAGTTCCGCGCACAGCTTTGACCTAAGCAAAACCCTTTCAGACCGAGTTTGTCCACCACTCTTCTTTTACGGCTCCTGCCGGCATGATTTTTGTATGGCTCTCGCAGTGTCTGAATCTTTCACTGGGGTCCCGAGTATCGCAGCAGTATTCCAACAACACTCTTGGTCGCCTTCGACGTCTCCAACCGTCGCCTTTACATGGCTTGTATTGGCGACGGATCATTCTTGCTGGGCGAACGGTGCAACGGTGGTATCCGCGAGAAGTGATATTGACCCTGCCAGGAAATCTTTGTCCTATTGCACTCCGGAGACTGCCCTCTCATTCTTTAGCCGGCCCCCTTTCCACGACGAGACTACCGCGACATTAGATATGGCCTCCTTTTCCTTCACCTCCTGAGAGCTTCACACGGGTTGGCGGGCACCCGTTGGCCCTTTGATCTGTCAAGAGATGTCGGCATTCATTGGACAGCTGGTTCTCCCAGAATCAGTCCTTACCACTTGGGTGCCACTATTGAACGCGGTCCCCGTCTCCAGCATTTCAGGAGTACGCAAGGATTAACGTCACTGTGAAGTCGAGGCCACAGAAGAGTCCACACCAAGGTCAATAGCAACCGGACTAACAGTGCGCGACAACGGTTTCAGTTAGTGATGTACAGTCTTCGTTAACGCTGTGGGATTGGAAGTCGATCTTTCAAGATCTGAAAATGGTTTTCCCGAGAACGACCTACCGGACAAGCCGATGCGCACCCGACGCAGTCTCAGGATGGACAAAACAGTTCACTCTCGCCCCAAACATGACGAGAGATTGGCAGCCGATTGCAGACCATCCACTCCGTCACCCATGTAACAGTAAGGCGCTAGTGTGAAATGCCGCAACGCCATTGCTGAACTGCTGTGTGGGATAAGGCTCCGTTTACGGGAATAAGCAGCCTAGCAGTCAACACCCTGGTCCACTGTCCTGGGTGACTGGCAGTGTCCGGAATACAGTACTGTGTATATGAGTATGTCCCGGCTATGCCGCCCACTGTCCCCAGACCGTTGATGGAGTGGTCCTAGACGTTCTGGGGGCTGTCACCCAATACAGCGTGGGAATTATTCCATCCGTTCACAATTAACGTCGTGTTCGCCAAGGACGCCACTTCCACAACGGTCTCGTATTTCGGCGAATTCCCCATGAACGATTTCTTGCGCGCCTCATAAGCCTTAGCCCTTTTCCACCGTCGAATGCCCCGGACCGGAAAATTATCATCCGAACTATTGGTCTGTTCCCGAATCCTTCGGGGCTTTCTACATGTACCTCGTACCCCTGGCTTGGGGTACTGGATCCACCGGTGGCGATCACGCATCCACCAAAAAGGGAGACCGTTTCGTCGATCCATCTAGATCAGGAACGCCGAAGATTAAAATGATAAAGAAACAACGGCGGAGCTAACCAAGAAAATATTGATCTGCATGAGCAAATCTATCACAAGCATATCATTGCTACTGGTGATGGCGCCGTCTTGAAGATCACCACTTAGAAACACCAAACTGCAACTCACAGGGAGCCTTGTGGCTGCTAGATTGAGTCTGATTCGAGACGATGTCGATGATGCGACCATCTCAGCGTCGAGGAACTCCAGTCCGTGCTCAGGTGATGCCTCCACCAGACGCTCATGAGGACGGCGAGATGTGTATAAAATGCCTTGGCTCTCCCTCAGAATCTCTTCCATCCTCATCAGCAACAGTCGCTCTCTTCATCTGACAACTAACTCAGTCGCTCATTAGTCGGATCAACTTTTACATTCTTTCCCAAAGAGTCCTCATCCAACAACGCTTCGTTCCCAAGCCGATCTACACCATCCATACATACCACCAAGATGCGTTGCACAGCTATTCTCGCGGGCGTCATCTTCGCAGCCTCTGGCCTGGCTCGCCCTCTTGACAGTAAGTCACTCCCATTTTCCCTTTCTCTTGCCTGTTTCCATATATCGAAACAACACATCCATCCTACCCTGAGTTCCCCGCTAATAATCTTCAGTTCCGGCTGTCGATACAAGCCTTCTCAACGCCGACCTAACGGATATCACGGACGTCACCGACATCGCCGACCTGCCAGACCTCACAGACGTCACTGACCTCGCGGACGTCCCTGCCCTCCCCATCTCCGTCTCCGTCAGCGCCCTCCCAGCCAAACGCCAAGTCGATCTCTCGGCCGTCACCGACCTCGCCAACGACGTCCTAGGTGAGGTTACCGGCACTATCACCGACCTGCTCCCCACCGTGGTCGGCACGCTCAACGACGTGGGCGCCACCATCGACGGCCTTCTCGCGAACGTTGAGACCGCAGACCTGGACTCCACCCTCGCCGAAGTCGAGTCGATCCTGTCCAGCACTATCGCCGAGATCGAGGCCGTCACCAGCGCCGCGGGCGTAGATCTCTCCGGCGAGCTGGCGACCGTCCAGACCGAACTGTCGACTGCCGTCTCCGAGGCCGAGGCTTTGGTCTCCAGCGTGCAGAGCCTCCTCGGCCTGGTGAGCGTGACTGATACACTGACCGAGGTGGAGAGCCTGGCTGCCGAGCTTGTCGATCTGCTTGCTGGCTTGTTGTAAATGGTGCTTTCTAGCTTGACCTCCCGCGCCGTCCGAAGCATTGTCGCCATACGCGCTTGTGAGGACGTTTGTCGTGGGTCATATGGGATGGATGGAAGAGGCTTCATTGGGGATTTGCGATTGCCAGAGTCGACAACGCTGCGGGGTTGTATTGTATTGGATTGTGTGGTGATTTCACTTGTATTGGGAAAAATGACGCTGTCGATGAGGCGTTTCTTCCTGAGCATACAGTATACATATCATATGCTGCTCTAATTTTGTAATGTGACCCTGGCGGGGGGAGGTGGAGGGAGGTGGAAAGGAGGAGAAGTCTGGAATGAGATTGGTCTCAAAACAGGAGGCGGCTGGTTTGCTGATGTGGCTAAGAAGTTCATAACACCAGTTGTACGGAGTACTCCCAAGTGAGAGCATTACGTTACACGAAAGGGTGCGAACATGGCAAATGGTACGCTCCAAGCCTTTGACAAGTCTGCCTGTTCCATCGCGCATTACTGTGGTAATCGTCTTGTTGCCACTCTGCAACATCGCTACAGTACAAGGCAGATACTCTGAATCCCGCGTGATCGCTAATACACACTAGTACATACGGTCTAACGCTTGTCGACGGTTCCCATTTTGTGGGCATGTCGCCGACTCGGTCCTCCATTTACTCTCCATCACCACCAGGGTCACCTCCAACATAGCCCAAAGTCAACAGTCATAGCGCTGTCCACAATCACTTCTCATAGGGCTGGCTGGCTGGCATGTTCTTCTCAAGCCACGGGTGGCTGGATGGCACGAGCAGACGTAGAGTCCGTCCCACCTCTACCAGGGCCCTACCACTGATTATTCCCAAGCTGATGCCCTTGATTACTGTGATAATGCTGTCCTTGGTCGACTACCTCTGCATTGACCTCGTCCGCCCAGTCGCCACCTCCACCGGTAGTCCCACCAAAGCCGTCGTTCTCACCGAAGGGCGTGGCATTCGTGATCTCGCTCAGAGGAAGCAAAGGTGTATGAGTGTTCTTAGCACTGCTGAATTCGGGACTCGCGAGAGAGTTTGGTGGGGCAAAAGGAGCGTCGTTATCGTTCAACGCGTCGGCCGAGTCCCAGGTGTTGGCGCCGATACCTTTGGAGGAAGTTGCGGCCGCAGAGTTGTCCCGCCCGGCCATGGCAATGGGCGCAGCGACGTCCCACCCACCCGAAGCACCGTTTTCGGCAACAGCATTGTCCCAACCACCACTATTGCCTTCCGTGGTAGCAGCAGGTTGATCCCATCCCGCTCCGTCACCATCGCCATTTGAGGTTTGAGCACCATACTTCTTGGCCTTGCTCTTCTCGTCCCACTTTCGTCTCACGTCTTTCTCATTCCGCTCGCACCAAGCGTGCAAGTCGTCGTCCAGTTTCTTGTTCTCCTGCCTCATCACGTCAAGAACGCGCATTTCCCCAGGCGTCTCCTCACTGTCCAGTTTGGCGGCCCACCAGCCCCAGAAGATGGAGGCAGCAGCGACACCGCGGAGGGCGGCTTCTTTCTCCTGGGGAACAGTGGAAGGAAAGGCGGTCTCATAGAACCAGTCCACTTCGTCCCAGGTCATGAGTTGCTTGCGGGCGATGGCGGTCATTCGTTTGAGGAGGTGGTCCGAGAGGTCGCGAGCAGGGATTCCGAGATAGTAGCTCGAGAGGATGACATTGGCATAGGTCGTGAAGAAGCCAGGAATGGATTCATCGAGCTGACGATTGCTCGGAGAGTCAGTTATGGACAAGGTTAAAAAGTGCCCTGACGGAGAAGATGAAACGTGCGAAGATACTTACGTCCTTGAACTTGACGATACTCTGCTCTTCAACGCACTGACTGATCCAAGCAAGAACTAGCTTGTGGCCATTCAGATCGCCGCCTACGATGGTGAAAGATTTGCTACCGTTGTCCATGATATCGTGACGAATGCGGTCGCAGAAGATCATGGCGGCATCGCGTGGGAACTTGCTATCAAGCAGCGTGACGGGGCTTCGCTTGTCGGGTTTGTAGAAGATGGAGATCGCGGGAGTGGCATTGATGCTGGTGTTCGAAGCGTCAGTTAGAGTCACCACTAGGGCAATGGCGGGGTAGGGGCTTACGTTGAAAGTTTGGCAGGAGGAATGCGAGGTCCGCGATCCTCGCGTTGCTCTCGCGCCTCGGGAGCGGCGTCGTCGAAACCCTCCATGACGACGAGAGATGAAGCTGAGATCTGGGTGGTTGTTAAGTTGATTCCAATTAGAGCTGCGAAGGTGGAGAGAGGCAAGAGGCGAAAACGAAGACAAGAACACAGGCAGGAGCAACGGGGATGGAAGTAAGTGCGGCCTGAGGCGGTGTCCCGTCGACGGGTTTGCTGTCCGTCAACGTTCCCGAAGTTCTTTTGGTGCAAGTTGTAGACAAACAGACGGCAGACGGCAGGGAAAATGACCTGTTGGCGACAGAAATGAAATTACTGCTTGCCGACTTCGTTGTGGATGCAGCTGCTCCGGGGGGTCGCTCACGACAACGGGCCTGTTGTGAGCAGTTTGCCATCCTACCAGCAGTCCGGTTCTGCTCTGCTTTCCACAATTCCTCTCTTGCCATGCTGAGCATCAGCCTCGAGCCTGGTCGTAACTTTTTGTGTTCAAGATCAGGCGGAGCCAAGTTGTTCAACCATCACAAAACAGAGATTAGACGAGAGGTTCGAATCAAGAAAGTGTGTCCAAGAGTATTCATCACCCGATCTGTAAAGCAGTCTTTCAGTCCCGCTCTGGTTCAACCGGTCATACGCCTTGCTGCCCCGTCATAAATCATTTGCAGGTCTTTCTATTCCTCCACCTCGTTTACTTCTTCCCGCTCTTCTTGATCCCTTGTTGACCGGCGTTCAATGGTCCCTTGCCCTTTGCCTTCTCGGCCATTTCCTTCTTAGCTTTTGCATCTGCGCCGCTCGGTCAATAACGGCATTGGAGGGATCTCAGTCGAATGTGGTTCGTACCTGCTTGCTGCTTGGCCTTGAATGCTATCTCGTCCTCATCCATTTCCCTCTTCTCCTTCTTCGGTGCCTTGAGAGGCTTGACTTTGCCGCCTGCGAGGGAACGTCAGCGACAGACGTCTAATGACTCGTTTGTTTTCGCCTACCTTCCCGACTTTGACCACCCATTATGACTTTTTGATTCGACCGTGCGGACACTCTGCTTTGGTGGAGGGATTGAGACTGTAAGGTGGGGACAAGGGTCTAATACTGGCGGTGTCAGAGGAAGTCGAGATTCGCCGCAGTCTAGAATTACTCAAAGGGAACATCTTCGTTTCCGGGCAGCACGTGACTATCGCCAAGCTTACGTTGGTTTTCAGCCAGTTCCTCTTCACCTTATGTAGCGGAGAACATATTCTACGATGTCTCCGGGGATTGTTCCTAGCTCTACGAATGTATGACAGACGAGTTTCCGGAGCTTCTCTCGACAGAACTGAATCAATTGACAATGTTACTGAGTAGACTGTCTAGAAAACCCACTCAACCCTTTTTCGAATCGCTCGTGGGTTATCCGCTCACCTTCCGCGCTGGCTTAAGGATACTCTAACACGCAATTCCGAGTCGCCTGGTGACTTTGCACGAATCCCGCTACTCCCTAAATCTTCATGCATTGGCCATGCCCATTTAGAGGTTCTGGGTCCCTCAGGATGAACTTGCGACTCCTAAGGTGCATTTCTGCAGAGCTGGCTACTGTAGTCGCACAGTGGGCTCTTCGAGCGCTCCTGAGGGAGGTGAGAGGTCGTGGTCAGTTACCCAGCCTAGAGTTTTGGTCTTGGCTTGGTAGGGCTGTTGGGAGGCGGACGGGGTGCAGTTCCAGACATGTTTGTCTGTGGGTGGTATTTATTTAGTGGGTTTGAAACGTGGTTGACAAGGATGTCTACGACGGGGTTAGCAAAAGGCCCCGGTTCTAAAAATGAGGAGTGGTACCTATTTGATATTCTTCGTGAGGTCGCTTCTGGTTACTTGATGTGTTGGGGATGCCGATGTTGATGATAAATGAACAGGCCGGCGGCTGAGCTGAGGGTATATATACCCTATCCAAGAGCTGTTCGTTTGGCCGCTCTCCCACACACTCACTGGTGGCTGGTTGTTGGTCAAACGCACGAGGCAAGAGATATCGTCGAGAATCACTCTTTGAACAAGCAAAGCCGCCTCGAGCAAACCACATGAGCAAACGCTTCCCTCCGAACGGGAACCGCTTCCACTTCTGAAACTTTCGCGCTTCGAAGTCGGAAGTAGGTATGGGTGCAAGGTCTGAGTGAAATCATTACCACAGTTTGCGGACGTGAGCCTCCACAGCATCATCATCATCAGCACCATTCGACAGATTTACCTTTGCGAAAGTGAACATGACCGAACGACCACCTTCCAGGCACACGGAATATGGTCTCGAATCATCACATATCACCGTTTGTGTGACTGTGCTGCGACAGCAACCTGCCAAACCCAACCCGTTGTCTCACAGTTCTGGGTTATCTTAAGCTATCTATATTGCCGTTCACTACAGGATGATCACGATTGTCGTTTTCGCCCGACGATGACTAGGTGTTTTGCAGGGTCACAAGCATACTTTGAATATGGCGTTTGGGCCCCAAATAGGACACCTGCCACGGAGATTCAGCTTGAGGCTGTGGCCAAGATTAGGCGTGCGGTTATAGATGTTGACAATGAAGAGATCAGACTCCTGGTGGTCCAGCCCTGCACCGGAGGGTAAAAAAATGACCCATACAGCTATGTGACATGCAACTTCGAAATCCAGCCTCTAACAAGTCGGTACCCTTCATCGCCGTCAAAATTGGACGTGGCTACAGGCTACTCCAAGAAGTCGTCGAAATTGACGACAGGTCATTCACCATTGCCATAGCATTGGGAAAGTCTCTTTGACTCCACAAAAGTCTGAAGCGCCCGTCAGGCTCCGGGTACGTTATATCTGCGTTGTCCAGCAGGACTCGGATGAAATGTCGAAATACTGCAACCGTGAGTTCGTGTGTAAGACATATGCCATGACACAAGGTGGAGGTCGCTCATCGTCATGTATTGTTTCTGGGGTAACTCGTTGAAGTGGAGTATGAAACCTCAGCGGCCGTGATGGTGCGCAAAATCGATGCAGGCTTGTTGTTGACCGACATCAAGACTGCCGAAGTTAGGATGTTATGAGTTGAATTTTGGGGCGGCCATGAGTTAGGACTGGGGTGATTCTACCGTGGGGACAAGGCAGCCTCACTGGCAAGGCTTTCTAGGTACCTAGGCAGAGACGCCTGACGAGAGGTTGTAGAACAAAGCCATTAGCGCTACGTAGCCCATCCAGTGGGAGCGGCATGCGACGCATCTCATCTCTCGCATGCCGCCATACTTGCTCGAGTCTCTTTCTCCGAGGAGTCTTGTTGGTTCAAGGGAAGTGTCGTGCCTCTTCTCCGGGTTTTCGATATGATAATATTTCAAATATGCGACATGACATATTCAGGGTTTACCTGCGACCCTAGTCGTGGAGGAGTCCCTCTATCTTGGGCCACAACGACCTCAGCTGTCCATTGATTTGAAATTGGTCATCTGGAAAGGTCCGACGACGTGCCGTTGAACAATACAGTGCCGTGTGGCATAGCCGTTGACCAGAGTGAGGGGAGGCAGGGCAGAGCGAAATGTACCTGTCCATGACATTCTTGGTGGAGCCAGAAGCAATTAGTCAGGGGTGGGGCAATTCGAGCAATTCAAAGCTCCTGTTTATTTGGCATGCGTCTTTTCCCACAGGATGGCGCTCAGCAGGTTACATGCGTTCAGGCAAGCCTGATAGTTATCGATTACAACGACGGCGCGTTGCTCGGCATAGCTATCGATTACAATGACGGCGCGTAGCTTGACGGCATAGCTGGCGACAGGTAGGTGCAGTGGACATAAAAGCTCACAATGAAACAGCTTGTGGCCGTGATTGTGCCCTTCAACCCGAACAACCTTCCAGTTCTTTACAATCCAGCCTTCCACATTCTTACAGTCTATACTCTGTTACACAAACAACATGACCAAGCTCCTTGTCTTAGTCGGCACCGGTCCCGGCATTGGCCTCTCGACCGCCACGCTTTTCGCCTCCAAAGGCTTCGATATCGCCCTCCTCTCCCGCAACGCAGCTCGCCTTGCAGAAGACGCTCAAAAGGTCGGTGCGGCAGGCCAAGGCAAAGTCAAGGTTATGTCGTTTCCTGTCGACGTCAGTGATCATGTTCTTCTGAAGAAGACTTTGGGCGAGGTCGAGCAGCATATGGGAAAGCCGGAAGTGGTGGTTTTCAATGCCGCAAGGATCGCGCAAACCGTTATTGGGGAGACGAGTGAGGAGGATATCATTGGAGATTTCAAGGTGAGCCGCGATTTCGAGAGCTGGACAGACGTTAACGAGGGCCAAGTTGATGAATATTGGCCAATATGTTGCTGCTTCATGGGCATTGCCGTTGCTCGAAGACGTAGCTGAGGAGCCAGACACACACGCATCATTTTTCCTCACCAGCTCGGGGGTCTCCTATGATCCCGTACCGTTCATATTGTCGCTGAGCATGATGAAGGCGGCGCAGAACAACTTCTTGGCTAGCTTAGCAAAGGTGGCCGGGCCGAAGGGAGTGCATGTAGGTAGGATTGATATCAACGGTGTGGTCAGTGACGAAGAGGAGGTGAGGAACGCCAAGCATATCGCGGAACAACTGTGGGAGCTGTATCAGCAAGACAAGGATAACTGGAGCTTTGTGGAGGACTGCGGGGATATGGATGGGTTTCTGAAGGCAGTTGGCGTGGAGAGTAAGAGGGTGTTACCTGCATGAGCTACGCGAGAGAGGTGCTTCGATAGAACGACTTGAAGGCTCTGCTCGATCAACGTGAATAAAACCAAGACTGAACCATGAACAACCACCAAATGCATCACGTCATATGCCGTCTGCTGGTGAATGATAGTCGTGAAGAAGTCTTGAGAATGGATGGAGGGAGAGGTAACGAAGAGATGGGCTGTGAGACGCCAGAAGAATTGTGGTGCGCAATGCTGGTATTTGAGAAGCCGGAGATGATTGTATGAGAAGTCTGCACCAGGGGTTGCCACCACGTTGAAGATGCTTCTTCCGATGCGGATCCTTTGTGTGGTATACTGCAAGCCAGAGCCGACTTGGACTATTTATGCCATGCCTGGGTGGCCATGGTGCTGGGTAACTGCTCCTACGTAGACACCCTATCCAAGATAGGGTTGGCTATCTTCTGCTTCTAGACCCAGGCCCTTTCGTCTGCCTCTGCAGGAGGTGCGGGCCGGCCATGTCTTGTCTTCAGTTAGAGTTGCGCCTCAAAAGCTTTGCATCAGCGGCAATCGCAGACAACACAGACATCGGACTGTTATTCCTCCAAGGAATCGTTAGATTGCTCTTCGAAAAGCTTCGAGTGTGTCCCGCCAATTCACTTCGCCAAACAACATCTCGAGAAAGGGCAATAGAAAGCGACATTCTTTGCCTTTCAGGCCGCCCAACCTAGCTCCGAGACGCTGGCAATCTTGAAACACGGCTCAGCCCTGCCAATAACGACCAATCTCGCTTTCCGAGCTAACGAATCAGATGCTTCAGGCTCGAGCTCAAGGTGGTCGAGCGGCCTCGCAGTGGATATGGCCCCCTCAGCTTGTATTCAGTAACTGTTGGGGCGGTCTAACCCACAGACTCGAGCCGCCTCTCTAGATAGCGAGCCTAAGGGATACCATTGTATACACCCCTGCTGTGCTAGTCAAGGCTACGAGTTACACATTACACGTTATGCCAGCTTGCGCCCAGTGTGGGTCTGAAACTCGCATCAAGCAGCACACAACGTTTCGACACCCGTCAGACTTCCAGTGGCTGCCTGCCTAATGAAGGAGCTATATATGTGTACTGAATATGTCGCCTTCGCTGAGGTACCACCTCACCCTCCCCCTCAGAGACAATGGCGCGTGCAGACCAAGAAGGCAAACCTGCTTTTCTCATGGAAGCACGACCCGAGGATGGTTCACTGTCGAACCTGAGCTCCGATCGAGGCACGTCGTCATCTCAAGGCCCTAAATACACCCGAAGAGCTCGACAACTCTCGTCCCTGAGTGCTCTTGGTGAGAGCATCCTGGACCTCCTCGTGGCGATAATTTGCGGCTACTTCATCGTCTTCGCTGCGCTAGTCTACTCCAGGCGCGACGAACCTCTCGACCGCTCGGGTAACCAAGAGTTGCTGGATGCTGCCAAATATGTGAGTGTGGCTTTGCTATTTCTCTCTTTACCTTGGTCATCTATTCCGGCAGGTGCACATATCAGGAACAGCTCATTATCCTCGTCCTTGACCGCCTGTTCTAGACTTGTCATTGGTGCGGCCCGCTTCAAGTGCTACAATGCTAACGAGGAGACCCAGAATCCAACCATCTTTCCAATCCTGTTTGCTGGTGTTATTGGGAAGTTTCTGAAGGCGGTCGCAGCCATCAAGCTGGAAAATGGTACTTCTGTACTGTCGCTGGAATATCTTCTTCAGAGCCGTACGGTCTTGAGCACCGTCACAGCGCCACTCATCCTGAAGACTGTCAATTTGCTGACGCCCCTTCTCTTCGTCCTTTGGGCGCTCTCACCGTTAGGTGGCCAAGCCGGGCTCCGAGCAATATCTACCAAGGATGCCTTCACAAACACCACCAATAACTTCACGTATCTGGCTTATGTATCACCTTTCACCAATGCAGGCGTCAATTCAGCATCAGCCGAGCCACTTGTCCCAATCAACGCTATCTTCACCTCTGCGCTCATAGGGTCGGCCAAGGCCAAATCGCTCGCCCAGGATCAGTACGGAAACGTCAAAGTGCCCCTTTATGAAAGCCTGCCCCCGGCGACGTCGGACAGCTCGCGAGGCTGGAGGTCGGTTCCTGACAATGGCGACTATCAGTGGAGTTCCCTTACTGGGCTTCCGATCCACGGTGTCCCGTCCGCTGGTGTGTCAACATTCAATCTGGAAACCGGGTACATGGTCACGACGTGCAATGTGTCCGGTCACGACTGGTCTGATGGATACAGGCAAGGCCTTATGAATCAATCATTGTGGAGTGGTGCGAATTATGCCTTCACCATGGGCACCGGCAGTCCTTTTACACAATACAACTTCAGCTTCCTGTCTCTCGATCTCCTTGACGGTGGTTCAACCGTTTCCACCGACAAGATCCTTACCATCGCAAATTGCACAGTCACGATGCGCTACGTGGAAGTCCAGATCAAATGCAACGGCCAGACCTGCGAGAGCGTCGCTGTTCGGCCGTCCAACAATCCCGCCAACCACACTGAAGGGCCTGGAGTGACCAGCCTCGACGAAGCCCATTACACACCGATCAATGGCCTCGGCCAACAGGGCACAATGTACATGTCATTCCTCGCCGACTTGACCAATGCGACGAACCCAACCGTGGGGTGTGACACTACATTCTGTCCTCCGAGTGTGGTCGAAGCATACCTTGCTGATCCGGCAAACACGGTGTTGCAGACTGCGACCACCAAGCTGTGGAAGCTGGGAGATGAGCTGATCTCCCAACGGTTCACGCAACTGTTCAACACTTACTGGATCGATAGTATCGCGCCTGCGCCAGTCTCAGGCAACTTCAGCCTGGAATTCAGTGACTTTGGAACCACGCAACAGTACAATACGGATAGCACGCTCGGCACAATCACCACCAGCCAGCGAGTCATCAAGTGCGATTACAAATGGCTTGCAATCCTGCTGGTCTGTTCCCTGGTATTGTTCGTTATTGGCCTCGCGACGGTAGTTCTAACTGCTTTGCGACGTGGGCCCGATGTGCTGGACAGGTTCAGTCCCCTGTTGAGGTATAGTCGATTCGCAAACATCCCCCACAAGTCATCGATGGAGGACGCTACGGAGCAGTCGAGGCGGCTGCGGAATATGACGGTCCGCCTGGGTGACATCCGTCCCGAGGATGATGTTGGCTATATTGCGATAGCAGTGCTCGATGGGACGCACCCCGTGCAGAAGTTGAGTAAGAGAAGGACATACGCATGATATACCATCTATCACAGGCTGAATCAACAACTTTGAAGCCGCGGCGACAATAGCCTCTGCCTTTCTGTTCCGTTGCGCGTTTCCCTGACCGTCCGTTTTCGACTGAAGAAACACGTTGTCTGCGCGTCGTCGAGATTCCTCCTTCTACACATAAATAGTATTCAAGCGATATCCCAACGTGCATCGTCCTCGGTCAGAGAACGGAAATCGAGGTTTGGCTGATATAGACGGCCGCCCGACGCACGGCAACACCGACATGTCGACAAACCTACGAGTCGAGGCGTGCAGGATGTAATAGTGGGACCTTCTGCAGCAAGCCTGCCTAAGTCGGGCGCCCATCGTTTGGTGCCCGCTTCGGTGACAACCCAGTGCTCGATACACACTCGTGGCGACTGACTGAATGACTGTATGAATTGTTCATCCACTCATACACGCACCGTGTGAAGATGCTGTACTTCCCTGACCCAAAGACTCCAAGCTCAGAGATACTGAAGACCAACTCTAGGCCGTTTAGAAGAGATTGTGCTGTTGATTGTTGACGAGGAAAGCGTTGTGTAAGAACTTGCTGGTTTATTGTCAATTGATCAAAGCATCCGACAACAACCAGGAATACTGTCCCGTCATGATCTATGCAGAACGAAGCACGACGAGATTGAAATGTATGTGAGCTGGAAGTGAAAGTCGACCAAATGGGTTAGACTCGATTTAATCAAAGGGACGGCGGGACATTTATCCGAAAGAGTACTGCCTTGGCAGGCCTTCCATTGAACGCTCACTGCGCTTGCTGGTACTCCCACCTGGATCTCTATCTCCATCTCTTACATCACTTGTCACCGTGCACTCCATCATCCGGCAGGTGAATGTCCTGAGTACAGTCGAAGTTCGTTTGACAGATTGGGAGGATTTGACGGGACGACCGGTCGGGCTCTACAACTACAAAATTTTCAGTTCAAGAACCTGCTGGCTAACACTTCTATCTCAACCGAAGGCTAGGTCTCAGTTTCGGCCTGCAAACCTACCTCTTTCCCATGGCTTCGAGATCATCGAGCCGGTCTGAGGGTGAACTCCTCAGCTCAGACTCGGAAGCGAAGGCAAAGACCGTACCATCTTTCCGCAATAACAGCAAAGTTGACCGTCATACCAGACCATCTTCTATCCCGTACAGCGCATCTAGATCGCGCCGATCGCGCTCGAGATCCCCATACCGAGCTCCCAGGGGCGAGAAGCGTCCGCGAGATCATGAGCATTCGAGGAACAGATCACACCATGACGCGCGCACTTTTGCGGTGAGATACGAAGACGACCTGCGTAGCCCTCACCGGCACGACCCACTCGAGGAAAGACGTGCAAAGCGATCCCGAACGTATTCGCGAAGTCGAAGCAGGAGTCGCTCCCCGTACAGGCACTCACGACAAAGAGATGATGCCAAAGATGACACGATGAGGGCAGCAGATCGCTCCAACCGAAGAAATGGTGAGAACAAGAGTCTGAGCAATCCTGTTGCAGGTTCAAACCCACAAACTTCACAGGATGGCAGACTGGATCATTCAGACCTTGATTCTGTATCAATGTCAAGCAACGCCATGGCGGGAGAAGGTTCTAGAGTCGGATTTGACAGATCTAGTGACCTGTCACGGCAAGCGGATCCAGACAAGCCTGAAGAACCCCAGCCACTCGACGAGGCTGCTCTGATTGAAGAGAGACGAAAGCGTAGAGAAGCCATCAAGAACAAGTATCGCGGTCAAGCCCCCCCGCTGCTGGTTCAAGCTCTTCACCTTGGCGCTGATTCCGTTTCTGGAAGCCCTGGTCCGGAGAGCTATACAACAACGCCACGCAGATCTGGTATGTTTGTCAAGTTTTGCCGGCAAAGTACAGAACTAATGTTACTAGAATCTCCTACCGCTTCCTCCCCTCGAACACCCAGAGACCCGTCAGCACCCCAGTCTCCAGCGGAAATCAAGTTTGAAGGGGAAGACGACCTGGCTAACGCCGATACAGCATCGCCGGCTGAGGATGGACCATCTGCCGCTGACTATGACCCCACAGTGGACATGAATGAGGAACGAGCCCGACATGATAAGCGTCTCTTTAAGGAAGACGAGAAATCTCTTGAGCAGTCGCAACAACAAGTGGCTGGGGACGCTAACAAGTCTACACCTCCACCCTCCAAATCGCCTGGTGAGTTGGACATGTTCGCAGAAGACGAGGACGAGGACGACATGTTTGCCGAAGCTCCCATGAAGCCAAAAGCTGAGGCCCAGACTGCACAGGCTCTTGATGCCAGGCTCATGGATAACTGGGATGACCCAGAAGGATACTACATCACGATCCTTGGTGAGCTGATCGAGGACCGGTACCATGTCACTCAGAACCTTGGAAGAGGCATGTTCTCATCCGTTGTTCGAGCTACAGATAGACGAACGGGCAAGTCTGTGGCGATCAAGATCGTCCGGAACAACGAGACCATGCGAAAAGCAGGCCTCAAAGAAATCGACATCCTCAAGGATATCGCGGCAAATGACCCAGAGGACAAGAAGCACCTCATCCGTCTTCAACGCTCTTTCGATCACAAAGGCCATTTGTGCATGGTATTTGAAAATCTCTCCATGAACCTCAGAGAAGTACTCAAGAAATTTGGGAGAGATGTGGGCATTAACATCAAAGCGATCCGGGCGTACTCCCAACAGCTCTTCTTGGGCCTGAGCTTGTTGAAGAGGTGTCAGTACATCCATGCTGATCTGAAGCCAGACAACATCCTCGTCAATGAAGCAAGGAGCACGCTCAAGATTTGTGATCTGGGCTCTGCGTCTCCCATCAGCGAGAACGCTACGGCCCCATACCTGGTATCCCGCTTCTACCGAGCCCCTGAAGTCATTCTCGGTATTCCATATGACTACGGAATCGACATGTGGTCCGTTGGGTGCACACTCTTCGAACTCTACACGGGGAAAATACTATTCACGGGACGCAACAACAATGGCATGTTGCGAGCGATCATGGAGTGCCGTGGTAAATTTCCCCACAAACTTCTGAGACGAGGTTCCTTGACCTATGAGTACTTCGACGACCTGCTCAATTTCCGAGCCCAAGAGACGGACAAAGTCACTGGTCGGACGGTGGTGAAAATAGTTGATATCAAGGCCAAACCGGTGAGAGATCTGAGGTCGCGGCTGATGCCCAAAGACAAGAAGATCAACGACCAGGAGCGAAAGGAGCTTGATCTGTTTGTGGACCTTTTGGACAAGTGTTTGGATTTGCGGCCAGAGAAGCGCATCACGCCCAACGATGCGCTCAAGCATCCTTTCATAACTAGACCAAAACCATAGCTGGGGGGAGATCGGGTTCGACCTTGGCAGCTGATTGAATGATCTTGGCAGCTGGCTAAATTACTTGGCAGCTGGTCGATTGACTTTTGGCCGCTGCTTGACAGTCACCGCTAATGAATACGATTGGAGCAGCAGCAGCTAGCTGATGCTGGTCGATACGGATACTTCTGTCTGTGCATGACAATACAACCGAGGTCATCCGCACGATGGATGGCTTTTCTCTGGTACGCAGCTGCTGGTGGTCGCCGTGCGGCAGGCGGTCGTGACAAGCACCGGGGAAATATACCAACGTTCTGCGATCTTCCGAGACAATACCACTCCAAGCGCTAGCACAACATATGCGGACACGAGCGTTGTGGTCAGCGCTTGGGGGCCTGGACCACAACCTCGAGCGCTCCATATGGCACGATTGGCATTCTCTTGCGCCTAATTTGCCCTCCCATGCGTTCGTGTCGTGGAACGAGTCTGCAGTCGGCAGCGTTCTGTGTCGCACACAACTGGGCCAGTCAAGTACATCTTGGGATCAGCTGCCCCTTGCAATTCTTCTACTGATCTACCACACGATGGCAAGCCTCACGGCGTATCTGGCAGCGCTCTTCCTCCAGTTCTTGGTTGGCGCCAACGCCGGACAACTTTTGACGGCGGACCAATGTCCTGATGACCCTTCCATCCCATGCATCGTCTTCCCTCCGGCAAAGAATCAAACCTACAACTACATAGACGCCATCATCGTCACGTATACCTCACCATGGGCACAGGGGGTGAATCTCTCGCTCAATTGTTGGCCGAGTCAGAACAATGCGGACCGGTCGGGCGAATTCGTCCACCTTATTAATGACAATCTATTTTGCTCTAATTGTGCGTTTCAATTTCTCTCTTTCGCGACCTCTGAACCCATATCTAATGCAGGTCTAGGCGCCGGAAACGGCAGTCACAAGTTTGAGAATCTCGGCGTTGCACTGAATGGCTCAATCACATATCCCACACGTTGTTGGTTTGCTCTGGGACCATACAAAGCTGGGGACCTGCTTGATGACCCATATCCTACGAGCACTGCTCTGGGAGCGATGACCACAGTGATAACCGGTGGAAACTTCACCTTGGTCAGGAACATGAGGCAACCGGTGAGAACTCGACAGATACGACCTCCGGTGTGGACAGGACTCAGCGGCGGAATGCAACTCGGCATCATTGCTGGTCTTAGCCTCATCTTGCTGGGGTCGCTCGTCGCGACGATCATGATAGCGGTCAGGAAAGGCCGCTCGCTTGAGGATCCGATGAATCCGGCATATCAGAGACTATTTGTGGCAGAACGTCATGGTGGTGTATCCTACAGGGCTCTTGACGACCAAGCACCTGATGCCGGCTGGGCAAGAACCGCTCAGGCTAAGGAGCTCCTGGAGGTTGGAGGGAGCAGTTCACATCCGTTGCTAGGAAGCTCCAGCGGCCGGAGATATTGAATACGGAGTAGACGTATGTCTGGGTTCACAGCTAGGAGGCAGCAGGAGAGAAGAGCTTGGCAGATAGAGCCGCTAGAGCAAGAAGGGGAAAGTCTAGTGTCACGTTGTCAAGCGTCACGCGTTTTGGTGTACCTCTCAATTTCGCCGCTGTCTCGAGTTATCACTACCGTTTCGCTAACCAGCATCCAGCAAATCACCGGCTCCTCTCACGTTGCCCATTTCCATGTCCACTTCACTGTCTGAGGTGTCGTCGGTGTTACACCAGCGTGTTTTTTTTTTTTGGCATGCTCTTCAGAGAGCCCGGGCGGCGTCAAGGCCTGCGATACGACCAAATGTCAAAGAGCGCAGGACACTCGTTGCAGGCGGATCTACAGGATATATCAGCTCCTGCGCACGAGGAATGTTCGAGATCAGCGAGTATGGCAAGAAGCCAGCAGTGTCCAGTCTCTCTGAGTTATTGGTGTTGACGTCCAAGCCATGAACTTACACTTCGCAGAATTAGCACATACCCGAGCTACAGGAAACGGGACGATCTGCTTACCTCGTTGTAGAACAAGCCACTCAGCTCCCCAGCACAGTACAGCCCTGTTCGGTGTCAGTAAGACAGACCATACGCACACTCTGCTAGCCATTGCAGCTTTCCGGAAGCGAGAAACACCCGTTATTCTTACCTGGAATCGGAACCCCTGTTGTGGAAAGCACCCTGGAGTCAAGGTCACACTTCAACCCGCCATATGTGAAAGTGAGTTGTGCTGGAGGCAATTAGTACCAGCTCGAGCGGCCGTCTCCAATAGGAATACCTTTCATTGGATACCTGGTCATCATAGTCTCAGTCTCCGCTTTCGTCGGCTCCCAGGACGACTTACCCATAGTATGGCGGCTTGTTGATTGGATTGGCCCAATTCGTCTTATCAGGCGAGAGACTTCCAGGAGCATCAGCTTGTGCACAGCAGATCATTGTTTAGGTGCATACCCATGAGTCCTCTTGCCGTCGAGTTTCATCAAGTCGAACTCGTTGTCGTTGATGCTGACTTCGGTTAGCAGCATCCAGGATACTGCAGACGGGAACTCACGCCGCATTGTATTCATCAACCGTTTTCTTCAGCTCTTTGGGATCGAGGCCCAGCTTTTCGGCTAATCCTTCGATAGTATCGCTCTGCTCCGGTTCTTGGTCGGTGGTGTCGTACACCCAACCTGGTCTGAATCGGTCCATGATCGGTTTGTCGGTGACGCTGCGAAACGGTCAGAACGGACGCCAATGATCAAGAACTTGTTCTGCCCCACAAGTAAGATTTCTGGTTCTGGTCTACTCCGCGTCAGTCACATTGAATGTCCATGGCTCGTAGCGACTCACCTCGCCAGGTCTCGAGTGCTATCATCTCGAAGGTCGCAAAGAGGCTACGCGTGTTAGCAAAGGTCCGTTTCTGGTCCACTCATTACGCACTGTCGCTTGCCCTCGTCATAGAACCGTTTGCAGTGCCTGGATGTCGTCAGAAACGTCACCAAGAACATGAAGGTGTGCCGAACTCGTTAACAACAATCCCATAGTTATGGCCCCAGATCACAGCATCAGGCTTCTTGGCTCTGATATCGACGAGCTCACACTGGTATATCGTCAGCTTGGCGAAGTTAGGGTTCCAAGCCACTCACATGCATGCCGCTCATCGACCCCGCAGTGGCAGCGCCGACCTCCAGACCCATCCTCAATCCAAATCCGGTGTTATACTTGAGACCGGGCGCGATGAGCTCAAGGTGTTCGGTCCGGGGTCCGACATATTTGCCTAGCCTGTTCCCGGTCATGATGTGCGTTGACGCGTCTCCTAGGAAGCTTACATTTCGCGATTGCCCTCGAAACCGCCGCAAGCCAACATGACTTTCTTGCCGTGGATCTTGGTCATATGGCCGTCGGCCTTCCGCACCTGGACGCCGGTGACTGTGCCATCCTCGGCGGTGAGCAAATGCTCTGCATGCGTCTCCCATACGATTTTCACGTTGTCGAATTTTCGGATACTGTCGAATAGAGCGTTGATGATTGCGTGTCCGCCACCCTACTTCAACTATCAGATCGAGTCCGGGACTTCAAGGGGTATGAAAGACCTCTGGAAACACGAAATGTTGATCTAGGCTTTGGTCAGTATCAGCGAGCTCACCATGGTGAAGCTCAGATCACTCACTGGTGTCGAATTCGAGAAAGACGTTCTTTTCATCATGATGGTTGAGCTTCACGCCATCTGTGATGATCAGCAATGCGGCTCGAACCTCGATCATCCGACAGGCTTACGGTCGAGGAGATACTGGGCTGTTATTGGCACTTCCTTCTCCATTTTTGCACAGTACTCCAGATCAGCGAGTCCCTCGCTTGGTTTGGCTTGTCAGCAACGCTCAGCCTCAGGAGGTGAACTTGACCGACCTAACACGCTGCAGACCGTCAGCCAGTACTAGTGAATTTGCTGAAAGCGTTTCTGCCTACCTTCATTTCATGCTTCCAGCCGGGATCGAAGTTGTTGTCTAGGGCTTTTAGCTTCATATGTCACCCCTACATCGCTCGATACACACCTTTGTCCAGTCGCAGATACGCCATTGTCCATCTGGAAGGGTTCAGCCCAGATTCTCATGCTTGGTGACGAAACATACCTGCTTGCACCACATCGTTCGCCCTCCTTGCCAGCCTCGATAAGCGCCACCGTACCTCGTTTGCCCAACTTTTTGCACTCTTCGAGGAAATTCAACGTGGTCATGGAACCCTACAGGACAGCTCAGCTTCGCCTTGTAGCAGCACTCCAGGTCGACCTACGGCAAACCCGCTGCCGACAACGACTAGATCATACACTTCTGGACTCGAGCCCGTGAGGCTGCTCACGATTTGACTCGCTACCGTCGCCATCTTGGGATGAGATAGCAGTATTTGACGACGCGGATACGGTGGTTTAGGGACTCTTGTGTTTTAGGTACGACTGGTAAAGCTGAAGGTTACCGGCAAGGTAGGCTCTGCGTTCTACTCACTCAACCATCTTTAGTACCTTGCATTGCCTGCTCCTTACCCCTCAAATCGACGATTCCTTCAGGCAATACTAAACCCTGCACCCCGCAAGGGACGACAAATCGCAGGACAACAGCCCAGAAAAGCCGGCAGCTTCTGGTGGAGTAGTCTTGCATGTATCAGCTTGTGCAGACGGGATTTCCCCGCAGGGCCACAAACCTGAGAAGCGGGACCGGTGCTTGGGCCGGTGGTCACTCCATCTACAAGTTACCAATGCAGTACTGTAGGGAATTGATGTGTTCACGGAATCCACGGGTTGCCAATCGCGGCGCAGCTTCACTCGGCCCAGGGTGAACCACCTAACCTTGCGGGTGGTGACTGGGCAGCTGACGACGTCACGCCTCAATCTCCGAGATGAAACAGGTTCTCGGAAACATGGATGCAAACTTTAAACTGGGTGGTTTCGAGAGTCTCGAATGCTCGACATTTGTATCCGAGGTTGTCGCCGATTCCTCCCCAAGCGAGGGGTCATTGCACTGGATTGACTCCATTCGATGCAGTCAATGCTTGTCCCAGGACACTTACGTCCGTATGTCGAGCAAAGATGGAGCTAAGTGGGAATTCTGTTTGACGCGATCAATTTACGTTTTCTGTCTTGCGCGGACGACGACGCGCGCTGAGCTGTGAAACGATCATGGCCCCAATGGGGGGCATATGATTGACTCGCTACCGAGGTTCACGCCCAACCAGTGGAACGTCATTTCCGATGCACTGCGGTATACGGAGTCTCGGGAGTATACTTCCTACCTATACCGAGCATCCTGCTCAAAGACATCTGAAAGCTCCGAGAATAGGAGGTTCTGGGGGGTCGAGTCAGTCCCGATTGTTTGGCGATCGTTTTCTCGAAATCTGACCGCCCAGCGAGGTGGAATATTGCCAGAGAGGCATGCCCTTGACGTCTGTCGTCACTCGTACTGTTCCGTCTTCGTCTTGGCGGGCGAACTCGGCGGTCAAGTACTCGGTGTGACTCTCTAACGTGATGCCTGTGGGCAGGACATTCCGATTGACTCGAGTGGTTCTGCCCAAGGATGCGGGAAGTCTTGTACTGGTGTTGCTCCCCTGCGAGCTGCCGAATCTCGTCGTCCGTCAGTCGGAGCAGCTGCTAGAGCTGTCGTGAAGACGGCCAGCGCGGCCTTTCTGGCTTGATGTTGTTGTTGAGGCTTTCTACAGGCACACAAGCAAGAGAGTCTTTGATTCGAGGTTGTGTGCGCGGGACGAATTGCGCGTCTAGCTCTGCGTAGAATATGCAGTCTTCAATTGAAGTTCACGGAGCAGCCTGGATTAATACCACGGGCTCAACGTCCTTCGTCCATCTCGAGCTCGTCCGGGGCCTTCGATGTGTACACGTACAACGGGGCCGTGGATAGTATATTGGACGTCCGAGCTCTCTCCATTAGTATCTGCACTCTTCGCATGCCGCAAAACTGGGCTCTGACTTTTGAGCGATGGGTGCACATGTTGCCGCTCCATAAAGCTCCGTGTAGCTACAGCAACAAATTGTACACCTGGCCAGCTGTTCGAGCTTTACTGGAGCTCGTCCGTCGGCTTTTCCAATTGTCTTTACCCCACGTTTTGCATTTATCCCACACTGTCAATGAGCGTGACAGTCTCCCCGCGTCACACACCAAACGGCTGAATGCCCCTCAAGACGACACCCGCTAAAGCCATACAGTATCACCGTGGATACTTCTCTTCTGCCATCACGAACACCACCTGACATCGATCGAGACGAATTCGATGCTGGCACTGGACATCCCTTACCTCCTGACTAACCAGATACCGCGTCACGGACAATATGGAAGGCGAGTGCCTGTGCAAAGGTACGTCCGCCACAGTACAGTAAATACATGATCCCAGAGAATTTCGTGTGGTGGCATATGCGGTAGAATACACAGCGCTTCAACGCCATGGTCATACAACGGTACTCTATACTCTTACTCTGTACGCCGCTAACCAATCCCAGCCGTGGCCGTCAAAGTCAACGACGACAACCTCTTCGGCGAACAACGAAGAGGACACATCTGTCACTGCAACAACTGCAGGAAAGTCGCGGGCGGGATGTAAGTGGTTCAATGGCGTTTCGTCAGTGTTTCATCATTCACCAAGTCATCTTTGCGGAACAGACCAGCTTGGGGAGGATCGAGAAGAGATGAGACAGGCAGCCTGTCTTCTCTTAACACCTTCTCTGGCCCTGTACTCTGTCTGTACTTGGGTACACCCCTGCTCGATACGGAGTGCAGAGTGCAAATTCTGTTTTACCATCCGCTACGTCTCGCACCTACACATACTCATACACATGCACATCATCTATCTTTCTGCCAAATACACATCTCTAGACTGTGTGCGGCTGGCAGGGTGTACATGGAGGACCGTCCACTGTGTGCGGCTGGCGTCGAGCATGCATGCATGAACACCTACTAACTACAAGTACTGACGGACTGACTGACTGACCCCTGCCTGACCGGGCAACAGATTCGGAGTCAACCTGACCATCGAGGAGGAAAAGGTCGAGTTCCCAAAGGGAAAGGATAACATCAAGGCCTACACAGTCAGTCAGTCCGTGCATCTCATCGCCATCTGCCTCTCATCACCATCTTCATCTCATCACCACCTCAACTCGATCACCATCCAACTGTGGGGCTTACGCATATGATGCGGATCCATGTATGCTGATACTACACAACTCAATGTCCAGGATCCCGACACTCTAAGCGGCACACCATTGCAGAGGTATGTACATGTACGTATGTTAGGGCGCGACGTCGGAGTCTCGCGCGAATCAATGCGCAAGAACAAGCAACAAGCAACAAGCAGGCAAACAAGCGAGAAATCAGAAGCATGTATTGGCTAACCACATCGACTCACCGCAGGTTTTTCTGCCAGACATGCGGCGTCCCTATCATGAGCATCACGCCGCTGTATAAGGGCAAGGTTGTCCTCAAGCTGGGCTTGGTACGTCTATCTATCGTGTTCTTCTTAGCGTGGCTACCTGCATGCCTGCATATACACAAGCCAGTGGGGGAGCCATCGACGCCTTCTCTGTGTCCGTGACGGTACTCAACATCCACGACGGGTCATTTGACGATAACTTCTCACCGAGTGACTGGGTTGACTGGGTGACCGACCGACGATCCGTGCCCAAGCTTACCATGTCGAAATACTGACTGGTGGACTGAGTCACTGACTGCTCGACATGCTCGACTGATCGTCGACTGACTGGCTGCCTCTGACAAACATAGTATCCCAAACTCCCCGTGCCGGAATGGGAATCCTTCGCGGAAAGGCGCCAACACTGGGAAAAGCCCTTCGAGGGCACAATACAGTACAAGACGAAGGTGAGGTGCGGTCTCTTTTTGACTTACATCCCGCCACTGCGCCCCTTTTCTTTAAGCACGCACGCACGCACGCAATCGAGGGAAGGATGAGAGGCGCTCAGGCTGGCAGGCAGGAAGGCACATACGACACGGACGTATCATGATGCATGCATCACACTTTTCACACTTTTCACACCTATTAATCACACATGATAAAGGTCAAGGCTAACACTCCGTCCGTGTCCTAGAGCTTCGGGGATAAATTGCCTGGATCGCTTGAGAAGGCGGACAAGGTGAAGTTGCAGGAGTAGTAAGGATAGGGAGGAGGAGTCTGGGCCAGGGGCGTCGTGGGCAGTGTATACAGCGTGGACAGTACGGGGAGTGACACTGTCGGAGGATATTGTCCCAGGATATGTAACTCGAACTGGCGTGTAAAGCAATGCGGCAAGACCAGTCCCAGTGCCATACAAGTGCTAGAACCAACCGGTATCAGATCCTGCGTGGTAGTTCTATGCCGTCCGGACCGGATTGTGCAAGTCGTGGAGGCGGCTGCGGAGCGGAGGCGTGAATGCCACGCCCGTACTATGTGGACAGCCATTCTTACACACGAGAGGATTCCATATGCTAGCTGCGCAAACGCGTATCGGACTATCGTAACCTACCCGCTCAGACGCCAGACGCACCTGCATCTGCGAGTCGAAAAGACCGCTCCGCTCGATATGTGTCCGCGCGCATAGCCTCCTCTTTGGGCTCTCTACCAGTGATCTGTTCAACGTACATCCTCATCCGGCATGAAGTCGAAGACGTTATCGCTGAAGCTGGTCCGATCCTCCTTCTCTTCGAAAGCCGTGGCCAGGTCATCCCGCCATGATTACCAAGTTGTCTATCTCTAGTGAGCGCGTGACTTTGAATCCTCGAGCAGATCGATCCGGCCACGCCGTCTCCATACCAATGACTTGGTCGCCGTGAACGAGTAACGCTGTGGATGAAATAGTGGGTCTTATCCCCATTGTTCCGCTTGACTTTTGCTCCTACAGATGCGGAATTTTCAAGTCCTGCATGATCTCCGTCGAGCTATTCGCGTGGCTCGGAACAATCTCTCGTCTCGCTGCATCAATGGAGTCCTTTCCCGTCCTGATCACTCTCTGCCGTGACGATGAGATCCACTTCCACGTCCTTGGGGCTTAAATTCGATACCCACACAACGTACGTCTTGTCATTGTTTGCAACACGGGGGCCAGAATGGCTGGACGTCCACTCCTGAGACGGCCTGCTCATGCCGATGACCACGGGCTCCAAGGAACGACTTGGTCGCTGGGAAACTCGGCTTAAGACGCGCGGGATATCGATAGTCCACCACAGCCCACGGCATTGATCGGCCTCGCCAGGACACCACTGCAATTCTTCCTGGAGGCGCGCTCCATTCTCTTCTCCGTGATCTGTACACAAAGGATATGCCATCGCTCTGCATGGCCTGGATTATGTGCACGAAAGTCGCTAGGCTCGACCGGACTTTGAAACTTTCAGCCAGAAAGGCAACCGGCCGTCTCTCGTGACCTATGAGCCTCTTGCGGTAGTACATTGTCATCGAGCTGGGGTACCGACGCTTAGGAGGATGGCCATGGGAGTGGTCATGTGGTTGCCCTTCCATGCCGACGTCAGCGATGAAGCGACTGAAAGTGTCGGAAATGGACAGTTCCTGATACAGGCTCATGGAGCAATGCCCAGTCAAATACTCTGTCAGATACGCATAGCTTAGCATGTTTCCAGACTTGATGGCTCAGAAGGGACGCGAGCGATACCACGTACGTGCAGGCAAGAGCGACGAGACGGTCCGGAACATTCACCATTTCGCTGGTTAATGTTGAATGCCATTACCTGTCCTCATCTCCCAGGGATTATTGATGATAAACCTCCCGCGAACTCTCTGCAGAATCTTGGGCAAAAAGTAACTCGTAGGTATAATGTATACCTAGCCGTGAGGTCGCCCTTAGCTGGTGCTTGGAATGTTTGTCCCTCTCGTAGTCATCCTTGGGTCCTGCCTCTACTGGATTTGGTAGTCTTCGTTGTTGTCTGTCCAGCTGGGTATATAGGAGTAGGGTGATAGACGACGGATATTGTGACAGGACTTACGTCTTTTTTTGAGATAGGAACGAGGGATATGTTCTCTCTGAATCGCTGGACGATTAACCAGGTACTGTTCGCAGACCAGATACGGCACGTCAACATCCTTGTATCCAGCATGCTTCAATTGTTGACGAAGCCGCTAGTGGCCATGGAGCAATTTCCGCAGCACATATGCTCCCGCCGAGGAGTCTGTGCCAGGAGCGAGGTCGAAGCGGTAACTTTGATATGGACTCTCTCTGTGCATGGCAAGATGATATAAGAGTTGCAGCGAGAGGCCTGTTTCACATTCGATCCTCTGTCGACCTTGGTGTCCAAGTCGCTGTAGTCGTCACTACTCAGAGCCATACGTCCAAAATAAGGGGTACGGGCTACGGTGCTGGGGACAGCGCTGCTCGCTGTTGATTCCTCTGGAGTGGCCACAGTCACCCTTTGGACAAATCAATGCCCGTAGAACTCGTGAAGTCTGGCGCTGCCGTATGATTTGTAACCGTTTAGGACGCCTGAGATGAGCATGGCGGGCCTAGACGGAGAGATGAATACCCAGTAGCGAGAAGTACGACAGACCGCGCCTCGCAATTTGCTCCACACGCCCGGCCGACGTCCCCTTCACTGGGTGCTCCTGTGCCAAGCAGCTCGCAGCCCCGCATTTCTGACGGTCAGAAGCGTATGAACTATCTGCATTTGGCTGTGGCGTGACTTTCCGAAAGTCAGAGAGACGCTCGAGTCTTAGCGATGGCGATGGCGGCATATGGATGAACTCGTCCGCTCGGAGGAACTGACCCGATCTCGGGACAGTAGATTAAGATCGGCTCGTCGCGTTGTTCCCACCATGGTGTTTGTTGCAGCATCAACTTGAACGGTGGTACACCATCCAGCACTCTGCTCATTAGCAAATCATCTACCATGGGCTCTACTTCCAAACCAGCCATTCTGCTCATTCCTGGCTCTTTTGCCCTTCCGGAGTTCTATGAGCCAGTCTTTGAACTAGTTCGTGCCAAAGGCTATGACATTCGGGGTCTGCACAAGCCCACTGTGGGCCTTTCGGCTCGTCAGCCACGGCCAGGACCGCCGCCAACAATGTACGACGACGCCGCGTATATTGCGGGAGAAGCCGAAAAGCTCGCGGATGAAGGCAAAGCCGTCATTCTCGTGCCTCACTCCTATGGTGGTGTGCCGGCGTCCCAAAGCACGAAAGGGCTCAGCAAGAAAGAGAGGCAGAAGGCGGGAAAGCCGGGTGGAATCGTGAGCATCGCCTATCTGACGTGCGTGACGCCGGCTCTGGGCCAGACAGCGAAGGACGTGCTAGCAACAGTCCCATCCGAGAACCAAATCAACTTGATAGTCAAGGCAAGTCTGTTGAGCCGCTCCCCATCTCGCCAAGGCTGACGCTAGCAAAACAGGAAGACGGCTGGATGGTACACGACCCACCCGAATCGTCAGCTGCTCTTTCATTTTCGGACCTTCCGCTGGAAGAAGGCGTAGCCTGGATCAACAAGTTCCCTCAGCATTCCGCCATCAGCTTCGTGAACGAGTTGACGCATGCTGGATACAAGGATGTTGACGTGGCATATCTGGTCTGCGAAAATGACCTGGTTATCCCGCCGGCGATACAGAGGGCAGGTATAGACATGATTGAAAGAGAGAGTGGCCGCAAGGTCGATGTCACCAGCATTCCACGGGATCATTGTCCAATGGTTCGCCACCCGGACGAGGTTGCGGATTGGATCCTGAAGGTTGCTGCAAAATACTGAGCCACTCAGTCGACCGTAGACTGTCCGTTACGCTGACGATGCTTCGGCCCGGGGGGTTTCAGCAACGTCGTGCACTTGCATAGCCAATCCTGCCCCTAGTAAGCCATGATGACATAAAATGCAGATATAGCCACGTTGATGTACTATGTGAAATATCAGTCCTTGAATATGTGCAAAATGCCGGTCTTTGGACCCGGTCAAGGCTCCGAGGTAATTTGCAGACGGGTCCGGTACGTCACATAGCATGTACTGCCATGGTTGAAGGGGCATCAAGATCGTGCGCGTGGATTTCGGGAAGTATCAAGAAACAGCAAACCTCACTTAGCAGCGAAATATCTTTCGGTCTTCCTGCCTGAGGATCCATGGAGCCATATCGGGCGAAATGGTGAAACTCGGTTGAGTGCCCAGATCGCGGCCAAAATACGCGTCGTCCATCGTGGTATGCATACTGATCATGTTGTTCCGCATCTTCGGAAATGAAAAACGATCAATGTGAGATTGATGTATGGCGGTCAGCTGGAGAAAGATAGGCTGCTGGAGAATGGAACGTCCGGGCCTGTGGGTGAGGAACTCTACCTAGGTATGGGATAAGCATGTAATTTTTGAGACCTATGATGACGCCGTTGACGTACAGGGCATAGATGGCAGCCAAAGAAGGACAAGGCTCATAGCCAATATCGAGGGCCTGGCCAACGGATGTACAGTAATCTGAGAGGAGCAGTTTCGACACAAGAATGGAAACAAGGGTAAGCCCCTCGAGGCGTGGCATCGGATCCAGGCGATGTAGAAGTCATCATGAGCACTGAGCCCGGACGCATCACACTGCTAAGCATTCACGTTGCTGGTATTGCGAGTCTTCTCTTCAGGTTGTTGATTCATCGGCTGTGAAACATGTCTTGCTTCTCGGAGGCGTTTCCTATCGCAAAGGACGATCAATCAGCGCCGACGGCACCGATAGTCCCTTCCCAGCGGGTACTAAAGAAGGCCCAGACTTACCACATGCCAGGGGAGCTCCTTCACAGGCAATTCGATAGTGTAGACTAAGCAGCACAGTCAGGATAGACACGGTCGAAAAGGACACTCACGTCTTGCTCACGGAGTCAGCTTGTCCTGGATCTTCTTCCTCTCCTTATGATTTGTGACACGATGCCAGTCGTCCTCTGAGGGTAAACGGGCGATTGCTAGCTTAGGCATCGTGTGGCTGGCGACGGAGTACTCCGTACAGGAAGAGGAATGCTCGATCTGCACAAACTTGGTGGCTGGTGAGCGGATCGAATACCTGTGGAGAGCGGAGGAAAGAACATCCGAGCCCCGAATAGTGCGAGGCCTTTTCGGCTTACAGGGGGGAGCCTGACGGGTCCGAGGAGCCGAGCCTGCCGAGCTACGTCTAAGGTCAAATGCTGGGCAGTAGCCCTCTGGGCAGCAGAACGGCACAAGGTGGTACGTTGACGCATTCAGGCTTTTGAACGCACTCTACGTTGAAGGCACGAATGGTGAACCGCTGGCACTCTGCAAACACTCACCCACCACCTGCCGGCCCCAGTGTCAGCATTGCTATAGGAAACTCTTCCGCTTATGACACCTTTTCAACTTTGTCACGACTGAGATCGAGTGCCCTTACTGAATAGGGTATATGTAGCGTCGATCACAGCTCGCTCTCCCCGTTTCTTACGGGGTACATGTAAGGCGAACATGTACTGTGTACGAGTTACCCTGCTTGACGATGTACATTTTCAGGCAACGTGGACACGGAAAGTTGACGGATTCAATCTGTGTAATTACAGACGTCGCAGTGCACAGAACTCCGTGCAATGCTTTTTGTGTATTAGGGGCTCCCTATCTTCATGTCTGTGACCAACGCTCTTCATCTCTTCATGAGCCATCTGTCCTCATGCCAGTCCACTCTACGTCGAGCTGATGTAAACTCACTGGAGCCTCCCAATCCATTCCTCCAAGATGCTCTTGATTGAGATTGCATTCGTGCGTCTTCACTCCTCCCTCTCCTGAACATACCTGACCCCCTCATCTCGACGTGGACCCACGCGTGCAACCTAGCGACTCACGCCGCCAATGGTGTTGCCTTCCAACTGTATCACGCTGTGCCTCCAACAGAGCAGGATCTATACCATCTCATTGGCGGCTGGCAGAGCGGTGGCAACCACATCAAATTTCTGTCGACTACTGACCCGGTAACTCTGGCCAAAAGTATCTGGCGATACATGACAGTAGATGTCGTGCGGCACATCGATGGTGATATGGCGCGCTCAAAAGTAGTACTGGAGCAAGACCTAAGAAGCTGAGATTGGGTGTGTACAAGGTCCCTGCGTCAGAGGTTGTGGACTGGCAATCGAGGTGGAAAAGCAGCGACATCGGCGCAGGGGGTTCTGCCGGATGGGATTTAAGTGCTGAAGTGCAGAAACACCACAAGGCCTTCGGACAGATGGGCGAGGCGACCAACAGTGTCTCAGCTTTTGGTGGCAAGGACGCAGGGGGCGCCAAAACCTAGGTTTGGGTGGAAAGCAGCGAGGAGGGCACTACTGTGCCCG